GTTTCCCGGTTTCCGTGTTTCCCGGGGGCGCAAGCGGAGGCCTTTCGGGGCAGGGCACACACTTACAAAATTGCCCGGGGTAGGGTATAAAACTCGAGGAGGGTGCAGAATTTGCCAAATCGGGCTAGGGTACAAAATTAGGCAAATCGGGATGGGGTACACAATTCGGCGAGGGTACTGAATTTGCCAAATCGGGCTAGGGCACAAAATTAGGGAGATCGGGATAGGGTACAAAATTCGGGGAGGGTACAAAATTAGCCGAATCGGGGTAGGGTACAAAAGAAGGCGAATCGGGTGAGGGTATGAAATTAGGGGAATCGGGGTAGGATACCAAGTTGGCCAAACCGCGCAGCCTTCGACGGAGGGCTTTGGCTCCCGCGGTTCTGCTCTTCCGGCGCTAAACAAAAATAACCCCTGCGACCCCACCAAACCCCTGCTTTATATATATTTTTACCATCGCAAATCCCAGAACACGACTAGAGAACGCTTTTCATGGGGCTTCGCATGAGAATTTTTTTTGGCATGCAGATTTGCATGACAGCTCTGGGATGGGGACGTTTTTACACAGGATATGCGACCGCGGCGTTTTACCGAACCTTCCGCGGGAGGAACCGAAACGAGAGGAACGATCCGCTAGCACTGACAAAGGGGAGATCAAGGCTGTATTGGGTTCTTTTTGTGCTTGTCCTACAGGTATGACACGCATGATCTCATACATTAAGTCGCATGGTAAATGAATTTCACTTTTCCAACCAACGCATGACAAGTTAGTAACTCTGTCGTGTGCAATGATCTACTACAGGTTCCCTCGCGGTGTTTACGACATGAACCAGAATTATCAAATGCAAAAATGTCTGGGTCTGGAAACTTGTGATGCTGGGTGGCGTCTCATGATGAGGCTACAAATGCTGGCTCAGCATGACAAGTTTCTGAGCTCCTAGGTGTTCCCTATTCTGCATGACAAACTGCGCTTCTGCATAACAGAGAAACGAAGCTCTTGGGTAACTTGCATGACAGATTTCAGAGTCATGCTAGACAAGTATGACAAACATGAATTCTTCCAGACCCAGACACTTTTACATTTGATAAGAATCAGGGCGGAAAATTGCTGTTCACAAAAGAGCGGACCGTCGTCGGCCGCAATGAGTCCGACTCAAAACCAGAAATTCCAATGTTCTCCTCAAGTTACCAAGACAAGCGAAGAGGCTGGAGTTTAGACCCGTGGGTGGGAAAACAGGTAGAGTTTACAATTTGAATTCATTTTTTCATCAAATACTCTTTTGTTCTATGATTTTGTCATGCCGTGACCGTATTTACTACACCTGTTGATGTTTCCGTCATGCGTGCAGTGAATGTGTGTTGCTATACTCTGATCAAAAAAATCGGAACATGAGGAACATGTAGTACAACATGACAAAAAAAAATGACTATTAGATCGACCCCGCTGGGCGTGAAGAGCCGTTCTCCCGGCAAGAATCCTACGGCTGCATCCCACCGTTCGCAGCGCCGGTATCAGATTGAAAACGTGATTATTCCCGTCCCCAAACCAGAGAGGAAAATGGAATTTGGATCTGTATTGCAAAAGCATAAAGCTTAATCCCAGGGATGGGAGCGCCGTTTTGGAGCGACGTTGTCATGTAAGGCTGAGAGTAGAGACATGTTGTTCTGCTCCACACGAACTCCGCGCTGGCAATCAGGGGACGGGACGAACTTTTTCAATTTGATAGCCGCGGGCGCCCGGGTACACGGGCTTCGTGCCGGGAAAAGTCGGCGAGAACGTGGTCGGGGAACGTCAAACGATAGCGGACGCGGTGTGCTTTCACCGGACCATGAAGAACAAAAGCGAGAAACTGCAGCGGTGATGACAGGAATCCTATTCTGTTTGTGTAGTTTTTGTGGTTTTAGAACACACATTGAAAATAAAACTGCTGGTGGCTATGTACAATGAACGTTGCAAGATGAGAAGCCGCAGGAGACAGCCAGCGGCGACAAAAAAATTTTTCTGTCACTACTCTACGATATTATAGCGAAACGAATTCGACGAATCTTTAGTACCTTTATTGAGCACAAGACAAGCTATCATGGATGTCAAGAACCTTTCAGAATATATTTACCTGAATCTACTTTTCCTGAATGATGAATTTGAATTTGGACAACCGTCATGAAGCCTCCTGTACTAGAGTCGAGTGGAAATTACTGACACTGTTGCTACCACCTGGTCCACCTTGCGGTTTGGGATGAATTATTTCCCACTCTTTATGTTGATCTACATCTAATTTTACCGTGATCAGCAAGAGCACCTGCTCGACTTGTGGTCCTGTGGAGCACGCGCAAGGCAGAAGGAGCAGCTTGAGCTTTGAGATAGACCTATACTATTGTTTAGAACTGTACCTACTTCTACACTGGAAGAACGAACTCAACTCACGAGAACAGACACGACCTGCAAGGTTACCACAGAGGACACAACAATGGGCGTGCTGCACGAACCGTGGTATAAGAGGATGCGACACAGGACTGTACAAATGAAGGACGAGAACTAAATGTTGTACTATTTCGAGATAGCAGGAGCACAGATTCATAACTGTAAAATTGCAACTGGATGAATAAGATGTAAACTTAGAAATAGAAACGATACCAACTTCATCTTGAAGTGGAGTTGTTTTGACCTCTGCGACCCGCTTCTAGCGGTCGTTTTGCTGCTTCACGTTGCGAAGTACGAGAGTGCGTTTTGTTCCACCGGATCCAAACAGAAGAGTGAACGCGCGAGGAACTGAATGCACCACGCTGGTTCTGGTGCAATTATAGCAACACGATGATTCACAATCATGAAATTGCAACTGGAGGAACAAGATGTAAGTTGCAAACCGATATGGATAAAAAAGCCAAAATCAAGCAGATCTTCCTCTGCGAGACTCGATTGAATTCCAGCGGTAGTTTCGTTTCAACAGGCTACGAAGTAAGTAACGATCTACGTTTTGCTTTTCTTGTTCGTCCAGCGGCTCCAGACTTTTCTTTCAAACTTTCGTTTGAACTTTCGTACTCGTCGTACTTGGGTCATCCTCGTCCAGATCGTGCATATTAGGCAGCTCCATAGTGGTCGCAGGGTACTTAAAAAATTCGTACCTACATCTTCAATGGGCCGGACAACTCTTCATCTCGTAGTTCGTTGCATTACGTATGATACGCGCCGTGAAAGGCAAAGACCGACAGATAAAATAGTGAGACAGGAGTCACGCTGTTGTATTAGTGCAATATATAGGTAAGTGATCGCATTATCATGTATGATCAACGTCATATGTCAATCATGACCAATGTGATCGCAACAGGACCTTTTTTTCGGCTCGTACTTCACAAAAAGCTGGACAGCGTTGCTGTATCAAGCCAGAAACTCAGCAAGAACTTACTTAGAGACAGCTAGTTTCTCGTGCACCACCAAGCAATCTTGGTAGGACACCAACCGACAGAACTCCAAAATCATGGCGAAGTTCGCGAAGATCGGAGCGGCCACCACTCTGGTTCCCCTGGTGGGACTGGGGGGGGGGGTGCTCGGAAAGAAGGTCAAGCAACAAGAGCGTGCTACTCATGCGTGGGTGGGCAGCGAAACTAAACCGAGTATACGCTTTTTTTGTATATAAAACTGGGAAGATAAGCATAAGTAAGATACTGATACTAGATTTCTCCAGGAGAACGACAAGAAGCGGGATTGTCGAATTTTGGACCGACAATTTTGCTTCTGTTTGATATTGTTCTTGAAGTTCATGCAAGGATTTAAATTTTTCTTTTTTTCGTCACAAGGAAGGAGCATTACAAAAAACGCGGACAGGTGGATTCACGGAGGCCGGCCAGAATTCGATGAAGGTGGGCGGTCTCGTCTGGACCGGGCCGGAGAACGGCTTCGTTGGTTACGACTCGGGTGATTCTTGGGACGTGTGCACCTTGTCCCACGACGATATGCGCCAGCGATACTGTGACGACTTGCGGCCACACGCCAAACAGTGTGTGCAGGTTGCGTTGCGTAATTGCTGGGCCGATACGAATATCTGCAAATCTGCTTGGGGGGCAAAAAACTGCGAAGTGTTCAAGCCTTCACTTGTGAACTCGGTGGTCAAAAAACCATGAGTGTTGTTTGTTTTCAATCGTCCTTGCTTCCTGGAAGTATTTTTAGCTCTTTTAGTTCACTTTTCAACTTCTCAGACCACTTCTTGCGTGACCGACGCTTTTCGTAGAATACACTTTCAATCGTACCTTTTGATGATTCAAGTAAGTACACCCATGAATCACGACACTCGCAAGCGCACCTGATTGACAGTAGAGAATCTCGTAAGAACCTTGTATGCAACTTAGAGTGAGTACTTCTCTCATTACTTACAACACGAAAAGCTCGGAATGAAATCTTTAGGCAGTGGCTTTCATATTATATACTTTTTCATTTTGTTGTTGTTCATATTTTGATTTCCACCTTTTGTTTATTTTTCAAAACAAATTTTTACGCATACATTTAGGACGTGCAAAACTCTTCTATTTCGTTCGCTTCGCTGCAGTGCAAGATTTAATTTCCCCTCTGGGATTTTGCTTTTCAACATATTTTTTTTTTCTTCATCATCATATTCATAAGCAATCGCGTCTCGTGTTCATCTCACCGTTCAAAGAAACCAAATGCATCGTGCCCTTATTATTTCACGAAAAAGATGTAACACACAAGAATGTGCCTTCAATCTACCCGTTTCGTATTATATGCCAAGCCTATTTTACCTGAAGTTTTGTACATTGGATTATTATGAAAGGCACCTTCAAGCAGTGTCGCTGTCGCATCCCGACAGAGCTCCTCGAGGATCGTCCCCCCCTCGTCCAAGGCGCTTAGTCCCCTAAGTATCGTAGTTTTCCGTTTGGATTCACCGAGGAACAACATGAGTTTTGGCTGTGCCAGGACTGAGCGCAACGAAGTCCATCGGAGGACTCACATTTACACAGGTGCTTCGAAAAGAATGTACTACTAGTTTTTGTTTTTGGGAAACCATGGAAATATGTTCTAAGTGTGAAGTTCCGGCTTCTTCTAGCCGCGGCTAGTAGCCGCGGCGCTGTCGCCCCGTGCTGCGAAGTACGGCAGCGCGCTGTGTTCCAGCGGCTCCAAACGAAAGATCAATCGCACGAACAACTGAAAAATTGCTCCACCAAAAAATTTAACGATAGTTTTATTTACCATACACTCTTTTATTGTTGCAGTTGCACTTTTTCATTCTTTCGAATGATTGTGTTATCTGACGTGAAGAATGTCCAAGTAACAAGGGTGTGACTTTATGCGACGTGATGAGAATTTACATGGTAGAAAGCAAAAGAAACGACTGTATAGGAAGTCAGGATAGAATTAGAAGCCCGGCATTTCATCGACATGCAGCCTCATTTTCTCTAGGAAAAAAAAAGAAGCAAAATACTCTCTCAAACAAGCTTAAGTGTGTGGCACGGTTCGTTGGGACTTTTGGATGAGAAAGATGAAAAAATTCAAAATGCAAAGACGGAGATCCTCGATGCTATGAAATGATTGAATGAGAATGTTGATTTGTTTTTTGCGATGAGGATGAACTTCTACCAACTTTTTCAAAAAAGATACGAAGCAAACTGCGTCTGTGGATACATCGGCTGTTCCGACAGGACCTTTTGCGAAGTCACACCTTTCTTTCTCTTTTCTCCAAAAAATCAAAAGACCTCACAAAAAAAAGCTGCCTACATCAACAGTGTATCGCTCGGCACTTCTATCAGAATTACTCCGCTCTTCGAGGGATTTTTATACAGGTGCAGTGGGAAAAAAGCTGATGACGGTCTGTTGCAGGATATCATCGTAAAAACAAGAAAAAAAATAGGGATTTCTATAAAAGGATGAACCTCATACACACCAGCAACAGGGACAACAAAGAAAACTTTAGGAAAAGTATGCTCAAAAAATGCGATGATTATGAATCGAGTGTTTCTTTCTGCTCTCACTGAATGCGAATGCTGAAATTTGAATACGAATAGAGTTACTAGGTTGATGATGTTTTCCTAGTCGATGCTTTTTGATGATGAGAAATACCTGTTGCGGAATGAATTTGTAACCAAAAAATCACATGGAATGATAATGAAGTAGACTTCACGGCAATTTTTTCGGGCAGCAGTTTTCAAACTACAAACGGCAACTCGCGATTCCTGTACTCTCGGACGGCGGCCGGAAAGCGGAAAAGCAGGACGTAGAACTTGTTTATTCTCGCCAAGCGAGTTGGTGTCGCTCTACTGGCAAGGACCCGAGAAACTCATTGATTTACAGTGGCGCAGGAACGACCAATCTCTCACGGGATAGGATGACGGATCCGGCAATGGTAAGGAAAAAGATTTTGATCCAATAAAGATGCACTTCTTACAACATGACGACCTACCATCTGACGCATTATGAAGATGAGAACAAGGCGAAGATGCATCAGCCCCCTCGCAATGTCCTACTTTATTGGAGAAATCGTTTCAAAATCACACAAGAATGATGACCATGCTGTGCTTGACAGAGTCTCTGCTGTATCCAAAGATACAACAGTAAGCAAATAAACCACAGGCTCAGACCCCCTCAACCGCGGGCGGAGAGGGCCAGGGTAGCAAGGGCACTGGAGCGGCTGCGGGCACCGCCGCTACCGGTGGCATGCCGATGGCACCAGCCAACATGCAGGCGATGATGCAGCAAATGATGGGAAACATGAACCCAAATATCAATATGCAGCAGATGCTCCAACAACAGCAGCAAATGATGGCGATGATGATGCAAACTCAAATGATGGCGGGTAAATAAGTAATTAAAACTTCTCGTGCAAGAGGATAAAAATTACGCTTGACACAGAACAAAATTTTTCCCGACTAGGTAGTTGTATTGAGTCCGTGCAGACAACATTGTTGTTGACGAAGAACTGATTTTTAGCCTTCTGCTCTCTTTTCAGGTACGCTCGGCGGCGCGCAACCGGGTATGATGCCGCAAATGCCAGGCGGCATGATGATGCCCGGAATGATGCAGTTACCTGGTGCAGCAGCAGGAGCAGGCAACATGCCCGGGGGCCTCCCCCAACTCGGCGGAATGAACCCAGCAATCCCGGGTGGAGCCGGGAACAAACTAATAGCTGCCGGTGGTAAAAATCCCGCGGTCGTGGTGCCAACCCCCCCGGCCCCGGTAGTCCCGGCGGCCGCTCCAACAGAGCTGAAACCCACATCAATAGAACAAGACGGTGGAGCTGCTCCAGCAGGCGACAGCAAAAATGGTCCCAGTAACCCCTTCGGAAATAACGCCTCTGGGCAGCAGCAGCAGCAGCAAGCAGACAGTGGCACAACTAAACAGGATCAACAGATTATCGCAAGAAAAAACTGTTTCACTGTGAACTTGTGATGCAGAGAACGAAACACCAAAGTGTTTGTCTTGCTACACCTGCAGGACAATGGATTTTTAAGCGTGTTTTCCCTTGGAAAACGCGCATCGCAAATTTTCTGTGTCCTGTGTAGCAAACGTGTGATGCAGAAATTGCAAAACCATCACAGTGAAGCAGTTTTTTCGTGGGATACAGATGAATTCGGACCAGAGCTGCCAGCAGCTTGCACCGCAGGTGGATTTGAAGCTCGCTTCTACGCCGTTGGTACCCGGGGCGGTGCACCCGGTGATGATGCAGGACGACGAGAAGAGTCGGCAGGCCAACATGACCAACGGCAAGCGGTACTACGCCCGGATGAAAAACTACATCCCGCAGAAGGGGTTCGGCTTCGCGTGGTCGCCGGAACTAGAAGAGGAGTACGGCGGAGACGTGTTTTATGGAAGTGTCAGAATCGAAATCGACAAAGTTGCAATAGTTTGTGATGCATAAAACGGATGCCAGTTGGAACCCATTTTCCAAATGGCGCATGACAAATTTGGGTAGAACCGAAATCCATTTTGTAATGCTGTTTGGGTAAGGAGCACGCCATTTGTCATGCTATTTTAGCAGCCCTATTTCTAGTTCTACCCCTCAATAGGCTTACAATCTGTCTCCCTTGCCTACTCTGCAAGACAGGCACTTTGTGGGCTGCATTTTATGCATCGCAAATTATTTCAACCTTGTCGATTTCGATTCTGACACTTCCATATGTTTCTGCACTGCTCCGAGGTGCAACGTCCGGAGAACGTGTTTTGCATGGACCCGCAGTCCGGGGCGGTGTCCGCCAACATTCTGATGTCCTTCGAGGTGCACGTGAATCCGCGGGGCAAGCCGCAGGCGCGCGAGTTGAAGGTGCTGAAGGACGAGGAGGAGAAGGAGAAGGCAGGAGAGGAGGTGCCGCTCGTCGAGGGCCGCGGGGAACCGTGGTACCCGGAAAAAGGCGGGGTGCCGCCGCATATGAACTGCAAATATGTCTGGATCTGGGAGATTGCGACATTTGTCATGCTAGTCTGGCATGACTCTGAGCTCTGTATTGCGTGCCCGCGAAGAGGTCCTCTTGTCTGTCAGGAAAAGACCCGGCTTCTCATGCGGAGGACGCAACTCTGAAGCACGAAAAACTTGTCATGCTGGGGAGCGCATTACAGTGTGCTCGCTGTTCCCTTCCTTGCATCACAAGTTTCCAGACCCAGACATATTTGCAATGCATACCGCACCTCGCCGGCCTGGCGTTTAAGGGCGGTGACAAGGACAACTGGGGCGGTGGAAAAGACAACTGGGGCGGCGGCAAGGACAACTGGGGCGGCGGCAAGGGAAACTGGGGCGGCGGCAAGGGCGACAACTGGGGCGGCGGCAAGGGCGACAACTGGGGCGACAACTCCTGGGGCGGCGGAAAGATGAACAAGGGCGGTCCGGGGTCCTTCGGCATGAAGGGTGGAATGGGCGGCCCGGGAATCGGGATGGGAATGCCGGGTATGGGCATGCCCCCGGGCATGGGCATGCCGGGAATGCTGCCCGGAGGGGGCCCGGGGGGACCGGGAATGATGCCCGGAATGATGCCACCAGGAATGCCAGGAATGATGCCGCCGGGAATGCCACCAGGTATATCTTGCAACAATTTATTGAATTTGAAGATCTACATCTGTTTCTGTTTTGCTTTTGAGTAAAGGGCGGTTCTTCCATGCTTGGCTCAAATCAAAACACGAGAAAGTGATTTCATCTTGAAGACACACAGACACGTCGGTTCTTCGTAGCGGAGGTGAAATTTCGTAGAACAGCAGCGCATCGTGCGGCCATAGCCACAGCCTGCTGCAAAAGCAAAACAAGTAGGACTTATCATTGTTCCTACTCTCACCTCAGGTATGCTCCCCGGCATGCTGCCCGGCGGCCCCGGCGCACCGCCCCTTCCCGGGATGATGCCCCCCGGAGGCGCACCGGGGATGCCCCCGATGCCACCGCAACCCAGCACTACCACCTCCATGTCCGAAGCCGATCTCTTGGCTGCGGCAGACGCGCAACTCGCGGCCTTAGACAGCATCAAGCCCCCGCCCCCCCCGAAGTCTCCGCGGAGCGGCCGGAACCGCACGGACAGCGATTTGCCCCCGCCCCCACCCGTGAACCCCTTCGACGCTAACCAGCTGATCCACGCCAACAAGCGAGACAACATGAGCGCGTCTGCGGGCGACAACAACAACGTGGCGCTGGATATCAAATGCAGAAATGTCTGGGTCGGGAAGAGTCATGCCGTTTTTGCATGACGCAGAGGGTCTGGCATGGAAGCTCTAGCGTCACAGGTTTCGAGAAGCTTCCGCAATGCCGAATTTGCATGACAAAGCCTCCACTTTGGTGACAGAAAGTGGGCAGCTTTTGCTACCTATGCATGAGAGATGTTTCTGTATTCTGAAATGCGCATCACAAGCTTGTCTTCTTCCAGACCCAGACACTTGTGCAATCCATACTGGAAGTGAACCGCTTTACCGCGATGCTCACGCAGGGTCTGATGTCGCACAAGGAGAAAGTGGAATCGGTGCACGGGGCTGGCGCGGTGGACCACGTGTCCGCGCAGCCGGCCGCCGACTTCGGGCACGACCGGCGGGGCCAGCACCAATTCACCGGCAACAACGGCAGGAACGCGTTTCTCGACCCCGACGCGGTATGAAATGCAAATATGTCTGGGTCTGGAATAAAAGTGGAACTTGTCTTGCACGTCTTGCATTCCTGAAAAATTTGTGTTGCACAGCCAGCAAGAAAGGCGGTACTTTTTCGTTCTGCAAAAACGCAGTTTGTCATGCGTGCTACGCATCAGACGGGGTTAAGTGTACTTGTCATGCTTGGCTGCACTTGAGAGCGCCAGTCTTATCCAAACTTTAGCATCACAAATTCCAGACCCAGACATATTTGCAGTTCATACGCGGACGAATTTGACAACCCGAATGGCGTCGCAATGCCCAACCCGGCGCCCGACAGCAGCAAGGACACCGGGGACCTGTCCCGCCGCAGTCGCGACCGGCGGGACCGACGAAGCCGGGATCGGGGCGGAAAGCGGGACAATTCCCGGGAGCGGCGGCGGTATCGCGACCGGGAACGCGATATGAACTGCAAATATGTCTGGTTCTGCAAACTTGTGATGCTAGTTTGTGAATCCTGGGCGCAGCACTTCATTATGCAGCCACGCATGACATGTTTCATCTGAGTTCCTATGTGTTTCGCTTCCCGCGTGACAAACTGCATTTTTTTGCATGACAGGTGAAAAGAGGCCGCTTATTTCCTGCTCATGCATTACATTTACAGACTTAAGAGTCATGTGAGACAAGCATGACAGACGTCCAGACTCAGACACTTTTGCAATTGATACGTGACGACCGCGACCGGAGGCGGGACCGGGACGGGGACCGGCGGCGGAGTCGGGACCGGGAGCGGGAATCTGGCTTCAACAAGGTCGACGAAAGGAAGAAGGAGATTGGCAAGCTGGTTGCCACCCGGGGGCAGTGGGCCGAGTACGTGCACGCCGGCGGGACCTACTGGGTCCACGTGTTGACAAAAGAGCGGACGAACGAAAAGCCGACGGATTTTGAGGTACAGAAGATACTTAAGTATAGGTAGATGAACGACCACCTCCCACTTGGCAGCTTACTGCTTCGGAATAAATGAAGTTTCGTTCATCTTGCCAGCAGACTTCGCGGAATTGATAAATGAAGTTTTGTAGGTCAACTACATCTTGTCATTTAGATAAATTTTTTCGAATACCGATGTACAGGAAGGGTTGGCTTTTTTGAAAAAGATGTTGTAAAAACAGCCGCGCGGCGACCCACTTCACCGTCGGTACTTTCACAACGAACTCCAACAACAGGACCGTATCATCAATGTGATGAAAATAAATCGCATAATCATGTTAAAACAGGTCCGTGCGTCCCGCGACTCTTCCGGCAAAACCCGAGCGCATGGGGCCAACGATCCGGCCTGTGTGTATATTCAAAACGTTCCCTATGAGAGTGCACAACTCCCCCTCCCCCTCATTTGCCATGCAAAATCCCAAATTCAGTTGCTACCTTGTGGCACCGCGTGCATGACAAATTCCGGAAATCCAAACAATACTACACTCGGAGCACGAACCTGTCATGCACCGGGTCCATCTGTACGTAGTGTTTGTAATCCTGTTGATGCCATACAAATGAGGGGGAGGGGGGTTTGTGCACTTTCATATTTCCCTCACGTGGACGCAGGTGGAGCTCCGCCAGCATTTTCAGCAGTTCGGCACCATTCTGTCCTGCGACGCGCCGTATCAAATGCAAATATATAATCTGGGTCTAGAAGAATGGAAGTCGAAATTTGTCATGCTTGTCTGACATCACTCTCAAGTCTGTCATGCACCAAAAGCCCTACTTTTCTGTCATGCACAAGCTCACTTTGTCATGCAGAAAAGCCAAGACTCCTGTAGCACCTGCACCCCCAAAACTTGTCATGCTTGCCAGTCAATTGAGGCGTCCTCGTCTTTCTCAACCAGCATCACAAGTTTCCAGACCCACAGGACATTTTTGCATTTGATACGCCGGCCAGTCTGAACGAACCGGGCGTGAACCGCGGCTACGCGTTTGTGACATTCACGTTATCAAAATGAAAAATCCCCCCTCCCCATATTGAAACGGAAACTTCTGTTGCTGGATTTGTGTACACAAATCAGCCCTGTCTTGCAGCGAGGCACTACAGGCAAAGCCTCAGGCTGCGTAGGGGTGTTTTGTTGTAGGCGCTTGGCATAAGAGAGGCCTGCCCTGTAGGTGAAGCAGCATTACAAATCGCCTCCATACGGCGGCGGATTCTTTGGGTTTGCCTTCTTGCAAGGCAGATGTGATTTGTGACCTCAAATCCGCAACGCAAATTCTTGGACACATACCTTTTCGATATGGGGAGGGAGGATTTTTCCTCTCAATACACGTCCGCGGAGGAGGCGAAATTGGCGCAGTTGACCATGAACGGCTTCCCCACCATCGACGAAAACAACAATCAAAAGGTCATTCAGGTCGCCATTCGTGGCCAGCGCAACATGATCGGAGGGGCACCCGGCGCCGCAGGAATGGGCGGAGGTACTAATACTGGGATAATGGAAATAGTAAAACAAGACGACAAAGATAATGAAGGTGAATTTCAAACAGAAAGAACAGAATTCCATTTCAGTATCTCATCAAAAAACCAAAAATGCTATTGAAGTAGATGAAAGCACGCTCGTCTTGTAATAATCCCATGGTGATCTTGCTCGGGTAACAACTGCACGAGCACGACAGCGAACTGCAGAGCATGATCAGTCAGTGTCCAAAAACACGTCCGTCAGAAGGAAGTTGTTGTGCTGCTGCGGTGTAAAAATAAAGTAGAACAATTCTGCTGTCGAACATAAAGGGGCAGTACAACATCAAACCTGTTCCAAAAATTCCCCACATCCCACATGACAGTTATTGAGAGCATGTTTGACCCGGAAACCACGGCGATGCTGGACCAGCAATCGCAAATTCACATGCAAATGAATCTACCTCCCCAAAGCCAAAGCCAAAATCCGCTTTTGAAGAGCAGAGGTACTATGATAAATGCTCGAATGAACATATGACAGTGCACAACTCCCCCTCCCCCTCATTTGTCATGCAAAACACCAAATCCAAACTGTGTTTCTTGGCATTGTTTGCATGACAAACCTACCAGAAGCTCAAACAGCACTTCACTCCTGTGGAAATTTGTCATGCAAAAGAACCGGCATTCTTGCTGACCCTTGTATTGCCGTTCATGCTAGACAAATGAGGGGGAGGGGGAATTGTGCACTCTCATAGAACACCACCAGCAATATTAATCCTCTTCTAGATCCGGCGACTGCCATGGGTCCGACCACCAACCTGCCCTCCAACGCGAGTATCCAAGAAAAAAACGTTGTAGGTGTAACTTTTTTGGAGGAGCAGCATTACAAATTTGTCTGGCATGACAGCAAAAACCTGTCATGCTACGGGAAAACGCCGCTGAATGGACCCTACGATGCATGCTAAGCATGACAGACGCAGTCATCTTGTAGATTGCGCATCACAAATTTACACTAACAGCGTTTTTTTCTTGGATAGCGAGCGCAAACCCAGACAACCCGTATGGAATCGGCATGCAGCATATCAAATGCAAAATAAATGTCTGGGTCTGGAAACTTGTGATGCTGGGTGGCGTCTCATGATGAGGCCACAAATGCTGGCTCAGCATGACAAGTTTCTGAGTTTCTAGGTGTTGCCTACTCTGCATGACAAACTGCGTTTCTGCATCACAGAAAAATCGACTGGAGCGCTTGGGTAACGTGCATGACAGATTTAAGAGTCATGCCAGACAAGCATGACAAACATGCACTCTTCCAGACCCAGACATTTTTGCACTTGATGCAGCAACAACCGGGCATGGCAGGAGCAGGGGGCAACATGAGTACTAGCAGTACCGGCCATCTGATGATGCCACCGAACAGTAATTCCTTCGGCGGGAGTGGTGGAAATGGAATGCGTATGCATAATGCAAAAGTATCGTACTAGTAGAAATTGTCGTGTGGTAAATTTCTTCTGCGTGAGAAATGAATGCTCCAATCCGGATTTACCTCGACCTCGAAAAGTGGTAGATTGCATGACTGCGATTTTTTTACTACGAGTGTGATACTTTTGCAATGGATAAAAAAAATGCAAGGCTCTAGTTCTATGCCGGACTACCCCTTCGCCCCAAGCGCGACCAAGGGCATGGGGAAGGCGCAACCGGGCAAGGAGCACTTGAAGAACATCAGCTGCATCTACTGGATGGCCGGGCACTGCCACCGAGGAGAGTCGTGTTTCTACAAGCACGACCCGTTGGAATTTAACACGAAACCCATGGGCGCGTCCCGCCCCAACTTGTCTGCGCATCAAGGCGAGCACCAGGTGAGCAGCTTTAACCAAGCGGTGGCGGAGCTGCAGCTGCAACAGCAGGGCCTCGCACCTGGTGGATCATCTTCGGGGGGTAAAGGTGGCTTCCGTTCTTCGAACAACCCGAACAACATGCCTATCCACTGCAAGTATGTCTGGGTCGGGAAGGGCGCAACTTGTGATGCGCATTTCAGATCGCAGAAAAATCTGTCTTGCAGAAAGAGGAAAAGTAGTTGTCTATTTTTGGTCGTGGTGAGAGCGGATTTCTCATGCAGAGTGGGCATCGTGAAGCTCTCGAAGACCCTGCGATGCTGGTCCCTGCATGCCAGACACTCTTGGTCATGCAAAACCTGCATTACAAACATCTGCATTCATCCAGACCCAGCCATATTTGCAGTGCATAATGCCACTCGGGGGCGCGGGCGGAATGGGAATCGCGGGACTGGGCATTGGTTCGAAAGTGGTTTCCACGGGTGATTATGACACGGGGAGCTAGAACTGGCAGGAGATGAAAGATGCTAATACGCACAACGGGTGAATAAAGTTGTTGCAGATGATGAGCGAGATGTTGAACTTCTGATCTGAGTAGTAGATGTCCCAGAGCCAGGCTCATCCAGCTTGATTCAGTAGATTGAAACAAGTTACTTCATCACCTCATGGCTACTTTCATCAAAATCAGAAGCTGAAATACATTTTCGTTGAGTTATAGCAATTGGAAGTAGAAGACGACGACACACGAAACCCGCCATCAATGGGAGATACTCAACGCTGCAGCTGCGATCGCAGAACAAGAACTGCTGACAACTCCGTAGTCAAGTGTTGCCTTTGTTCATGAGAAACAAAAAACCGCAAATTCTTCGTTCCCAAAACGCGAGAAGATGTATAGAAAAGCACAAACAAAACGCAAATGGTGTAAGAAAAATGAGGATCCTCAAAAGCTACTTACATACCTTCACAAAAAGCAAGATGACAATGGTGAACCACGACAAGCTGAAGTTCCACCTAAATTCTGACGAGAGAAGTAAAAGCCTGATCCACAAATATAGCGGATAAAAAACTAAACTTCGGACTCGGATTTGAATTCCTGTGTCTCAACATGTTGATACAGCATGGAAAACTCGACAGAGCAAGAAAATATCCTACAGATGAAAAAGATCCAGAAATGCTTTTGTGATATATTCCGTTGATTTTGTCGTACTAATTTCTGTCTTATACCTCATTACATTACAGTGGCGATGTCGATGTAGTTTCGAGATTTGCATATACAACTGCATACATCAAAATCTGGAACATCATACGACAATTATTTGTTTCTAATTTTCTACAGTTGTATTTAGCAAAAAAGAGAACTTCTTCCGGAATTACTGCCTCCAGTGACTACACTCTTCTTGTGTTTAAGTATTTCTTCTAGCAGATTTTGGAGATACAGTGTCAAAGCAAACATAGAAAGATCTGAGCAGGACGACATCGTAGGTAGTGGACGACCTTATCAACGATTTTTTACTAAAGATCTGTCAGCGGGCGCACTACTATTCGCATCACCGACAGAATAGAGCTCAAGCGCCAACAAACCTGGCGAGAGAGAGAGAGACGGCTGAAGACACGACGACATCGCAGCTTCCTGGAGACGCACGAATTGCTGTAGTACTACAGCTTGAGCCGACCACGAACAAGATCGATAAGCGACCCGAGTAGGTTTTTCCGGGACAGCACTTTGGAGCAGCAGCAGCAGTACACTTCGCGTTCACACCGGTTCATTATGAAAGTGCACACCTCCCCCTCCCCCTCATTTGTCATGCAAAATCCCGAATCCAGCTGCTGCCTTGTGATTGTATGTAGCACTGTTTGCATGACAAATTCTGGAAGCCCAAACAGTACTTACTACATAAGGCACATAGATTTGTCATGCATAGGCTCCATGTGCGCTGGTGTTTGTATTGCTGTTCATGCCATACAAATGAGGGGGAGGGGGAGTTCTGCACTTTCATGTTCATCCACCTTCGTCACGTGCCGGTTCGATAGTTTTTCTATTGATTCAGCCTTTCTTCTATGCATTGCAAACATGTCTGAGTCTGGAAGGACGCGAGGTTTGTCATGCTTGTCTGGCATGACTGAAGAGTTTGTGATGCGTGTCCACGAAGAGACCCTTTTGAGTACGTGTCACACAAAGACGCAGTTTATCATGCGGAAAACGCAACACTAAGCAACGTAGATATAATTTCTCATGCTTGGCTGCGCATTGCAGAGCATTTTGCACTATTCCCAACCCAGCACTACAAGTTATTTTCAGATCCAGACATATTTGCAATGCATATCTTCATCTTTTCCCTTTTTCGACTTTTTTCGCTCCGGAAGTTTTTCTGCTTGCTATCAAAAGGAAAAATCCCCCCTCCCCATATCGAAAAGGAAGCTGTGATGCTGGATTTGCGTACACAAATGAAACTTGTCTTGCGGTAGAGGACTGCAGGCCCCTATCGAGCCTGGGGAGAGAGGTTTTTGGCTAGGGGCTTAGCATGAAAAACGTCCGCTCTGCAGGGCCTTCAGCATGACAAACCGCCTGCATAATGTGGCGGCTATCTGTGGAGTTGCCTTCTTGCAAGACAAATGTGATTTGTGACCTCAAATCAGCAACACAAATTTTCGGAAACATACCTTTTCAATATGGGGTGGGGGGATTTTTCCTTTCAATACTTGCAGCTCTCGACCATGGCGGAAGATAAGGTAAGTTCTTCTACATATCAAATGTAAAAATGTCTGGGTCTGGAAGGATGCAACTTGTGATGCTATTTTTGGATTCTGAAAAAATTTGTATTGCATGACCAGCAAGAGGACCCCAGTTTGTGCTGCGCGGAGAGGGCATTTCTCATGCGGAATAGGCTTCAGGAGGGGTTCTAAAAATCTGTGATGGTAGGACATGCATTACAGGCGTCATGGGTCATGCAAATTATGCATGACAAGTCTTCCAATCTTCCAGACCCAGACAATTTTACATTTGATACTACAACCTTAGATACAATACTGTAAATAGAAGGTAGCAACCTCCTGCTGCTACTTCTTCTCATCTTTCTCATACCCGTGACATACTTCGTCTTCGGAAAAAGATCAATTTTTTAAAAACTACATTCATTCGAGCATGCGAACTTTGCATTTTTGCTCCTTCGGAATCGGCGGCAGCTGGGCAGCTGGTTGGCAGCACGGGCAGGAGCAGCTGCTGTCTTCGCTAATATGCGCAGATATAATCATGCTCGCAGGCATAGCGAATCGAAAATCCTTTTTTATGAAGCCGTTCTTTCGATAAAAAATCGTTGTGTGCCGCGCAGATTTTTTCTTGTGGTTCTAGAAATAGTTTCGGGAATGCGAGTAGCTTGGGCACTTTCTATGAGGTAAAGACCAAACCACGATACTACCGCACGGATGAGCAATATCAATCGAGGATAGGAAATCGACCGCAAGGAACGCAACAAACTTTTATGTGCTTATTTCCATGAAGATCCTGCACCTGCTGAAAAACAAAAAACAAAAATATGCAGCCATGAACCGGTTTTTTTTTTATATGGATAATGATGTAGCAATGCTCGTTGAAAATCCCAATCGGCCTGAAAAAATCATCGAAACAACAATCGGTTCCACAGGGCAACCTCGCTGAGAACGCGGTGTCTGCACAGCATGCCGCGCACCAAACCAACAACCCCTTCGCGGCGGATACAAAGGAACCAGAAGGGAGTCAGTCAGGAGCCGAGCAACAGGGAGGTGCTGCAGTACCGGATGCAGCCGCGGCTCCAGCGACAACAGGAGGTGCTCTTAGTACAACTACACCAGGGCAGCAACAACTTACCGTGCCAGGAGCAGCTGGTGCCGCCGGGGGACCGATGGACATGAGTCAGATGCAGAACATGATGATGCAAAACATGATGATGATGGGAATGATGCCCGGGGGCACGACCATGGGCAGCGCAGCAGGTGCCGCAACTAGTAACCCAGCAGGAGCAGGAGGAGTAGCCAGCAGTACAGGTCCCGATGGAACAAGTGGAAGTGCCAACGCAGCAGGAGGACCCACTAATCCGGCCTCCGCCTTGGGCGGCATGATGGGCATGCCAGGAGGTCCTATGGGAATGCCAGGCGCTATGGGCGGTCTCCCAGGGATGGGCATGCCAGGTATGGGCGGTCTACCAGGTATGGGAGGTGGAGGTCCACCGATGGGTGGCATGCCAGGAATGGGCATGTTGCCGGGAATGGGCATGCCAGGAGGAATGCCGGGAGGAATGCCAGGAGGACCGATGGGAATGATGCCGGGAGCAGGACCGATGGGGATGATGCCGGGAATGGGCATGCCGGGGATGGGTATGCCGGGAATGGGCATGCCAGGCGGTGGTCCCGGAGCAGGCATGATGGGCGGTGGTCCCGGCGCAGGCATGATGGGCGGTGGTCCCGGGGGTCCGATGGGCGGCGGCATCCACCTGAACCCACACAACCCCAACGTGCAGTCCGGCGCGCCGCCACCGACCGGCCCAGCGACCCTCTTGCCGATCTACCAGGGGCCGGAATCCGTGGGGAAATTGATCGAGTCTTCGCCGCAGTTCGCCTCCATTAGTCGCGCCACGGAGCACATCGGCCGGGGGCAGGAGAAGAGGTATTTGGCCCGGCTGAAATCCTTCAACATCGAAAAAGGCTTCGGGTTCGTGGCAGGGGAGGAGATACATCAGGTACTATATTTGCAAAATGGAGCGTCAGTTTCTACAAGTACAACTCAACAGGATCTTGATGCCTCTGCGGCTTTTTTCTATGCAGCTACATCTTCGAAAAATTTCCAGTTTGACAACTTCTACGTACATTAGGTTTTTGCATTTACAACAGCATTTGCTATGCCAAGTAGGCATCAAAAAATATTCAAAGTATGCACAAACAATAATAAAAGGTTTTTGGCCGCGACGTTTTCGTTCACCGCACGGAGATGGAGAAAGTGACCGCACTTTACTGCTTAGTCGTCCCAGTAAACACGCTCCTCACCTTTTCGGTGGTCCTAAACAAGTCGAACCAGCCGCAGGTCCGGGAGATGCTGATCGTAGCGGATGAGGCAAAAGACAAGGAAGTTCCGCTTCTGCAGCACGTGGGACACGGAATTTCGGACCCGGGGTCCGCGCAAGGCCTGTTGATATGAGAGTGCAGAACTCCACCCTATCTCCCTCATTTGTCGTGCAAAATTAGCTATATCCAGCTTTGCCCCTTGGGAATTTTAGCATGACAGACTCTGGCAGCCCAAATACCACTACAATCCTGTGTTGAACATCTGTTATGCAAAAGCTACACTCTTGCAGGCCCTTCGATTGCTGTTCATGCAATACACATGAGGGGAAAGCAAAGGGAGTTCTGCACTGTCATAGCTGAAGAACAACGTGCAGTACCAGATGGGTTGCGCCTGCCCCCACCTGGCGGGGATCAACCACCCCTCGAGTAACTCCGGCGTCTCGAATTCGGCCACCGGGCTGCCTAACGTGACGATTCCCGGCGCGGGCGGTGCCCTGGAGATATGAAATGCAAATATGTCTGGGTCTGGAAGGTGGCAACTTGTCATGGTAAATCTGAAGCATGCAAAAATCTGTGTTGCATGAGTGCCAAAAGCTGTCCACCTCTAACCAACTTGGAAGGGAGTTTCTCATGCAGGATAGGCATGGCAGAGACGTCGCAGAGTCTGTCATGCTAAGTCCCGCATTCCAGACCTCATGGGTCATGAAAAATCTGCATGACAAGTTTATTACACTTTTCCAGACCCAGACACTTTAGCACTTGATAATAGAGCATGATGAACAACCCGATGATGCTATCCTGAGTAAAAACGTTCCCACCCCAGAGTTGTCATGCAAATCTGCATGCCAAAAAAGTCTCTCATGCGGAGCCCCATGCGAAGTATTTTCCAGTTGTGATTTGAAGTTTGTGATGCTCGAATCAGCATGATAGGCTAGATCTGTCATGCTGTTGAGCTAGCTAAACAGGATGACACTATGAGGGTGAACTTGTCATGCGGAGCAACCAAATCTGGTTGATTTGTCTAGCAGATTCCCCATCTTGACTCTGGTGTGGGGACGTTTTTATTCAGGATAGATGCAGATGATGATGCTGGGCATGATGCCCGGCGCGGCCGGAGCGGCCGGCAGCGGCGACGAGATCAGCATTCAGACCCTGTTATGCATTGCAAATATTCCTTGGTCTGGAAGATTCTCAGACTTGTCATACACGTTTTGCATGAGCCATGAGCCCTGGAATGCAAGACCTAGCATGACACATTCTTTGAGGTCTGTATCATGCCTCTCCTGCATGAGAAACTCCCTCTCAATTTGGTCAAAAGCGGACAGCTTTTGGCACTCACGCAACACAGATTTTTGCATCATTAAGATTTAGCATGACAAGTTTCAATCTTCCAGACCCAGACATATTTGCACTTGATACCTGTCCACCACAACCGCCACCGGTGGGCAGACGAGCACAAACACGACGACCAAAGTGGTGGACGAAGAGGAGCCGGTGGTGGGTTTCCAGGATTTCACGACGACCAACACCTACAAGGCAAACGCGGATAAGAGCACGAAATCAACGCAAAACGGAAACAGCAAGCGCAGCCGGAGCCGGAGCCCGAGGCGGTGAGGAGTTGAGGATACTTACCATACAAGACCAATGACTAACAATAAGTACATCATGGCACCACGTGAGAATGAAGTTGTTGCGTTACAACTAATCGTTCTACAGCGTTGATCGGAGACGAACACTCTTTTGTTCATTTTATCAGCAGTTGAAACTACCCCAGCAGGCTCAGGAGCTCTCATTGATTTACCAAAGCAAGAACTTCCGACCGCGCCGTTGACACTTTTGTGAGAATGTGTCATCGCGATGAAACAATGATTGCTGGCATCGATACAACTACGTCTTCGAGCTGTCTGCGAAGCACGGAGTTGTGTTAAGACTATACCAGTGAATTGTTGAGGGTGGAGTTGTACTAGATTCATTTTTTTGTTTGTTTGTTTGCTAACGATCATATCAAGACAATAGATACTTCTTGCTGCACATTGAAGAACGACCCAACAGTATTCAAAAACACTTTAAAAATAAAAGCTGCAGCTAGAGGCAAATTAGTATCGCCCCAGTCGGCTTCGGCTATTTGTTCATGGTGCGGCGCAGAATGGCACAGCCACTGCTTGTTTTGTTTTCGTTATTTTCATCTGTTGTCGTACGTACAATTCAATGTTGCAAGCCGTTGCACTTCTTCTTTCTTCGTGCTGCAAAAACAATGACTACCAACAAGAAACTTGTCGTCATCTTCGTCCTCGTCGTCCGTACATCATCGTCGTGGTTTTTTTCGTTCTTAGGACCCCCGTGCAGTTCCGTTTCGTTCCTTGTAGGTCATGTGACGTCCGCAAGTGGAGGCGTCTGCGTCGTCCTTTTTCGGTTTTTCAACCGGTCGGTAAAGTTGTACTTCGTCGTAGTTGACTTCGCGTTTGACTTTTGATACAATTTTTTCGTCAAGTTTGGTTTTTGTGACATGACCGTGAGCTGCAGCTTCCATTTCCTCACCTACAAACCAGGCCCTATCGATAAGCAGGAAGCCACCTAGGGCTAGCAGATCGCGTTGTTGCCCCTCTTCTTTCACGGAATAGGTAGGCACCTGTCTACTTGACCCCCTGTACGAAATACTTAATTTTTTGTTGTATACACTTTCATTCTACCTAGTCGTGCCCTTTCAGAAACTCGTATAGCCAAGTAGAAGCAAAAAAGGCACCCTAAATGTCTTCAGTCTTACGAGGATCTTCATCACGTAGTCGGGCCACTACTTGAAGCCGGCACTGCAGCCCGTGCATCTTCTTCAAAGAAGTAGCGCCCCACGACTTCATCTAGTAAATCACTTCATCTGTGCATACAACTCGAGCACCAGCTGTACTTGATTCGTGATTTTTAACCCCGGCGAAGAACGTACAACGAGCAAGTACCAAACCCGTTTTATTTACCAAAACATGGCCACCAAACTTCCTGTCTTGCTTGACGAACATGGGCGGCCGTTCACACCCACAGTGTTGCGCCTGCGCGACATGGCGAAGCGCCTGACCTTCGAGCAGACCGAACTGGATAAGAAGCGACGTCCCCTGTTTCGGCAACAGCGCACCTTTTACAACCGAACTGGGTTTAACGCGCCCGAACTGGATTCCTTCGCCTCCCCCGCGGCGCAACGGGATATCCGCTTGACGCAAAGAATCAAGAGCACCCTCGATAGCGAAATCGAGGAGCAGATATCCACAGGAAGCATGTTGTCTGGGTCTGGAACAACTAAGTACGTTGTCATGCGAGATTGGGAAAAATCCATCCGTGCATAGCATAGCCATGAGGGCGGGAATGCGAAGGTGATGCGTAAGGAGCCCGCTTTTTTGCGTAAGCATGAGATGTCTCTTTTTTGTCGTGTGATTTTTGTGTATTGATGCCCAAAGCCCAAATGCATCATGATGACAGGCGGGTTCGTTACTTATCTACGCGTTACAGATGAATTTGAATTATAGAAAACTGGGTCCTCTTCCACTACCACTTGTCGGCAATACGCATGACAGATTGTGGAGTTGTCTGTCATGCCAGCCAAGCATTTTGCACGTGTTGCACTCTTGTTCCTCCAGACCCAGATATTTGCGGTGCATAGCCGACGCAGCACTACCACTCCGAAAAGCAGAGGATGTTATCACAAACTATGGGGAATTTCAATCCTACCATGTCTGTCGGGATTGACTCCCTGCAAACCAGCCGCAAGTTCATCCAATACCTTCCGGGCGGGGAAAAGACCTACTTCCACAAGCTGCCCCAGGTGCCGCAGTCCTTTGACTCCCCCCCGCCCACCGTCCGGGGCCAGAAGCTCAGCTACGAGGCGCAACAACAGGAGAAGAGACTACAGAAGCAGATGGAAATCTATCCCACGAGAAAACTGTTTCACCGTGGTGATTTTGCAAGATCTGCATGACAAGTTTTTTTACACATGACATGGAAAATTTGCCATGCGCGCTTTCCAAGGGAAATAAAACACGCTTGAAAATCCAATGTCTTGCAGGTGTAGCAAGACAAACACTTTGTTGCTTCGTTCTCTGCATCACAAGTTCACAGTGAAACAGTTTTGTCTTGCGATAAAATCCTCCAAAACAATACAAATCGGAACAAAAATCTACTCCGTCCCGCGGTCAACGAGAATGGGCAGAAAATCGTGCACTTGGCTGAAGTATCAAATGTAAAAATGTCTGGGTCTGGAAACTTCTGATGCTGGGTGGTGTATCATGAGGAGGCCACAAGTGCTGCCTCAGCATGACAGGTTTCTGACCTTCTAGGTGTTGCCTACTCTGCATGACAGACTGCGTTTCTGCATGACAGAAGAATGGGGCTCTTGGGTAACGGGCATGACAGATTTAAGAGTCATGCAAGACAAGCATGACAAACATGCACCCTTCCAGACCCAGACATATTTGCAGTTGATATGAAGTGACAGAAGTGAAACCAGGAGCAGTTGGTACAGCAAATAAAGATGTTGTAGTTGCACCAGCGAACAACCCGAAGACCACGTCGAATTTCATGAAGCCGCTTTTCCACCAACAGAACCGCCCGAACAAGGATAAGTTTGTATCCCATGTAAAAGCGTCCCCACCCCATAGTTCTCATGCAAATCTGCATGCTCAACATGTTTGTCATGCGCAGCCACATGAGAAGCGTTTTCTAGTCGCGTTTTGGAATTTGTAATGCTCCAACCAGCATAATAGGGTGAATCTATGATGCTGCTGAACGAGCCAAACAGGATTACACTACGCGATGAATTTTGTCATGCGAAACAGCCAAAGCTGGCTGATTTGTGTAGCAGATTTCCCATCTTTGCTATGGAGTGGGGACGTTTTTACTCAGGATAGTTCGGCGATCGCTACAACTCTTTCGAGCTGCGATATGAATTGCAAAAGTATTATCATACTCGTATAAATGCATTACATGATAAGAAATAAAATTTGTGATGCGGATTTACCTTGAGAAAAAAATTTGTAATGCATGATTGCAATTACTACGGTACGAGTGCGATACTTTTGCACAGGATATGCGCCCGAAGCTGTTAAAAAAAGCGGAGGACGTCAAGCGCATGCTCAACGTGGAGGCCAGACTGGACAAATCGAACCTGTTCCACGACTTTAACAGCACGAAACACCTCCCGGAACTTCTGCAGAAGGCAGGCTACGCATCGCAAAAGTTGTTGTTGTGCTATCAAAAAGTGTGAGTGCGGCCTGCGCACGTTCTTGTCCGATTGTAGTAGGCACGACGACGTTCTCGCAATAAGTAACAAACCTTGTTTCACCTTCGCGGCATGATCATGTTGTTGACGATCTGCCGAAATTCAGTAACTTGGAATAATTGAATGTCGTGTTTCATGTCGTGTTTCATCTAGTACATCGCAAAGTACTACCCCTACCATGCACCCTCAATACTAGAGCGGCCCAATTGATCTTCCGTGTTGAAAAACACATACGATTAGATACAACAACTTTTGCGGAGCATACCTTGCTTCCTGCGAGGGACCCGGTGCCACAGCTGGACCAGGCTATGGATAAGTTGGCGAAAAGAATGGAGAGGAATGACAAGGTGATTTTCCGAAATGTCGGTTTCTACGACGAGCGGCCCCGGTTCCGTAAAATTCCGGTGAACACGTGGCAGTACGGGAACATGGTGGATCGGTTCAACGGGAAAATGGACGGGGAATTCGAGCAGCTGAGACCCTGGTGAAGATGATTCGAGCTCTTGTTTCATACTACGTTTTTGTTTTCGACCGGACGTCGAGAGGAAGATCACCACCCAGCGGCGTCATCAACCGGCGACAGAAGTCAAACATAAAATAAAAACAAGAACGTTTTGAAAGTAAGATAAATGTTTTTTCGAAACCTATTTCAGTTTGTAGCTCTACCCAGTTTGATATTTTCCAGCATATCTTAACATAAGTACTTATTTCTAGTAGTTCAGGCGTGTTTTTCTGCTTTCCGGAAATGCACTACTGTTCTAGTCTTTTGTTGCTTTAAAACCCATCCCCTTTTTTTTTGGTTGCGTGCAGTGTACGATGTCATGAGTGGGAAGTCTGAGGCTCGATTAAGATTATGTTACCGATGCATAGCATTCAAAAACTATGATCGAATCTTCCATGATCCTAGTGGCCTCACTTGAAGCTGCCTCGCGAAGCTGCCAACAACTGTGCTACAAAGTGAGTGAGCTGAAACAAAGCAGACAACTCCCACTTCGTAGTGCAGACTGTACGCATGCAGTAACTTTTAGTTTTTCTAGCACAACAACGCCTTTGTGGTCTTTCTGAACAAAAAGATCGTGCTTCCGCAACTACTAAATTAATACCCAAATAGAAGATCATCATCTCCCCCCTGACAAGTAACTATACAACTTCCGTGTGCTGTCTTTTGAAACTCTTCTCTCATGTTTCTTTTGCGAAGCGACTCTGAAAGTATACAACAACATCGCAAGAGCATGTCAACGGAAGTAAGGGATACTTTCCATGAGAGAATTGCAATTCCAATTGCACGCAGCAGATTTCCCCTTCATTTTATCCCCCCTGCATGATGAAACTGACGGCATTTTTTACGTCTATTTTCGAAAAAAATTTCGCGGCTGCACCTGCAGCCTCGTACTGGTCGGTCAGTGGTTCTGCCTGTAAGGACCGGGCAGCAACCGCGGTCGGCGTCAGCGAGTTCCGAGCAGGAGTTCTTACACCCATCGTAGCTGGTGCACTAGGAACGCCTGTTGTTTTTGCTTTCTGTTTTTAAGCAAGAAGAAAGCCCAGCGCTTAGTATGCTCTTTGTCCTCTCCAGCTTTCTGGTCGGTGTATCTATACGATTTGCAACAGCCACGTGTTGCTTTTAGCTTAGCCGTTTCTTTCGAAAAAAAGCAATGTCTTTCGGTTTTTTCTGAATGGTCGTGAGTGTCTCTTGGCTTCGTATGTGGTTCTTGAGGAACAAAACAGCTCGGTTCGTTCGGCCTGATTTGGAATTCGTCGGAATTACTGCCATGTACAGACGCATCGTGCAGCTACTTAAGTAGTTGCAGGCTGCCGTAAAAGATTGGCGAAGTGCTTGAGCGTACTGCACGCAAGGGACATTGCGCATATGGACGTGAAGCCTGATAATATCCTGGTCAAAAAGATGAATACCGGAACCGAAAGTGTTTTCGTGTGGGCCGATTGGGGGGCAGCGGAAATCGTTCTCGACCCTGCAATTAAGGACGACGCACGCAAGCAGTTTCTCCACTTTTTCCGACCCATTCGAACTGTGCGGTTTGTAGGCCCTGAGGAAAATGGGTACTACATGCAACCATAAGAGCAGAGAAACATGTCAATGATCAGCTTCACTGCGCTTGGCATTTCTTTATGCATGCAGAAGATTATGCTGTGCGCGCTTTCATCGCTAAAGGGCCGACATACTTTTCACCTGCGAAGGCACTTCTTTCTGGACTAGCCTGTCTGATAGGTCGTGTCGGTAAGCCTTTATTGTTCTGCTACGGCAATTGGCTCAGTTCGATCGCTATGTGTAGGAGCGCGGGGCGCGTCCGTCACCGTCACCGCTCTTTGGGCTCGGCTTGCCGAGCGCGTTGGCCAGCACCAGGCCGCTGCGGTGTCGGTGATTTTCCATTCCATTCACAGACTTCTCCTGCGACAACTCGTTCAGAATTTGAATGAAGTGAAAGTGTGCGCGTTTTCTTTCTCGCGAAAGCAAAGCACTACGCAGCCGACCTGAACATTGCATGTTCTCCTTGCATGACCAGCGCCTTGGTTTCGACATCACGGGGGACGAGGGAAGAATTTATTATCCACACGACCGCGGCCCACGGATACCACGGAAAGGAGACGAAGTGGCACCGGTCGCGTGCAAGGACAAGTTGCGTAAGCGAAGAGATGTCTTCGCCTTTGCATCAATTTTCCTTGGCCGGTACTTCAGCGGCGCATTTTTCGGACCAGAGCGCCTGGGTCTCTTTCAGAACCCCTTTCTTTATCTGTTCAACAAAAGAGGTGCGGGCGGGGAAGACACGCCGGCCGCAGTTTGGAACGTTGACCTTATCTCCGCTACGGACCGGAAGAAACTAGAAGAGAGTGGCAAGGAGGACAAGCAAGCTTTGGGAAACTTGCTCGAGTCTTGCGAGTTCCCCGGCTTTGGCTCTGACCCACCGCAACCAGGTTGGTTGCCGTGCTCTGGCGATACATTGAGCCCCTGGCTTGATCCAAAAGAACTGTGTGTGTGTCAAACGGTGTACGATCAAGACCTAAAGGACATCTGGTCGGGCTTCCTCAAGAAGGACGCAACACCACAGCCGGAGTTGAAATATCTGACCTACAGGATTTCCAGTTTGGTCGTGCAGGCTATCCTGTGTGAAAAACTCAGCTTCTACTTCCCGATCATCCCACTTTGGAAATGAGTACACACAAGTGGTGGAGGTCCACTTGTTGTTCTCGCAAAAAAAGTAACGAAAGCTTGTCGTAGTGGGCTCTGTGTTTTTGTCGTGGAGATATGGGGTCGTGGGATAGGAAGATTGTATATTTTCACATTGGATACCGCCCGTTTTCGATTCTTTGTCCCATTGGAAAAAGCGCCCACCGATATCCGTGCTCGCGGATATTCTCAGTTTTGCAGCTGCTCCTGCACAGTTTGGAGTACAACTACCGGTAGGGCAGGTTGAGGAGGAAAAACTTTTAGAAGTAGACGACGATGCGCTAAAAAAGTGTGCGAAGAAAAATGAATTAGAGGAGGCCACGGGGAACGACGTGTGTGGAGACGAAGACACGAAGAGGTGCGTTTGTCAGTTTTCTCCAGGTAGTAATCCGCAAGAGAAGCTACTCACTGAACTGGACGAATTGAAGGAATGCGCAGCGCATGCGCATAGGAGGGCGCTGCATGTTACGCGAGCTGGGGAAGCAGCAGGCGAGGCTGGTAAAAAGGCTGAAAAAACTGGCGAGGCGAAAGCACCGTAGCTGCCGTGGGAAAAAATGCTCATTCCGCTATAACATCGGTATGTAGATGTACAGCCACAGCGATCATGATCTCCAAGACCAGTGCCCATGTGGCAAGAGCCGAGAAGTAAATAGGAGTAGGTACTTAAATTACAGCTACTTGTTTTTATTTGTATTTCGCGTAAAGCTTTGGTTCGGAAACGGAACCCGCAGTTGGCACCAGCGGGTTCCGGCGTGTTCTTGCACCCGTCGTAGCAGATGCACGAGGAACGCCCGTCCTTTTTGTTTTTATGTTTTTACAACGCGAGAAATAACACGAAGCTCATAATTGGTCCTCGTTCTTGATCTTGTTCAGGGCGTCAGCACGTTGTCGGTAGTTGGTGATCTAAGTAAGTAGTCCATTTCAAAACCCGCGGCTCCTTTCGTACTAGGTCATGTTCTGTTTTGGTGCCGTTCTATCTCATGCGCATCAAATCTTTCGTTTTAGGCACTAGTGCTAGTAGATTATGTTTCAGTCGTTGGTCGTACTCGTGCGTTACGTTCCACATAAGTCGTTCTACTTTCGTTCCATTCGTCGCTGCTTATCATCTCTCGTCTGGTTGATGTGAGCAGGCATGATCCAGCTCAGCAGGACTATTATTGTAGAAGAAGGAGGTATTGTTTCTTTCTTTCTTTCTTTCTCATGCCTGGGCATGGCGTCAAATGTTCAAGGTACTGTTATAAGCGGTAAACGAAGATTGATTCAAGTACCCCCTGCCGTTTGCTATTTGAAACAGGACCAGGGATCATGTGAGCTTCTTCATTTGCTTCTACGCGTTTTCTCATAGATTCTATCTGAAAATTGAATTTGGACAGTCGCAGTCCATAATCTTCGCATCCAGTTATGAAGAGCCTTATTTGCTGGTAGCGAAGTAGTTAGGAGAGAGGTACTAGCATCCGCGTGCGTCCCTATCTCTATGATAGTTCTTCTACCCCGAAGGCGTTCGTCGTCGTTAGAAGAGCTCGTTTCATTGGTAAGCTCGTTTCATTGGTAGATCTTCATAGCGCTTACTACTCGTATTCATAATGAGGGGCGGCGCTTGGAAGTGGTTTTCGTTTTTGTTGCGTCACATACTCGTTCTGGACCCGCAAGTTTTTCTTGCGTTTTAAACCCGGCACCCAGCTCCGCGTCCGTCATAACATTGACCACCGGAGTCTTCTGTTCGCCCATCATGGAGATCATGACTACTCACCTTGATCACGACCTACCTCGACCATCCCGCCTGCCGGTTGTGACAACTACTGCAGCGAAGCTCTGTATAATTCTCCTCGCCTCCAGCTACATCCACCCGCCGATTGTTCTTGTGCGAGCCCGTCTCACTACACGAGCGGAAGCCGGCAGAATCGAAAACCTTGAAAATGAGAATACTACCACAGAGGACGACGCCGCCGCGCGTGCGACACGCGAGAAAAGGACTACAGGATCTGCATCGGCGTCCTCGTCCGCCCCTGCTCGAGCTTCCTCGGGTGGATCGCCCGCAGCAACTACGTCATCTTTGGGATTCCTGCAGGACCAGGAGCCCGCGGACCCACCGCCCGGCCGCGCCTCCAGCATCCCCGGCCAGCACTGTCCCGACCAGCCTGACAAGATGATTGCGTTCGCGGACCTGAAATCCGAGTGCCGCATGTGGCCGGGACGGCAGAACGCTGCGCAAACAGGCTGGTACGACGGATGGGACACCACGCGTCCGGAATTTGGATACACACCGCGCAAATCCACCTGTGGAAACGACGTATGCTGTGTGAAAGAACTATATCGTCCGCCACGACCGGTGCAAGTCATGCAACACAAATATATTCGACATCAACTTCTATGCTATCTTTCGACAGCACGACTGGCTCGGGGTTGTGCCTGTCATGAACAGTCTCTTGTGTGCCAAGACGAACATGTAGCCTGCTCCGTCGTCGTAACCAAAATTATGTTTCTTCCACAGGAGCAGGCCAATTTTATTCATTTTTCGGCGCAAGTATAACTTTTTGTTCTTCCCGTGAGAAGTACTTCCTTGCTCAGCACGCGCTACGTCGATTTCTGTACGCAGAAATGACTATGAGATCATCTCTTCGATCAGGCGTTGGCACGGTCGTCGATATTTTTCCACACGATACGGTGCCCTAGGTTTCTACCTGCTTGCGGATGAGGACGGTGACGGGGAGGTGGACCAAAACGGGGGCGCCTTCTGGTGGACCCGGGTGCCGAGCTCGGCAGCCGAGTGGCAGGCCCGCCGGGATTTCGTGGCCCGCAAGCTGCGCACCCATTCCCCCGGTCGCGAGGATTGGATCGACGAGTTCGACTTGGCAAAACGCGAAAACCCGCTCGCGTGCGGGCCGCGGGCCTTCATTACCAGCTGCCGGGAGGTGAACCCCGAGGCCGGGGACTACGGGACCTGTGTTGCGCCCGAGCAAGAGAGAAAATTGTCGCCCGAGTGGCAGTATTGGAAGGGTGGGAATGGGAACTTCGAAGTTGGGTTATCAAGAAGAAAAATCCCCCCTCCCTTTATCAAAACGGAAATCTGTGATGCAGATTTGTGGTCACAAGTCAGTTTTGTCATGCTAGAACGGAAAAGATGCGAACTGTAGTGCTGGGGTGCGTGGTGGAAGAGCCTTGCATCTTCAGCATGACAGGAAGCAGCTGGAAGTGGCAAACAGCATGACAAATCGCCTGCAAACGAGGCCACAGCTGCGCCGCTTTGCCTTCTAGCAATACAAGGCGACTTGTGTACTCAGTTACAGCATCACAAATGTTGTCTTCGATATGGGGAGGGGGGACGTTTCGTTTTGACATAAGTTTGCGAAAATCAAGGAACGGTGTCGCCAGCGAGATTCAGGCTACGACTGGACGATACGCATTGCAGCAAATTATACGTCTGGGTCTGGAAGGATGCTGCTTGACTTATGGTGCGCGTCCGAAAGATAAGTACACAAAAGTCTGTCATGCGTGGACAGCAAAAGTAGGAATAGCTCCTTGTAGTCAACAGCGAACAGGAACAAGCACCGAGAAGTGCGGAATTTCTGATGCGGGATCATAGCCATCGATAAACCTCCTCACTACCTGTGACGCTGTTGCTTGCATGCCAGAGCTTCTAGGCCATGCAGAAGCCGCACGACAAACAGAAAGAACACAGGCAGGATTCTTCCAGACCACTCCGACTACATATTTGCACTGGATAACCCACAGGCAATGCGTTACACACGGAGGAGTATGGGAGAGTCAAGTACTCGGTCTACTGCATCGCGAAGAACGGTGCGGAATACCCCGTATGAAATGCAAATATGTCTGGGTCTGGAAGGTTGCAACTTGTGATGCTGTCTTCGAATTCGAAAAAAATCTGTATTGCATGACCAGCAAGAGGGGTCCAGTTTGTGCTACGCCAGGAGGCCATTTCCCATGCGGGATGGCATCAGGAAGCCTTCTAAAAATCTGTGATGCTAGGTCATGCATTACAGGGCTCGTGGGACATGAAAAATATGCATGAAAAACATCGCTTTCTTCCAGACCCAGACATATTTGCAGTGGATACCCCGTCCCCTCGGATGAATTAAAGTGGATCGATAAATTCTACACCAACGGGCACAGTGCCGAGTCCGGGCTGCGGGCGTTTTACCCGAGTGAGGACATGGGCGGCGAAAAGTACGCCAACAGTATGGTGGTTTGGGCCGGCCCGGACGGGGCGCGGTTCTTCCCGTTGGACTGCATCGCGAAAGAGACCCCCGGCTACCAAGGCCACAGCATTTTGCACAAGGCCACCGAGCGGGACCACCCCTGGCGCGCGGGAGATTACGCCCTGCTGCCCATGCGGCACCAGAAGCAGCTGCTCTGGGAGGAGAAGCGAGTCTTCGAGACGCAGCTGAGGGAGCGGACATCAAGCCGGCTCTTGATGTTCTTCCAGGACAAAGAACCACAGGCCCTTTCGCACGCGGCCGCGGACCGGCGGAAACGCGAGTTAATCCGGGCCAAGCTCCCCGCGCACGCGGTGCGGGCGGTGGCAAGGCAGAATATGAAGCTGCGGGAACAGGGGGATCACGGTGTGGATCTTCATCTATACGGGATTTTTCTCACAGACCAGTGCCACGTGCAAAAGACCTCGGTGACCGATGCGGTTTCCGAGATAGAAATGTTTGACGCTCAGTGGACCGATGCCGCAGTGAGTTTCGAGGACGGCGTTTTTGTCTGCTTACACGAAGACCGTCTGACGGACCCAGTGCACTGCGGCGAGGCAGTGAGTGCGTTTCCGCAAACACACAAGATCACGAACCCCGCGACGGATTTTCGAACCGCGGCGGGGCAGTTTCTCGCGCGGGGCCACGATTCGCCGGACTGCAAGTGCGTGCAGAAGCTGTCCCTAGACCCGGATGAATACAATTGGGAGTCATACGTCTACGATATCGACGAGGACGCGGCCTGGTGCGTGTCGCAGCAGAAAGCCGCAACGGTTCCAGAGTTCGTCTTTACAAACGGGGAAAATGCAGATTTCGACCCGCAGAAAACCGGGTCCGCGAAATGCGTGCGGCGGGTCGGACGGAAGACGGAGGAGGAAAAAGAGGCGGCACGGAACGAAAGGGAATCCAACTTGCTGCAAGAGCGGGGCGAGGCCGATTACGGCTGCTTGGTGCAGAAAAACGTAAATTTCGGAGGGGCGCGAGTCAACGAGATGGATTCGGGGGCAGCAGGAGCATCTGATACAAGAACAACTTCTTCATCTTTCGCACAAAGTGGAAGAACTTCCGGGAAGATCACTGCGACTGCCACGACCACTGACCACTTAGACTTCAAAACGTGCCTGCAGACCTGCGGGGAAAACGAAGAGTGCGGTGGCGTGGTCTATTACAACCCCTTTCCGGAGTGGTACCAGCGCGGAAAGTATCAAATGCAAAAATGTCTCGGTTTGGAAGATTAGAACCTGTCATGCTAAATCTGAATGATGCAAAAATCTGTGTTGCGTGAGTACCAAAAGGTGTCCGCTTTTGACCAAGTCGAGAGGGAGCTTCTCATGCAGGAAAGGCATGATAGAGACCTTAGAGAATCTGTCATGCTGGGTCTCGCATTCCAGACCTCATGAGTCATGGAAAACCTGCAGCACAAATCTTGCATTCTTCAGCCCCAGACATTTTTACATTTGATAGAAAGTGCACGCAACGAAAGACAGGCGCGTGGGGGGCGGAAAAGCAGGTGCTACCGGGCTCCTTTGCGGTGGCGATGACGCCGGTGTGCCGATCTGAACTCAGCGGCAAGAACGTACCGTCCGGCTCCGGTGCGATGAACGGCCAGACTGATAAAAAACGGAACCAGCCACACGCGCAAAGACCACCAGCGGGTGCTGTTCATGGTGCAGCAGATTATATCAAGAGCAAGGACCACCATTACCAGCTTGAGGACAGCACGAAAACAGAAGTGTTGAAAGATTACGAGCTGTGCCTGAAACTGTGTGACAGCCGGGGGGACTTGTGCAAGGGCGTTGCCATGAATGTACGGGCCGAGGCGTGTTTCCTGCTGGATCACTATTGCGCGAACGCTGGTGTGAGTGCCATGGTCGACCGGACCTTGCTCGACATAGCGGAACAGGCAATAAACGCGGAGGCCGGCGGCGGGGGTGATGTCGGCGAGCCGACACCAAATGATGATCGTGCTGCTGAGAATGGAGCTACGCAGCACGCTGCTGCGACGGATAGAACCAGCACAACTGCTAGCGTTCCAACTTCAGCTAGCAGTAGAAGTAGCAGCAGTTCGACGTCCTTTCTGGCTGAGGAGATAAAAACGAAAAAAGCAGCTACGTCGGAAAAAGAAACGACACTGCAAGGGGCTGAGACAGAAATGCCGAAGAACAACATGAAGAAAAGCAAAAATACCGGGGCAGCAGTACCAAACGGCAGCACCACAAGTTCCGCGCTTGCGGACATAGATCGGCAGCTAGAGAGACTGTTCGAGGAAAAGAGGCAATTGCAGCAGCTGGAAAACGAGAAGCAGTCTACCTCTCCGGCTTCTTCACTCTCTGGAAAAGCAGCTGCACCGACAAGCCCTGCCTACACTCCGACCGCCGCCTTGGGCGCGGAGGAGCAAGCGGGCGGTACTACTAGCGCTAGCACAACCACGGTTGAAAGAAGATCTTCACAGAGCGACCAGCTTCACGATATTAACGGCTACCCGGCACACCATGGTCAACAAAGAGAACTACATCAGCCTTTTTTGATGTACCCGGAGCAGTCGGGAAGAAGTGTCGCGCCTTCTGACAGCGGTGGACTGATGGTGGGCACAAAGGGTAGAACAAGGTCTAGTTCCCCTTCGCACGACCCCACTTCCGCCTCCGCGGAGTTGATCGCCCGCTTACAGCAGCAGGGACTCGGCACGCCGAAGAAAGCGTGGCTATTGGCCATGAAGACGACGGATCAAACTACCAACACGACTGCGGATCATGCACAGCAGGCTCAGCTGGGATTGGGAACGCAAATGCAGACGTCGGCGGAATTGTATCGCAAGGAAGAACTCTTGTCGGGCAATGTTGTTGATGGTCACAGCACACACCAGGCAGCTGCCCAGACGACCACGGCATTTTCTTTTTCCCCGCCACCGCAGCAGGCTTTCATGAGAAATTGGAAGGACAGGTCTACTTCCGTCAAGCCTCTGTACATCGCCCTGATCATTGGTTGCCTTTCTCTGACCATGGTCGGACTCACCGCGTTCTTGATTTGGTTTTTTGCCTGCCGGGACCCGGAAAGCCTGGACGGTGCTGCAGTAGATGATCACAGTGACTTGTACGGTGAGAATGAGGGCTACGGGTTGGGCTTTGCCTACAGAAAAGGCGAGCCGTCTGGAGGTGCTATCGGTGGAAATAAAAATTTCAATGCGGGCTCGGGCAACGTCGGGGGGACAAAAGAGATGAACGGCAATGAGGCTTTTCGCCAGTCCCGTGTGACCTACGGAGCAGGAGGTCCTCGTGGTCCTCGGGAGCAGAGCACAAATAACAAGGGCGATCGTGGTCGCGCCACGAGCAGCTACAACAAGTCCCCCGGCGGGAAAAATAGGAAAGGCGACGGAGGGGTTCTTTTGTCTTCCCCTAGTTCGGGCAACATTAAGCAAGGATACAGCACCAGCTATGTGGCAAGAAGTTCGAAGGGCGAGGGAGAACAGCAATTCGTGGTTGACGAGGAGGGTGCAGCTGCAGTTTTCAGTGGAACTACGAGCGAAACTGGTTTTCACGAACAGGAGAATGAACTGGACGACACGTATTTCACTTATGACTTGCTCAAGCGTTACAATCTCGAACGTTGCAATAGAGTCTGGAGTTTGTGTTGCATGATGAGCATGACAGACTCGCACAGCGTGCCACCTTTTGCAATACAAATTTCGCCACATTGTAGTGGGGTTTGGGGCTCCGGAACTTATCATGCGCAATCCTGCGAGAGTTCGTTGGCTGGATCATGCAGTCTTGCATCACAGATTTCCATATTCTATTGTAACGTTTGAGATTGTAACACCTGAGCGGGTTATATCACTGAGTACGGCTGGAACGCCCTGGCCGCCGCGCCAGCACTGTCCGCGAACGTGCCACACGGCAGCCAGGTGGACGAAGAAGGAGTGCAATAGAAGCTCGTGGGGCTTTCGAGAATCCATGAACCGTAGTTCACCCGGCCTCGTAGAGATGAAGCTCTTAGGATTTTTGAGATCGTACTAACCATTCCGTCGCTTTCGTTCCGTCGCGGCCGCGTATACACATTCTGTTCCTCATTTTCATTCTGTCTCTAGAGGTACTTAGATGAATCAAACTTGAGAATACAGCTCGCCAACGGTCAAAATGAATCCTTACCAGTACCTGTGCCTATACAAGAAGTGACGAGACTCAAGCATTTATTTACGCATGCAGCGAGTCCTTGTTCTGCTTGTTTCGTCTAGGTGTGAAACTGAAAACCACTTCTGCGAAGATACAGGCATTGTCGGTTTTTTCACTACGCACGGCACCTCGGTGATTTGAAATTTTCGCTTGTATAAAAATTATGAGTCAGCGCGTCGTGGTTCTCGTTCCGCTTGACCTGGCTTTGTCTGTTTTCGTACGTGAAATGGAAGAATGTTGATCGGCTTTCGTACAGGTTTTGATGTCAGACCGTGGCGTGTGTATATCAAAACTCGTTCTATCGGTTTCTTCGTTCAAGCTTTAAGCTACTTTCTCTGTGATTCCAGTCGGTTTTCGTGTATTTAATTCCGATGGTACCTCTACCTCCTACTCGTACACGTACTTACTTGGACATGCTGCCTGAAATAGTAATAGAGAAGTGCGACATTCTATTCCTAAACCAGCACCACCTCAGTCAGCGCTAGAATGTGTCCCTGCCCAGCACCCCCCTGATTGGCATTGACACCAGCACGACTCGTCAAGTGTATTGAAGTTAAGTAGCGGGGGTTCAATTTTCCTACTCCATCAGGTGGCATTATTTGTACTAGCTCGTGCTCGCTAGCGTCATACGCTTACGGTCGTCCACAAGAAGAAATAAAAAAACGAAAATGCCAAAAAGTGTCACAACTAGCTTTAACATTTGTGGTGCTGCCCCCGCACCTGTTTTGCAGCGCAGCTTCATCTTCAGATCTGCAGGTCATTACTCACGGCCGCGATTATTTTCCTTATCGATCTACTTTCTTGCTTTCTCGTCTGTAGCAGAAGGCCTCAGCAGCTCTTTCGACTTCAAACTTCACAAAAAATATGTCGGAAGTAGTACCACCACCAGAGCCTTCCTTTTCCTTCTGCAGCTGCACGCCACGACGATCCCGTCCTATCAAAGTGAAAAAAGCCCCCACCCCATATCGGAAACGGAAGACGCGCGAATTTGTGATGCTGTATTTGAGTACACGAGTCGACTTGTATTGCTAGAAGGCCAAGAGACGAAGCTGCGGCCTAAATTGCAGGTAATCTGCCATGCTGTTTCCCACTTCCAGTTGCCTCCTGTCATCCTGGAGCTCCAACGCCTTCCCACGCTAGACAGCACTACAGTCCGCATCTTTTGCCTTCTAGCATCACAAAGCTGATTTGTGACCCCAAATCTGCATCACAGATCTCCGTTTTGATATGGGGAGGGGGCCTTTTTCATTGTAATACCTCCTGTGCCGCCTTCTGGACGACGAATCCAAGTACCAGACCTATGAATTGCAAATATGTCTGGGTCTGGAAGAATGGAAGGCTTGTCCTGCTTGTCTGGCATGACCCATGATGCTTGTAATGCATGACCCAGCATCACAGATTTTTGGAAGGCTTCCTGATGCCATTTCCGCATGACAAATGCCCTACTCGCGTAGCACAAATGTGGCTCCTCTTGCTGGTCATGCAATACAGATTTTTTTAGAGTCCAAAGTTAGCATCACAAGTTCCAACTTTCCAGACCCAGACATTTTTGCATTTGATAAGACCGGAGGATGAACAACACCACGGGACACCATCATCCACTAGGTCAAAAAAAGTGAAGCGGGACCGGTTCAAGTTTTTAGCTCCAAACGAGCCCGTGGAGGAGGAGGAGGAACCGGGAATTCCGAGTACCTCCCTGTTGGAAAAACAAGCGAAGAACACGAATACCAACGTCGAAAACCCGCAAGGGCTATCCTCTTCCAACACGGACAGCATGACCGGTAGTTCCGGTGCTCAAGAGGAACTACAAGCTCTTGCTTCCCATCATACAACTCATTCTCACAGTGAAGGTGAACGGCCCAGACCTCCTGCTGTGGGGACGACAGGTGGCGCAGGAGATCACGAGGGTCGTGACACGACAACATCCTCGGACAAGCAGAAGCGCCTGCAGAAAAACCGAGACGATGTTGAAGTAGACCATTTATCTTCCCAATCGAGTACAACTTCCTCTACCCCCGCTCTCAACATCGCAGCCTCTTTCCTCGAATCGGTGTTACAAGCGTTGCAGCCACCGGAGTGGATGCTTTTGCGGGATCCAAGTCAGGTGATCTATTACGACGGCAGTAGTGCGACTGCACAATCCGGATCGTCACATCAGGGGCGGAAGATGGATGTGAGAGCAGGAGGGGAAGTTGTTGACCACGCCCCTTTAGGAGCATCTTCTACCCCTTCCGGAAGCAGGCCCACCGGTTCTGATCTACAAGCGCATGATCTTCCAGCTGGTTCTGGTGGTGATGATGCCTTTACAGGACGGGTGGACTTCCTCCAACAAGACGCAGCCACTTCAGGAAAATCAACATCCTCGGCGGGAAACCATGACAACTCGTTCCTGGAAAAAACTGATGGTGATCTCCGGGACGAGGTGGAAAACGTCGAAGGGCCCTTGTCTTCCGCAGTCCTATCGTCTAAAAAAAGCACTTCTTCTAGTTCTACACCCCCTCTTGCTATTGCACCACAACCCCCAGGAGCCGGCGCGCAAGTGGGAGAAGAAGAAGCAACTGCTGCTGCGTCGACGAAAACCCTTGGCCTTGTTGAAGATGTGGTCTCCACCTCCGAGGAGCGAATTTCCTCTTCCGTTCTGGAGAAACAAGATCATCTGGCGGGGAAAACAGAGGACGATGATGGAGAAACGAATTCCCTCAAGAACAACCCACACACTACAGAGCATCTTCCGGTGCTCGAGGACAACTACTACCCAGGAGCAGCGAAGACCACTGGCTCATCGTCCAGTGGTTCATCATCTCGTAGTGCAGGAGGCATTGAAAAAGCGGGAAACAACAAGCTCCCGGATGAAAAAGAAGATCTTCTTGTTCCAGAGGACCTCCGCGGGCGGCCATCTTCACGGGTAGAAGAATCTTTCTTGGAAGCAGCTGCTGCTGGGGACGGCGCTGGTGACCTCCACACGTCGACGGGACGAACATCAAAAGCGACCGGACCTCCACGGGGGATGAAAAAGAACGGCGACAGGACGACGGAAGATACCCTGCTGTCGGGTCGTAAGAATGGGAAGAACGATGACCACGACACGACGTCGACGACCTACAGTGTGAGCGCACCAGAGGAGGACCACCTCCGCAGCGCTCCTGGTAGAAGAAGTTCTTCTCGTCGTACGGTGTTTGAACCTTCTGTATCTGCTGACCAAGCCCAGTCCTCTATGCTATTGACCAAACCATCCGAGTATGAATTGCAAAAATGTCTGGGTCTAGAGACTTGTGATGCCAGAAAGGGAATAGTGAACTCACTATGATGCGCTGCCAAGCATGACAAGTTTTTTTCATGATTCTGAGTTGCGTACTTCGCATGACAAACTGCGTTTTTGCATGACAGGGAGGAGGAGCTCTTCGCGGCCATGCAACACAGAGTTCAGAGTCATGGCAGACTAGCATGCCAAGTCGCAGAATGTTCCAGACCCAGACACTTTTGCATTTGATGCCGAGGAAAAGTCCAAGTCCGAGCACGGAAAAGCGAAAAAGAACGCCCCTTCCGTGAGTTGCGTCGACTTATGCACTGCAAATATGATGTTGTCCGGGTCCTCTAGATGAAGATAACCATGGCCGCCACCACCAGAGGTTTGTGATGCGAGAGTCGCATGACCCAGAGGAGTTCCTCAGGCTGTGTGGACGAATCAATGCGGGCTCTAGTAGCATCACAAGTTGTTTCGAGGAGGTGCTAGTACCTCTTCGATGTCTTCTTGCATGAAACCATAATGTTCTTGTCTTTGGCAGGTGAGGACCAAGAATGTTGAGTGCTCCCTACGTACTACTTACAACTTTTTCGCTGGTTAACATGCAATAACAATACTTTAATACAGATTTTTCGAGTTTTTTCGTTGGCCACACAGCCTAGCATCACAAACTGGCGGGACTTGCTTTATTCCAGAGGACCCAATAGATGACATGTTTGCCATGGATGCGACTGCTACGACGAGGACGATAGCGACGACGACGAAGACGAGAGCGTTGACAAGAAAAAAAGTACCTCGAAAAAGAAGTCGCGTGGAAGTCGGTTGGACGCAGATGATGAGGATGAGGAGGCCACTATTACAATGAAAAATTCCTTGTGTGCCTCCCCACCGCGGAATTTGCAAAATTTGTTGATGCATAAGGTTTTCAAATGAAGAACTTTTCATCTGTGCGTAACTAAAAGGACTACGACTCTTTCTGGTCGTGCAGAACCTAGACTGCGCAAGGTAAGTATCTTTTGCATAACAGATCCGGCTGCTCCTGTTGGGCTTCTTTGCTGCAACACAAATTTAAGCTATTAATTCTTTCAGCATGGAAAATTTGTGATGTTGATATATGCAGCAAGACGGGGAATGTTCCCATTGGAAAGGTTTGCAATACAAATGCTGCCAAGTTCTTCTGGGGTGGGGGTATTTTTCACTGTAATAGCCCGAAAACTGAGAAAATATCGCGCAAGACTCATCGGGGACGCGTGCAGGACTCTGGATTTGGACCACGATTGCAGCGCCTTCGGACTCACACCGGACGTTGAGGAATGCAAGACCCAGCACCAGTTTTGCGAAGAGATAAAACACAAGATACGAAAAGCAGCGACAAAGGCTCGATTCAAGTGCCACCCGGATAAATGGGATAATTTGGTGGCACAAGGCAAAGAGAATGAAACCGAATGCCTCATCAACAAATCGGCATACAAAGAAAAAGGGGACGCCGCGATGCAGAAGCCGCGGCAGGCCGTCTCAAAGGAGGAGGTGGTTGCGCAATTCCACGAGATCATGAAGGCCAGAGATACACTACTTTTGCTTGATTGAGCAGCTACGGAAGAACATCAGGCGTGAAATTGTGGTGCCAGGCAAGGCTTATTTGCCTGGCTTGAAGCTGTGTTATTTCCTTCTAGTTGTCAGGTCACTTTTTTTTTTTACGCTAATTACCCTAGTAACAATTTTTTGATGCAGCAGCTCTTTAGCTGTAGGATCGATCATCACGATCATTTTTTATACCCGAGATACCTACCACCATTACCATTTACTTTCTGATTGTGGTATGCGAAACCAATATTTGTTCAGTATGCTTTTTGCTTTTGACTTGCACTCCGTCCGAGGAGAAACAGGCGCATTTCCATGCATCGACGCTCCTTGCAGCTGTGTTCTCAGAGGATAAGCGTTCTGACTCGAATAACCGTTCTAACTCGGTTTGGAAGATCCTGTTGATCTTATTTGTTTACGTTTTCCGAGGTTGTACTTGTATTGTATCATCGTCAGCTTCATGAAATTATAAAGACCTACATCCGGCACCGCCGCTTTCGTGCTTGCGATCTCCAATGCTCTGAGTTCTTCGTCCATGATGCTGGCACTACAAACAAATTTCTTGTCCCGGAGCCGGGACAGAAACGAACGCGAAAAACACTAAACCGTTTTTTATCGAAAGTAGACTACGGTGCGCCACGAGGATCAAAAATGAAACGAAAGTAGTCTCCCCCGTCCTCGCAACATCGTTCGGTAGCTTACACCTCATTTTCTAGCGCAGCAAATAAAATGCCGCAACTTCTTCTACCCGGCGGTTGTACTACTGCAGCTTCCCTCCCCCCCGACCAAGATTTGCTAAAAGTATCCGTCGAGCGGGAGTTTCAGGCGTTTTACGGATTCCAGACGACCTCTGACGCCGATCGGGAACTGCTTTTCTTCGAGGAGAAATTGGCAATCCAAGTGGAAACGCCCCTGGTCTTGGTGTCTCATATAGGGTTCGGCGGGTTGGTGGTTTTTGAGGCGAAGCAGAACTACAGTGGTGTTTCTGAGCATTCGCCTACAAATAGTGCCGCGGGTCCTCGTGCTGGTGTGGTCACCGCCGTGCAGGCCAGGGTCGTGTGGGAAGTGAGGTAAGTAGGGTTTTTTCGGTGTATTCAATCGAAAAGTGATGAGATGTTCATGTAGTGGGATATACAGTCCTCCTGTGCCTGTCTGAACAACATTATGATGTCGCCTCTACTTGCAAAAGCATACATGGAGGACTTATTGCGTCGAGCTCGGTCCTGCTTTCGTTCATAGTACAGACGAAATCGCCTAAACACGACCACGCTCATCCTCATCCTCAGGTGGTCGGGCTTTCCGGGTTTGACCCCCGAACTGTTTCTCCGCGCCGGCCTGAACCGAAAGCCACTACCCCGGGTGCTGACCACGGTGCTTGCGTACCTCTACGAGTTGCCAAATGCTGTGCCGCTCGACGACACAATAATTTCAGCGGTCGGACTTGAAGATGCCGGCAATATTAAAAGCGACCTACTTCCAAAACTCAGCCTCCCGATGAAAGTGGGATCAACAGCCAACGCTTCCTCCTCCGACCCCACGCCTAGAAGATTAATCTCCCCAGGGAAACAACATCAAGGCCGGACAACGCCAACCTCTAGTTCTAGGAACAACAGAAATCGACTGAGCCCAAGAACGGCTGCAGCGGCTCCCTCGCCCGGAGCAGGGGGAACGACACCCATCCGGGGTGGTCGGTTGGGTGCAGTCACGCCTCCTCGAGGACAACAACTTCCCGGGAATTCATTTCACCACGACCGTCAACAACATCAATCTGGAGCAGGTGTGTTATCTCCAAATAGCACGGCGAATCAGCAGCTGAGCACGACAAGTTCTCTACGAGCGGCTGCGCGGGCGAACAAAGAGCGGATTTTGGCCAACGCGGGACCCGGGGGAGTGATGGTCGCAGCTGCTGGTACACCAGACGGGAACAAAATATTGAACGGAGAGGACGGTAGTACGTCTACAGCGCTGCTGCGCAATGTTGAGCACGGGCAAAATTCTCCTTCCAAAACTGACCGTACATCTGGACCTCCGGTGGCCTATGTGAAAGCAGAGCCGGCGAAAGTCGTTGATTTGAGCGTCCGATTGGAACAACGGCTGGGGTCGATATTTATCGCGTCGCAACCAATTACAACGACTTACCAAAACAATGAAACATCTGTAAAGAAAACTTCAGTGCCTCCGCGCTCTCAGACAAAGGGAAGATTCTACCTTTACTACCTCGCCATCGCTTTTTGCGGGCTCTTTGTCCGGTGCCAAATCGCCCAGAATCCACACTCGGGGGAAGGACAGTACCCGAAATTCGGCGACTTCGAAGCACAACGGCATTGGGTGGAGATTACCAACCACATACCGATGTCAGACTGGTACTTTGGGGACTACAAGTACAACGAGTTGGATTATTGGGGCCTGGATTACCCACCTCTGACCATGTACCACGCCTGGCTGATTGGGAAATTTTACTACTTGTTGAAATCCGTGCGTTTTTCCAACTGGCTCCTCGAGTTTTTCAGTGAGAATACGTTGGAGATGCAAAACGCAGCATCTTCTTCGGGGAGGTCGTTTTACGGCGGATCGTCCTCAGCCCCCTCTGGTGCAGTCGCTGAAGATTGGTTTGCGCGGTACCATAGCAAGTGCAAATATGTCTGGGTCTGAAAGAATACAAACTTGTGATGCGCATTTCAGAACACAGAAAAATTTCTAATGCATAGGCAGCAAAACAGGTTTCCCACTTTCTGTCACCAAAATGAGGCATTTGTCATTCGGATTCGGCATTGCGGAAGCCCCTCGAAACCTGTGATGCTAGAGCTTCCATGCCAGACCTCCCGCGTCATGCAAAAACAGCGTGACTCTTCCAGACCCAGACATTTTTGCATTCGATATACCATTCCAGAGGAAACGAAGATTGCAAAATCTTTATGCGCTTCATGGTCTTACTCACCGACTTTCTCATCTTTGGGACCGCGTGCTATTATTACTGCGAGAAAGTTTTGAAAAACGAGACATTGCTGTTTGGGGGTGCGGTCGGTTCTTCGGGAAATAAAAGCACTAGTAATAATGTCCTGAGCAAGTTCCGTCTCCTGTTTTTCGCTTTCCTCTACAACAGTCCAAGCATTATCTTCATCGACCATGGGCACTTCCAGTTTAACACAATCGCGCTGGGCTTGGTGCTCTGGGCGGTAAACTTGATTTACTTCGGGAGAAAATTGGCGGGGTCGGTTTTGTTTGTTCTCGCGCTTTTCTACAAACAAACCATGCTTTATTTCGCGCCCGCGTTCTTCTTTTACCTATTGGGGGAGGCGTGCAGCGGACTCGGATCAACAACATCTTCGGCAGGAAATGATTATAGACCTTCATCTGCAAGCGCAAGGGATGAACAAGGTGTAGATATCGGCACTGCTGTGAAGACCGAGAAACTCATCTGCCATGCGGACCGACACGCAGACCTGGGGTTCGGTTCACAAAAAGTGTTATCCGCGTCCCCTTCTAGTTCTACTCGAAACGAACAAAAGAAGACCACGATACACGAGTTCATTGGTGAGGACGTCGAGGAAAGCAATCTGCGGTCAACGGTGAATGAGGACCACGTCGAGGATGAATTAGTAGAAACAGATGCTGACGGGACGAGGAAAAAAGCGACTTTGATTGTCAGATCGTGGCAGAAAAATAGTACTACAACCGCCACGACGATGAAGAATAATTCCCCGAAGAACACAGCGACAAAAACAACAAAGCCGTCGACTTCAACCACGACTCTCAAGACCGTGCTCTTCAGCTTCACTTTCTACAAGAACCTTTTCCAACTCGGAGTCACCGTGCTGCTTACGTGCCTCGCCCTCCTCCTCCCCTTCCTCATCCAACAAGACAACGGTGGACTGCAGCAGCTCGCGCAAATCAAGAACCGGGTTTTTCCGTTCGGCCGGGGAATCTTCGAAGACTACGTTTCCAATCTTTGGGTTTTACTCTCGCCGGTTTTGAAACTCCGGGAGCTGATATGACAGCGCACAACTCCCCCTCCCCCTCATTTGTCATGCAAAATACCCAATCCACCCTTTGCCCCTTGGCACTGTTTGCGTGACAAGTTCTGGCAGCCTTAATAGAACTACAATCCAGCGCAAATTTGTAATGCAAAACCGACACTCTTGCTGATGCTTGTATTGCCGTTCATGCTATACAAATGAGGGGGAGGGGGAGTTGTGCACTGTCATAGCTGACCCGAGACGAAGAATCCATTTACGCGAAAGCAAGTTCAATATGCATTGCAAAACCAAAAGTAACGTACTAGTATAATAAAGTGCATTACAAATTTTGGAAAGAAGAAAAGTGGAATTTGTAATGCTGTTTTACCTGCTTAGGAGGGAGATTTGTCATGCATATTTGCAATTAGTACGAGTGCGATACTTTTGCACAGCATATTCAATTGGCGGCGCTACAAGCTCGCTTTTCGGACGAGGACCGAGTGGCGCTGATTTTACCTACGCCGACGCAAGCGGAATCCTGTCAGTCTCAGTGTCGAAATTCCTCCACGGGGTTCTCCTCCTTTTCGAGACAACAAAACTCCTTTTTTTCGCGATTTTCCACTTCCTCTACGGTACTCTCTATCGGAAAGTCTTCCTCGACCAGTACCTCCCCGACATCCAGACCTGCTACTATCAGGCCGTTGCGCAGTCCGCGCGGGTGTCCAGCTCCTGGTTCGGGTCGGGTAAAACAGTGAGCGAAAACGTGTTACTCAATGCTCTCGGATCTTTGATTCCCGACGAATACGAACCGTTTTTGTTCGACTTACCGTATTGCACGGTTACCAAGGGTATTGAGGCGGTGAATGATTGTTTGCAGGAGGTTGTGGTATTCACCGAACGGGAAGCGATGCCGATAGTGGAACCCGTGCTAGTACGTCTTCTACCAGAAAACCTTATTAACCCTCTCAAGAGTACTAGCACGTCGCTGTTCGAGACCTTCTTCAGCAATAAACGGCAGGTGATTTTCCTGCTGTCGCTAACCTTAACCCTCTCCGGCGCCTTCGGCGGGTCGTTTGTGACGACGTTTTATTCGAAAAAACACGGGTTCGGGGCGAAGAGCAACTTGAGGCAGTTTTTGAAAGCGCTGACAATCAGCTCCTTGTCCTTCTTATGGATTGTAGAAATGTCGGGGTCTGGAAACTTGTGACGCTGGGTGGCGTATCATGAAGAGGCCACAAGTGCTGGCTCAGCATGACAAGCTTTCGAGCTTCTAGGTGTTGCCTATTCTGCATGACAAACTGCGTTATGCATGACAGCAAAATGGGGCTCTTGGGTAACGTGCATTACAGATTTAAGAGTCATGCCAGACTAGCGTGACAGTGACAGATGTCGCATTCTTCCAGACCCAGATATATTTGCAGTTCATACTTCTTTCTCTTCAGCTGGCAGGTGCACGAGAAAGCGGTTCTACTTCCGCTCCTGCCAGTCTTGCTGGCGCTGCCGTTTGTTTTTGAAAAGAGGATCATCGACGCGATTTGTGATGCGGAGGCAGCTACTTCAGGTATTATTGCAAGCGACACGCACGACCACACGACCAGCGTTCCAAGTCCAACCGATAGTGCGAAGAGTTTAGTATCCAACCGCTGCAAGAACAGCAGAAATGCTGTCTTCAAAACTTTCGGCTTCATTCTATGGGGTTCTCAACTGTTACATTCTCAACTGTTACATGATTTGTCACGCACCTCTACCACCAAGATCGCCACGATTAAGCTGCTTCGCATGACAAATCTCCGAAGGGCCAAGCAGCATATAAATCTGTGCCAAATTTGTAATGCAAAAGGCGCACTCTTCCCCCTTTCACTTTCGCCTTTCTTGCAATACAAATTCATGTATACAGTTGAGAGTGTAACAGTTGAGAACGCCATACATTCTGTTTGCGCACTTGTCCCTGCTCCCCCTGTCCTACAAGGACCTCAACGCCCTCGCGTGGCTGCAGCTGCTTCTCCTGCTAGCCGCGATGCTGTATTGCGGTTTTGGGATACTGCTGCACCCTCCTCGTCAGGCACTACACGATTGTAGCGCACAGACAAAAACCTCCAGCCAAAAGTACAGCGTGGCAAATCTTCTGTGGCCGGTTTTCACCATCACCCTCGCTCTACTGAACTTTCTCCTCATTGCGGTCGAGGCGGTCTACCGGTCCGGCATTGTACCGGAGCTGCTGAGCGGAGTTAGTTTATCCAGCCTTTTCGGTAGTACTTTGACATCAATCGATGGTACTATACTCGGTTTTGACCTTGCAAATTATACCCTGGAGAAACTGATCACACCGCCGGAAAAATACCCGCATTTATACTCCTTTCTCAACTGCAGCCTCTCCGCGGTGTTCTTCCTGGTGTTTTGGCTGGATTTGTATCGTAAGGAAAAATCTCCCCTCCCCATATCGAATAGGAAATTTGTGATGCTGATTTGTGACCAAGCTTTGTCTTGCGTACAAGGCAAACGGTACCCATGTGGCGCATTGTGCAGCGAGTCTGTCATGCGTTTTCGCATATGTCAGACTTGTTTCTCATGCTCAGTTGCTAGCCGGATGCGTAGTTAAATGGGCTTATTAATAGAAGCAATATATTAATATGCCGCCATGCTCTTGCTGCAATAGAAAGCTCATTTGTGTACACAAATCCACCAACACAAATTGTCATTTGGATATGGGGTCGGGACTTTTTTCACTTTGATAATTTCATGCGGACGAACTGCTTTTGCTTCTGTCGCCCGGAGAAATTCTTCTTCTGCTTCGGCTGCTGTTTTCTGTGCAGGAAGAGAAAGAACAAGATGGGAATAAACAAGCAACAAGGTTATATCAACCTGGCAGGGGAGAGGACGAGAACTATCGAGGATGCGATGAAAAAAGCGAAAACACCGATACCGTCGGACGACGTGGCACTGGTGAATTTGCTGCAGAGGAACCTGTATTTAGTGGGGGAGGATTGAAGATGATGGGAAGTTCTATGCCGAGCCCTGTTTTCTGTCAGGCTCGGGACAGGGACTCAAATGTACACTATTCACACGGCCTTGCGCTCGCTCTTTTCTTGCCGCACACCTGGTGACGAGATGAAGACAATGTTGGGTATTGTTCGAAAAAGCTTCTCTCTGTAATCCTGGCGTGCAAGGGAAGAGTAGATACTGAAATCGGCGCTGCTACGAGCATTATACATTTCCGAGAAAATGAAAAAATCAATGTAACTAAAACAAAATCGCAAGATAGTCCTGCAATTGATGTTGAAACTTTCAGCCGTCGCAGCAAACATATCTTCACTGAGCGCCGCTACCACAGCTGCATCCATAGATTTATGGGTCCTGTTTATTTGGAGAGTTTTCTAGTCTTGCTTGAGTTGTGCTGCCTCAGCACATCTATCTTTTTGTGTGTTTTACTTTTTTTTCCAGGCATTGTTTACATGATGTCAATGCGATGAGTGAGCGGTGTAGTGGTCTGCACGATTACGACGTAAGTATTTGTCAGCACGACCTAAGTAGGGCTGCCGCTACCTGATTTTGATAACCCCAGAAACAAAACACACGAGAGTTGTTGAGGTAAAGCGTCACGAGTCAGCAAAGTGGCAGAGATTGAGTTCAGTTTGTCCGAAGTTGACTAGGTCTATCATTCATTCCACCCAGCAGAGGACTGCAACTTCAAATTCTGTGTCTCTCGTCTTCACAATGACTTTTCACATAGCGGAGCACTTTTTCAACTTTTTTTACAAGCGATGCCGATATCTACAAGTACACCACAAATACCATGATGAGTCCGTTTCTGCCAGGTCTGCAAGTAGAAGTAAATTCCGCTGCGCCCCAGCAGTTGTCGCGGCTGTAACAAAGGCAGAGCGCGCGGGGAGAGGAAGCGCGTTCCGTCGCTCTCCTGCCGGCCGCCGCACGACTTGGTCGCGGACAAGTAGACAGCACAGGGTGAATTTCCAAAACTACAAGCGACAGGCAGTACTAAAGCCATCGCGATATCGAAAGATCTTCAAGAAAATGGGAACCGGAAGTACAAGTTCAGCTGCTGGCAGCAAGAAGATGAAGAGCAGCGTGGCCAAAAGCGACGCCAATACCACGGATCTTGTTGCGGAGAAAGGACTGGCGAAGACGAGCAAAGCTAATAAAGCAAAAACTACAGATGCTAGTAAAAGTGCCGGAGAAGTGAAAAAGTCCACCGACAAAAAGAACGCGAAAAATAAAAGTGTTGTCGAAGATAAAGATTCAGGTGAAGCACCTAGTACGAAGACAAACAAGCAAGCCGACAGCGAGCGCAAAGCCACTGGCGGCGATGCTAAAAAAACGAAGAAAAGTAGCACCACAACATCATCGGAGTCGAAGAAGCGAGAGAATGATCCAGGCACAGTAAAACCGGATGTGGTGGGTAGTAAAGAAGACCATGTCGGTTGTAGTACTAGCAAGAACAGCAGGACGAGAAAAGCGGAGGAAGAAAACAAACTCGGTGGTCCGGCCGCCGGTACTTCTAAGAACTCGTCGTCCTCTTCTTCGTCATTGTTGCCTGGATCTGGTGCAGGAGCAGCTCCAGCAACATCATCAGCTGCTTCCTCATCCAAGAAAGAGAAACAGCAATCTTCCAGTGCTGGAGGTAGTAAAAAAAAGCCGGCACCACAAGAACTTGACGACGACAACAACGACGACGACGCACCAGGACGACCCTCTCGTCCGGGATCAGGAACAAGCAAGAAAACCGCAAGCCGCGATAGTGCAACATCCTTCAGCGTAAAGCTCGTTCCGGGGGCTGTGCTGCCAATGACGGACGGAACAGCATCAACAGCGAAAGCGGGTAAGAAAGTGAAAGTCGAGAAACTTCCGGGCGGCATGGAGCGGTACAGCTTCGTGGAGGATGAAGAGGACAAGCAGGACGTCGAAAGCTCTCGTCCTGCGGAGAAAAAACTGCCGAAAAAGAAGACGAAAAAAGAGGAGAAGCTCCCGACAAGAAGTTCAACTCTGTTACATGATGTGGCACCCGCGCAACAGAAATCTTCCTCGTCTGCGTCGTCCTCGAAACTAGTACCCCGAGCGGGAGGTACTACTAGTAGTACCAGCACAGCAGGAAGACCGCGAGTCGCAGGTCCTTCGATGAGAAGGGTAAAAAATTCCGTGGTGGGCTTACGAATGAGTGGATCATCTTCATCTTCTCCGTCATTATCGTCCTCCTCATCATCCTCAAATTCACCATCGCCTAAGCGGAAGAAAAGGAATCTTAGAAAGATTCCCCCGCCTCCCATATCCTGAGAAAACACGGGCCCACTGTCCCAGAATTGTCATGCAGATAATTTGCTATTGCTGCAACTATAGGAACACTTGGAAAAATGCGCATCCTCAGTCATGACAGGTATATCCAATTGCGTTTTGGCATTTGTAATCAATGTAATGCTGAAGATGTATCAGTAAGTAAACTAGATAATGTAGGAGACGGCTCTGTGATCCACGGCTGCCTGCTCTTGCTAAACTACACAATAAATACTTTTCATGCGACGTGCGTCCCAAAACTTCTGGATTTGTGCTGCAGAGCTCCCAACCATAATTGACTCTGGATTTGTGGGCCCCGTTTTTTCTCGGCATATCCCTACGTCGATCGAGAACCCCCGGACATGGCGGTTCCGGGAGCCGCGAGAAAGGAACAAAAGCGGCAACAACGGGAAGCCAAGAAAAAGTGGAAAGAGAAAAAGGCAAACCGGCAAAAGCGCAAACTTCTGGGACAAGGGACAAAACTCGAGCCGATTGCTGAAGTGGATGGAGAAGACGCGCGGACTAGAAGTAGCGGTGCAAGTTTTACTAGCAGAAAAATGGCTGTGGATGGAAATCTAAATCACATTGGCGTCGATGACAAGCAGGAGGCCAATGGGGTGGAGATGATAGAGCAAGACCTACTTCCACCCGCCGGCCCTAGCGAGAGCCTGAGCCGCGCCGAGCCACTTCTAGCGGAAGATGTTGAGTCGGGCGGCCTTGAAGACGTATCGATGCTCGGTCGTGGAGATAAAAAAGAGGACGCTCCTACTTCCGGTCCCCAGAGTAAAAGGCGGAAAATTGCATCATCTCTTCTCGAAGAGGGGCCAGCGGATAATGATGACGAGAGCAATAACAAGAATCGCCGGAGAAGAAGCACGGGTGGAGCTAGTGGATCTTCTCCCGAGCAGAACAAGATGAGAGGAAAGAAGAAACGAGACGACAAGGATGTAATTTCTCCAAAACGTGGTGAACAAGGAGCTGAGCCCCAACTACTAGTACCTGTTAAAGCGCCGGATCAAGGAAATAAAAACTCATCCGCCAAGAACAAGATGAAAAACAAGCCTGCAACATCTTCAAGTGCAGCGAATAAGTCTGGTCCTCCTGCATCAACGAAATCGCAAAAATCGCCTGGAAAAGAACTTCTACGAGCTGCAGGCGAGGGAAAAATTAATAAAGATGCTAAAGGCGCCGGCCCTCCTCTGCAGGACCGGGTACCAGAGACAGATCCACATAAGCAGCCGCTAGAGGAAGAAGAACAGCAGGAAGCTGACCAACAACCTCCTCCTCCGCCTTCGCTTCCGCGCCCATCTTCAAACGACCCAAACCGTTCGAGGAGCGGGACAAATGGCCATGATAACCTTCAAGAACAACCCAGAGGACTACGACCAGGAGGACCAGGAGCCCCAGGTACTGGCGGCGGTTCTTCCTCCTCCACCTCCGCTCTGCTGCACGACCGAACCCTCCTCCCCTGGATCCCCTACTCGCACAGTGCCGTGGTTCCTGGCGCCGACTTGCATTACGTTCCGGGATCGTCCAAAGCCAGCAATGGCACGGACAAAACCGGGCAGGCGTTGAGACACAGCGCAAGGTTGGCGCACGATGGGTTTCTGTTAGACGACGCGTTTCTCCAGAAAGTCCGGACTTTGCAACAGAAGGAGGAGGAGGACGAGGCTGCGAAAGCCGCGAAGAGGGAGCGGATCTTGAAAATGAAGCGAAATAAGGAGGAAAAAAAAATCGTAGAAGGAGCGAAGAACAAAGGCGATCCTGTAGTTGACCACGGTGATGCTGGTGTAGTCCTCTCTCCGGGGAAAGAAAAGTCCGGCGGAGGTCCTCTCACGACCGCTGGAAATGATGAAGAAGCATCTGCCGGTCGTGGTCCAGACGAAAGGAAGAAAGGTCTTGTAGATGGGAAGAAAAATCCCAAAAGGCCCGTCTCTCCGCCGCCGGAATCTGTTCAACCAGGATCACTAGACGTCGGTGGACAAGGAAAAATAAATAGTAATCAACAAGACCAGAGGACCCCGCCCGGCAATAATAGCAGCAACAAGCCCCCGGCGCCTTCTAAAAACCCTACTGCAAATAAAGCAAACTCAAGCAACATCTTCCGAGTTCCGCACCTGCACCAACTTCGACGGCAGCAGCAGAGCCCGGCGGCGGACCGAACTTTGATCCACATGTCGCAGCGCTCGGAAGTGGTCCAGGTAGATGGGAAGCCGGTCGTCGTGACGCGCACCAACTCCGCCGGCGCGTGCATCGTGCTCCCGTCGCGGCACTACCACAACCAGGGAGGGCCGCACCGCGTGCAAACGGAAGCGGTGCTGGCGCAGGAGGATCCAGAGCAGCGGGACCAGATCCACAAGCTCGTCGTGTACTGGGTGAAAAACTACAACAAACTAACCCCGGGGTTGGAGCACTTGCCGCAGTCCTTCGAAGTGAAATCCCACGACCCGGACAAGAAATCAGGCACTCTGTTGAAGTATCCTGTGCAAAAGTAATATCGTACACGTAAGTACTAATTGCGTTTATGCATTACAAATCTCCTTCCCGAGGTAAAGCAGCATGACAAATTCCATTTGTCACGCTGAGCTAATTTGTATTGCAATTACTACTAGGACGATACTTTTGCAGTTCATGTGAAGCGGTTGGGCGGGAAGAACGGGGCGGTGATTGACCCGAAAAACTTGGCGAAGGAAAACTTCATCGCGACCGGGAAGCTCTTGTCCATTTTACACCAGTTCCCGAACAAGCGCGAAACGTTGCTGTCCCGTTTGAATCTCTGGAAGCTGAAGCAGCTCGATTTGCACCTGCGCATGGGGCAGAAGACGCGGGAGGTGATGGCGCGGCACTACGGGGAAGTGTTCGAGAAACACAAAGACTATCTGCAAATAGGAAAAGCTGGCGCTGGTCGTGCTGGAATAAATCAGGACGGACAGAACATGAACTCCGCGGGACGACCGCCGGGAGCTGCGCAAGTAGGGGAAGGTCATGCGCAGCAAGGAGCACCGCCACAGCCGGGCTCTACTGTTGATCAAGACGACTCCGAGACGATGGAGCATAAATATGGCGTTCTCAAACGTTACAATTACATTCTCAACTGTTACATGCGTTTGTGATGCAAGAATGTCAAAAGTTAAAGTAGTGAAAGGGGTGACCCTGAAAGTGCCCGTCTTGCATGACAGATGGGGTGCAGATTCTCAGCCTATTTGGCCTTTCGAGAATTTGCCATGCGAAGCAGCTTGATCGTGTCGATTCTGCTTGTGATTTTGCTTGACAAGTCATGCAGTTGAGAGCGTAACATTTGCGAGCCCCATAACAAAAAACAGAGACTCATCGAGGACTTGAAGCAGCATACCCGGGAGAAGCTCACCCACCCCTTGCTCGCGCAGGGAGTGGAGGCCATCGCCGCGCAGACCTATTTGCGCCGGGATTGCCGTCGGGGCAAGCAGTCAAGAGGGCACGAGTTGACAGAGTCCTTGATTTTGCCGGCCGGGAAACGCGGGAAATTCATACTTCGCGACGCGGAGGACAGTGAGGAAGTCGACGATGAGCAGGTGGACAATAAGGTAGATCGGGGGAAGTCGAAGTTGCTGAAACCGGTGGGCGTGGCCGTCGTAGTCTCTGAAAATGACTCGGCAGCTGCAAGTAGTTCTCCTTCCTCTTCAGCGGTTGGTTTCATAGAGCAGCAAAGAAACCTTCCAAATGAGGACGACATGGAGGTGGACCAAGAGGGAAATGTAGATCCTGGGGCTTCTGCCGCAGAGAGAACGCAAAAATTCGGCGTTGAATCTAAACAAGAAGCCGATCCTCGTCCAGAAGATCACCTTTCTGGTTCTCCAAGTGGAACAAATGCCGCCGATTCATCGTCTGCTCGGGTAGTACAGATGAAGAAGAAACTACCGAAAAACAATAGGAAAAGTTCTCAACCCCTCGTTCTAATAGACAAGCACGATGTGCGTATCGCTACGGGGGGAACGTGGACGGTAAACCTCTTCGAATCCAACAACGCCGGCGATTTTTGGGAAACGAACGAAGCGTTTCGCCAATTGATGACGCGGGAGTCGCAGAACAAGAACGAGCAAGCGCGGCAGTGCAAGTTGGCCTACGTCGAGCGGAAGAACAAGGAACTCGAGGAGATCCGCCGCACGAGCAAGACGCACGGGTGGGGCATCGTGCGGATCATGGACCCGGTGGGGAACGTGCGCGAAACCCGACGGAGGATGGGGCGAGAGAAGAAGGGGGACGCAGCTGAAGATAATTCACCGGAAGGTGCTTGTGATATTGATCCCAAAATTAACCCGCTTGATCTCGACTTGGATGACGATAAGGATATCTCAGACGGAAATGGAGAGGGTGAAGATCGAATAGGTATTAAATCTCCAGCAGTGCAACTACAGCAAAAACGATCATTATCAAAGCAACCGGAGAAGATGTTCGAGAAGAACAAACGGCCCGCATCTCCTTCCGTCCGCGCCGGAATCGACTCCCCGGTCATAGAGGACGAGGATTTTGACGACCTGTTAGACGATGAAGAAGACGCGTTTGACGAGGACGCGCTCTTCACTGTGGGCACAGATTTGAACGACATCCTGAAGCCGTCCGTGCGGGAACAGAGAAAAATAGATCTGCTGGCTGCAGGCCAGAGCAAAACTGGTCCTGCAGGTCGTGGTGGGTTAAAATCAAAGCAAGCCGCTTCAACATCCTCGTCGTTCTACTCTGGTGCTTTTCATGGTCAACAAGAAAACGGGGCGTCGCAGATGAATTATCGTGGCGTCCACCCGGAAACAGAGCTTCTCCGTGCGGCGGAGGAGGACAAGGAATTCCAGGAAAGAAAAAAAGGCAAGCAGGTGAAAACGAAGCTGATTCAGGAGCGCACCGTTCGGTATGAGCTCGAAGAGAACCTGGAGTCCAGCAAGCTCGGCGATTTTCCCCGGACCATCGGCGCTTCGCGGATCGTTCGCATAGTGGAGCGAAGGGAGTTGGGGGAGGACGTGGCTACCAGCCTGGAAGAAGACCAGGAGCTGCATGAGGGAGACGGAGATGATGTGGAGTTTCTCGGCGGGAGGTCAGGAAAGCACAAATACAGCGAGAAGAAGAGCAAGCGCGGAATTTCACCTCTCAGCGTTGGAATTGGTAAACGAGGCAAAGACCACCACGACGATTTTCTACCAGCGCAAGCGGATGATTTTGAATTTGATTTTGACGAGGGCGATGGCCTTTTTGATGCCTCTGCCGGAATCAAAAACAGGAAGGAGGAGAAAGTGAAAGCAAGCACGACCTCCAAGAGGAATGAAAATCTCCCCGGCGTAGTTCCTCCAGCGGCTCTGAAGACAACAAGCTCGTCCGGAACCGCAGCTGGGATTAGAAGCCAGAGCGGACAGGAAAGGAACAATAAAGCGGAAGCGTTTATTTTCAACAGAACCGTCAGCGCAGCAGCGGCTAATACGGGTTTCAGGAATAACAACAACGGAGTCGTCGACGAGCAGCCGCTTATTGAGGAAGTAGTGGTCCAAGATGTGGACGAACACCAGCATGACGAGCAACAAGATGATGGAAAAATAGAGCAGAACAAACCTCCTACCGAAGGGCTCGGTGGTGGACAAGTACAAGGAAAGGAAAATGAGAATCAAGTAAATTTTGAAGACCAAACCTCTTCCGATGGCATTATTGCTTCGGACTCCGAAGAGGGGCGACGGGAGGAGGGACGACCGCAGGACGATGGGAGAAGCCGTCCAAATGAAAGTACGGTAAATGCTGCAAATGGAGCTTCTGGAACTGCAAGTCAAAATGCTCCTGCTGCTGACGAAGATGAAGGTGATGATCACTACTGGGATGACATGTTTGAGGCATGACGGCGTCGCTCGGCCGCAGAAGTTGAGGTTGAGCAAGCTGATCTTTCATCGCATTGCGATGCGCGTACAGGAGTAGGCTTTTTACGCTTAACCCGATTTTCCGCGCTGAAGATTCGTTGATGGAAGTGGACAGCGCGATGAACATGAAAGCGTCAAATCATTATGATTCTTCTGCAGCTGCCCTTTAGACTCGATCATGCTAGTACAAGCAAATAATAGACCACGTGGCGCTGGAGATCGTTGTTGAAACGAGCATCACGGTAGTAGTACTTTGCTCGACTGCTTTTCGAGGCGCTGCTCCATGATGCACCGAGAAAATAAACGCGGTGTTCTCCTAGAAGATGTTCCTGCTCTTCGTTGTTTTGCTTCTACACAAAAATCGCAAGATGAAGATGAGTACGCAGCAATAAAAGTTTGGTTTCTGCAGCAACTACTACTACAACTTACAATTGCAAAATGGAAGCAGAATTAGCCAAATGAAAGTAAGTACATGAAATGTTGTGATGCAGATGCAGTAGTATTCTGATTTTCTCTGTTACGAGTTGCTTTACTTTCGTCGCTGGAAAACTCCAGCCGCGGTTAAACACGAGTTCAAAGTCAAAAGCATAAAGCAAGACAGCAAAACCATGGCCGACTCGTTTCCGTCTGCTGGAACTACGCCATTACTGGCTTCGGGCAACCAACGCGCAACGTCGTCCTCGGACCCGAATGCCGGCGGCGCGACAACCGATAACCCCCATGATTTTTCCACTACGAGCACGAACAGCGCCCCTGTGGTGACCAAGGAGGATTTGGACCAATGGATCCACCACCTGACCTCCAAGCACCTACAGCTCCCCTTGAAGCACGCCGAAAAGCTGTGCGACCACGCGAAATTGATTCTCTCGCAAGAGTCCAACGTGGCGGAAGTTAGGACACCGGTGACGATCGCAGGTGATATCCACGGCCAGTACCACGATCTGATGGAGCTTTTCAGGATATCGGGCTCACCGCCCGACACCAACTATTTGTTTCTCGGCGATTACGTAGACCGGGGGTACTTTTCCGTCGAGTGCTTTTCGCTCCTTCTGTATGCAATAAAAAAACTGTGTCAGTGTAACTTGCTTTGGCTGACAGCATCACAAATTTGCTCTACATGACAGAGAAAGCCTGTCATGCGTGGTTTGTAAGGGAAAACACACATGAAAAGAGGACGGCGTGGTTGTCTAGCATGACAGGTGTAACTCTGTTGCATGTTCTGCATCACAGGTTTACACTTACACAGTTTTTTTCTTGCATATTCTGTGCTACAAGATCCGGTACCCAAGACGAGTCACGCTCTTGCGCGGAAATCACGAATCCAGGGCGATTACACAGGTAGAAGATGGTTTGGATTTTTTTTCTTTGCATACTTATACCCATAGAAATTTCGAATCATCTTTTAGTCGTACCGCATGACAAATAAAACGCTTCAAATGAAACAGGTGTACGGATTTTATGACGAGTGCATGCGAAAATACCCCTCCGCAACGACGTATCCGAAGAGAGAGAAGAAGAGCAGGAGGTGGATCTGTCATGCGCGGCAAGCATACAGTAACAGTTGCAGTTACTCATCATGAACACCAGAAAAGAACCGTTAGTATGCTGTCGTCACGTTTAGGTTCGTTTAGAGGACGTAAGCACGTTGTTTGATCGGCATGACAGACTCCACCTCTCCTCTGTTTCATTTCTCCCCTCCCATACGGGAAACATGTGGCGCACGTTCACCGATCTTTTCGATCACCTCCCGCTCGTTGCGGTCGTCGAGAACAAAATTTTTGCCCAGCACGGAGGTTTGTCGCCGAATTTAGACACCATCGACCAAATCCGGGAACTAAACCGGGTCCAAGAGGTGCCGCACGAAGTATCAACTGCAAATATGTCTGGGTCTGGGAGATTGCGAGATTTGTCATGCTAGTTTGGCATGACTCTGAGCTCTGTATTGCGTGCCCTCGAAGAGCTCTTTCTGTCTGTGATGCAAAAACGCAGTTTCTGAGAAACTGCGTTCTTCTCATGCAGAGTACGCAACTCTGAATCTGTCTCTGAACCACGGAAAAACTTGTCATGCTGGGCAGCGCATTACAGTGCGCTCACGCTTCCCTTTCTTGCATCACAAGTTTCCAAACCCAGACATATTTGCATTTGATACGAAGGTCCGATGTGCGACCTGCTGTGGTCCGATCCGGACGAACGCGCGGGGTGGGGCATCAGCCCCCGCTATCATTTGTAACCACGTCCCCGCCCCAGAGTTGTAATGCTAATCTGCATGCTGAAAATGTTTCTCATGCGGAGACCCTTGAGAAGCAGTTGCTAGTCGCGTCTTGGGATAACTTGTGATGCTAGAAGCAGCGCGATATGCTAGATCTGTGATGCTGCTGAACAAGCCAAACAGGATTACACTACGAGGCCAAACTTGTCATGCGCAACAGCAAGAGCTGACAGATTTGTCTAGCAGATTTCCCAGCTTGACTCTGGTGTGGGGACGTTTTTACTCAGGATACCCGCGGTGCGGGGCACACTTTCGGGTCCGATGTGTCCGCCAGGTGGAACCATTTGAACGGACTGTACTTGATCGCCAGGGCGCTTATGGAACAGGAAAGATGGAGGGCGGTCTACCTGCGGCGCTTTCACATGAATTTTCAGCGTGTGTTGCGATTTTACATCGATGCGTTTGATAATTTGGAACGAAGGTGTTGAAAGCCAGAGAGAGTGCCACGTCTACCGATTTCACGTGATGAAATCGGTTGGTATTTAGATAGATCCCTAGCGTACGTGTTATGCATACGATGCACCAGCATGATGAGAGAACAAATTACAAACTTGTTGCAGCAGTTGAAAGCCAAAGTCGTTCGGTCCGTTAGCTTTTTCCTTTCCATAAAGCACCAACTGGTAATGGAGGGATTCAACTGGAGTCACGACAAACAGGTACTAATTTTATGCGTATATAAAAAAGTTTCTGCAGTTTGTCATGCACAAGTGCGAAGATATGCAAAACATTGAACATGCGTCACTGCATGACAAGTTTGTTCCAAAAGATTATCACAACTTCTCCAGGTTGTCACCATCTTCTCCGCGCCAAACTACTGCTACCGGTGCGGCAACCAGGCCGCTATCCTCGAGGTATCCAGCACGATTTCCGGCCCCGCAGCCGACACAAACACCTCCACGGCGGTATGGGGTTCTCAAATGTTACATTCTCAACTGTTACATGGATTTGTAATGCAAGAATGTCAAAAGTAAAAGGGGGAAGATTACGCCTTTTGCATTACAGGTTTGGCGCAGAGTCTAGTGCTACCTAGCGCGTCGAGAACTTGTCATGCGACGCAGCTTGATGGTGTAGATACTGATGAGCGTTTTGCATGACAAATCGCGTAACAGTTGAGAATGTAACGCTTGAGAGTCCCATAGGCGGAAGACGCGGGATTGAACACGGGTGGCATCATGGAGCAGAACCTGGCCACCTATGCAAGAAAAAAACTGTGTAAATGTAGTAACTCTGTGACGCAGAACATGCAACAGAGTCACACCTGTCATGCCAGACAGCTCGGACGTCCTCTTTTCATGTGTGTCTTCCCTTGCAAGCCGCGCATGACAGGTTTTCTCTATCATGTACAGCAAATTTGTCATGCTGTCAGCCAAAGAAAGTTATACTAACACAGTTTTTTTCTTGGATACCACCTCCACGACCAACAATATGAACCAAAATCTCTCCACCGGGATCGAGTCACACTTGCAAAACACAACCGCCTATCAAGTGCAAAAATGTCTGGGTCTGGAAGAATGCATGTTTGCCATGCTTGTCTGGCATGACTCTTAAATCCGTCATGCACGTTACCCAAGTAGAGCTCCATTTTTCTGTGATGCAGAAACGCAGTTTGTCATCCAGAATAGCCAACACCTAGAAAGAAGCTCAGAAACTTGTCATGCTGAGTCAGCACTTGTGGCCTCATCATGAGACGCCACCCAGCATCACAAGTTTCCAGACCCAGACACTTTTGCAGTTGATGTCGTCTCCGACACCCGACCCGGGCCAAAGTGGGCCAGTTTTCTGCAGTTCGATTCCGCGCCGAGGAGAGGGGGATTGCAGCCCATGAATTTCGGCTTAGACGACGAGGGAACGTTTTTGGCGGACGAGCCGTACCCGAGTCAGCTGATTCCGAAACCCGATTACTTTTTGTGATTTTGCACGAAAACGAACTGAGCTGAAGCTTCTGTAAGTAAGTGTGGTTCTGCTTTCTGCTGTGAATGCGTTTTGCCTCCATGGAAATGTTTGAGAAAGTCGTGAAAAAATGAATGATTTTGAAAGGTTGCACTTTCATCTTGACGCTGATTTTTCCTATTTGAAGCTGAGAATTATTCTATTCCTGGCAGCATTGGAGTGTGAATGAATGGTTTGTAAACTAGGAAACGAAGATGGTTGTTGTGGCAAAGAACCTAAAACATTTCATAGAAAGAAAAGCAAAGTCTTTTCACTTTTTCCAATGCAAATTCACGTAGATGATGACGCCGAGTACTTACTTGTTGCTAAATTAATCCTCTGCACTAGCTCCGATGAATGTTGAAGTTGATGTACATACACGACACAAGAGTCTTTACTCTACTGTGGTCACAACAACCGCCGCGGAAGTAGATGAAGACGAGTGCGAGTGGCTTCCGCAAGAGAAGACTGAAAATGTTACTGTCTAAACGCAAATTTTCTGCAGGCTCTGAAGGAAGATCATTTGATCTTTTTGGTTTTCATGTCCACTCTCCTGGCATGATGCTCCAGAGATCCTCCCCCTTTCCGTACTACAGGTAGGTTGCGGGGGTCCTGCCGGTCTGCAAAGAAACGGCAGCTGCAGCCCCGCCCGGATCTTGTCTTTGATGTTCTTTTTTTTGTAAGTGCCTCCAGTTCCAATTTCCAAGCACGACCGTCGGCTCAATAAGCAGGACGACCGCTGTCGTCGTGATAGATCCATTCTTCTCGATCCTTGTACGTGCTAGTGCAGTGGCACTGGCAGCAAGTGCAGCAAAAGGCAAAAAATCTTGACTCACGACAAAATTTTACAGCGCGCGAAAAGAATAAGAAAGCCGAGAATTCGTTTCGCGTGCTTGAGTTCTGCGTTGCTTTTCCAGTTTCCCTTTTCTTTTTTGATTTTACAGCGACACCATGCTTTTCCATAGCTAGTCTCACGATTTCTAAATTAATTTTTCACCTAGCAATTTGTTCGCAATCTTCATCTTGATCTCGTAGTTTTCTGTGTTAATGAGTCGATCACAACTTGAAAGAAGAAAAACAATGACACAGCACCGTGCTATCGCAGCGGATGGTCGATTGTTTTCAATCCCACTATTGAATGGCGCAAATTGATCAGAGGAGTCGTTTCCGCAACGGCAGCCCCAAGCGGTGACGACCGACAAGAAGTAGAGTCCCCTCCTCGACGCCACGTGCATATTGCGGCGGCGAAAAGTTACTAGACTCCCGACCGTCACGACCTTTTCGAAATGTACCAGTACCCGCAAAACCCCCACGGCGGCCTAGCCGGTTTCCACCATATGGCCAACGCCAACCTTATCCCCGGTTCCGGCTTACAAATCCCGGCAGGCCAAGCACCACCCATGCCCGGGCAAGTCGTCCCGCCGCAATTACTGGGACGAGGAATGATCGGGGCCAACCTGGGCAGCAATCCTATGGTGCCACCGCCACCACCTCCAGCATCCGGCATGAACTACCCCGACGTTGTCAGAACAGCTTCAAATGCCAACCAAACTTCTTACTCGTCCACATCCCAAACCCTCCTCACCCCTTCCCTGGCCCAAGCGACCGGCGTCGTGCAGAAACCGGCCCCGAACCTGACCGCCCGGTCGCAAGTCAGCTGCATCTACTGGTGCTACGGGCACTGTGTTCGCGGGGATTCCTGTCACTACAAGCACGACCCCAATCACTTCGAAATCTACAAGGGCCAGTATGAGAGTACACAACTCCCCCTCCCGCCCCTCATTTGTCATGCAGCACCCGACAACATCTAGTCGCTGCCCTGTGGCACTGTTTCCATGACAAATTCCGGAAGCCCAAACAGTACTACATCAGGTATATCAATTTGTCATGCATATGCTCCACGTGTGCTGGTGTTTGTATTGCTGTTCATGCCATACACATGAGGGGGACAGGGAGTTGTGCACTCTCATAGCCAGCCGCCGGGCTTGCCGCCCCCCTCCGGCGGCCCCCGCCCGCAAACCGGCATGCACGCGGCCGGGGCGGTGGCAGGAGCTGGTGGAACCACTGCGGGCGGGCTTAAACCAGGCTTGCTCCCTGCGGGCATGTATCAACTGCAAAAATGTCTGGGTCTGGAAACTTGTAATGCTGCGTTGGGAATAGTGAATCAATGCTCTATAATGCGCAGGCAAGCATGAGAAATACAAATATCTGCGCTTCTTTATGACAGGCAAAAGGGTCTGTTCTTGGACACGCATCACAAACTTTTTGGTCATGCCAGACAAGCATGACAAAATCTCAAATCTTCCAGACCAAGACATTTTTGCATTTGATAGCATGGTCGCGGGACAACCGAATGATATCCGGAACGCGATCTCGGGCGCGGAGAAGGAACTGTCGACGAAGGTTTTGGCCAGCATAATACCCGGCTTTGCCGGATCCACAGGGACTGCTGCAGGGACCAACGGGAAGACATTAAACGGGGGCGACCAGCAAGTGGCCCTAGACGAAGCGGCACTGAATCCTCTGCTACTCGGGCAACAAATCCTGGTTAACGCAGCGGCGGTGGCGGCGACGAGTATAATAATGTGTTTTTGAGTGATCATCAACATCTGTTTCTGTAGGAATGCTTGGTCAACATCCGCTCGTCTAGTTTGGGCTTAGGGTTTAGGGTCACCAGAAAAAGAATTTCAAATCACAAAGACACACATCATCACCCCCACCAGGTACGGCCCAGTTGACCGGTGGGCACCTCGGGCTCGCGACCGCGCCCATGAAACTCACCGATTTGAACAACATCGACTGTGGCCAGCAGCGGTACGTTGGCATTGTGAAGTCGTTTGACAAGTTGAAGCAACTCGGCTACCTGCAGGCGGACGTTTTATCTAATCGCTTCATCGGTTACGACACCCCACAGAAAATGGAAGTGGCGGTTATGAAAGAGGATTTCCAGCGGCTGAACCTGTACGCGGGCTGCATCGTTTCCTTCCAACTCGCGATATTCGCGCCGGACCACAACGGCAGCTTCCGCGGCAAGGAAGAGCTGGAAGAAGCGGCGGCGGTTGGGAGTAGTGCTGGGTTGAAAAAACTGCCCTCGGTCATGGAGCTCGGCGGGGAGAAGAAACCAATCGTATAAATGAAGATGGATTCTCATTCTTTACTTACACGGCTTTTTTTTTTGATTTGGTGTCAAGCTCATGCACTGTATTTGAACCGTTTGAAATTGTTGATGAGGTAAATCAATCACTACATTCGATTTCGAAAGACGTTGTGCAAGAAAAGCAGGAGTGCAAAATAGCATCAATTTCATCAACCTCAACTTTTATTCCAGGCCGAACAAGTCGAGCTGGTCGACCCGATGTTGTTCGTCCCGGGCATGCCGAAGGTCGTAGCCAAGAAAAAAACGAAGAAGAACCGGCAAGCCCTGGACGAACTGGAAAAAAACCTGCCAAACGCGATCGACTTGGCGCAGATTCTGAAAGACGTGGAAAACGTGGCGGAATTGGTTGAAAGCGAGCTCTTTGTCGTGGAAAAAGAAATTTTAACCCGGGACTTAAAGAACCTCGAGGAGCTGAAACGTGAAGAGCGAAGGTCGTTGAAGAGAATGAGGCGGGAACTGAAAGAAAAGGCGAGCAAAGATACAACTGGAGGCCGCGGCGGTGACAAGGACAAGAACAAAGGAGCTGCTGATGATGACGACAAGAGACGGAGTAGAAGCCGGTCCAGATCTAGGTCCAGATCCGACAGATCGAGGAGCAGTCGGAGTCGTAGCCGACGACGGCCGCGCAGTAAAGATCGACGGCGGAGGAACAACAGTGGAAATAAACGAAGCGCCAGTCGCGACCGGCGCGGGGGTCCCCGGCCGCCAAGAAGAGACGGAACGAATTATTCGAGGAGTAGGAGTGCAAAACGAGATGGGGATAGGAAGAACAGCAGGAGTAGAAGAGACCGCGACAACACGAGAGACCGGGGCGGGGGGAGAGGGAGAAGGGATAGTCGAGGCGGGGGTGGGAGCCGGAGGAGTCGAGGAAGAGGCAGGAGAAGGTCAAGGTCCAGATCGAAATCGAGAAGGAGGTAGGAACGAGAATTTGGCCTCGCTGTGAGGTAGAATCCTCGTCAATTGCTGCACCTGCTCCACATCATCGCTAATCGCAAGCTTGATGATTGAAACAAGGCCGTCAGTAACGTAAACGAGCGACATTGGTGTACCATACTGTAGTCTTGTATTGCGAATGCACAAGCACAACGAAAAAATCATCACTCAACAAGCGCGGCGGCAATGAAGCGCACCACAACAATCTGAAAAACAGTGTTCGAACTTATGCGGGGGTGGAATTCAACAACAAGCAGAGAAGTTCGTGTACCAACGGAGAAGAAAGATCTACAACTGCACAAGGTCTACTTTTTCTGTTCCAGGATCGTTCACCAATCATGTGAAACAGGTTTAAGAAATAAAAGTGTTTCCGTGTCCAAAAAGCTTGTCAACAGTAAAAGCAGTTGTGTAGGTTCGACTGAAGTAGAAGCTGTACACCTCAGTTATGCTTTCTATGTGCCAACATTACAACTCCATCCAACAAGTATCTCGCCCCACAACAAAAAACAATCGATAGGTATCGGCTCTGCTGTAGAAAAACAATTGTGGTCCTCCATATCTCTAACTCCAACTAAGCCTTGTGTTTGTCGATGCTTTCAGTCAGTGCAAGTCGCAGAGCATTGACTTCTGCTGGTGTTTTCTCTAGAAGTACTGTAGTGCGACAACCAGCAATACGATTGGTAAGGCAATTCTCCAAGAAAGATTCGTTATCCTTGCCTCGATCATTTACGACAAATTTTTCCGCTAAAGTAAAAACTACACCGATTCATCGTAGAAACTACACGCTCAGCATTCCACCTCGTTATCACACATTATTAGCCTCACGATCCTTCCTTACCACTACCAGAGCCCCTGTTCTGACCAACAAGATGGCTCCCGCTGCACCCGAAGACGGCGCGGAAACCGCCGCTCTGCCGAGTTCTTTCACCGAGGAGGAAATGAAGGAGGATCCCTACCTCTACCTCGAAGAGGTGGAATCGGAAAAAGCGCTGAATTGGGTGATATGCATTGCAAATATGTTTGGGTCGGGAAGAATGCGTGTTCGTCATGCTTGTCTGGCATGATTCGAGAATCTGTGTTGCATAGACACGAAAAGGCCCTCTTACCTGTCATGCAAAAACGAAGTTTGCCATGCGGAATACGTAAGTCATGGCAGCCAAAAAATTTGTCGTGCATAGCTGCGTATTGCAGTGCGTCTATCATTCACTTTTAGCATTACAAGTTTACAGACCCAGACATGTTTGCACTTGATAGGTGAAAGAGCAGAACAAAATCACTTTGGACAAGGTGGTTTCCATATCAAATGTAAAAATGTCTGGGTCTGGAAGAATGCAAGTTGTGATGCTGCATTTGGATTCCAAAAAAATCTGTATTGCATGAGCAGCAAAGGGAATGCAATTTTTTCTACGCGGAGAGGGAATTTGTCATGCGGAATAGGCATCGCGAAGCCCTCAAAAAATCTGTGATGCTAGGGCATGCATCACAGACATCATGGCCAATGCAAAACATGCATGACAAGTCTCAGAATCTTCCAGACCCAGACATTTTTACATTTGATATTCCAAAACTGCTGCTGCTTCAAGCAACAAGTACACCAAAATCGTGATTGAGGACACGGAAGAATACAAGCGGTCCCTGCAGATCCTCGACTCCAAGGACAAAATAGCCCACGTGCGGAAAATTGGCTCGTATTACTACAACTTCTGGCGCGACGAGAAACATGTGAAAGGGATCTGGCGGCGGACGAGTTTTTCTGAATACGGGGGCATATGGATTGCAAATATGTCTGGGTCTGGAAACTTGTGATGCTAAAATGTGCATGATGAAAACACTTCCGAATGCAGTCCGGCACGACAACTTCCCAAAACGCTTTTTCATAGGCAATCCACATGAGAAACTGCGTTTTTGCATGACAAAAGAGGCTGCGACTTTTGTTAATTATGCAATACAGATTTTCTAGGTATGGAAAGCTAGCATTACAAGTTGCAACCTTCCAGACCCAGACATTTTTACAATCCATAGGGCAAGCAGGACCCGGAAAGCGTCGAGTGGGAAACGGTGCTGGATTTGGACGAGCTCAGCAAGAAGGAAGACAAGTCCTGGGTGTGGTCGGGGTACAGTTTGCTGCCGGAATTGGGGTTGATGGAACAAGATTCTGGTAGTACCACTGAAGTAGAGAATGCTGAGCAAAAACGTCCCCACCCCATAGTCAAGATGGAGATTTTGCAACACAAACCTAGAAGTTTTGCGAGTCACGCATGACAAGTTGCAGGCTGTATTGTAGTGCAGTCTAGCAAGGATATCCGCATAACAAATCCATTTCCTCATCCTGTTTACAGCATTACAAGTTCCAAAACACGACAGAAAGTGCCTCACTTGGGGATGCGCATCACAAATGCCCCTGTACTTGCTAATCTGCATGACAACTATAGAGTGGGGACGTTTTTGCTTAGGATATAGAGAAAAAAGACGTCATCGCGCTGCTCAAGCTCTCCCCCGGCGGGTCTGACGCGGTGGTTGTTCGGGAGTTTTCCCTGACAAAAAAGCAATTTTTGTCCGAAGACAAAACACGAGACAGCGCGTTCACGGTGGAAGAGAACAAAACGCAGATCTCCTACCTGGACCGCGACACGGTTTATCAACTGTAAAAATGTCTGGGTCTGGAAGAATACAACTTGTCATGCTAAATCTGAATGATGCAAAAATCTGTGTTGCGTGAGTACCAAAAGCTGTCCACTGTTGACCAAGTTGAGAGGGAGTTTCTCATGCAGGAGAGGCATGATAGAGACCTCAGAGAATCTGTCATGCTAGGTCCTGCATTCCAGACCTCATGGGTCATGGAAAAGCTGCATGACAAGTCGCGCATTCTTCCAGACCCAGACATTTTTACACTTGATACGGTTTTTCTCGGCACGAAGTTTGAAAACGAGGAGTTCAACGGGCTAACCGACTCGTATAGCGTTCTCAACTGTTACATTCTCAACTGTTACATGGATTTGTGATGCAAGAATGGCAAAAGTCAAAGTAGGGAGGTTGCACCTGTAGCATTCCAAATTCCGCACAGATGTAGGTGCTGTTTAGCCTTTCCAAAATTTGTCATGCAGAGTAGCTTTATCTTGTGAATATTGATGTTTGTTTTGCATTACAAATCATGTAACAGTTGAGAATGTAACAGTTGAGAGCGCCATAACTCGGGATACCCCAGGATGGTGAAAATTTGGGCCCGGGGGAAAGAGAAAACGCAGTTAAAAACGATTTTCGACGGGAATAAACAGGATGTCGCGTCCGGCGGCCACGCGTATAGCTGGACACGGGTGGATGAGAAAACGCAGAAGAAAATCACGACCATCTACGATTCCATCGGCCAGTCGAAAACGTTTTACACCCGCGACCACTACATCAAAAATGGGTATTGGGAATTCGTCTACGACGAGAATAATTCTTCATCCAACGCAGATGTTACCCTTTCTTCCATCCGTAACACAGATTTGACCGATACATCTGTTTGCAAGAAATTCTACCCGGACACGGAACCCGATAAGCTGATCCGATTGTCTGGCGTTCCCGACTCCGCGGACGTTTCTGTTTACCAGGACTACGCGGTGATTTCTCTGAGGAAAGATTGGGGAGATAGTACAGACAAGGAAAACGCGGACTTCTTCTACCCGGGGGGATCGCTTCTTGTCGTACCGTTGAAAAAGTTGATCGATGTCGCCGGGGAGGTTTTGCCGACGTTCAAAGCGGACTCGCTTCCCGAAGTGACCGAGGAGAATGATTATTACAAAGAGAACTTTGTGAACAACGGGAAGACTTTACAGCTCCGGAAGATGTGCAAAATGCTGTTCAAGGGGGGAGTCGAGGGCGAAGCGCTGCAGGACACGTGCGAAACCAAGGACTACTTGATCATCCACAAGACCGTGAATTTGAAGCCGGAGCTGGAATTTTGGAAGAAAGGAAATAATGACGGAACACCGAGCGGAGATTGGGTTTTGGACACCAGTGAAAAGACGAACTTTTTGAAGACCACAGGCGGAGCTGGGAAACATGACGCCGCGGACGAGAACATTTTTGAGTCGATTTCGCTCCGTTCGGTTGATTGGGACATGAGTTCGGATGATCTCTGGTTTACCTCCGAGTCCTTTTCCCGACCGGAACAGCTTTTTTACATTGACACCAAATCTACCACAACCTCCTATGGCGTTCTCAAACGTTACATTCTCAACTGTTACATGGATTTGTAATGCAGGAACAGCAACAATCAAAGTGGCAAGACTGGAGCTTTCGCATTACAGACTTTCCACAGATTATCATGCTATTTAGCCCTTCGAAAATTTGTCATGCTAAGCACCTTGAGCAAGTGGAGGGCAATGGCAATTTTGCATGACAAATTCATGTAACAGTTGAGAATGTAACGTTTGAGAACTCCATACCTCCACCGCGGAAAAGAAACTGTTGAAGTCCGCCCCGAAATTCTTCGACGACGATAAAGTCACGACGAGCCATATGGGAGTGTCAGAATCGAAATTGACAAAATCGGAAAACTTGTGATGCGCAAAATCGATGCCAGTTAGACCCACAGTTTGTAGTCGGCGCATGACAAATTCTCCTCGTCCTGGAAGCGAGTCTGTCATGCGGTTTAAGGCAAAAGAGCTGCCTTCTGTCATGCTAGTCAGCAGCCCAACACTTAACCCTTAAGTACCAGGACTACAATCCGCCTTCCTTGCATCCTCTGCAATAGAGTCGCTTTTTGCGTAGCATTTTGTGCATTACAGATCATTGCGATTTTGTCGATTTCGATCCTGACACTCCCATAAGCCAAAGATGGGTCGTGTCGAAAGACGGCACCCGGGTGCCCTACTTTCTCGTCGGGAAAGACTTGACTAGTTCCTCCAAAAGCACCAAACCGCGCCCCACCTGTCTCTACGGCTATGGGGGGTTCGAGATATCCCTAACGCCCAGCTACATGGCGATCGCGGGTCAGCAGTGGATTGAGAAGGGAGGAATTTTTGCGCTGGCGAATATCCGCGGTGGCGGGGAATTTGGGCCGCAGTGGCACCTATCCTCTGCAAAAGTATCGTACTCGTAGTAATTGTATGTAGTGAGGTCACCGAACGGTTCTAACCGGGGAGTTTTTTTGCCACCTACCGTGAAAAACGACCGGCAGTTTTCAAGCGGCCGGAAGCGTTTTTTGACATAAAAGATTTTCAATTATCAAGCCTCCGGGGCTTTGAAGTCAAACAAGCCCGGTCGAAAACTATCGATTCGCACTGGATAAAACGACGCAGGGAAGCCGGCAAAAGGGGCGCCGTTCCGAGGCGCCCGCCGCCTTGGTTTCTGGCGATTTGGGGCGCCCAAAAAGGGGCGCGCAAAAAACGCGCCCAAAATCAGAACAGCGAAACAGCATGGCACGGCCGCGATTTCGGAGCATCTTGGGCGGCCGCGAAAGCGGCCGCCTTTTCGCCGGTTTTAGAGCCTGGGAAGCTTTGCAAAAAGCGCCGGCGTGAAAAATAAAAACGCGAAAAATAAAAAACGCCCCAGACGCGCAAACCCAATCCGCATGCTATGGGCCCGGTTTTTCTTCGCTTTTTGGGCGCCCCCCGTGGCACCCGGATCGGCCCCATAGCATCGGGGCTGGCTTTCGGAAAGGAATTTGGGAAATGTGCCAAAATTTGTGATGTTTCCCAAGTGGCCGCCATACCGTGCGGCATAACGTTACTCACGGCGGTATGGCGAGCCCAGAAAAAACAAAGGCGTGGCCAAGGCGGCGGTCGGCAAAAAAACGCCCACGACCTCACTACCCCCGCCCCGGCGGCTATATTTGGTAAGTGCAGCCATGCATGACAAATGATCCAGCTTTCTACCCGAACACGCATGACAAATTCTTTTTCCGATAAATGTGTAATGCGATTTTCTCTTATCATGATACTTTTGCAATGCATAGCACCAAGCCGCGTTGAAGGAAAACCGACCGAAGGCATACGAAGATTTCGAGGCGTGCGGAATGGACTTAATTTCCAGCGGAGTCACGACCAAGGAGATGCTCGGTACTTAGTTTCGTACGGCGCTCCGTTCCTGCTCGTGCAGTATCTCCTAGTTGTACACAGATCTCTTTTCATGTCATGCAGTGTCAGCAACAGCATGGTAAGAAAAGCAAACAAATATGATGATGATGTCTTTCAGATGTATTACTCAATCGAACGGCCACCAACCCACCCCCAACGCCCTCACAGGTTGCATGGGCGGTTCCAACGGCGGGCTTTTAACCGGCAACATCTTCGTTCGCGGGGCCCAAAAACCCGAATTGATCTTCAGCGCCATTGTGTCCCAGTGCCCGCTACTCGACATGAAGCGGTTTCACAAACTCCTAGCCGGCGCGAGTTGGATGGCGGAGTACGGGAATCCGGACTTGGGCGAGTATGAGAAATTCATCAAAAATTTATGCACTGCAAAAGTATCGTAGTAGTATAAATCGCATGACAGATTTCCTCAGCATGAGAAATGGAATTTCTAATGCGCATCTGGCTCGAGAATGAAATTTGTAATGCATGAATGCGATTAGTACGAGTGCGATACTTTTGCACAGGATAAAACTACTCCCCGTACCAAATGATCGAAGCAATGGAAAAAGCAAAAACCCATTCCTATGCAAGAAAAAAACTGTGTGAGTGTAGGTGTCTTGGAGTTGTGACAGCATGACAAATTTGCTCTGCATGACAGAGAAAACCTGTCATGCAAACCGCAAAACAAACACATAACAAAAACAGGACTTCATGGCTGGCCAGGATGACAGGTGTATCTGTGTTGCATGCTTTGCATTGCAGACTTGCAGCTACAGAGTTTTTTTCTTGGATAACTCCGCGATCCTCTTCACCACGTCCACCAAAGACGACCGCGTGCACCCGGGCCACGCGCGAAAGATGGTATCATTTGTAAAAACGTCCCCACCCCAGAGTTGTCATGCAACTGTGCAATGACAGCAACATTTGTAATGCGCAGCTCCATGAGAGGCATTTCCAATCGTGCTTTGGAATTTGTAATGCTGTACACAGGATGAGAAAGTGGCTTTCTAATGCGCCTTCCCTTGCCAACCAGCACTACATACACTGCAGAGGGAAGCTTGTCATGCACAGCTCCCAAAACTTGGTGACTTGTGTTGCTAGCTTTCCAACTTGACTATGGGGTGGGGACGTTTTTGCTTAGGATAGATGGTGAAACGGATCCAGGACATGCTGGAGCTCCCGAATGAAGGGGCCGCCGACATTGTCCGCTACTACGAAAACATCGAGGGCGGCCACGCGGGGGCGGCGGACAACAAGCAAAGAGCGTTCATGAAAACCCTGGAGTGGCTGTTTCTGTGGGAAAAACTTTCTGGCGGTCGTGGGGGAAAGGGCGGTAGTCGTAGTGTGTCGCCGTCGAAGAAGTCGCGCGGGTGCTGCGTGCCGGGGCCTAGTGACTCGTCTCCGCGGGAAGAAAACTCCTGCTTGTAAACAGCAGTTCTCGGAGGTGCGTGGTTGTACACGAGCTGATATCTTCTCCAATGTCGTGTCGGTTTAGGTCGAGACGACGACGCGAATAGGTTTTCTGTAGTTTCGAGAAATAAACGAATTTTTCATGATGCTAGCGAAGCATCTAGTTGAAACTTGTCGTCGATATGCGTCTTTTTCGCCTACATGCGGTTCTTTTTCTACGACCTGTCATGGAGTTTTTCAATTTCGAATCTACAAGTGAGCGGTTGATGTTGATGTAAATGATTTTCAGCAGAATGATATCAAGGTGTCACGAGTGCGTCTACAGCAGGGTCGCCTTTTCTACAAGGTCGAGTATAATCAAAGTGCAGTGCTCGGCACAGGACGTATGTCTCATCTCCTCGTGTATTTGCTGAATGTACTCCAAAGATTTTTCGTCAGCTCAGCGGCAAAGTCGGTAGTAAAATATGCTCTCATGCTACGGATCAGAAAATAAAAGGAGAGAGAAAGACGAAGAAGAAAATCAAATATACGAAAAAGACAAGATCCACGAAACAACAGAAATGATCATGTTCATCACACAAATCCCGGGTATGTGACCCGACGTCGGTAAAATTCAAACTCGATTGATCACGTCCTTTTTCCGGTCAAATTCAACTTATTTGCTGCTGATTATTACCGCCAGTGCACCATCTGTGACAAAAACCCGCTGCAATTATAAGCCTCAGAAAACGCCCCTAAAAGACCACAGCAGTGATTCTTTTTCTTGCACAAGATCAAAATTATAGAAATAAGTCAACTACTCTCTCTTGCAACTTTAAATTAAGCTGAAGCTGTGCGAGCTGCTAGATTTAGCACTATTTTGGTTCCTTTGCTACAAGAAGTAGAAGAAGTTCAAGTCCTTGCTATTCTCAATTAAATTGCTCGTTGCGCAAAGCATTTCCTGCAAAATTTCTTCCGCAAACTCCGTGTTTTTTTGTTGGACCTGCAATTGTAACAAGAGCCGACGGCTTTATTGCTGTAAATTCACACCAAATCAAAATCAAATAGATTTGCAGCTTTTTTGCTACACAAAATCATGGCGCGTCGTCCTACTCTGTCCGTCCGAGGAGCACTCGGGGCCGCTACCGCAGCGCTTCTGCATCTCAGTTGTTGTGCCCCAGTCCCAGAGCACCCGGCACTACTTGTTGCAGCCGTCCAAGTAAAAAGGTCTTTCGACCGTCTCCTGGGGCCGCGACAGCCGCTAGACGCCACCTCGCACCGAAAGCTTGCCGCTGACAAGAAGAACGAGTTTGTTGTCACAGATCTGAAATCACGCCTCCTTGCGGAAGCGTGTTTTGGTAGCGAAGAGGCAGCAAAATTGCCGCACAAGTATGAGCCGGCGAAAAAAGACGAGCCATTGCTGGACTTGGTGAAAGGCGGGAAGATATGGATTGTAAAAATGTCTGGGTCTGGAAGAATGCAAGCTTTGTGATGCAGGTTTTCCATGACCCATGAGGTCTGGAATGCGAGGCCCAGCATCACAGATTCTTGGGGGTCTCTATCATGCCTTTCCTGCATGAGAGACTCCCTCTCAACTTGTTCAAAAGCGGACAGCTTTTGGTACTCACGCAACACAGATTTTTGCATCATTCAGATTTAGCATGACAAGTTCTAATCTTCCAGACCCAGACATTTTTGCATTTGATAGAAGAAAGACGGATCAAGTTGTACCACAGCATCTGCAAAGCCGCTTGTCTTGCGGGACAGCACCAATGTGCGTGCGGGCAAGATGAACACATCGACTGGTGTCAACAACTCGTCCCCTTTTGGCTTCTCCACCGAACAAGCAGGTGCAACTTCTTCTACTTCTAGAGCCCCGTTTCTGCTGAACCAGACGCGCGACGCGGAAGAGTTCAGGACCCTGCGTCGAGACATTCACAAAAAGGAAAACCAGTTGGCAAATCCGGTGAAAGTCCTCGACCCGAGCACAAAACTCTCCGCGCTGGTGGTGGAGGACAGAAGTACTACAACTGCGGGTAGTAGTTCTTCATCTTCTAGAAGAAGTAGAAGTACTAGTACAACAGCTGCAAAAGAAAACACCCTCGTCAAAAAGTACGGCCAGATTACGGACAGTTGCGCCTGCGTGCTGGCTATCACATGCAAATATGTCTGGGGCTGGGAACTTGTAATGCTGAATGGTCATGATTAAGTGCGGCTTTAAGTGCAGTGCAGCATGACAAAGTTTTCAGTCGCTTTCTCATGCGCAGCACGCATTACAAAGACAAACTGCGACTTTGCGTGACGAACATGTGGCGCTTTTGCTGCTTGTGCAATACAGATTTTGAGGGCATGCGAAACACGCAATACAGGCTCAACCTGTTCGGACCCAGACACATTTGCAATGCATACTGGCCCAAGCCCTCCAGGACGAGATTCAGGTGGTGAATTTGGCGCGCGCAACGGACCTAAAGACCTACCGCATGAGCAGCTCAAACAACACCTTTGCGCGCGAGGGTGGGGCCCAGGGTGAGAGCTTCTTCGGGGGACACGACCTCGAGCACGAGGTACTTTACACCGCGGTTTGCTTGCCTAAGTCCGATGCGACGATCGCGCAAGACCACAAGAGTGGGAAGCCAAGTGCTGATAGTGATGAAGAACTTCCAGACTTTGTCCACGCTATGCCTTACGTGGCCGCCGGAGCGACGTACTTCAAAATAAACCCCCGAACGGGGCTGATTGCCGAGGACTGCGTGCCGACGCACGGTGTCGAAATCTGGCAGTTGGAATCCGAGGATGGCAGTAGACCACGGCTTATCAAATGCAAAAAGGTCTGGGTCTGGAAGGATTCGAATTTGTGATGCGAAGTCTACATCATGATAAAATCTGTCATGCATCATGGCTAGCAATAAAAAGCCTCACTTCTTGTTTCCGAGGGAGAGGATTTGTCATGCGGATTAGGCATTGGAATAAGTGCTTAAAATCTGTGATGCTAGAGCTTGCATGCCAGACGATCTGGGTCAGGCAAAAACTGCATGACAGATCTCGCATTCTTCCACACCCAGACATTTTTGCAATCCATACGGCTGCTGCGACGATTGCCCTCTTCCGGGGGGATATCGCAAGGAAAAATCCCCCCTCCCCATATTGAAGAGGTAGGTTTTCGAAAATTTGTGTTGCTGATTTGAGGTCACAAATTACGTTTGTGTTGCAAGAAGACAAGGGCAACAGCTTCCGTCCCATTATGGAGGCGGATTGTCATGCTGTTGAGCCAACATCACGGACCCTTGTCATGCTAAACGCCTAAGTCAAAACCTCTCCGCTCAGGCTTGATATGGGTCTGCAGTCCTCTCCAGCAATACAGATGCGATCTGTGTACTCAAATACAGCAACACAGATTCCGCTTGCGATATGGGGAGGGGGGATTTTTCCTCACAATAGGGGATGGTCCGGTGTTTGGACTGGCACGAGTCTATGCTGACCGCCGGCCGAGAGGACGGCACGGTCTCCGTCCACGACATCCGAGACCGGGATTCGTTGATGACCATCATCCCCATCTGCAAGCCTCTCGAAGGGGGGAAAACCAAGATGGAAACAGGGTTTGACAAGAAGCTGCACCCGGAAAACGACCCGATCACCCGCTTTGGCGGGCGCAAGCCCGCGTTTACCGATCACCGCGACCCGGAGGCCTTTCACCGCCGTGACTCGACCGGCCGGCAACCGCCGGTCCCGCACAACGCGGGTCTCCTGGCAGTCGGCACCGAGTTATGAAAGTGCACAATTCCCCCCCCCCCCTCATTTGTATAGAATGAACGGCAATACAAGCATCAGCAAGAATGCCGGTTTTGCATGACAAATTTCCACTGGATCTTAGTGCTATTCGGGCTACCAGAACTTGTCATGCAAACAGTGCCAAGAAGCAAAGGGTGGACTGGGTATTTCGCATGACAAATGAGGGGGAGGGGGAGTTGTGCAATGTCATACCAGTCCGGGAAGGTTTGCGTTTTGGACATGCGGAACGTGATAGACGTGACCAAAAACCCCGAGGTCTACTCGACGCAGAGATATGCTGAGGAAAAACGTGGCCCACACCCCATAGTCAAGCTGGGAAATCTGCAAGACAAATCAACAAGCTTTTGCTGTTGCGCATGACAATTTTGGGGACGTAGTGTAGTCCTGTTTAGCTAGTGTGACCGCATCACAAATCTAGCATATCATGCTGATCGGAGCATTACAAATTTCAAAACACGACTAGGAACTGCTTCTCGTGGGGCTCCGCATGAGAAACATTTTGAGCATGCAGATTTGCATAACAGCTCTTGGCTGGGGACGTTTTTACGCAGGATAAGAGACTCGAGGGATTTACGTCTCCCGTCACCGCGCTCACCTGGGGCGCCAACGAGAACGGCACGACCCTGGCCGCGGGAGATTTGAACGGTATGAAATGCAAAAATGTCTGGGTCTGGAAAGTTCCCAGGTTTGTCATGCATATTTTGCATAACCCATGAAGCCTGTAATGCATGACCTAGCATCACAGATTTTGAAAGGGCCTTCTGATGCGTATTCCGCATGAGAAACGCACACTCCACGGAGCACAAACTGAACTCCTCTTGCTGGCCATGCAATACAGTTTTTTTTATACCTTCCAAAGACAGCATCACAAGTTGCAACCTTGCAGACCCAGACATTTTTGCATTTCATAAGCGGGCGGGTGAAGCTACTGCATCCGTTGGGTAAATCGAGTTGGTCGTTTTCCGACAGCGCTCCGGACAGTGGTTCTTGCACTGCTACCAATGCTATCAAATGCAAAATAAATGTCTCGGTCTGGAAGATTGCAAGGTTTGTCATGCTAGTCTGGCATGACTCTGAACTCTGCATTGCGTGGCCGCGAAGAGCTCCTCCTCCCTGTCATGCAAAAACGGAGTTTATCATGCGGAATACGCAACTCAGAACCATGAAAAAAACTTGTCATGCTTGGCAGCGCATTACAGTGAGCACACTATTCCCTTCCTTGCATCACAAGTTTCCAGACCCAGACATTCTTGCAATCCATAAATGCCTCGACTCGCGCGGAAGAGGTAATTGGTACGGGAATTGGGGAAAACAAGCCGATCACCGGCCTGCAATTTTGCAACTTTCAGGACGGCGCCACGCGGAACGGGCACTATGAACTGCAAAAGTATCGTACTCGTATATATAAATGCATTACAAATTTCCGGAACATGAGAATATAAAATTTGTAATGCGGACTTGCCTCAAGAAAAAAATTAAAATTTGTAATGCAAGACTTGCATTTATACGAGTCACCACTTTTGCAATGCATAGGCTCCTGGCGGTGGCGACGCTGGGCGGCGGCACCCGAATTCACGACTTGGAAAAGGCTGCTGTTGATGCTGGAACAACTGCTCGCGCAAGAAGAGCTAGTAGTAGTACCTCCAGTACGGGTCCTCGTCCTTCAGGAACAACTACGCCGGCCTCATCAAGTCAAGAAAATACAACAACTCGTGGAAGCAGTAGCGGAAATCCGCGAAGTTCCTATCCAGTATCCTACACTTTAGGTGAGTCCACCAAGGAGATACTCGACCAAAAGGGCGACGGTTCCCATGACAAGTCTCACGATTGGGACAAGCGACAGGTCTTCGGCCTGCAGAAGATTGTCGGGACGGATGCTGCCGACGTATCCTCCCCCCAGCCCTACCTGGTCGCGCTGGCGCACGACGTATCAAATGCAAAAATGTCTGGGTCTGGAAGATTGCAACTTGTCATGCTGTCTTCGGATTCGAAAAAAATCTGTAATGCATGACCGGCGAGAGGAGTCCAGTTTTTGCCACGGCGAGAGGCCATTTCTCATGCGGAACAGGCATCAGGAAGCCCTCTCAAAGTCTGTGATGCTAGACCATGCATCACAGACCGCATGAGTCATGGAAAACCTGCATGACACTCTTCCAGACCCAGACACTTTTACATTTGATACGACGGCATTGACGACCCGACGCAGTTGCGTTCGTACGGCAATCCCTACGTAGCGGACCACATTTATGGATGTGTCAGGATTGAAATCGTCAAAGTTGAAATAGTTAGTCATGCATAAACTCGATACCAGTTGGAAGCCCAATTTTCAAGCGGCGCATGACAAATTTCGGCACCGTCTAAATTCAGTTTGTCATGCTGTTTAGGGACAGAAGGCGTCTTTTGTCATGCTACTTTGTTTAGCAGCTCTACCGCAGACCCCAAACAGGCTGACAGTCGGCCTCACTTGCCATCCCTGCAAGAGAGGCACTTCATGCCTTGCAATTTATGCATGAGAAATTTTTTCAACTTTGTCGATTTCAATCCTGACACATCCATAACATTCATGAGTCGCTGGGCCTGTACCCTACCACCCCCACGCGGCCGCGGAAACGGTCAAGGGTCACTGGATCTGGTGCTCGGGGTAGTGCTAGCAGGAGCGCCTTTACACCATCCATGCGTACTAATTATAGTACTCTGCCCCGCCGGGGGCTTAGGCTTTAGGATAGTGTTTTGGTACTTCTACATCGTCGGAAAAACATGTTTTGATTACTTGTTCTACCTCATGTACACAACCTCCAAGGTTGACTTGACACCCTAACAGCAAGAATGGTTTTTTGTCACAGATGCCGCAAACCGCACATTTTAGAAATTTGTTGATCCCTATAGCAAGTAGCAACTTCAAATCTATGCTTGACATAAATCTTCTTCGTTGAAGATGACGCAACATCAAAAGTGAGAACCACAACCAATTTACTTACTACATCTAAGCAAACATGATAGTGATAGTTGACAAAAGCTGCGTCCCCAGCTTCTTCGACTTTTTGATCACTTATTCGTCAGCTTGACCCTCCTAAAAACGTGAACGGATTGATTGATTGACAGCTGAGATATCACTCAGACTCACTTCTTCAAGGCTAATTTCTTCTTCACGCGCATTTCTGGAAGCCACGAAATCCCTATCAATCAGAACCGGATTTTTATTTTTTGATTTCCTGCTAGAGCAGTTCTAATTAAATTCAAGGCGTTGACGAGTTCCTTTTATTATCCTAATTAAGGCTTCATCAGTCATTGAAAGTGAAGAATATTAAGCTTTTTCTTTCCAGCGCAACAAGAAATCACCCTCAGTAGCACGACGAATCTGTTGACACAAGACAAGTTGCAAAAACGAAGAACGATTATATGACAACAAAGAGTACAGAATGAAAATCCGTATCCGCATGAAAAAAACAACGTTGGCGCCGTCGAGTTTCTGGCCGTCCTGGGAGTGATGTTGATACAGTGAGCCTTTTTTAGAGCATGAGCAGGTACAGGCAGTCCTCGTACCAGTGTCTGTTGTCAATTCACCGCTTTCTATTGTTGATGTTTTGCTTTTGGCTTGCTCTTTGCTCATTGCAGTTTTTGTTTCTCGATGAATGTGATTTGCTTCATTTTGGAGGGTCTAACGAGAAAGAAGTGATGAGCGCAGTAGAATGAGGTGCATCTTCGAGGAGCTGTGTTTATTTGCCTTTGTGCTGCAAGAGCAGGAGAGGGAAAGAGGAGAGTGTCAATCCCAGACAGTAGGTAGCTTCAAGCAACTATGTCCTGGAGGAGCTTGTCTTCGTCATTCACAATACGATGTAAGTTTTCTTTTGATTTAGTTTGTTCCTCTTTTCGACGTTTTCAACCCTTGTTTACTGGGTAACATCATCATCGTCATCCCCTTCCTTCTAGGTATACCCAATGAAACGGCACCAGTAGTTGCTGCAACAACACTGCTCCAAAACCGAATTAAGTCGACGAGCTGAAGAGGATGATGTCAACAGCATAAAGTTTATCTTCCTTGTCAGTTCGATGCCCCATATAATTTAGTAATTTCCTTACCGTAACAAGACCAGCCAACACTAAAAAGATGTTGAACCCAGTTTCCGTCTTCCTCTACCTCCACCGCATGGTATGTCACACAAATTTGGACAATCTCGAGTTTGTATCAAATGCAAAAATGTCTGGGTCTGGAAAAATGCGAGTTTGTCATGCTTGTCTGGCATGACTCCTAAATCTGTGATGCATGAGGGGTCAGCAGGCCTCTTGCCTGTCATGCGAAAACACAGTTTGTCATGCGGAAAACGAAAAACAATAGCAGCCCAAAAATTTGTCATGCTTGGCTGCGTATTGCAGTGCGCCCACCAGTAAGACTTTTGCATCACAAGTTTCCAGACCCAGACATATTTGCATTTGATAGTTTGTTTCTCCAAGAAAAGCCTTGCTCATCGAGACAAAGGACTATCAGCAGACGCGAGATTTTGGTCGGAAACTACTGCAGAACGAACACGTCCTCGGCGACGAGAGATCATCTTTCGCTTGCGATCACAGCAATACAAATTTCTTTCGCTGCCTCCACGTCCAGTCCAGATTTCTCGCGCTGCGGAACGAGTACGAGACGCTTCTCGCGTATGCGTTGCAAAATTATCGAACTCGTAGTAGTTCCCCAGTAGTTGTATGTACTTAGTTCTGCATGACAAACAAGGTCCGAGCGTGGGGACAGGGTCCCCACGCGGGCCCTTGGCTTCGGTTTCGGCTTGAGGTTTCGGCCTGGGGCTTCGGCTTGGGGGTTTCATTCGGCCTGGGGTTTCTTTCGGCTTCAGGCGACGGCGACAGACTGACAGGCGACAGAGTTGGACGGCGGTGCGCCCTGTGCAGAAATGCCACCGCCGCAGAAGCGTGGAACGGGCTCTGCGCAGTTCGTGCAACACATCTGGACGCGGGGCGTTGCTCCCTCGCATGAAAGCAAGGGCCGACACACGAAGTCAGGAGGGGGATAGCCGGAGAAGCAAGGAGCGGAGCGTTGCAGGGCTGGCCAGCTGGACGGCCTTGCGGCCTTGGGTTTTCGGAAAAGCTGGCCAGCCTTGCAAAACTTTACCCACTTTCTTCAAGATTCACCGCCCTCGCATTCTGTTCCCTCGGCGAGGGTGTGGACTTGGGGCGCCGCGCGATAGCCGGCGAGGGAAGGAACAGAGCGGGCCAAGGTTGGCCAGCTTGCGGCTTTTTGGCCTTGGGCTTTCGCCAGGGCTGGCCAAACTTGAAAAAATTTCATAAGTTTGCCCCAATTCTCCCCAGTTTCGCACTATCTGCGGCCAAAATGCTGCCGCGGGGCTTCGCGCAATGGCCGGGGAGGCAAGGAACAGAGCGGGGCAAGGCTAGCCAGCGAGCTCGCCCGCCGGACGGCCTTGCGGCGTTGGGTTTTCGGAAAAACAGGCCAAGCTTGGAAATGTTTTCCAGCTTTTTCATGATTTCCCGACCCCGCAGCACCGACCTGCGGCCAACATGTGGCCTCGGGGCTTCGCGCGGTAGCCGGGGAGGCAAGGAACAGCCAGAGCGGGGCAAGCCTGGCCAGGTCGACGGCTTTGCCTTGTGGCCTTGAGTTTTCGCGAGTCTCGCGAGAGAAAAGCAGGCTGGCCAAACTTGTAAAAATTGCGCGCTGCAGGGTTTTTCAAGATTCCCGCGCCCGCTGCATTGCCTACGCCCATAATGGGCGTCGCCGTGGGGCTTCGCGCGATAGGCGGAGAAGCAAGGAGCAGAGCGGGGCAAGGCTGGCCAGCTTGACGGCTCGCGTTGTGGCTTTGGATTTTCGGAAAAGCAGGCCAAACTTGACGCAGCGGCCCAAGCTTTTTGCAAGGTTCCCACCCCCGCCTTCGCATTACCTACGGCCAGGGCGAACGCGGCCGCGCGCAGGGCTTCGCGCGATGGCCGGAGAAATAAGGAACAGAGCGGGGCTAGGCTGGCTTGCCACCCTGGCGGCTTCGCGGCCTTGGCTTTTGCCAAAAGCCCGCCCCTAGGCGGGCTATTTGGGAAAAAAAAGCTGCCCAAATTTGCAACGGTTACGCTTTGAAGCTTTTCGCCCTTGGAGATAACTTCCCGCGCTCGCACTACGTACGGCCAAGATGCGGCCGCGGGGCTTCGCACGATAGCCGAAGAGGCAAGGAACAGAGCGGGGCAAGGCTGGCCGGCTGCGCGGTTTTGCTGCGGCCTGGGGCTTTCGAAGAAGCTGGCCAAACTTGCAAAGGTTTGCAAAGCCCCCCCGCTTTCGCATTGCCCAGGGCCAAGATAGATGCGGCGCCGGGCGGGGCTTCACGCGGTAAGCAGAGAAGCACGGCACAGAGCGGGGCCAGGCTGGCAAGCTGGGCCGACGGCTTTGCGGCCTGAGGTTTTCGGCTTTTCAGGTTTTCAAGAGTCCCAACCATCGCACTACCTCCGGCCAAAATGCGGCCGCGCGCGGGGCTTCGCGCGATAGCCGGAGAAGGGGAAGCAAGGAAAAGAGCGGGGCAAGGCTGGCAAGCTGGACGGCTTAGCGGCCTTGGTTCTTCGGAAAAGCCGGCCAAACTTGAAAAAAATTCCCAAGCTAGTCCGAGGCTTCCCGCGCTCGCAGTGGCCACGGCTAAAATGTGGCCCCGGGGCTTCGCGCGATAGCCGGAGAAGAGAAGAACAGAGGGAGGGAGCGGGGCAAGGTTGGCCAGCTGTGTTGCTTCCTTTGCGGCCTTGCGTCGGTTTTCGGAAAAGCTGGCCAGCCTTGCCGAAGCTTTTCAGGCTTTTCAAGGTTTCCCGCGCTCGCACTCCCTACGGCCAAAATGCGGCCGCGGGGCTTCGCGCGATAGCCGGAGAAGCAAGAAACAGAGCGGGGCAAGGCTGGCCAGCTCGACGGCTCTGTGGCCTTGGGTTTCGGCGTTCGCCCGGGAAATCTAGCCAAGTTTGAGAAAGTTCCTCGAGCAAATTTGCCCAAGCTTTCCCGCCCGCCCCGCATTTTTTCCATACTTACCCTCCTACGGCACGGCCAAAATTAATGCGACCCACCGCGGGGCTTCCCGCGATAACCGGAGAAGCAAGGAACACCGCGGGGCAAGGCTGGCCAGCTGGACGGCTCTGCGCGCGGCTTTGGGCTTTCGGAAAGGCTGGGGGGCCAAACTTGACGAAGGTCCTAAGTAAGGCCATTCCAAGAGGTCCCGCCCTCGCATTAGTTGCCACGGGCCAAAATGTGGCGTAGGGGCTTCGCGCGATGGCCGGAAAAGCAAGGGGCAGAGCGGGGCAAGGCTGGCCAGCTGGATGGCTTTGCTTCGGCTTTGGTCGGTGTTTCGGAAAGGCTGGCCAAACCTCAGCAAGTTCTATTTTTCAGGTTTTTTCAAATTCAAGGCCTCCCGCGTGCGCATTACCTACGGCCAAGGTGTGGCCTATCCGTGGGGCTTCGGGCGATGGCCGGAGAAGGAAGGGGCAGAGCGGGGCAAGGGTGGCCAGCGGGACGGCTTATTTGCGGCCTTGGGTGCGTCGGTTTTCGAAAAAGCTGGCCAAACTTGAAAAAATTTGCCAAGCCTTTTCAAGATTTCCCGCGGCCGGTCGCATCACCTACGGCCAAAGTGTGGCCGCGGGGGGGGCTTCGCACGATAGCCGAGGAAGCAAGGAACGGGGCGGGGCAAGGCTAGCCAACTGAAAGGCTTTGACTGCCTGCGGCCTTGGGTGTTCGAAAAGCTGGACAAACATGACAAAACTGCTCAAGTTCTTTCAAGGCTGGCCGCCCCCGCATTACCTGCGGCCAAGGTGTGGCCTCGGGGCTTCGCACGATAGCCGGAGAAGCAAGGGGCAGAGCGGGGCAAGGCTGGCAGGCTGGACGGCTTTGCGCCCTTGGTTCCCTCTTCGGAAAAGTTGGCCAAACTTGAAAAAAATCTGCAAGCTTTTGCAAGGTTTCCCGCCTTCGCAACACCAACGGCCAAAGTGTGGCCGCGGGGGTTCGCGTGGTAGCCGGAGAAGCAAGGAACGGAGCGGGGCGAGGTTGGGTGGCCAGCGAGCCCGCTGGAACGTTTTGCGGCCTCGGGTCCTCGGAAAAGGAAAGCTGGCCAGGCTTGCAAAACTTCCCAGGTTCCCCGCTTTCGCATTACCTGCGGCCAAGTTGGGGCGTCGCGCGATAGCCGGAGAAGCAAGGAAAAGAGCGGGGCGCGGCTGGCTAGCTTGGCGGCTTTGTGGCCTTGGGGTTTCGGAAAACTTGGCCAAACCTGCCGAAGCTGTTCAACTTTTTGCAAGGTTTCCCGCCCCCTTTTGCATTACCTACGGCAAGGACGTGGCTGCGGGGCTTTGCGCGATGGCCGGAGACGCAAGGAGCAGGGAGAGTTGGGCAGGCCAAGGCTGGCCAGCTGGGCAGTTTTCATTGCGGCCCCGGGTTAGTTTTCGGAAAAGCTGGCCAAACTTGGCAAGGTTTGTTTTTACTTTGGGCGCCCCCAAGGTTTCCCGCCTTCGCATTACATTACGCGCGGCCAAGCCGAGGCCGCGCGCGATGGCCGGAGAAGCAAAGAACAGAGCGAGGCGAGGGCGGCCAGCTGGGCGGCTTTGCGGCCTTGGGTTTCTTTCCGGAAGGGCTGGCCAAACCTGAAGAACATTGCCTCCCGAGCTTTTTCGAGGTTCCCCGGGCTCTCATTACCTCCGGCCAACATGTGACCGCGGGGCTTCGCAGGCACGATAGCCGGAGAAGCAAGGGGCAGAGCGGGGCAAGGCTGGCCAGCAAACTTGGCGGCTTTGTGGCCTTGAGTTTTCGGAAAAGCTGGCCACACTTGCAAAACCTCCGCAGGCGTTTCGCTTTTTCACCATTCCCCGCCGGCCCTCCCCTTGCAGTACCTACGACCAAAGTGTGGCCGCGGGGCTTCGCGCGATGGCCGGGGAAGCAAGGAGCAGAGCGGGGCAAGGCTGGGCAGCTGGGCGGCTTTGCGGCCTTGGCTTTTCGGAAAAGTGGGCCAACCTTGAAACAGCCCCCCGAGTTCTTTCCCGGTTGCCCGCGGTCACACCCACTACCTACGGCCAAGGTGTTGCCTCGGGGCTTCGCGCGGTAGCCGGAGAAGCAGGGAACAGAGCGGGGCAGGGCTTGCCGGCTGGACGGCTTTGCGGCCTTGGGTTTTCGGATACGCTGGCCAAACTTGAAAAAAGCCCCCGAGCTTTTTCAAGCTCTCCCGCCTTCGCATTACCTACGGCCAACACTTGGCCGCGGGGGGGGCGTCGCGCGGTCGCCCGCGATGCAAGGAACAGAGCGGGGCAAGGCTGGCCAGCTGGACGGCCTTGCCGCTTTGAGTTTTCGGAAAAGCTTGCCAAACCTGCAAAAACTCCCGCACGTTCTTCCGTCTTCAAGATTTCCCGCCTACCTTCGCACTACGTGCGGCCAGGCTGCGACCCCGGGGCCTCGCGCGATAGCCGGAGAAGCAAGGGACGAAGCGGCGCAAGATTGGCCAGCGAGCTTGGCGGCCTTGCGGCGTTGGGTTTTCGGAAAACAAAGCGCGCCAAACTTGCAACAGCCCTGCCACCTTTTTCAAGGTTGGTGCCCCGCATTCGCTTTACCCACGGCCAAAATGCGGCCAAGGGGCTCCGCGCGATAGCCGGAGAGGCACGGGGCAGAGCGGGGCAAGGCTGGCAAGCTGGACAGCTTTGCGGCCTTGGGTTTTCGGAGATAGAAGCAGGCCAAACCGGCAAGGTTTTGTCAAGTTTTTTCAAGGTTTCCCACCCCCACCCTCGCACTACCTGCGGCCGGCCGAAATTAATGCGGCCGCGGGGCGTCGCGCGATAGCCGGAGAAGCAAGGAACAGGGCGGGGCAAGGCTGTTGAGCCCAGACGGCCCCCACTATATACGTTCGCGAAATGAAGCGCAAAAGGAAGGCGAACCATCGGCCAACCGTCGCCCCGATCGATCGGGCTGCCGCCCGTCTGTCGCCCTACACTTGCCATGTCTCCCGCTCCGAGTTCTCTGCTGTCGCTCTACGTCAATGAACTGCCTGAGCTAGGTCCGGGCGGGCCCAAAGGAAAGCCTGGCACTGTGAACGAAGCCGAAAACGATGGCGCTCTGTGTTGCGGCAAGAAGGGAAAAAAAAACACGCGCCCCATCTGAGCCCGCGGAGGAAATAAAAAAAGAAAAAGCCCCACCGCCAAGAATCTGCCGACTTGCTTCGCGAAATCGCTTGCGAAAAGTTCGCAGAAACCCAGCCGAAACGACCCCCCGAAAAAAGTCGCGCGCGATTTTGGCAAGCGGGCGGGGCAATCTCGAAAAGAAATCGGGCGGGGGCGTGTGAATATTCTCGCACACCCTTGGCGGGCGTTCTCGAATAACCCGAAGGGGGGCCCGAATAATCGGGCCGAATCTTCTCGAATAGCCAAGAGGGGCAGCCGAATACTGACTCAGGGCGAGCGTTCTCGAGCCAATATTCAAGGGGGAAGGCCGAACAACCAGGGGGGGCGAACGCTCGCCAATATTCAAGATGGAAGGAAGGCCGAATATGCAGGGAGAATAAACGGGCTCAAATATTCAAGAGGGGACGGCGAATATTCAGGGAGAACGCTCGCCAATATTCGAGAAGGGGCTCCGAATATTCAGACGATGAATATTCAGGGAGAGGGAGCATCTCGCCGCATCTCTTCAAGAAGGAGCGCCGAATAGTCAGGGAGATAACCCCGCGCCCCCTCCCCAATACCCAAGAAGGCGCGCCGAATATTCTGGGCGAGCGTTCTCGAATATTCAAGGGGGGCGCGCCGAATATTCACGGAGGGCATTCCCGAGTATTCAAGGGGGGGCGCCGATCACTTGGGGCGAGTGCTCTCGACTATTCCGGGGGGAGTGCCGAATATTCAGGAAGAACGCGCCCGAATATCCAAAGTAAGAGGCCCGCCGAATATCCAGGGCGGATGTCCCTTCTCCAATATTCAAGAAGGCACGCCGAATATTCCGGGGGAATGTTCTCGAATATTCAAGGGGGCGTGCCGAATATTCAGGGGGGGCGTTCCTTCTCGAATATTCTTTCAAGGAGAGGCGCCGGCCGAATATTCAGGGCGAATATTCCCGAATATTCAAGGGGGCGCGCCGAATATTCCGGGAGAATATTCCCGAATATTGGCGGGGGAGCTGCGAAGATTCGGGGGGGATACTCTCGAAAACCCCGGGAGAACATTCTCGAGGATACATACGCAAGGGGGAATGCCGATCGCGTAAATATTCAGGGGCGGTATTCTCGAATATCCGCAGAGGCTTGCCGAATATTCAGGAAGGCAGCAGATTCAATGCTCGAATATTTAAGAAAGGCGGGGCGCCGAGTATTCCGGGCGAATGTTCTCGAACATTCAAGGGGGGGCGCCGAACATTCAGGGCGAGCGTTCGTTCTCGAATACCTGGGGGCGTGGGCCGAATATTCAGGGAAGCTGTTCCCGAATATTTCAGGGGAAGCGCCGAATATTCAGGGAGGGGCCTTCCGAGTACCCAAGGGGGAGCGCCGAATATTCAGGGAGAATATTCCCCAATATTCCGAAGCATTTTCCGAAATCCAGGGGGAACCAATGCCACAGATCGGGGGGGATGCTCCCGAACCAATATCCAAGGGGGGGCGCCGAACATTCAAAAAGGGGCGCCGAATATTCAGGGCGGGTGGGTGTTCGCGAATATCCGAGGGGGAGTGCCGAATATTCAGGGTGAAGGCTTCTCCAATGTGATGGCGACAGGTGAAGACGACAGGTGGACGCGACAGGTGGGAGCGACAGGCGGGGCCGACAGGTGGCGGCGACAGGTGAGGGCGACAGGTAAAGGCGACAGGTAAAGGCGACAGGTGAGGCGACACGCGAAGCGACAGGCGAAGCGACAGGCGAAACGGCAGGCGAAGCGACAGGCGAAACGACAGGCGAAACGACAGGCGACGACGACAGGCCAAAAGCCGCAGGCCTTCATGCGGTAGGCTCCGCACCAGCAGCAGCAACAAAAAAAATTAAAGAGCTAGCTACCTCCGCGAGCAAAATTGCAGCGCTTTTATTTTTTTTCACGTGCATAAAATAATAATAATTCCGATTTTTGGTTTTGTACATGAATAAAAATAAAAGCGCTCCTGCCTTTTTCTTCTCGGAGGTAAGTGAGTCGCTGCGTTTTTTGCTGCTGCTGCTGGTGCGGAACCGCGTGGGATGTTGCCACCTTTGGCCTGTCCCCGGCGCCTGTCGTTTCGCCTCTCCTTTCGCCTGTCGTTTCGCCTCTCCTTTCGCCCCATTACGAACAAACTCTTTTTTTTCATGGCAGGCGCGTTTTAATTTTCAAAAATAAATACTGGCTTACTTCTGAAATAAAGCAAATGCTATCTATTTTTGAAAAATAAAAAGCAACTGAGAAGCGCATGCTTTGGAATTTCTTCACTCCGCCTCAGGTCAATTCATTCACGTGCGTGAGGTAGTTACTTTTTTCGGATAAGAGCAAAGTAATTACTTTTTGCACGTGAATAAAATCGAAAGTAAAAGAATTACTTTTTTCCTGTCGAAAGTCAGTAACTCTTTTATTTGTTTTTTGCTTTGAATGTTCGCGCTGCTTGTGCAAAACCGCATGAGAAGTTGCCATTTTTGGCCTGTCGTCGTCGCCTGTCGTTTCGCCTCTCCTTTTGCCTGTCGTTTCGCCTCTCCTTTCGCCTGTCGTTTCGCCTGTCGTTTCACCTCTCGCCGTCACCTGTCGCGGTCACCTGTCGCCGTCACCTCTCGTCTGGGGTATGTGATTACAGAACCCGGAAGTCAAGCAATATAAATATTAATCTCATATTCTACCTAATCCAGCATGACAAATTGCATTTTTCTGGTTTGAAAAATTTGTGATGCAACTCGTACTACACTAGTACGGTACTTTTGCAAATTGCAATGCATATCGCGGAACAAAAAGCCGCGGCAGTTCTCGTGGCGAAGCTGCACGAGGAACGGAGTATCAAATGCAAATCTGTCTGGGTCTGGAAGAACGCAAGACTTGTCATGCTTGTCTGGCATGACTGAAGAGTTTGTGATGCCTGTCCAAGAAGAGACCCTTTTGCTTGTCATGCAAAAACGCACTTTGTCATGCGGAAGGCGCAAGAACGTTAACCCTTGCACATATTTCTCATGCTTAGCTGTGCATTACAAAACATTCACAATTCACAACCCAGCATTGCAACTTTCCAGACATACTTATTTGCATTTGATACGGAAGCGCCTTCTGCAACAGTTTGTCGACTTGCGCCTTGCGCTGGTGGAGTTGCAGCCGGCGGGTGCAGATCATGGTGGTGCAACTGAAGAAAACAAGAACCGAAAGGAACAGGAGAGGCAGACACAGAGTACGAGCGGAGGTGGTAAAAATCAAACACCTGGTCCTGATCAACACAATAATGCCGTCTATGAAACTGAAGCTGAACAACAAGATGTTGAGAATTACGAAAACGATGCCGCCAGGAGGAAGCGGCTCGCGGATTTTCTGTCGCCGCAGGTGCTGACAGGTTATCCTGAGTAAAAACATCCCCACCCCAGAGTCCAGATGGAGACTCTGCAACACAAACCTTGAAGTTTTGGGAGTAACGCATGACAAGTTGCAGGCTGTACTGTAGTGCAGCGTAGCAAGGGAAGCCGCATCCGTCTCCTTATCCTGTTTACAGCATTACAAGTTCCAAAACACAATGGGAAATGCCTCTCATTGGGATGCGCATTACGAATGGCGCTCTTGTGCTTGCAAGTCTGCATGACAACTCTGGGGTCGCATTTTGTTTAGCATGACAACTCTGGGGTGGGGATGTTTTTACATAGGATACCGGTTTCTCTCTCTTCACCTTCGCCTACGTCGGACTGCATCTCGTTTTCCCTCGGCTCGGCCGGCGATTCGGCACCGTTCTGGCGGCTTTGCACCTCAGTCACGGTCTGGTCGTGCGAGAGCAAGTGTTTGGAAAACCGATTTTAAAAACCCTCTGCGGACCGAAGCTAGAGCGGTGTAACTTCCACTACCGGATGCAGGACAGAATCGTCGAGATGCTTTTACTATGAACTGCAAAAATATCGTACTCGTATAAATGCATTACAAATTTCCTCAGAGTCAGAATGAGAATTAGAATTTGCAATGCGGATTTCCCTTAAGAAAAAAATTTGTCATGCAACAATTGCATTTATAAGACTACGATACTTTTGCAGTTCATATTTACTCCTCGGGGATCGAGCAGGAGGAAGGAACAGTAAAGATAATGCTCCACCCTCCCCAGCAGCCATGGAGCTCCGTGAGGAGATCTTGAAATCGGTTGTGTCGAAAATTGTTCGCGTTTGCAAACTATGAAATGTAAAAGTGTCTGGGTCTGGAAGAATGCATGTTTGTCATGCTTGTCTGGCATGACTCTTAGATCTGTCATGCACGTTACCCAAAAGCTCTATTTCTCTGCGATGCAGAAACGCAGTTTGTCATGCAGAATAGGCAACACCTAGAAGCTCAGAAACTTGTCATGCTGAGCCAGCACTTGCAGCCTCATCATGAGACGCCACCCAGCATCACAAGTTTCCAGACCCAGACATTTTTACTTTTGATACAAACAACTGCAGGAGAAAGTGCCGCGTCTGACTTTCGACTCGCTGGTGCAGCAATTTCCGGAACCGAGGAAAATGACAATTACGAGCAGAATTATCAAAGTGAAAAATCCCCCTCCCCACATCGAAAAGGTATGTTTCTGAAAATTTGTGTTGCTGATTTGAGGTCACAAATCACGTCTGTCTTGCAAGAAAACAGGCGCAGAGGCTTCCGCACCACTATGGAAGCGATTTGGCATGCTGTTGCGCCTAGGGGGCACCCGTTTGCAATGCTAAGCAACTAGACCTATACGCCCGTAACTAGGCCGAGGATCTGACTGCGATGCCTTACTGCAAGACAGATCCGATTTGTGTACCCAAATCCTGCATCACAGATTTCCACTTCGATATGGGGAGGGGGGATTTTTCCTTTTGATAAGAATAGAGTCAACATCTTCTGAACAAGCACCTGCTCCTGTGTTAATGTTGGACGAGGAGGAACAAGGAGGTGCAAGCAGTTCGAATTTTAGTTACAGCAGCACTAGCACAGGCGCAAGAAGAACATCCTCGGCGATTCCAGATACAGATAAGGACTACAATTTTGACGACAAGAGCTGGAACTGCTATGCTTACCTCACTTCCCTCCTGGATTTCCTGTCTTTTTCCGCCGAAGCAGCCCAGTACGTCCTCTTTGATGCGATCGTGTGTTCCTGCGAATGGCTCACCCAGTCCCTGGTCTTCCGTGTGTTTTTCCACGACCTCTACATTGCGGTATGGCTTTTCGTATGCACTGCAAAAGTATCGTGCTCGTATAAATGCATTACAAATTGTCTCAGCATGAGAAATAGAATTTGTGACGCAGATTTACCTTAAGAAAAAGATTAGTAATGCATGATTGCAATACCAATACGAGTGCGATACTTTTTCACAGGATACTTCGACCCAGTGGGCTTACCATGGCTGGCGGAGGAAGTTGTCGTTTTTTTCATATCCACCGGCGCAGAAGTTCTTGTTCCTTCTGCTGTTGTAAATAGCTGTAGACAGCACGAACGGCGAAGTAATACTCGTACGATGATTCTTGCAAACGTCAAATATGACAATGTTCTGATGTGTTTTATTCCCAACTGTGTCCAGACGTGCTCTACTTCTACATCAATGCAGGTCCATCAACCTTTTGCGGAACTTTCCATACCTCGAGGATTTCTACGACATCTATCAAAGTGAAAAAAGCCCCCACCCCATATTCGGAAACGGAAGATGCGCGAATTTGTGATGCTGTATTTGAGTACACAAGTCGCCTTGTATTGCTAGAAGGCCAAGAGACGAAGCTGCGGCCTAAGTTGCAGGTAATCTGTCATGCTGTTTCCCACTTCCAGTTGCCTCCTGTCATCCTGGAGCTGCAAAGCTTTCCCACGCTAGACAGCACTACAGTCCGCATCTTTTGCCTTCTAGCATCACAAAGCTGATTTGTGGCCACAAATCTGCATCACAGATTTCTGTTTTGATATGTGGAGGAGGCATTTTTCATTGTAATAACATCAGCGCTATCTTCGAACACTACGCGGGGGTGTTGTTGGCTTTTGACTACTGATGAAATAGATCATCTCCGGGTTGGAAGACAAGATGAAAATGCCGAGCAGTTTGGGAGACATAAGTGCCGTAGTTAACCACGCATGTAAGTCATCGACTGTCTGTGCGTGCACGTGTTTCATCGTTTCAGTCATTTCATTCTTGTACGCAATGTCAATCCTGAAAGTCTTCTATGATCGAGACTGGCGAGAATATTTGTGTGGATCATGTACCGACTAATTCTATGGTACTAATGCCCAAAAGTCCATTTTCACGTTTCTTACTTTTCGCTTTCCCTGCTTTCCTCGTTTCTCTTGTTGAGGGAGATGGTATAGCAGCCTATCGAGAAGTTTCGACTACAATCGTGAGCACGTCGGGTTTCATAACCGCGGCGGTTTGTGACTAGAGCTGCGAAGATAAAGAACATTTTCAACTGCCCTCACCGCAACACGAGCAGCCACTAATGAAAAGAACTTCACAACCCGCTAATGACAAAAATGTTTCAGTTCCCCCCGTTTCTAGCAAAGAAATCCTTGCTGCAGCTGGAGCTACTAGTAGCGCTGGGTCATGCAGCTGGCCTGACGAAATGCTCTCGGGCATGACAGTATTTTTAGAAAACCACATTCGAGCTGCAGCTCGACTATCCTCGACTTACTGTCTGCTCTACCCTCAGTGTTCGTCTACAAAAACTTTTGTGCTCGTGCATCCTGTTTACTTATTTCAAATAAATTACTCTTATTGAAATTGATTGATTTTGACAAGCGTGGTTGTAGTTGGTTTTTGTTCTGCTTCCGTCTACCAACCATTTGTTTTTTGTGTCGTGTAGTTTGGCGAACTAGTACTAGATCATGATCAAAAAATTTTTCATTAGCACCTTTCTTCCTTTTTTAGAATTCTTGGAAACTTTTGCAACTCCGTTGGGTCGTCTTCGTGTTGTTTCTATAGTGTGTTTCAAATTGTAGTCGCTTGTTTGAAGGTCGTTCGCGGCTTGCAGTGCTATGCTCTACTATGCCTTTCGCAGCTGCAGGCTTAAAAGAAAGTGCGTACTTATATTGCGTAGCTCGAAAGATCGTTGAGTGCCAGGCTGGACCATAGATACGTGGTAAGAGATGCAAAAATTTTCTCCTCCACATCCACCAGTTTTTGGACAACTTTTGCTCTATTTGTTTCTCGATAGCCTAGAAATAAACATAAAGCCCGAACAAAGCTACTGCGAAAATTATGGTAGTAAAAATCCTGATAAAAGCGCACGCCGTCAAAGCTTCTCTCCTCCAGCTCTTCCTGGCAGCCAAAACGGTGAGACACCGGTCGCGGTGCTACGACTTGGGCTCGTCGGCGAAGAACGCGCTGACGCTGCACAAAATTGTGCTGACGGAAACGCAGGGCTACTTGGAGAGAAAGGAGTGGGTGAATCAGATTCACAAGCGGGACAGGAAACTCGAACGACTGCAGGATATGCTGGTGGCGGAACAGGTGAAACTAAAAGCTGCAGCAGATGTTGAACAACTACAAGCGCGTGGTCCCGATTCTTGGCCCGAGCAGCACCTCCAAGCAACATCCGATCATTTGAAGATGAGGACAAATAAAGCGGCCCGCGGTCCGCTTAGCCGCGTGAATTTTCATCCGTGGCGGCGCGCGCAACGCCTGGAAGACTACCGGATGATGCACGAACACCTCGCGGAGATGGAATCTCTGGAAGAAGAGCGCAAGAAGATCGTGGGCGCCAACGAGGAGACAAGCTCTTTGAAAAAGAAGCACGCGGAACTGAAGCGGACGGCAATCCGGCTGAAAAAGCAGAATATCGAGAAGCTGAAGGAAACCGCGTATTACGCAAGAAAAAAACTATGTGAGTGTAAGTCTGTGATGCAGAAAATGCAAAAAAGTATACACCTGTCATGCTGGGTGTCTGTCATAAGCTACTCGCATACGTGTTTCCACGTTCTAGCTGCGCACGACAGGTGTTCCCTGCAATTCAAAACGAATTTGTGATGCTGCTCCTCCTACACCTACGCTTACACAGGTTTTTTTCCTTGATACGTATTCGGCCTTCACCACCGGGCGCGGTTTACTCCCCCTGCTCGGTATCGGGGGCGTGCTGTTTGGCTACTTCCACTTTCATTTCCGGTTCCCGGCCCTCGCGAAGCCCCTCGGGCACGTGCTCAGCTCTATCTACCTGTTCTACTATTGTGAGCAAAAATCCCCCCTCCCCATACCAAAGCGGGATACTTCTGAAAATTTGTGATGCTGATTTGAGGCCACAGATCGTCTCTGTATTGCCAGAAGGCAAATCCAAAAACCTGGCCGCGTTCTGCAGGCAATTTGTAATGCTGCATGGCCTACCCCTACGGAGGATATGCCTGCCTTGCTAGGCGCCCACACGAAAACGCCCCTACTCCGGCTTTGTATCTGTTTGCAGTCCTCTATTGCAAGACAAATCCGACTTGTGTACACAAATCCCGCATCACAGATTTCCATTTCGATAAGGGGAGGGGGGATTTTTCCTTCTGATATCTACGCCGTCGTGTTACTGAAAGGAAAAACTCCCCCCTCCCCATATTGAAGAGGTACGTTCCCGAAAATTTGTGTTGCTGATTTGAGGTCACAAATCGCATCTGTCTTGCAAGAAGACACGGGCAGAAGCTTCCGCCCCATTATGGAAGCGGTTTGCCATGCTGTTGGGCCTGAAGGGGAGCCGTTTGCCATGCTGAACAACTAGAGCCATACGCCCCTACCTAGCCCGGGGATCTTGGCGCAATGCCTTCCTGCAATACAAAGCTGATTCGTGTGCACAGCTCCAGCATCAGAAATTCCGCTTGGATATGGGGAGGGGGGATGTTTCCTTTCGATGCGTGTTTCTCGAAAAGTGCTTTGGCGACAACGTGATCGACTTTCTCACGACCAAGCTGCACGTGCCGCCAAGTTTCGCGCTGTTTGATTGGTTATGCATTGCAAAAGTACCGTTACCGTAACCGTACTCGTATAAATGCATTACAAATTTCCTCAGCTGCATGAGAAATAAAAATTTGTAATGCAGATTTTCGCTAAGAAAAAGATTTCGATTTGTAATGCAAGGCTTGCATTTGTACGAACGAGTACGATAGTTTTGCAATGCATATTGGTTCTTCGACTACGCCCTGGACATCGACCGGAACAAAATCTTACTCTCCGATGATTTTCAAACGGTAGTGCGGGAGCTGATGTTCCTTTCGCACACCCTGGCTATGCGGTTGGGCAAGACCTTGGAGGAAGTTTTACCCGGGTACGAAACCATGAATTTTGTGGAAGATGATGAGTCCGCTGGTACCGATCATAGTGTCGCCGACGCAACAACGGCGGGAGGTGTACTACCCGCGACCTCGACTGTATCCGGTGTCGGCGCGGTGCCACCCCAAACTACTGCGCTACTAGATTCCGCCACTGCCGCATCTTCCTCTGTAACAAGTGAAAACAACTCGTTTTTCGGAACCAGAGCCTCGCCTTCGAATGCGACCATAATAGGAGACGCAATACTCTACTACTTTTTCGGCCGCAGTAGAACAGACGTCGACGGGGTCGGGGTCGCCGGGAAAAATGCTGGTACGAAAGGCGATCACGATAAAAATGCTACATTGCCACGAGCAGCTGCAGCACTATTCCAACTGCTGGAAACTATACGAGATTTTCTGTACTATTTGGTCTTCTGGATTCCAGCGAGAGCACTTCTTCTTATCTCCACCGGGGCGCATATGGATGTGTCAGAGTTGAAATCGACAAAGTTGAAATAACTTGTAATGCATAAAATCGATACCATGCGCAAGTCCAATTTGTAAGCGGCGCATGACAAATTTGAGTAGAGTCGAAATCCAGTTTGTAACGCTGTTTGGGTAAGGAGGACGCCTTTTGTGATGCTACTTGAGCAGCTCTATTTCTACCCCGAAACAGGCTCACAATCTGCCTCCCTTGCCTACTCTGCAAGACAGGCATTTTCTGCGTTGCATTTTATGCATGACAAACTATTTCAACTTTGACGATTTCAATCCTGACAGTTCCATAGCGCAGACAATAGGTGGCTTTTGCTCGGTCTACTACGGTATCCTGACCACCTGTCTCTCCAAGGTGTTTGCTGGCCTTCTGGGCACTTTCTGTCACGCATACATGTATTTCTTTCTGAAAAACCCGACGAGGCTCCTGAATGTTGGCATTCCGCTCGTCCTGCTCGCGGTGGTCTTTTTAGAACGGTATGTCCAGGGGGAAAAAAATGTCGTGCGGCTCGTGTAGTGACAGTGAGATTGTTCATGACAGCGTGTATTGTAACGATCCAACAAGATGAGCAACAGCAATCTTGTAAAGAGATCCTCGGAAAGAGATGTTGTAAGTACTACTCCTGCGAATGTAGTGATTGTCATGCATGCAGCTCGGAGGTAAGACGAAATAACTAAGATATAGATCATCATCCGAAATGGAGCGACTCCAAAAAAGACTCGCTACACTTCTGGGCCGCGGCGGTTCCTTTTTCCCTTGGATACACCGGTGTTTATCTGCACGAAGTATTTGGTGGGAAAACATTTGTTTTTCTTTCATCCCGGCAACATGTTTTGATTTCGACGAGCACTAATATACGGGTGCTGATTTTTATAAAATCGTTTAGAAAAAGACCTGCGAGGAGGCCCGTCGTCCCATGTTGCAAGCCTGAACGTGTGGAGTTTGTGAAACATCGACTCGAGAAACTGCTCTGGAGGGAAGCACAGCTCGGGCTCATCTAGAAGTACTGAAGTTCAGTACGTGCCCTTCAAGGTTTTGTTCGCGAACAAAGGCACTGCAACTGGCTGTAGAGGTGCCGGTAGATGAAGTTGTCTTCTGGCTTGTACCAAGTTTTTTTTGCAACATCCAACGACGAATATGTATTTTGATTTTCGGTTTCCATTTGCTTTTATTCTCGTAATATGAGGCCGACTCTGTCTCTGAGGACAATGAATACAACTTGGATCGGTTTTAGTTACGACGTCTCTAACATCATATCATCGGTCCGGCTTGTTCCAAGCTTTCGTAGTCGTGCGCCTTTTGGTCCTCCTCGTCCACAGAAGTGTATCGTCATCGTGGATCTCTCGTCGTACGAAGGAGCATGGTTTTAATCATTCAGTCGGTCACCGTCACGGTATTGGAAGAAACGCTTGAATAAACCCAATATCGGCCCTAACGTCGCCACTTGATGGCCATTTTCGCGCACTAGGTGAGCACAAAACTGCCGCGCGAAATATTTACGATTCCTCTTTTGTTTCCGCAATCGTCCGGGCTCCTGTGGAGCCGAAGGTGGTTGCGTACATAGATTCATTGTCGTGACAACATAGCGTCATTGCGTCGCCTTCCGGAAAGGAACGTTTCCTGCATATAACTCCCTTTCCTCGATGTCGCTTATGATCTTTGATGCCTCTTTGTTCTTCATTCCAACAGCCTCACAGCATCACCCCTATGTGGCTTCGCTTTTGATGCACCTCCCCCCCGGTGCGAAAAGCATAATTAAGTAGAGCAATCACAACTGTAGCATAACTTCTCTCGACCCCATAAGACAAAAACGACCGCAATTTTACTTTCAGACTCAAGAAACTCTTTTTTTTTACGCTTACGCCCCAAGACCGCTACTCCAGTATTTTATTTCTCCAACCTCTATGTACAGTAACAAAAACAATTTTTTTTCCTTTTTGAACTAACTTAAAATATACTTTTTCGATTTCGTACGACACCAAGACACAAACTTTTTCGACAACTATCGAGAACGTGCTGAAGTTCCAAAAACAAAAAGAAGCTTTTCAAATGCACCATCCACAGTATATCGCAGACGCCGCAGTCTTCTAGCATTTTCATTTTCTACTTTTTAACACCTACTATTTTTTATTCCTTTCACGAAGAAATCACATCAGTCGCAGAAGGCAAGAACTAGAACCAGCTTCAGAACTGCCACCGAGGACCATGGCGCCCGGACGGAGATTCAACCGGAACAAGAATGTGGTGGCAGCCTACACAGCCGCTGAGCTTTTGGCCAAGCAGCTGGCCTCGCCAGGCCGCTCGGGAGGAGGCGCAGCTACCTCCGCTTCGGCGGCGAAGGTTCCGGTCAGGCCGGAAAAAGACCCGCTTACGAAAACACCGGGGGTGATGGATCCTGCGAACGTTTCGGACGGGGATCAGCCCGGCTGTCGCGAGATATGCATTGCAAATATGTCTGCGTATGGAAGAGTGCGAGTTAGTCATGCTAGGTCTGACCGCCACAAAAAGAAAAATCTGCATTGCATGACCAACAAAAGTGCCCACTTTTGGTTACCAGGACGAGACAGCACTGCTCCTGCGGGTCAGGCATTGAGGATGAGGAGCCTTCTCAAAACTCGTGATGCTAACGCCCGCATTCCAGACCTTCTTGGTCATGCGAACGCTGCATGACAGACGTTGCATCTTCCAGACCCAGACATATTTGCATTGGATACGAGACGGGCAAAGGTAACTGCGAACGACAGCAAACCGAATCGGAAGACGACAAAACCGGGTCTGAAAATGAACAGCAGCAACAAGCTGACCCGGCTTTCCCGGGGTGGCCAGTCGCGAGTGCCGTGGCCGGCTTTTTTCAGCGGACAGAGCACGAGCAGGGCAGGAGCAGCTCCGGTACAACAACTACTACAACGCATCAGAAAAAGTACAACCTGCGTGGGACTGCGCGGAAGAGGGCCGCCGCGGCGGCAGCAGCTGCAGCTTCCGCAGAAGCCTCCCATGTTGACACGCCCCTCGGGTGGTCAAAAGACAACGCGGTCGATTCGGCTTCGCGCAAGGAGACCCACGGAAAACTAGGTAAGCGATTTCGCTTATGTTTTGATGTAGCTAGGCTAAGGTCTCCGTCTCGGGGAGCTCCGTCCTGCTCAGATCCGAAAAGTGGCGCTCTCGACCCGATCTGCGCGAGACAACTGCAGTTTCCAGATGTTGGCTATCTAGTCGGCCCGCCGACGAGTCACGACCATGGAGATCCGGCCTCCACCTTTTTTGCAATTTAAAATGTGCAATCGAGGAATCTGTAAACGCGGAGGAGCGTTCATTTTTTGGAGATGTTAACATTTTGGCATGTCCCGGGGAAAAGGTGTCCGATTTCTTCGCGCAAAAAAGCCGGCAAATTTTGTTAAATTTTGGGCCAAATTTGCCGACCAATGTTAGCATTTGTCCAAAGTCCGGCATTTCTGCACGAGAATCTGGAGCGCACCCAAAATGTAAACATTTGCCCGAAAATCTGACGTGTCGTGCGAGATTCTGCGACTTGGCCCGAGGTCGTATTTTTGGCCAAAAACTTGCTGGGCCAGCAAAGTCGCAGAAACTCGTGCGAAAAGTCCGATTTTCGGGCAAATATTAACACTTTCCCAACCGTCCAGATTCTCGCACAGAAATGCCGGATTTTGGCCAAGAGTTAACATTGTCCAAAGTTATGGGCTTACTTTGATCAAAAAACGCAGCATTTTTTGAGAGAGATCGGAGATGGGTTAAAGCCAGACCACCTTTTGGCCCAGTCTGCCGCAGCGTCAACATATGGGCTTCGGCAGCAGGAGCACGATTATAGCCTCGGAAAAGCGCATTGCTTCGAAGCCTGTAGGCGGCTCATGCCAGCCGCCACCTCAGCCGCCTTGTTTTGGGCGGGGGCTCGTTGGGCTGCTCCTTCGTGCTGGGCCGGAAGATTTCCGCACCTTTATTATTTCCGCCACGCCGGAAGACCTTAGCATTAGCCTATTCAGCTCACAACAACGGGAATAGCGAATGAATTTACCTAGTAGTCCGCGGGTTCTCTTTCGAGGGGCTACAAGAATGCATTACTTGGCCTAAGAAATGGAAAAAAAATACACAAAAACATGCCAAGAATCTTTGTGGTGAAAGTGTTAATGATATACATTATTTTTTTTGAATATCAGAAGACGACGCGTTCGATTCGGCTTCGCGCAAGATGAAGAAGAACAACGCCACGACTGTGCCAGAGCCAGCAGTGATGCCTGCACCAGTCCAGAACGCACCGAGCAAGTTGCATTTGCCTGGCCACAACGAGACGGCTGCTGGTGCAGCAGCTGCAGTTGCGCTTGCGCCGGAGCAAAGTAAAGCGCTACATTCGAGCCGCAACAGCACAAGTGTCGCGGAACCAACAGTTCCGGTTGTGTCCTCATCTGCCCCACAGCTGCATGATGAGAAGCTGCACTCGGCAGAGCATGATCAGGGAAGGGACAGCTCCGGTACCTCGTCCACTAGCGCTGCTTCTACTACTACTGCGCATCAGAAAAAGTACAACCTGCGCGGGGCTGCGCGGATGAGGCGGGCCGCTGCGGCGCCAGCGGCTGGTGCTTCCGCAGACGCAGCAGGTCACGATGCGCCCTCTGCGCCAGGGGAAGACGACAAGCTAGACTCGGCTTCGCGCAAGAACAGCGCCACGCCTGTGCTAAAACCAGCTGTAGTGATGCCTGCACCGGCGCTGAGCGGGGCGGTGCATTTGTCGGGCCGCAACAACAAGACGGCTGCTGCTGGTGCAACAACCACATTTCTGCCCCCTCCGCCGGAGCAACGTGAAGCCCTACACGCGAGCCGCAACAGCACAAGTGTCGCGGCACCCAAAGTTTTGCCCGAATCTTCAAAGAAGCCAGAGGAAGATCAGCTCCAGTCGGGCCACAGCAACACAAGTGTCGCAGAGCCAACAATTGTGTCGCACGCCTCACAAACGGTGCGTGAAGAGCTGGCGCATTCGGCGGGCAACAGCAGCAGCACGACGGGTGCCGCTGCAGCACCGGCTGGAGTTGTCCTCTCTACGCCAGCAGAACAAGTTGACAAGTTGCATTCGGGCCGAAACAGCACGACTATTGCAGCGCCAGCAGTTGTGTCTGTGCCAGGAGTCGACAAGCTGCACTCGGGCGGCAACAGTACTACTTTCGCAGAGCCTGAGGCATCACCAGTTTTGTTGACGCCAGAACAAGCAGACAAGCTGCTTTCGGGACGCCAAAGCATGAATGTCACAGCGCCATTTTTTGTATCTGATGCGCAACAAAAGCCAGTTGCGAGCCACAATAGGACTTCGGTTGCCCCACTGGTCTCAGTGGCGGAGAAGAAACAAACAACATTATCAGGCCACGATAGCACACTCAAAGTCGCAGCTCCCGCTGCCTCGGCAGAGAGAGAGCTCCCGCCGCCTCCTCTGATTCACAACCGCACGGTGCCGGTACCAGATGCAGTCCGGCACAAACCGAAGCTGCGTTCGGACCCGACCGCATTTCTGGAAGATAAGTCGGATCTTGTTGACGCCGATGCGCACTTGCAACACGAGGCCCTGCAACGCATCAAATTTGGCAAACTAGAGACCGCTGCGACTGGAGGCCTCGCGTCCGGCGCCCCTGGGAATAGAACGCATCTCGCAAACGCGTCACCACAAGAAAACCCAACGTCGTATCTAGAAGCGCACTTCGGACACTGGGGGCCGAAGAAATTTTTCACTCGGAGCGGCATCCCCGTACAACCCGGGGAGAAAATAGTCGTCCACTTACGCAAACCAAACACCGTTGCCCAAGAATACGGCTGGAATATGTTGGGGCATTTATTTGGGTGGCCAGATTGGGTCCAGCCTTTTCAAACCATCCGGATCCGCGCGACGTATATCGAAGGAAACGAACAAACCGGCCAAATTCATTATCGCGCTGAGGCTGGTGGTGAAACACAAATGGCTCCTTATGCGAACGTCGAAGCACCGAGATTCACGTACATACATCTTCGAGACCACATGAAAGCGCAGCTTGCGCGTGTTTTACAAGACAGCGACGCTTTCAAGCGCTTTGTCCACAACTACAACGGGGTTCGGAAAACAGACGAGGCTAAGAGAGCAGAGACGGCTTTATGGGACCTGTTTTATCGCCAGTTGCTCTTTGGAGAAATCGCGTCGGAGAACATCGGGACTGGTAAGCGCGAGATTCGAATACTGAAAGAGACAACAACACCAGCAACAGATGAATATCAACACCTCGGGATTCCGGCCGTACAGGGGTTTGAGCCGCGGGATAACGGTGCGTCTTTCACTTACAATCCTCGTAAGGTGGACGGCAAAGGAAGCTTTGGTCAAGTTTACAAGAGCTTCACAACATCCTACACCGAAGGCTATCAGAGGCAATCAGTGGAACAGAGAGGACATCATACCGATGAGTTTGACCAGGTAATGAAGGTCGTCACGCCGAAACCAAATGTACCCGGTGCAACAATCAAAGAGATTGCGTCGGAGATCGTTGCAAACTTTTTGCTGACGCATGGCACGGGTTACGCTAAAGAAACAAAAGAGTGCGTCTCCCGATTCGTGCGCGTGATGGTGATCGAAGACACAACAACTGAAAGTGAGTCGCTCGGGGAGGCGGCGCAGATTGTAACCTTCCTGGAAAAGGTGAGAATGGGTGACGACGGATACCCGCAGGAGTGGGATCCGCCACTCTATGTTTCACGCTTCCACCAGTGCCTTCGGATAATGGAAAAAGCCCAGGTTGTCATGAATGACTTGAAGCCGGCCAATGTGGGTCGGGACATTACAAATAACAACCATGTTCGGTTCCTCGACTTCGGACTGGCAACTATACTCTCGGGCAAGAAATACGGAGTCAAGTCAAGGACCGCTATCTTGGGGACGCGGCCTACGCAATATAGATTGAACGGTGTGGGAGCGGGGGGTTCGCCAGTGTTTATGTCTCCTCTTCTTCGTCAGTACGTCCTTCTTGAAAGAGCCACAGGAGACCTGAGACTCAGGGACTATGTTCAGGACTGGTACGGCCCGAAGGCGGACTGGTTCGCGGCAAGCCTCACGATGTTGCTGGAGCTGATCCCCAAGGCCCAAAATGTTGACAGCGTGACTGATGCAAACAACCACTTACACAGTCTTATTTTTTGCTGGCGTCTGTGGCAGTGGCAGTGGCGGCAATCAGAGGGGGTGTGGGCAGCAGTGCTAGTCGATTGGCCACACGACGGTTACCAGTACATGAGCCCGCATCCGAGCCCGGATCCTAAAAAAAGTCGAAGAATGCAGCAAAATGTGCAAATTATGCACAATTCGCAATTTGAGGTTTACCCGCGCCCGGCTAAGGCACGTTCCCCGCCCCCGGTTAATCAACATGACCCTAAAATACGAACATGGTGCCCGGTTTACGACTTCATCACGGGGAAAGTTGCTGCGAAAGGTGTAGTTGAACAGTTTGTCAGTGGAGAGCTGAAAAAGTTAAATCTCCACCAAAATGATTTGCAGGCGATCGCACAGCACATAACTCAAGCTGAGTTGCCGCAGAATGATCAGTCTTTAGATTTTATAAAAGTGTAGATGTGCTGCCTTTCAACGCCGAGCGAGTCGGCGTACTATCTCTACTTCACCGCTTAAGGTCTTACTTTGACGGATACCAAAATGTTCTGTATTCGAGCTTATGCCCAGGAGGAGAATCAGAGAAGAAAGCCGTATTTTCACCTAGATTTCACGGTTATGCTCTGGAGCAGCAGCAACAACGGATTTAGCCACCTGCTCATCCTCATCCTGTCATCGGTATTCACGTCCACCCGAGTTCTGTATGAATGCAAAAGTACAATAAACATAGCAGTAGCGCCAGCATTCGCACACACTTATCTCCGGACTTACCGCGCAAATTTTATGTCCTATCGTGGTAGCGCTAGCGTAGTACAACTTACCAAATGGCCTATAGCCTAGCACGCTGAAGACGCAAAGCGCCTGCAAGTTGTGCCTATCGAGGTCGGGCCACTTGATGTTAGTAGGCCTATGTAGTCCCTGACTGATTCAATCGATAATGTCAGCACAGCCGACACTACGCACAAGATGAAGCGCGAAACGATTTTGATGTCTGGCGCTGCAATGCTACGCAACGTCAGCACCTAAGTGCGGTCTTTGAGCTGCATGGCTCGGATGCGGGCCAGTTTTTCGAGACTACCTTTTGTTTTTTTTGGCGTTTCTGGATGATTTTTCACCCTGTTTTTGTCGCAAGCTCGCCCGCACGCGCGCTGCTTTTCACCTAAAGAACTTTGTCTTGTGAGCACATCTATCCGTGAGTTTTTGCTTCAATTCTTCGCCTACAACCTCCTTCGTTTTCTTTTCCTTCCCATTTTCAAAGAAAGACAAAGAGCCCCCTTTTCATTGTTTGTTTGTTGTGGATGGTCTTGTGGAATGTCCTGAAAGTTTTTTGTTTTCCTCTCACGTGGCTAGCGCTACTTCAACAAATAAAAATAAGACAAGCTGGGAGGTGAGCTGCAACTTTTGGCTTCAACCCTGAAGAAAAAACGCCTCGGCTGGAAAACTAAACGAGAGCTGCAGGCCTGCCTTGCAAAAAAGCAGAGCTATCGTGCCGTAAAGTTTAAAAGATACAGCTGTAAGTAAAACACTGTAAAGAGCTGCTCCTCTTGACGACGAGTTACAAGGATGCTGAAGCTTACAAGTGTTTGAAAATTCAAAAGCGACGCTGTGTTGAGGAGGAGCTGTTTTTTGTTTTTGTGTTTTTTGCTTTTAATAAATTTTTTGCGAAGTTTTTCTTTTTGTACTGCACTAGCAAGAAGCTCGCCGCCGGGCCTCTATCTAAGCTTGGGGCCTAGGTTTCCTGTCCGACGTCCACTTTCCCCAAGAGGAGATGGGTTAAGTGATTGTTTCGTCGGGGGTTAGGGATGCTTCCCAGCGCTTAGGGTTCTTGCATCTTTTGGCTGCCGGGCGTGAGGGTGGTAGCGCGAAGTGGGCCCCAATTGGACTTCCCTTCACTGCTAAAACGGACTGTGCTGCGTCGTCCGAGATGCCTGGCTCTCAATGCAAACCAATGCAGACAATTAACCTTCAGGAAATTGAAGCGGTTACGAAGGCACTTTCTGGCTCACCTTGGCAGCTCATCTAGTGCCGAAGAAGCTTGTGCTAAGTTGTATTTTATTTCAGCTTTTCCTTTTTTGCGCCTTTCTTGTGTTTGTGGTTTAAGATTTTTCTTCTTCCACTTCTCATGCTTTTGTTTTTTCTGGTTTTCTTATTCTTTTACAGCATTTCGATTTCTGTCAATTGAGCATCGGCGTTTACAGGATTTTCTTCTTTTCATAATCCAATTTTGTCTACAGAAGATTTTATTTCGACCTCCAATTTTATGTTTATTCCCGCAGATTATTTTATCTAAGGAAGCCTGTATGTGAGTGTATCCCTATCCCATTAAGCCTAGGCTTTTTTTATCATGGAGCAAGCCCTAAAATATTTACGAGAGTTACTATTTTCACACTGTTTTGCATGTTATTTCATACGGAGACGGAGGAATATCATCGGCATTGACGTGCGCCCGGTTATTTCTGTTTGAGTGCAAAAGTGCAGCCATGGCATCGGCATTCGTGCACGCTTATGCTTCGGATTTATAATCGCGCTACTTCTACGCCTTATCGTAGTAGCGTCGTACTGACCAAGTACTAGGCTATAGCATAGCATGCCGACGCGACTGCAAACACGACGAGAGACGACACAGAAGAAAGGAGAAAGAAGACCGATGGCGGATTTTTGATTGCGCACCGACAGGCTTGCTTGTGAACCCAATATACGCGCAGCGCTGGAATTCGCAGCGGGCCAAAACCCATTTCGTTGAGCAGGATCGTAACCTCATGGAATTTCCCAAAATTGTTGCTCATCACACTCATAAGAAACTTCGCGCATGCCTTTACAACTTCTATGGAGAACACAGAAACAAAGATCATCGGTCCCCGCGCTCGGAGCGCGCAAAGACAAGCCGTTGCTTCGGTTCAAGAGATAAACAAAAGCAATTTTACCTTCTGATGGAGGTCCTCGTGTTCTTCTTAGCGAAGAACGTTATTGAACAAAGTGACTTTTCCACCGCGACCAGCACTATTCCTGATATTTTTTGCGGGACGATTTGTCGCTAATCACTGCAAGTGGGTCGTATTGCGATGATAAATAAATATAGGTGGCCTACACCGGCAGCTACAAAGTTGAAAATCGGTTTCGTTCATAGTAAGTTGCGCACCACAGACTCCGACAGCACAGAACAACGTACAAGCACGATAAGATTTTCGGTTCGTCTTCGTTCAGGAGATGACGATCTTCTTTGAAGGACAATAAAGTTCGGGCTCGTCTTTCTCGTTCTGACAAAACAAAAAGTTTACTTTCGTGCAACTGATCAGCTGCTATTTCAGCAGCACAGTTTAGACATTTTCCGCTGCTGCTGAGCGATCTAATATCTATTTCGCCACACGACAGCAGCCGTAATTTCTGTTGCAGCGTTCGACCCTTTTCCTTTTGTCCAGTTCCCACCACATGACTAATTTGCCCATGAAATAAAAAAAATTCTACGTACCCTCATCTTCCACCATAGGAGTTCTGCCCCAGAAGAAGCGCCCCCTTAAGGGGCAGAGCTAGTAAGAACGTTTTTTTTTTGTTTACATACTGGTTCTTCTTGCTGCTCACGCACTTGCGCTACTTTGCAACACAATTTTTCCCCATCTAAGTACCAACCATACTTGATATAAAAACGCCTATCCAGCACGACCATGTCGTCCTCTTCCACCCCTTCGGCGGACAAGTCGTCCCTGAAGGAACTGTGCCGGAAACGCATTCTCGACGGGATGCTGCGACTATCAAATGTAAAAATGTCTGGGCCTGGAAGAATGCAACTTGTGATGCTGCATTTGGATTCCAAAAAAATTTGCATTGCATGAGTCCCTAACGAAAGGCAATTCTTGCTACGCTGAGAAGGCATTTGTCATGCGGAAAACGCATCAAGAAGCCCTCAAAAAATCTGTATTGCTAGGGGATGCATCACAGACATCATGGCTCACGCAAAACGTGCATGACAGGTCTCAGAATCTTCCAGACCCAGACATTTTTACAGTTGGTAGCGACAGGTGAACGGCAACAACCCGCTACTCTTCGTCGTCCTCGTGTGCGACGCGCAGACACTCCACCTGGTGTCCGCCTGTCTCAACTCGGCGGACCTGGTCGCGAACCGGGTCGCAGTCGTGGACAAGTTGGACAAAAACCGCGAGCCGCTGATGAACATGGACGCGATATATTTTCTCTCTCCCACCGCGAAAAACTTCACGAACTTGATGGTGGACTTCCCGGATCTGACCAAGTATAAACCAAAATACCGGAAACAGCACGTGTTTCTCAATTCTACCTGCCCGGATGACGTTATGGGGCTCCTGACGGCGAGAAAGGACGTCGTGAAGCGGTTGTCCACGTTTGTGGAATTAAACCTAGATTTCGTCGCGCGGGACGACCGAATTTTTCACTTCTCGGTGCACACGCCAACCTTGCTGAAGTACTTCCCCACCAGGGATGACGAGGTCATGCGCCAGGATGTCCGGAAATTGGTACTGATTTTTAAGTTTCAGTTTGATTGAGATAATGTGTTTTTATATGGGACCACGAAGATTGATAGCTAGATGTCTCAGAGCTACGTACATCAGTTTGATCTATCATGATGGTGCCATTTTTCCTTGACACAGTCCCACGGAGAAGTAAGTGCTCACTACCAGTAATCCTAGTAGATATAATACCAAAACCACCAATTTCAATGTGTCACAGCTTTCCCTCTTTGCCTCTTTGCAAGACAAGCCGAAGATCCGGTTTTTGAAGAATTCCATCGACTCGTGGTATGGGAGTGTCAGGATTGAAATCGACAAAGTTGAAATGATTTGTAATGCATAAAATCGATACTAGTTAGAAGCCCAATTTTCAAGCGATGCATGACAAGTTTCGGCGCCGTCCAAATCCAGTCTGTCATGCTGTTTCGGGACAGAAGACGTCCTTTGTCATGCTACTTTAGCAGCTCTCTGTCTCTGTCTCTCGCAGTCCCCAAACAGGCGGACAGCCGGCCTCACTTGCCATCCCTGCAAGAGAGGCATTTGCATGCCTTGCAATTCCTGCATGAGAAAGTATTTCAACTTTGACGATTTCAAGCCTGGCGCTTCCATACCTGGTGCGGCATGTTTGCCATGCAGCTCGACAAGGAGTTGGAGGAGTACTGGGCCTATCAAATGCAAATATGTCTGGGTCTGGAAGATTGCCGGGTTTGTCACGCATATTCTGCATGACCCATGACGCCTGTAATGCATGACCTAGCATCACAGATTTTTACAGGGCTTCCTGATGCCCAAACCGCATGAAAAATGCCCTTTCCGCGTAGCAAAAACTGAGCCTCTATCGCTGTTCATGCAATGCAGGTTTTATGCACAATCGAACGTCAGCATCACAAGTTGGATCCTTCCAGACCCAGACATATTTGCAATTGATAGGACCAACGCGTCCAAACCGCCAAACAGCATGATTATGCAACGAAAAAAGTGTTTACAGTTATACATTGTGTTGCAGGACCGACAAGACAGACAACCTTTGTCATGCAGGAAATGCTTTGGAGCCTCGTTTCCTTCGTGTTTTCCTTTACGATCTTTGCATTGCAAGTTTTCTCTGTCACAAAAATGCAGGGCAACTTTGTGATGCTGAAATTACAACAACTGTGTAACTGTAACATTTTTTGTTTCCTGTGATAATGACCTGCACGTGTTTGATCGTCGACCGGGGGTTAGACGCGGTGACCCCCTTTCTCCACGACTTCGGCTACGAGGCACTGTGCATGGACTTGCTCGCGGGGTACGACGATGACAGCAAGGAGATTAACCTTCGAAACGACACATTCACCTATGATACGGTGACCGCGGAGGGGGAAAAGCTGCACAAGTCGATCGTGTTGAACGACGACTTGTGGAAGGGGCTCCGGCACAAATCCATGCTGCAAGCGAAAGACATCGTCATGCTGCAAATGATGGAGCTGAAGGAAAACAACGAAATCGCAAAGTTCATGCAGAACGAGGAAGACGGTATTGAAACTCAAAGTGAAATTCGGATTTCCCTGTTTAAACTTGTCTCTTTCTATATTGATTGACTTCTCATGCAGAAACTGGCACTGGCAACAATGATGTTGTTTGCCATGCAATGGGCATGGCAAAAAAAAATCTCTAATACAATCAACCATCAGGTATCGAAACCGAAGCGACCGCACGCATCCTCCGTCAGCTCCCCGCGTACCAGGAGAAAGTGGGGAAATACGGCTCGCAACTCACGCTGATCACACGAACGATGAAGATCATTCAGGATTTGAACCTCAACAAGGTCGGCGGTTTGGAACAAGATATTGCTTGCGCCATTCAATCCTCGGGCGAGCCAGTGAACGTGCAAAAGTTGATGACGGGGTTGGCACAGACACTAATGGACCCGTCTCTGCCGCAAACGCTGAAGCTCCGGGTGCTGTTGGTTTATGTTCTGAATATGAAGGGCGTTTCTCCGGCGCACCGGGAAAAAATGCTCAACACCGGCGGGTTTGACTCGGAACACAGAAGGGCGTTCCAGAAAATTCTTGGACTGGGGTTGGTTGACGGTATAGATGAATTCTGACTTGTTGTTCCGATTGTTCGCGTCAACCATGATTTTTTTTCGTTCAAACAGAAGTAGTAGCAGTAGGGATGAGGTGCAGTCAATTTCTTTGCGAAGAGGAGGTCATCTAGGTCTTTCGTTTCCCGCTACTTACCTGGAGCGAAACAAGTAGTGAAAATTTCATTTATCGCCCGAAGATACCCCCCCAAAAAAAACCAGATCTCGAGGATCCGAAGAAGACCGCAATCCACCAGACGCGAACGCCGACGGAGGAGCAGCTTTGCTATCCAATGCAAATATGTCTGGGTCTGGATGAGTGTGATGCTGTTTCTGCATGACACAGAAGGTCTGGCATGCAAGTCCTCGCAGCACAGGTTTTGAGCATGGTAGGCGATGCCTAATAATCCGCGTGACAAGTTCCCTCTTTGGGTGACAAGAAATGAGCAACTTTTGCGGTCCAGGCATGACAGATTTTTTTCTCGTCTCAAATGCGCATCATGAGTTTATATGTTTCCAGAGAGCCCAGACATATTTGCAATGCATATTTGCTACTCCGAGATGATTCAGACGGACCGGAAAAACAAGATGAATCCGATAAAAACCTTCAAGCACGAGCTGTTTCGGTTCCAGCCCCGGATCCGCATGCTCGCACAGCGGTTGTGCACGAACACACTGGATCAGGATCTGTTTCCGTACGTAAAGGGCGACCCGCTGTCGAATCACCCCAATATCCAATACGGCCGAAAACCGGGGAAGAGGCCACGGATGGTGATCTACTTCATCGGTGGGATGACCTACAGCGAGACCAGAACGGCATACGACTTGTCGGCGAAATACAACGTGGATATTTTCATGGGCTCAGAAGGATTGCTGAACCCAGAAAACATCATCGAGAACTCGTTTGTCGAAACGTATGGGTGAAGGTCATGTCGACGAAGAAGTAGAAAAATGAGTCTCGTCGGAAATAACCCGGTGCTCTATTTACTCTTACTCTATTTGGACAAAAATCAAAACTCTACTACTAGACCCTGTAGTACTTCTGTAATCTGTATTTTTACACGCCAATACAGCTGCAGGGTATACTAGTCGAGTAGAAGCAACTTCTGTCAAACTCTTAAACTTAAACTCTACTGCAAAAATCAGCAACGCCGTACTGGTTGTATCAAGCCCTCGACACAACCAGACGAGCGCTATGTATCAACAAAGACACGTCCTCTTGTAGGATCTGTCGAAGAGCTGGCTCTTGAATGTACTTTTTTTGAATCTTAATATCCCCACTTTTCACAACGCTTTTGTTTTCTGCCAAGCACGTCTTCTCTTCGGACCGTATGTACTGCCACAAAATTTGAGAACGCCACTCCCTCGGGGCCGGCTGCACGGAAGGGGGGAGGGTTTTTTGCTCTTTCGTGAGCACAGCGCTTAGAAGCAGGAGGTGGTTAAGCGTCGTGCTACCCAGCCGTGCAAGTCGTGAGCCAATAATTTTTCCAATCGGAAGATTTTTTTGTGGAATGATATGAAATTAGATTCCGAACAAGTTCGAATGTACCTACATCTCGTTCGAAGCTGCAAAGAAACGTGTATTTTGACGAAAAAGAATCCCGGAAAAATGAATGTCATCAAATACAAACTCAGCCATAGTAGTACTAGCGCCGGTTGATATTATTTCATCCTGGCGATGCACCCATGCTGTACTGTGGCTGCAAGACGTGGACCGGTGTTGTGTTGAAAGGAACTACCTGCCGTCTGTTAGTAGTATGTTTGCCCCGCCTGGAGGCAGCGTATTCGTCTGATTCGTGAAAATTTTACAGTGGTGATGGTCTCAGCACAATCTAATCTTCGGATGCGTCGGTCTTTTCGTTTTCACTTTTACTTCGTGGGCGACTTCTACAACTGGTACCATGGGACAGAAGCTCCAGGGGTGGCGGATCTTTTTTGGTTCTGTCGTGAAGACTATTCTATCTTCGCTCTGATCGTGATTGTCTTTGATGGTCGACCTGGTTCTCCATCGTCCATGAAAATGAGTCAATGTTGATCGTGATGACAGGTCGTGAAATGCTTCTTCTAGAAACGCGTTGAATGATCATCATTTTCGTGGTCCGCAGCCGCACTTTCATTTTCCTCTAGATGCAGCTTTTCCTTTTGTTGGTCTTTTTTTGAAACAAGGGCATGCATCAATCTATGTGTGCTCCACTACTAATATCCTGAGGACCACTAACCTGAGCGGGTGGTCGTGGGGTCGTGTCCTGTGGCTACGCGGTGAAAGTGCAGGGGGCGGATGAGCAAACAGTTCGTGTTCTAACTTCGTCCTAGTTCTGTACATCTAACACCATCTTGACAAGAACCAACATGGAGACAGCTTCGAAAGAGGACGGCAATACTAAAGCCGCAACTCTCGTCCACCCAGGCGACACCTCCGCCGGTCCGTCTTCCGGTATCAAAAAGTTGCAGTCTCTCCGCACCCGCGCCGCGCAGAATGTTGGCGTGTTGCAAAAGCTCTGGTCGACGACGGACGAAAACAAACAGGACAAGTTTCTCCGAAACGTCAATTTCGTCGAGAACGAAACGGTGTACAAAGTCTCCTTAGACTTGTGGCTGTCCGTCGAATACCCTGTACAAGAGCATCGTACTCGTACTAATCGCAGTCATGCAAGACAAATATCTATGCTCAAGCTAAATTAGCATGACAAATTCCGTTTGTCATGCTGAGCTAATTTGCATTGCAAAACTACGAGCGCGATACTTTTGCAGTTCATATCGAACGGTATGGCGAACCTGCGGTACGGATTGCCCTGGAAACGATGCTCGACCGAGATTGCCGCAATCTCGTGCTGAACAACGACTGGCCGACGTTGGATCGGGGCGATAGGTTTAGCCAGGTCGTGCAGATGAAGAAAAAAAAGTGCAAGGACAACTACTTGAACTTGAAGAGCAGTAGCATCGACCTGGAGAACGATTGGAAGCTGAAATTTGAAGAATTAGCGGACGAGATGGAGAAACTGAAGACCAAACACGCATATCAAATGCAAAAATGTCCGTGTCTGGAAGATTCTAAACTTGTGATGCTGTCTCTGGATTGGAAAAAAATTTGTATTGCGTGACCAGTAAGAGGAGTAGATTTTGTGTTCCGCGGGGATGGCATTTGTCATGCGGAATAGGCAACATGAGGAAGCCGAAGCGCTCTAAAAATCTGTGATGCTAGGCCATACATTACAGGCATTATGCAAAATATGCATGACAAACACAAATCTTGCAATCTCCCAGACCCAGACATTTTTGCACTTGATGACGCAGATCTGGAGAAAACGAAAAACTCGTTGCAGGAGCAGCTGTGGAAGGCGCAGGCGAAACTTTATCAAAAGGAAAAAAGCCCCCACCCCATACCAAAACGGAGATTTGTGTAGCATGATTTGCTACCACAAATCACATTGTCATGCTGGAAGGCAAAAGATGCGGACTGTAGTGCTGGCTGGCGTGGGAAAGCCTTGCACTTTCAGCAAGAGAGGAGGCAACTGGAAGTGGAAAACAGCATGACAAACTGCCTGCAGTTCAGGCCACAGCTTCGTCTGCTCTTGGCATTCTAGCAATACAAGTCGACTTGTGTACGCAAATCCAGCATCACAAGTTTACTTTTCGATAGGGGGAGGGGGGATTCTTCTTTTTGATAGTTTGGAGGGGGACGGGGATGAAGTGCAGGCAAAGGAAAAGGAGCTGACCGGCCAGGTGGAGGAATTAGAGGCGGAATTGGCGAAAATGAGGGAGAGGGGTATAGGTCTGACACGGATTTTAAAAATTTGAAATTTATCGTGCTCTCTTCGTGATATTCGATTGATTTTCGACTGCTTGTCATGCGCAACTACCATGTACATCAATATACAACGACCCTTCGTAGATCGTTTATCAACACGGTCACACGCTCACGGACAGGAATCTGTGATACAGAATAAACAACACATCTTCTATAATCAGCTTCCGCCTTTGAGGATTCGAACGCCGCCGAAACCAACAATCTCCGCGACCACTTAGACGACCTAGAGCAGAAATACTCCGCGTTGCATATGACCTGCTCAAACGTTACAATCTCAAACGTTACAATAGAGTCTGAGACTTGTCTTGCATCATCGACATGACAGACTCGGACAGCATTCCACTTTCTGCAATACAAATTTCTCCAGATTGTATTGCGGATTGGGACTCCTACTCCAGAACTTGTCATGCGTAATCCTGTGGGAGTAGGGTAGATCATGCACTTCTTGCAACACAAATTCTAGATTCTATTGTAACGTTTGAAATTGTAACACCTGAGCAGGTTATATTGCAGCTCGAGCTCTCTACCAAAGACGCGAAGATTGAGGAGTATGCATTGCAAAAGTATCAGTATTTTCGTACTAGCAGTAATTGCATCACAAATTAGCTCAGCATTGGAAATGGAATTCGTCACATATTTCGTTCTTGGGATGGAGATTTGCATATCATGCATGATTGCGATTACTTTTACTACCAGTACGAGTGCGAAGATACTTTTGCATGGGATACGGAGCTTTCCATGGCGATTCTGAAACAGCAGGAGCTAATGGAGGAGGAGCAGCAGAAATTCAAGGACCAGCTTATGGCTTGCTCAGGTGTTACATTCTCAACTGTTGCATGAGTTTGTAATGCAAGACCGGCAAGAGTGAAAGGAGGAAGATTGCGCCTTTTGCATTACAAGTTTGGCGCAGATTTAGATGCTGTCTAGTGCTTCCGAAATTTGTCATGCGAAGCAGCTCGATCATCTGCCGGCTTAAGGTGCTTTTGCATGACAAATCCATGTAACAGCTGAGAATGTAACGTTTGAGAACGCCATACAGCTCCAGGCAAACACGACGGCCAGTAGCAACGAAGAGGAAGAGGCACGGGTCAAGAAGCAGCAATCCGTGAATGAGGAGGAATTTCAAAAAAGGTTGGAGAGAGCTTTGAAGGACCAGGAACTGAATATGAAGAAGCAGCTGCAGGAAAACGCGACGGAGGTGGCGTCGGTGTCGAAACAGCTGATGGAAAACATCAAGGACTTAGAAAAAACGCTGAAAGATTTGGAACTTGAAAACGAGGAAGTGAAGAACGAAAACAATATCGAATGCAAATATGTTTGAGTCTGAAAGGTGGATGTAAGGTTTGTCATGCTTGTCTGGCATGACTGGAGACTTTGTCATACGTGTCCAAAAAGAGACCCTTTTGCTTGTCATGCAAAACGCACTTTGTCATGCCTGCGGAAAGCGCAACAATAAGCCGCGCGAATATTTCTCATGCTTGCCTGTGCATTACAGAGAATTCACTACTCACAACTCAGCATTACAAGTTTCCAGACCCTCCAGACGTATTTGTATTTGATAAACAAATCTCTGAAGCAAAAACTGCAAGCGGAGAAAAAAGCCTCGGATTCCAAAATCATCGAGCTGGAACAGTTGAATCACCAATTGGAAACCTCCCTTGGCTATCAAATGCACATTTGTTTGGGTGGTCTGCATGATTGCATGCGTTTGTCATGCATCTTTTGGAGGAGCACGCAGATACTGTGGATGTGGAATGCGCACGCTAGCATTACAATTTTTGTTCAGGTCTCCGTCTCGTGATGCCTGTCGCGCATGAGAAACTCAAACTGACTACTTGTGTACGCCAAAAGTGGATAAGTTTTTGTGCTCATGCTGATCATGCAACACAAATTTTTGTGTGATCGGAGATTTTCATTTTCATGACAAGTTCCAATCTTTCCAGACCTAGACAGAGAGACATATTTGCAATGCATATTGGGGAGCTACGAATTCGGCTGCAGGAGCTGGCGAAGAAGATTTCCGAGGCGGAGGGCCAGGGCGTGGACGATCTGAAGGACGTTTTAGAGACCTCTGGACTGTATGCATTGCAAATATGTCTGGGTCTGGAAGGATCCAAACTTCTCATGCTGTCTTTGGATTCTAAAAAAATCTGTATTGCATGACCAACAAGAGGAGCCCAGATTGTGCTACGCGGAGAAGGCATTTGTCATGCCGAGTAGGCATCAGAAAGCCTTCCAAAAATCTGTGATGCTAAGTCATGCGCTACAGGCGCGATGGGTCACTCAAAATGTGCATGACAAACCCGGCAATCTTCCAGACCTAGACATGATATTTGCATTTGATAGGCTGCAGAAATTCCTCTCCGACTGCTCGAACAGTGGGAAATCCATCCGAAAAATCCACGAGAGGCTGTACCAGGATTTCTTTAACCGGGCGATGCGGTTGCAGAAATTGATTGCGGAGTACAATTTGATGCGGGAAGTGGATTTGACAAAGAAGATGGAAAATAACCAGATGGACAAACTATTCCCTCCGGCGAACAACGCTTTGGGCGTATACCCGAATGCGACGCCGACGAACAGCTCGGTGGTGCAAATCACCATGAGCGGCGATTTGGTCAAGAACGCCGCGCATCAGCACAAGGGCACGGATAATCATAGAGGGTTGACAAGTCCAACCTCTGTGGCAGCTTCGGGCACGTTGAGCAGCACAGGAAACTACAACAGCAACCAGAAGCCGCATTTGAGCATTCACACGAACCTCCACGCGGGTGGCCTGATCGAAGTCAGCAATAACGCACACACCGTCTCCCAAGCGATACAGCCGGCAATGAACCTCCCCGGCATGAACGGCAACACAATTTTGAAAAACCGCATGCGGGCCCGGTCGGCGAACTCTAAGCGGACCACGACCTCATTAGACCCGAGTCAAGTCCTCGTCGGCACACCGCAGCAGCTAAACCAGGTGCACATCGTCAGAATGCAGCCACACGACAATAAAGTTCAACCCATGCAGAAGAACGCGAACGTATTTGATTCGTCCTGGCTGATCGCGCCCAGTCCGACCAGTGTCGCGTTTAATACACTGAATTTGCAGTTCACAGTATTGTGAAGAAAAATCTCGCCCCCTCCCCATATCGAAAAGGAAATTTGTGATGCTGATTTGTGGCCACAAAGACAAATTAGGTTTGTCTTGCGTACAAGGCAAACGGCAACCATGTGGCGCATTGTACAGCCAGTCTGTCGTGCGTTCTCGCCTATGTCAGGCTTGTTTCTCATGCTCAGCTGCTTCTAGCCGGATGCGTACCTCCCAATCCCAAACGGGCTTAGAATTATATGCCGACAAGCTCTCGCAATACAAGCAAGGCTCATTTGTGTACACATATCCAGCAACACAAATTGTCTTTTGTGTATTGGGTGGGGGCTTTTTTCACTTTGATACACGGGAACCAGTCCAAACGGCAGTCCAACCAGCACGACAAACCGGAGCAGCACCCTGCAGAAGATGCAATTGTCGAATTCCAAGCAAAGGGTGATGGCGCAGACAGTTATGGAGGAGGAGCGGCAGATGAAAATTGACCAGGGCCGCGCTGCCGGGAGCTTCGTAGCAGGAGCAGGAGGAACAACCACGGCTTCCAGTAGATCACCGCCACCGAGGATCCCAAATCAGGGGTTAGTAGCTGCGGTCGAATCTTCTGACCCGCGAGCGGCGGCCGTAGTCGGAGAGGTGATCGGAGAGCAAGGGTCGGCTTTGCAGCAGCAACTGGAGCAAAGGAAGCTGCGTGCGCAGTCGGAGATGAGGCCTCCTGCTGTTTCTTCTAGTGCAAGTGCAACACAAGCAAATGTTGAAAACAATAACAACTCCTACCAACATATCAACTGCAAAAGTGTCTGGGTCTGGAAGAATGCAGAAGTTTGTCATGCACATTTTCCATGACCCATAAGGTCTGTGATGCATGTCCTAGCATCAGAGATTCTGCGACGGCTTTCTGATGCTCATACCGCATGAGAAACGCCCTCTCCGCGTAGCACAAATTGCGCCTCTTATGCTGTTCATGCAATACAGATTTTATGTAGAGTCCAAAGGTAGCATCACAACTTCCAACTTTCCAGACCCAGACACTTTTGCATTTGATACAACAAGACGCTTCCTACCGCACACCTTCCCCCGCGAAGCCAGCCGTTTGGGAATTCCGCCCGAATTTGCTCCAAGGCAGCTCTTCTACGAAAAATAGAGCAGATAACAACCACCTTGGGCTCTCGTTGAGCGACCAGATTAGCCAAAGTCTTTTCACCGGCGCGGCAAGCAGCTCTTCATCGCCGAGGGGTAGGACTTTGTTACGGGGTTCGGCTTACAGTATGCAGGGGATCATCCCGACCGGAATTTCGGCGAACGGACAGATTAAACGAACGCTGATGTCGACCAGCTTGACGAATGGAATTGGGAACAACGGAGTAGGTTCAACACCTGTGATCAACCTACAACTAGATCCGGACGCTAAGTCAGTGGTTTCCGGTGTCGTGTCGTCCTCTTTGTCGTCCGGTAATATAGGTCATCTGGATCAGCTATGACAGTGCACAACTCCCCCTCCCCCTCATTTGTCATGCAAAATACCCATTGCAACCTTTGTGTTTGTCTCTTGGCACTGTTTGCATGACAAGTTCTGGTAGCCCAAATAGCACTACACTCCAGTGCAAACTTGTGATGCAAAACCGGCACTCTCACTGATGCTTGTATTGCCATTCATGCTATACAAATGAGGGGGAGGGGGAGTTGTGCACTGTCATATCAACACCTTCCGCATTCAAAACTGAACCGCCCCTCGCCGCCCCCAGCTGCGGCGCTTTTCAAGAAAGGATCATTGACGGAAATCATCGAAAATCAGAATGCTTTGCAGAAAAGCGCACGAGCCAGGTCACTGAGCCCGACGATTAGTGGGGTGACGTCTGTGACGAGCGGCACAACTGCAACTGGAACAGCTGGAGCGGAAATGTTAAACAAAAACACGACCACAACTGGCAACCAGCTCTCCACTCAGCAACTTCAGCTGCCGATTCACCAAACACCGAAAGCACCAGCGAAGAAGCTGTCCGAAATTTTGCTCGAGAAAAACTGGACTCCCGGAGTGGGTGTCGCAGCAACTGGAAATAACGGTGGAGAGAAGACTTCTACCGGAACAGCAAATGCAAATGGAACATCATCTACCACTTCAACCGGAGCTGGTAATCCCAGCAATGTGAAACAAGTCGTCGCGTCGAGTTCTTCCACGACGGCGCAAAACCTGATCCGACTTCAAAACAGCACAGGTTCCGGCTCCTCTGCGGAAGAGGAAGAGAAACTCAACGAGTTACCGATGGGACTGAAATTCGGATCGGAATTCGCGAAGAAATCGTCCGTATCAATTGCAAATATGTCTGGGTCTGGAAGGTGGCAACTTGTCATGGTAAATCTGAAGCATGCAAAAATCTGTGTTGCGTGAGTGCCAAAAGCTGTCCACTTTTGTTTTTGACCAAGATGGAGGAAGGGAGTTTTTCATGCAGGATAGGCAAGGCAGTGGCAGAGACCTCGCAGAGTCTGTCATGCTAAGTTCCGCATTCCAGACCTCATGGGTCATGGAAAATCTGCATGGTATCTGGAAAATCTGCATGACAAGCTTAGTTACACTTTTCCAGACCCAGACATTTTTGCACTTGATAGTCCGCAATCCACTTGTATAGTCAGCACTGGCGGTATCGCCAGAAAAAACTGTTTCACTGTAAACTTGTAATGCAGAAATTGCATCTCACAAGTGTTTGTCTTGCTACACATGCAAGACAGTGGATTTTTAGCTGTGTTTTCCCTTAGGAACCTTGCATGGCAAATTTTCTCTGTCATGCAGAACAAACTTGTGATGCAAAACCTGCAAAATCCTTACAGTGAAACACTTTTTTCGTACGATAGGCGGGGACGGGAGAAAGTTTTGAAGAACCACTACAACAGTACTAGTGGTTCTGCGAATCATTCCCATTCCTGTTCCAACAATAATTCTATCAAATGCAAAAATGTCTGGGTCTGGAAACTTGTGATGCTGGGCGGCGTCTCATGAGGAGACCACAAGTGCTGGCTCAGCATGACAAGTTTGTGACCTTCTAGGTGTTGCCTATTCTGCATGACAAACTGCGTCTCTGCATGACAGAAAAATGGAGCTCTTGGGTAACGTGCATGACAGATATAAGAGTCATGCCAGACAAGCATGACAAACATCCACTCTTCCAGACCCAGACATTTTTGCATTTGATAAATTCCGTCCAGGAACCAAACACTCCCTCGATGGAAAACAACTCGCTCATTTCCCATATGCCATTCTCAAACGTTACATTCTCAACGGTTACATATTTTGTCATGCAAAATGCCTATAAAGCCGCCAGACCATCGAGCTGCTTCGCACGACAAAAAATTCTCGCTCGAAGGGCTAAACAGCATCTGAATCTGTGCCAAATTTGTGATGCGAGACTTGCAAGCTCGCCCCTTTCCCTATTGCTTTTTTTGCATGACAAGTCTCTCGGTAGAGATCGCTTTGCCCGTGCTTATTCCACTCAGAGTTTGCTGGGTAGGTGGCTACCGTTTTAAGTTTATAAACGAATGGGACGCCCTGCCCTTAGCCTTCCAACATGACAAATCCTTGTTGTAGCAGTTGAGAATGTAACGCTTGAGAATACCATATCCCATTCGATGAAAACCACCTCCCACTCTTTAGCCCCTTCCTTCGTCGCCCAGCCCAACAGCAAGGGGAATGTGGTGCAGTTCGGCACGCACATTTCCTTCTACCAACGAAGCGTGTCCGAGGATAGGTCCTTGACCAGCAGTGTGTCGGATAATTACCCAGATTCGATGCTGAACTCCCCCATGTCCAGCATGTTCCGACGCAGCTTGTCACCGGGGACGAGGTTTTTTGCAACAAATTCTCTGGTTTCCCCCTACGCGCGGCAGAGCAGGAATTTAGGGAAGGGCACAGCTAGTAATATGCGGAATCAACAGCGGATGTTTCTCTTGCGGCCGGTGAAGCAAGAATTGATATTGGATGAGAACAGCACTAGTTGTGCGGGTCTTGTCTCGTCTGGGGGTGCAGGAGGTGCGGGAAGTACTAGTGGTGCAAGTGGTCTTCATGCTGTCGTGAACAACGCTATGCCCACGTCGGTACACAGTGCGCAGGTTGAGAAAATGAAAAACCAGCAACGGGAGTCGAGTGTGGGAAATAGTGGTGGTGCCGTGCGGGATCAGAGTGTTCCTGGGAAGAATCATCTTGGAACAAATGCGAATGCGAACAAATCCAGATCTCCCTCTCCGGATAACAAACAGAAATTTGTTTTACGCCCGAACGGAGTAGTCCTCTTCCCGACGACACAAAACAACAGCTCAGGAGAGCAGGGAGTTCTTCCGTTAGAAGGGATGTCAGCGCCAACGTCTGTGATGCAGGGTGCGAAAGTGATCGTGCCACCGGTGAATTTGCCGCAAGTTGTGAACATCAATGCGTCGTCGTCTACTGCGTCGCTGACCAAAGTGGATCTCGGACTGCCACCGGTGATCAACGAGTATCAGATGCAAAAATGTCTGGGTCTGGGAGATTGCAAGCTTTGCCATGCATATTTTGCATGATCCATAATGCCTGTAATGCACGGCCCTAGAATCACAGATTTTTAGAGCGCTTCCGCATGGTGCCTATTCCGCATGACAAATGCGATCTCCGCGGAGCACAAAATCTATTCCTCTTACAACTGGTCACGCAATGGAAATTTTTTTCGAATCCAGAGACAGCATCACAAGTTTTGAATCTTCCAGACCCAGACATATTTGCAGTTGATAATGAGCAAGAGGATTCCATTTCCCAAGCGGAATCGTTTCTAATGCTGCGATATGCATTGCAAAAGTATCGTACTAGTAGTAATCGCAATACAAATTAGCGCAGCATGACAAATGCAATTTGCCATGCTGATTCGGCTTGGTAAGGCGATTTGTCTTGCATGATTGAGATTAGTACGAGTACGATTCTTTTGCAATGCATATGCGATCGAGTATTTTGCCGCCGCCAAAGACGAATCCGAACAGGAGTAAGAACATATGCACTGCAAAAGTATCGTAGTCGTAGTAATTGCATTCATGCATTACAATTTTTTTTCCTAAGGTAAACCCGCATTAGAAATTTTATTTCTCATGCTGAGGAAATTTGTATTGCAATTACTACTAGTACGATACTTTTGCAGTTCATAGAACAGTTGGACAAACAAAAATGCAGCGGTGAACAACCACGCGACTAGTGGGGTGTCGTTTCTGAAGAGTAACATTAACAGCGCGGCGGGAGCGACGTCGTCCAAAGTAGATAATCGTCCTCCAGCGGCCGCAGTTATGAGCAGCATAGCGGCGAATAATGCAAACAACAAAATTGCTGTGCCAAAGTTAATCAATTTGGAGCCCTTTGGAGGCGGAGCCAGTTCTGGTGCCGGTGCGGGCGGTGCTGCGTAGAAATTGCCCAGGGTGGAGATAATAAATTACAGAACGCTGTAGGGCTACGCATACTGTGGGTAATATACGCAGATACAACTACCTGGTAGGACAAACACACGCTAAAGCAGTTGTCAAAGTACTTTTAGCAAAGGACGGGCCTATAATTTCTGTTCTCATTTGTGGCACCACGAGCAAAGGTTTATAGCAAGCGATGCAAGTAGAAGTTGGAAGATTAACCTCGATTTTCGTTAAAAGCTTTACACGGTTTTACATTTTGTGAGCTCGTTCGTGCAGTACCTAGAATAGAAGTTTCACAATCGGAAAAAGAACCTGCTTGATGATGAATCAGAATCGTTTTTTGAGAATCACATTTCACATCGATATAGCAGCACTCGTATGTGCTTTGCGTTTGAATCGTTTTTTGGTAATCATGTACATGTTTTTATGGCCATATGTTGTGAATAGACAAGTTTCGGATACCAAATATGCATTGAGTTTTTCTTGGATACTCTATTACAGCAGGAACGCTAGAGCTATGTTTCTTTCTCTGTACAATAAATTTGAATTTGGAAAAACGAAAAAATATTTATGACGCGTGATTCTGTTTCGCACTTTTTTCCGATTTCGTGACTGGGGCTTCTGTAACAACTGCGCTGGTCTTGTTCTCATCGTTACATGCTGTGAAGTGTATACTATTGCCAGAGATAACTACGCTCCTACGCTTCAACGTTCTGAGCACATTCGTATTCTGTCGTAGAGTTTTTCGTATTGATGATCGCATTGGGTCTGCTCCTGCGGCGTTATTTTGGGGTCGTCTGTCTCTGGAATAAAAGAATAAAGGGCCGCGGCACACAAAGACAAACACATCAAACACGTAGAGCAGTATAATTTCGGTTGAGAGAAGAAGACCATGAGAAAATCATGTGAATAGAAAAGTTTTTCTCGGTAGCAATCCTGCAGTACGTACGTTGATGAAAAAAATGAAATTTGCAGCTCCAAGTAGAACGTTGATGAAGAAAATACAAATCAGGAAAGAGAGCTCGAGCTGTACTTCTAAAACTCTTCGGAAATAAATGGATCTACGTACGAAAAGGATTGTCTTTGTGAGTTTTTTCTCTCTGTACCTCCTGGTTTATTTTCCCGATGCGACTACGTACCGTATCTCAAAAAAACACAGTGACCCATTTTTTTCAGCAAATCTCGTCCCCACTAGTTAGCACCCAGCCTACCCTTTAGCCCCTTTTTGAGTAGTTTCATCCCTAGTAGCGACCTTTATAGCGTCAGCATCAGCGTCGGGTATTTCATCAACTTGATTTGAAGACAAGGTGGGCACCCAACTACCCCTAGTATCCTTTGGCGAGACAGATTGCGGCTCTTTGTTCTTTGAGTACGAGTAGACGAGTCAGAGTCTGTGTCTATCTAGTAGACGAGGACTAGTTTTGAAGAAGATAAAGTATCAGGACGTCGAGAGTATTTTTGAACAAGCGGCCAAGCTACACAAACATGACCTTCCGCATTTCCCAGTCTACAACTTTCCAGTAAAAGTCCCAGAGCAGAGTGTAGGGACGACCTCTGTTGAGAGCAGGACAACAACTGGAGCTGCATCATCTACTACTTTCACCACCAGCAGACACCACTTGAGTAACAGTCAATCGAAGATCAACATGTTGTCCCTCACCGAGCTGAATTCCGGACTCCAGTTCTGGATGGACAGTTGCGAGCACAAGAATCACTGGGGCTGGCTTGTCTTCCACTACGCCATACTCGTGGGCGCGTCGCAACCAAGTCCGATCTGCGTGGTGTTAGCCGCGGTGATATGCGGCATCTCCGATGAGCAGTGGAAGACCTACGCGTTTGACTATTTTCATTTAGACGACAAGGACTTCGGGGTGCCCATGCTCTACTGTGTCTGGGTGCCGTTGATGGTGGCCGTGACGTACTGGATAAACGGGGGCTTTCTGCTCGCGTTGGACTGGTCCAGGCCAGAGGTACAAATACTTCTGTGGTGTGATTGAATACGTTTACCACTTTATTTCTTCAGTTTGTCATGCGCAGGGACATTTTTTATTCCCTCTGCTGATGACAGTTCCGCATGGCAAATCTACATCAAAAAATTCCATCAGGTTCTCCAGGGGTTTCGCCTCCAAGCGTCCAACAAGTTGACGAAGGAAAAAATCCGCAAGTTGGTCCGGAATATCGCGATAAACATCTTCCTCGTGCTGCCCTTCATCGGGTTCCTCTTTCTAGTCCTCCAGCTGAAAACGCCATTAGGCTTGAAGCTCGAGCTATGGAAAGAAAAAAGTTTGTCACAGTCACTAACTTGCAGGTTTTGCATTACAAATTTTTTTAGCAGCACAGTTTTTCCTTGTATTGCAGAAACACTAGGGTAATCCCCTATGAAGCTTGGCTGTCATGCATTTTTACGCATGACAGCCAATTTTGTATTGCAAAAATGCGCATGAGTGATCGTGACGCTCTTTTTCTGTTTGATACGAGCCAACACTCCCGAGCTACATGAGCAGAGCCGTGCACACGTTTATCTCCGTGTTCTTCGTCAACGAGGTGCTGTTTTTCTACGGGCACTGGCTCTTTCACGCGAACAAGTGGCTTTACAAAAGTATTCTTGGCAGATTTTTTTTTCTTGTTTCCATCAAGTTCTATCTAAATCTAACTTCTTGGTTCTATTTCCTTTTCGTTTTCAGCATGAGAAATTCACTTTGTTTTGCAAGAATGGCATGACAAATCAAACCACAGACATCCACAAGATCCACCACGAGTTCACCGCCCCGAACGCTTTCGCCGCGATCTACTGCCACCCGATAGAACTTACGCAGTGCAAAAGTATCGTACTCGTACTGAAACTGATTGCGTTTGTGCATTACAGATCTTTTTCTCAATGCAAATCCGCATTACAAATTCAATCTGTAATGCTAAGTCAATTTGTAATGCAATTTATACTTATTAGTACGATGCTTTTGCAATGCATAGAACTCATCGTCTCCGACTTCATCCCCCTTGGGGTGGGCCCGCTGCTTCTCAACTCTCACGTCTACGTCTTCCTCTGTTGGGCGTTGTTCGCCGTGCTCGGAACGCAGACCCACCACAGCGGGTTCAAGTGGCCGTGGGCGAAAGGGTGGGACCATCAGCCCGAGTTTCATGATCTACACCATGCGAAATTTAACGGAAACTACGGGAACATCGGGTTTTTGGACTGGCTGCACGGAACTACACTGCACTTGCCAGTAATACCGAAGACGGTGAAGGAGCCGGTAGACAATGCAGCTACGGGTTCTACATCTACTCCGGATGCAAGTACAATAGAAGGTGCTGCAGCTTCTATATCATCATCACCAACAGCGACAACAGGTCCTTCAACAACAGCCGCAAACACCGCGGAAGCTGCTGCAACATCAGCGAGAAGTAGAATAAAGCTCACAGAAATGACGATGAAGGATAGGAGTGGGGCAATGACCACGACGTCAGGCGCCGGGAGTAGAAGTTCGAGCATCAGCACAACCACGCCGGAAGATGGGATTAAAAGTTCAGCGACGGCTGCGGTGAAGTAGGAATTTCGAAAGTTGGCGGGGAGAAGTTTGCGCCGGATTAGTTGTTGGAGATCGATGCGGAACGACCGAAGGAGCATACGGAGCAGAAGAAGGTAGCGAGACCGCTTTGTCGCCGCCTATAATCTGCAGCTTTTTTTACTTCGACTACTCGCGGCGCCGCTTTCGAAAGGGATTTTGTGTGCAGGAACCATTGATTCTTATTTGAGGTCTGAAGGCGAAAAAGGTTTGTTGATCTTCTTGTTACGAAGATGCGACTAGGATTAAAACCTGCCTCTGTTCAGCGACCTTTCAAGAAAAAACCGGAAAAGCATGTGCTTTTGAATTTGAACGCGAAGCGCATTTTACTGAGTACGCCCGTAAGGAGTGCGTACTTGTTTATCTCGTAAAGATTTTCGTCTGTCCTAACGGCGACAAAAGAACAACTGAACATGATCGAGAAGTGTCTTCAATTGTTGTTGTGGAGCTGTTTTTACAATGAGCTGCCGCAGTTTTTTGAGTGTATTGCCGTGTTCGCTTGCCATCGTTCCAGATGGACACTGTTAGTGAGGCGAGATGATAACTGGGAGAGCGACGCTGTTAGTGGCGGCGGAGTTGCTTCGGCCAGCCTCCTGCTTGCAGGAAGCACCGCGGTGCGCGCCGTCGTGGTCACTGCCGCGCGCTGGCGCCGTGCCCTAGCAGCTGCGCCGCTTTTCGAGGCGTAAGCGGGGCCCCGGCCCGCCTTTTCGGGCCCTCGCGGCCCATCGATCCGCCGAGGGACAGCGCCGCGGCGCGCGTTGCCCTTTCCTGGCTCGCTTGGGGCCCGCATTGGGTCGATGGCTTGCCTGTGAAAGCGGCGCAGCCCCTGCTGGGGACAACCTGCGCCAACCCCGCCCCGCTCCTTAAAGTGTTGAAGGAAGCACGCCGCCGCGCGTTGCTTGGTTGTGGGGCCGGGCGGGGCCTTCGGTCTTTCTGGGCCGACGAAATTGCGCCCCTGCCCATCGGGGGCGGCGGCGGGTTTCTAAATATCCCCCCCAAGCTGGGGGGGGGGTATCGGATGGCGCGAGGCTGATGCGCTGGCGAGCCGGCGCGCCAGCCGCGCGACCTTAGCCGGCCGCGGAAGAGGGGTGGGCCAGTTCGGCGGGAACAAGAGGGAAGAACTACCGACCTAAAAGTGGCGAGCTTCCTGCGCGCCCGCGCCTTCGCCGGCGGCAAGCGGCGCGCCCGCCGGCAGTGACGGAGGGAAATGCCCCAAGGGTGGGCCCTGACTGTCGCCCCCCCGCTTGCATCGGGTTGCCCGCTATAGGCCCCCGCTTCATTCGGCCGGCCAGGTGGGCCGTTTCTTTGCTTCTTTGTTAGTTTGCAGATAGAAAGCGCCACCCGGGTGGCGCCGACCCCGATGGGCCTCTCGGCGGGGGGCCCGCCTATCTGTCTCGCGTCAGGTTCATTGGCAGCGCGGGGGACCTCCGCGGGTTAGCGGCGCAGGCGTCCGCATTTGCCGCAGCCCGGGCGCTAAGGGGCCTCGTCGGGTGAGATGACGCACGCAGGGCGACGTCTGTCGGTGGGGAAGGCGCCCGCCCGCGGCGCCTCCCTCTATTTTTCGGAAGTTAGTCTGTCAGCCCCAGCGCCTGCCCGCGGGCGGTCAAGAAAGTAGATGACTAGAAGCGGATATGAAGACCGGCGATGCGCTCGCATTGATGTGAGGGGGGAGTGTTGTGATCCTGCTGTGGAGCAGTTCTTTGCCAGACAGCATGTGCACCCAAATGCAAATCCTCGCACTGCAATGCTTCTTGTTCTTCCAAAACGGCGCATGGCGAGGCCGAGTTATCTACATCTTACATGCAGCTTGCATGTCGATATCGATCTGCGTTAACCCTAGTGAGTGATATGTGAGTATGAGAGCTCCCCACCTGGAAAAATTGACTTGCAAAAGGCGAGAAAGATATTGTGCAGAGAGATGCGTTGATCGTTATATTAGCTTTCAGGTGCGAGTGCGACGATATCAGTGTGAAGTTGGCAGAGGGGGCTTCATAATCTCGAACGTAGAAAAAATCAAAAACGAGAAGGACAAGGCACGTTTTGTTGACATGCCGAGAAAGAGAGAGCATGATGTAAGTATACCATAGATTGATGGTCAATTATTCAATGTAAATGTGTGTGTCGACACGACGGCCAGGACTAGCGATCAGAGCCGGGCCTTCTAAGGAAGCCAAGTCCTTTCGTCTCCCCCATGATTACTTAGCCTTAGACGCGATCTATCGCTGCCATTCTTTGTTTTGTGAGTATGGATCCTGGCACAGACACTCCATCCTAAAATTTACTAGGAACAAGCGTCCAACCGCGGTTCCTCCTTGAGCGAACAATCTCTAGACGTGGCCGGGTACAGAATTTTTCCCAAATTATGAACGAAAATGACGGGCCCTGGTGGGAAACTAGCCTGGGATCGTGGACGGTGAGGCCGATCATAGACCTGACTACCTGAAGCTGAACTGCAAGCAGGTTTCAATCAATAAACCGAACAGGACGAGTCGCTGCCGTTGCGAGAATAGAAACAAGTACCGCTGCTAGCAGCGTTGTGTGATAGATTGGACAGCGAAAGCAACAGATTGGACAGCGAAAGCAACGCGCTTATAGGACGACGAGAGCATCTGCATCTACGACAGGAGAAGGAGCAGCTTCCTTTCAACTTCTCCGCTTCTAGTAGCAGTAACCTGGCACCGTCACCGAGAGGAGCAACTTCGTTCAAAATGCAGCAGATCGTGAGCAGGTACTTGGACTACTATGATCGCCACAAGTCGATCTACCAGGATATGGGATTCTCAAGCGTTACATTCTCAACTGTTACATGGATCCGTCATGCAAAACTACCTTAAGCCGCCAGATGCTCAAGCTGCTTCGCATGACAAATCTGCGAGGGGCTAGACAGCGCCTAAATCTGTGCGGAACTTGTAATGCAAAAGGCGCAAACTTCGCCCTTTCACTTTTGCCGTTCTTGCATTACAAGTTCATGTAACAGCTGAGAATGTAACGTCTGAGAACGCCATACAGGAGTCCTGGGCCTATGACTTGGGTCCGCTTAATATCCTGAGTAAAAACGTACCCACACCAGAGTTGTAATGCAAATCTGCATGCTGAAAATGTTTCTCATGCGGAGCTCCATGAGAAGCATTTTCTGGTCGTGTTTTGCAATTTGTCATGCTCCAATCAGCATGGTATGCTAGATCTGTGATGCTGCTGAGCTAGCTCAAACAGCACTACACTACGAATCCAGATTTGTCATGCAAAACAGCCAAAACTTGTGGATTTGTCTAGCCGATTCCCCATCTTGACTCTGGTGTGGGTACGTTTTTACTCAGGATACTTAACCGCATGGCGCCGACCCATGCGCCGCCAGCGCCCGGTTCGTCGGAACGGGAGCCGTTGGCACCGACGGTGCGCTTCGAAATGTCCAGTTTCGCGAGGGAGGAGAAAGAGGCAGGGAAGGTATGATAGAAGGATTCAGGATGCAGCTGTCGCGGTTTTTGTCATGCGGAATGGGAATGGGAATCAATGGCAAGTGTGTTTTCTCATGCATGAGAATCGATGCTAGTTGATGTTGAACTTGAAAATCCAAATACATCTCTCGAAATTTTTTTCTCAAAACAGACCGGCACCATTGTCGGTTTCCTCCACGGCGGTCGGCCCACCGGTGCGGTCGTCCCCCCGCAGGTCGAGTTTCTCCACCAGCGCATGCTGAAAGGCGACGACCGGCCGGCGTCAAAGCACGACCAACAGAGAACCGTGAAGCAGCACGAAGTGCTCCACCCGTCCCTGCGGGTGTTATCGCAGCATCTGGACGAGAAACGCATGCTGAACAAGTCCCACGAATTGACGTCCAAGTTGAAATCGACGGAGCTATCCTGTGCAAAAGTATCGTACTCGTAGTCATTGCAAATATGCATGACAAATATTTTTCCCAGGGCAAAACAGCATTACAAATTCCATTTTCCTTCTTGCCAAAATTTGTCATGCAATTTATACTAGGGCGATACTTTTGCAATGCATAGGAGCACAGCATCAGCGATCTGGAGAAGAGGAACATGGCGGTGCGGAACTTAACGGAAGCGATGCACAGTCGCTGGGAGGATTACGCCGAGGACGGGATCAACGAGATCTTCGGGAAGGCTATCAATTGGAAATATGTCTGGGTCTGGGAGATTGCGAAGCTTGTCATGCTAGTCTGGCATGCCTCTGGACTCTGTGTTGCGTGGCCGCAAAGAGCTCCTGTGGCCTGCCGTGCAAAATAAACGCAGTTTCTCATGCGGAGTAGGCAATTCAGAACCACGAAAAAAGTTGTCATGCTTGGCAGCGCATTACAGCGTGCTCGCTATTCCCTTCCTTGCATCACAAGTTTCCAGACTACCCAGACATATTTGCAATGCATAAAAGCGCGACTGCGGGCGAAGATCGATTTGCAGGAGGCGGAAGCGAAGGCGTTGAACCCGGACATGGAAATGCACCGGGACCCGGAGACGGGGGAGAAAATTCCGGTGGTCTTGGACATGTTGGCGGTGCCAGCGGCGAAAGTCGGGTACAGAATTTGTAAGGTGATTCGCATGACGAACGAATGGATCGATGCAAATGCACAGCACATTACAAGCTACGTAGATTTTTGTAAGTTCCTCGACGCGAGGCAAAAAGATCAAAAGCTAAGCATTATCAATCTAAAACAGTTTCGGCGTCCACGGGTTAAAATCCATTTGCCAAGAAGACCCGGACGACCAGGAGCTGCCCATCTACCCCCGCTACAGCCACCTCTTCTTCAAAGAATGTGATTTGGTGTTCGATTTCGAAGAGACCTACCCGGTGGTCCGCGACGTGATGATGCGTCAGACCGGCACCCGCCCCGCGATAGAACGCGGTCACCGGTTGATGAAGGTGAATCACATCAAGGTGAACACCCTGGACTACCCGGAGATTGTCGCGGAACTGACAAAGCGCCCCCTCATGCTGGAGTTCGAAGCCCGGCCGGCGGAACGGGCAGCCTGCGAGATTTCCATCCGAAATCAGGAAAACGCGTACGTCGGCGGGCCGGAAAAGCTGTTCGCGCAGCGAATGCCACCGCGGATCGGCGGCTTTAAATCCGACTTCATTCGGGACGTGCGGATCCCGCAGCACAAGAAGTGGAACGAAAGACACGCGTACCAGGTGCTGCGACAAAAAGCGAAGAAAGTGCTCGGGGAAAGCTAGACGGGAGGGAGTTTTGAGAACAATATGCCGATGTGGCTCGTCTACCGCGGTGTCGCCACGTTGGTCGGAGCAGGATTTTGCTTTCTCGAAAAAGCAAGCGCGACACGACCCTTCTGTACAATCAATCTTTCCAAATCGACAAATCGGGACTTCTAAATGTACGATGGAGCCCCGAGCCCGTCTTCACCAGCCGCAAATGCACCTTTCACAACCCAGCAATAATACGTGCGACCACGCTGCTCGCCGAGTGGTCTTTGTAGAATTTAAAACCTCCTGTGACATGTACGAGCGTTATTTGAGATGCAGCTTTGTAAATTTAAATGAAGCAACGAGGTAATACATGAGGACTCCCTACAAGTGACGGCTGTAGAAGCAGCCGGTTTTGCCTTTCCGTTCTAGGTCTGTTCTGTGTTTACCGGAATTTTGCTCGGTCGTGGTTCATTACTCGATTTTACTCCTGTTCTATGTTCATGTTCGGTCTTGCTTGTGCAGAGACAAAGATCGCACGTAAGTTGTTCTTTCAGGTCGGTATGTTGGCGTCGTCTGGAATTGATCTTGAGACTTGTTAAATCGATCCAAATGCCTTCATTTCCAACCTCTTTTCTAGACGGGAAGTGAAAGTTTTAAATCTAGTACACCGTCACCATGCGTCGCCTCCGTACGCGAGGCTGTGCGTTGCGCACAACCGGCGCGTTTGCCTTAGCCACAACCGCCCAGTCTTCCCAAGTTTCCCCCGTCGAGAAGGTGATTGAACTTCTTTCCAAGATGAAGGCCACCGGGATAAAGGAGAAAAACGCGGAACAAATCGAAGCTTCCACCTTCGCGCAGCACTGCACAGACAGCATTGAAAACTTAACCGAGGAAGTCGCTGAAACGAAGGAGAAGATCGAGGAACAGGAAGCGATTATCGCGAAGTCGCAGGCGACGATGGACGAGCTGTCCGATGACATCGCTACATTAGAAGAAGAAATCGCGAACGACAAAGCGGACGCCAGTGCCGCAAGGGAAATCCGGGAATTGGAAAAAGCGGACTTCCAAAAAGCGAATTTAGACTACTCCGAGTCTTTAGACGCTTTGTCCCGGGCGATCGAACTGTTGAAGTCGAAATCAGTGACCAAAGCCGCCGCAGAAACGTTTTTTGTGCAACTGAAGAAAGCGGATAGTAGTTCCTCCAGATCGTTACTCGCGGTGACAGAACAAGTTACTAGCTTCTTGCAGCAACAATCTAAAGCAGTCGCTCCGCCACAGGGGAAGGATTACGGTTACCAGTCGGCCATGGGCGGTGTGATCGATATGTTGGTGGAGTTGCAAGAGAAGTTCGACAAGGAGAGACAGGAGTTGGTCAAAGAGGAGACGGAAGCGGCACACGCGTACGAAATTCTAGCGGAAGAGAAAGCAACGTCAAATAAGAACGACAAGGCCACGATTGACAGGAAGGCGGCGGCGAAGGGTACAGAAGTAGAGACGTTTTCGATTTTTGTCCGACAGTCAAATTTAGATTTGGAAGCAGTGTCAGATTCAATCTTGGAAGATGCTATGGTCCTATGTATCATGCACACTGACATCTAGCCGCATGCTTGTCCGGAAATCTAAATCCTAAAACTGAAACTGATCCCAGGCAAGGCCGGCGCGAAGAAGGGTGAGGCTGAGGGAGCAAAGGGTGAATTAGTCAACGATCTCGAGGACACTAAGACCACGCTCAAAGACACGAAGGCCGACTGCAAGCTCAACAACGCTCTGTACGCCAAGCAGGACGCGCTCCGCGCCGACGAGATCGACGCTTTAAGTCAGGCGATTGACATCATGGCCTCTGCCACGGTCTCTGACGCCGAGAAGAAGCACGTTGGGCTGAACCAAGTTGCTACCAGCTTCTTGCAGTTCAATGGAGGTAAAAATCTGATATATAACCTTAACATTTTCCTGGTCGTATGAGTCAGTGTGAGCATGCATTTAGATTCAGATTCAGTTGTTCCGAGGTAGATTAGTCCACTCCGCCATCAATTTTCCAAAGAAGCGGTGTTTGCATGAACGTCAAAAGCAAATTTAAATCAAAATCCCCTTCCAGCCAACGACTCGACGCAGCAACAGCTCCGTGACCAACTCGTCCAGATCTTGTCCAAGACCACCAACAACCACAAGTTGTCCCAGACGCTGAAGCTCCTCACCGTGAAAATTGAGGCGGGATCTCCGTTCAAAAAGGTGTTGAAGATGATTTTCGACATGATCAGCAAGCTGCAGAAGCAGGCGACGGAAGAGGCAGAGGCGCACGGCTGGTGCCAGGGGAAACTATCCTCCTCGAAGTTAGAAGTGGAAGATAAGACCGACCAGGTTGCGGATTTGACGAATCAGAAGGAGGCTTTGGACGCAAAAGTCGGGAAACTGACGGAAGAAATCGCGAAATTGACCGAGGAGATCAAGTTCTTAACCCAGGACCGCGCGACTGCCACTTCCACTCGTGCGAAGCAGAAAGAGGAAAACGAGTTGAAGATCAAGGAGTCTAGCGAGGGTGAGGCGGCCGTTGCGAACGCGATTTCGATTTTGAAGGAGTTCTACGAGGGCGGAGCGACGTCCGCGGCGGAAGATGAAGGGAAGGAGACTGCCACGGAGGTTTACGGGGGACAGCAAGGTATAGTGTTGTACTTGTAATGGGTTTTTCTTTTTTCAGTATGAAAAAATGAGAATGACACGATTTAGGTTTGCAGTTGTTGAGTTTGTCATGCCGGTTTCCGTACTTACGCAAAGATTTGTGTTTCGGATCTCCATGGGCAAAATCGAAAAACTCTAAATACGACTACAGCCGAAGCCGGCGGTGTGATGGACATCATGTCTGTGATCGAGCAGGACTTTATCCCACGAAAAAGACCTCTCCCCATCTACTTTTTCATGCAGAACAAGGAGCGTACGCGTAGAAATAGGGATAGCTGCTGGTGTAGTTTGTCATGCAAAACATGGATGAGGAGGTGTTGCTTTTTTTCTGTGGATTCATTTCGCCCGCGTCGTCGCGGAGACCACTGAAGCCGAGTCGCAGCAGGCTGCGGATTACAAAAAGCTCATGAACAGCTCCGAGGTTACGGTCGAGGTGAAAAAAACCGAAAAAGCGCACAACAGCAAACTCCTCGGGCAGGCCAAGAAGGACAACGAGGCCGTCTCCGGTATCCTGAGCAAGAACGTCCCCACCACATAGTCATCAAGTTGGTAAATCTACAACACAAGTCTCCGAGTTTTGAGAATTATGCATGACAAGTGTCCATCTGTAAGAGGGTAGCGCTGCTTAGGAAGGACAGCAGCATCACAAAGACGCCTGCTTATCCTGTTTACAGCATTACAAATCCCAGAACACGACTTCAAATTCTTCTCTTGCGGATGGGTATTACAGATTTTTCTGCAGATGCAAATGTGCATGACAACTATGGCGGGGGCGTTTTTAAATAGGATATCCGGCCAGTTGGGCGAGATGAAGGAGATTCTGACAGCCGCACAGGAACAGTACGACGGGTTCGTGAAGCAGTGCGACACAGGGTTGACGTTTGAAGAGCGGATGGAAGCGCGGAAGGCGGAGATTCAAAGTTTGAAGGAGGCGTTGACGGTGTTGGAGAACTCCGGGGTGTAGGGGATATAATGATTGGAAAATAATTAAAAATTGAAGATCAGTTATTTCTGTTTCACTAGCGGACCACATTTGTACTTTATCAGCTGGACGAAAGCACGATCTTCTTCTTTCGAAGTCACCAACAACATTGCACCAGAAGTGCACACAACTTGTTTCCTTTTGAGTTTCAATTTTGCGCAGCACACAGTTCGATAGACCATTCCACAACCTTGCTGCAGCGCTTTTTTTTTGATGTTTTTTCAATGACTTTATAGCAATGACTTTACTAAACTTTTGATGTTTTTTCAATGACTTTATAGCAAATACACTCAAATACACAAGAAAACGGAACGCGTAAAAATCCTCGTTCTGTTCTTTTTGATGTTTTTTCAATGACTTTATAGCTTAATTTTCCGTATGTTTCTGTTTCAACTGTATGAGGTGTCTGTAGATGGGTCTTCAGTGGTGACGTTGGCTGTTGTTTGCTGCGAAATATTTTTGCGGAGTTGGTGCTTTCCCTTTCTGCATCTGCTCTACGGATGCAAGATTTAGGGTTTAGGGTGGAGGAGACGAGTTGGTCCAGAGTCCAAACCTGCTGATATTGTACAGTGCATGAACAAGAAAGACAAACAGAGGAACATATCTGATCTACATAGGAACAAGCTGGGAAGAGAGTAGAGTAGTGACTCTTGACTCTAGCACTCAGTTCCGCGATTTTGTAGACCTCCGCCCGCCTAGCACTCAGTCTTGCCTGTATTATCGGTCTTGTCTTTTTGCTTTTGGTTTTGATGTACCTACTTTATGAAACAAGAACGTCTACCATTATCCGCTATTCCCATTTGCACCTCGGTTGACTCCCGGAAAAATTTCGGTCATTGTTGTGGTCGTGGACATTTTGACATTTCGTCCTGAAATGCAACCTTGTGTTGCTTCGTTCCAATTTCAAATTGTCGTCGCAGTGCTCCTCGTCGTATGGAGCCCGATCGGTGGTCTGTCAAACCGCAGCGCATGATATCGTACTTGTCGGTCGTGCGAACGGTATTACGTTTCTGTACCTCCTCATTTCCTCGTCGAACTGCAAATCTTTATGAAGAAGCACGCATTTCGATTTCCACGCCAAGCAAAGACCGAGACGTGCTTCAATCATAAAAATATCTTCACTGTGCACAGGAGAATCTTCCGCTGCCCCCAGTAGCGTGAAGGAGCTACTCAAATTGAACGTATGATCGTAACCCTTGTCGAGCTCGAACCGGTTGTACCTCCTCAGAGTAAGTTATAGAAGATGACTCTCATTTTCACCTACATCTCCCCGTGTCTGTACACGACTTTCACGGTAATTCTAGCTCTCCCCCTACTCCTCTTGATCGCTCTCCTTCTCGCCATCCCGTTCACACACGTGAAAAACCGTTTTTCTGCGTTGAAAAAGGTGTCGAAGGACACGCTCAATGCGGTCCCCGGGAGAACCTATTCGTATCTTTAGAAGTGGACGTCGTGTATGCCTGAACTAGTACCTGAGCAGGAGCAGCTGCCCAGGAGGATGCAGGAGCAGGCGGCGGGTTCTGGTACTGTTGAGCCAATCGCTGTTGACGAACGAATCTTGCGACCACATGAGTTGGGTGGCGCGGCTGCGGGCACCAGTCTTGGGAGCAATGTTTCCACAAGACGCACGACTTCTTCGCGACAAAACAGTAGTTCGACAGCAGCGGCATTCGGCGCCTTCAGCAAGCAGATCAAGGACATCGTCCCGGTCCCGGGTGTGGCGGAAAGTCTGGAAGTGTTCGCTTTTTTAGGCGAATACAGTGTGGTGTGCATCCAAGATGCTATTACGGCGGAAAGAGAACAACGACCCGTGGTTGGCAAAAGGGCGCGTCCAGTGAGTCCGAGTGTTCTTGAAGGCTCGCAAGGTCGTGTGACTGATCTTCATGGCAACCCGAACGAGCCAGTGGCCGACGAACATGACATTGTCATTGCAGCTGTTCAACCATCGGACAAGACCGGTGATGGCGCCTCGGATTTGGCAGACATGAAGCAGGGAGAAAAGATCGGACTGAAGCAAAAGCCCGTGGCAAGAACTTCTGTGCGCCCTGCTGTTGTCTCCAGTTCACCCAGCACACCACCAGCTGCAGGACTACCGGTTGTAGAAGATGCCTCCGCAAGGTTAGAAGTACCCGTGGTCGCAACATCAAAACCATTCGCAGCACCCGAGGCTGTCGTGTCTGTGTCACCCCCAGTCGACGTGCAAGAAGAGGCTGACGCTGAAGAGGTATCTGTGGATGTCGCGGCGCAGCAAATGACTCCCGGAACAACTACTCCGGTAACTGTATTTGAGGATCCGGAAACGGCCTCTACTGCAGCAATTGACCTGAAAGATCCGCCGACGGCTTCCCCGCCTCAAGAAAAATCATCTCCAATGAAGATACCCCAGTCAGCGCCCGTTTTGTCGAAGAACCACGCGAAACAGGAACCCGCGTCCGTGTCCGCGCAAGCACAGGAGCCGCGACTATCCTCGCAGCGGGGGGAGACAGACAAAGACAACAACAACATCGACCCGAGCATGCCTTTTCTTCCCGACAACGCGACGGAAGAGGAAAAAGAGGCGTACAATCGCCAGTTGCAAGCGAAATTAAACAAGAAATTGCAGTTATCGAAGCTGAAGCCGACGCGGGGGTCGGTTGCGGACCGGTACGTGTCCAGTGTGGCGGCGAAAAACAAGGAACAGGTAGAGAAAACGCCGCACCGGAGGACGGACGATGGAGAATTTCTGAAGGTGGAATTGGAGAGGACGCCGCGGTAGGTGTTAAAAATACGAGGAGGTCGTGAGAAACAGGATTGAAATCGACAAAGTTGAAATAATCCGTGATGCATAAAATGCAAGGCACGACGTGACTGTCTTGCAGGGAAGATTGCACGCGAGGCCGATTGTCAGCCTGTCTCGGGTTTGGGATAGAGCTGCTAAAGTAGCATGACAAAGGATTTTTTTACCGCCACGGCAGTGCCAAGCCGGTAAAAAACGCCACGGTAGGTGTTAAAAATACGAGGAGGTCGTGAGAAACTGTCATGTGTATGAACCAAAAGAACCAATACCAATACCAATCTCTGAGTCTTCTATTTTGTGTTTCGAGTATGTGTTTAACTTTAACGTTTAAATTGTTTCTCGCCAGTGCCAGACCTATGAATCAAGTACACTCCTTTTAATTTTTCCCCATCCCAAAGAGACAAAGACATTTCCAAAAAATAGCGAGGCGAAACGATGCTCATACTGTAAAGAAATTTTATAGGGCTAATATGCTTTGCCTTTGGCTCTAGCTTTGATTGACAACTCCCGCAGGGTTGAAGCGCGGAATGCCGATGGATGTTGTTGATGTTCATTCTTCTACTGCGGGGGGCGGGTTGTATCATCTTCTGCGTAGTGTGGCACAGTCGCAAATAACGAGAGTAGAGTGTGGCACCTGTTTGGATGCGCCAGAGAGTTGAACTAGTGATGTGAGGAAACACGTCGACGAGGACGAGAAAACCACAATGGAGGAGCGTGAGTACTAGTTCATTGCGTCACCTTCAGCTTCTCAGGGTCTTCTAGGGCGGTTCTGGTGGAGAGAACAAACTTTCGTGGTGACAGTTTTTTTAGTGTTTTTCGCAACCAAGGAAGCTTCCTTTTGACAATGTGTTGCTTCATCGCAGTGAAGAGATAAGTTCGGTGTTCAATTTCAAATCATGTGAAAAATGGCCTCGTCGCGAAATCAAGCCTACAGTTCTCGGACGGCAGTAAGTGGCACGTTGGAGCGGTTGTAAGTAGCTTCCTTCGAGCGAAGTCATGGAGAAAGGAAGAGAACGAGACCCGCGGAGAATGTTGCTTCGCCGAGCACCGCCCTCGCAGGGTCAGATTGATAAGGACGCGCGGGTAGGTGGTCGTGCCTCCAGTTCGAACTCCGATAGATATCCGGGCTCATCTTCATCGTCTCAGCGTGGTGTCGTACGTCCGCAGGTTTTTCCACAACCATCGGTGCAGCCACTTTTTTCCTCGGCAGCTGCGACTCAACACTGCGAGAAAAGCTGCAGTACTAGTAGAAGCAGCAAGTCTACTGGCAGGATAAATGTAAATGAAACAAGTGGCACGGTGGAGGAAGTTGTAGACCACTTGTCATCGACCGGTAGTAGCAGCAGGGAGAGTGGTTAAAAATACGCCACGGTAGGTGGTTAAAAATACGAGGAGGTTGTGAGAAATTATCATGTGTATGAACCAAAACCAATCGAATGTCTGTTGAGTCTTCTATTTTGTGTTTCGAGCAATATGTTTAAATTGTTTATCGGTCTGGCTCTGGCGATAATTGCCAGAGTCAGACCTACGAATTAAGTACACTCCTTTTGATTTTTCCCCATCCCAGAAAGACAAAGAGAAAGAGATTTCCAAAAAATAGAGAGGCGAAACGGTGCTCATACTGTAAAGAAATTTTATACGGTTAATATCCTTTGGCTTTGGGTGTGACAACTCCCGCAGGGTTGACGCGCGGATTCATGCAGACGGATGTTCGTTTTTCTACTGCAGGGGGCGGGTTGTACTTATTATCTTCTGCGTCGTGGGACGCAATCGCAGATAAAAAACGAGAGCAGGAGAGTGTGACACCCGTTTGGATGCGCCAGAAGGGTGAGTTTAGTGATGTGGGGAAACACGTCGACAACGAGAAGAACGCAATGGAGGAACGTGAGTACTAGTTGTGCTTGTGTCAGCTTCTCAGGGTCTTGTAGAGCGGTTCTTCTGGAAAGAACAAATTTTCGTGGTGGCAGGAGTTGTTTTGGTGTTTTTAGTCGCTAAACAACTTTGTGACATTGTGTTTTTGCATATCAGTGTGATATTAGTTTCGGTGGTCAACATCAAATCATGTGAAAAATGGCGTCGGGTGGAAACAAACCCTGTAGTTCTACTTCGACGGCAATAACCGGCACATCATTGGGGCGCTACTAGCCGCTTTGTTCCGTCAAAGGCATGGAGAAAGGAAGAGAGGAACGAGACCCACGGAGGATGATGTTCCAGTTCCTCCGCCACGCACCGCCCTCGCAGGGCCAGGTTGACAAGGATGGGTGGGTAGGTGGTCGTGCCCCCAGCTCGAACTCTGCTAGATGTCCGGGCTCATCTTCATCGTCCCAGGACGTCGTCGTACGTTGTCCGCGTTGGGAAATTTTTACACAACACACTCCTCCATCAGTGCTATCTTCAGCTAGAGCTACACACGGCGACGAGAACAGAAGCGGCAGTACCAGTAGAAGCAGCAGGTCAAATTCTACTGGCAGGATAAATGAAAATGGCACGACGGTGGAGCAGGAGGTAGCCCACTTGTCATTGACCGCTAGTACAAGCAGCGGGAGTGGTGCCGTATTTGCTTCTCGAGCCTCATCTCGCCGTCGAGGAACAACAAAATCTTCCTCCGGATCGTCAAGCAGCTTAGCCCTCGCAACTACAAAACTCTTGCGGTTTCTGCTATTCGGCCCCTTGTTGACCACAGTTACAGTAGCTGCGACACGAAACGTGCTTGCATTGGGGAAAGGGAAACTAGGCACAAAAACCAAAGTGCCTTCCCCCACACATCAGAAGCACACCCACCTTCACCTGCATCAAAATAGTAGGCACAGAGGACACGACCGCCAAAGTGGGGGCAGCTCGACGATGACTGTGGCAGCATCTCCTAGTACTACCTCGGAGGCCACGACAGCATCTCTTCTCCAGCGGAGAAAGCATGGGGCAGCAAATAAGAAAGAATCCGAGCACAAACAGCATCAGCAGAAGATGCAGCACTCTGCAGAAAATCAACAACATCTAACTTCGCAGAAAATCCACCTGCAATTAACCTCCGAAGCCGAGCTGACCCAAGCAGAAGAGGAACGCGCGGCGATTATGCGCGAGCACCAGGTCAGGCAGCACAAGAAGGAGCATAGAAGTAGTTCTTATGGCGGCGCAGCCGGTGGGAGTAAAAACCAGAACAGGAAGAAGAGGAAGAGTGAGATGAAAACATCTCCAACATCAAAAGCGCTTCAAGGAACAGAAACGGAGAGGACAAACGATAAAGTAGCAGAAGCGGAGGCTGGTTCAACCTCTAAGAAGAATTCCCATGAGCAGCTGGAGATGCAGAAGCGGCAGGAGCGCCAAAAGCAGAGAAGACAAAAGCAGGAGGACGCGAAAAGAGAAATGCTGCAGAAGATGGGGATTACCACTTCTACCACTAGCATGACCGGCGAGCAAGGCAAGAGCGCGGCCGTTCTCGCGGAAAAGCTTGAAGGGGCAACTGCATCCTCTGAAACACACTTTGCAACTTCTACCTCAGAGACATCGGCGTCGCACCAAGAAAGTGAAGAATCCAAAAAGGCACTAGTACAAAATAAATCACCCACACAAGTCGTCCTAGCGGAGGCATCGCGAATGAGTCTGGAAACTGCGGTGCAGCAAAATCAGCAGCTACAGCGAGAGTTCAAGTCCTTCAAACGAGTTAAAGCACAAATCAAAAAACAAAATAGCAGGAAAACCAGCGGTTCGACCGGCGTGGCTCACCCGCACATCAATATGTGCATGACGCTCGTCACCCTCGCCTTCGGTTGTTTCACCTGCGGGAATGACAACGTGCACAATTCGATCGCGAAACTGGACCCGGAGTGCGTGTTAGAAACCTTGAAACTGGGGTTGATCGGCGAGGTGCCAGAGGCGGGGGGAGTAGTTCCGGACTACTTCGACACCATCCAAACCGCGAAGAAAAAGTACCGCTACGCGGTGCAGTTTCGAACGAGGTTACCCTACCAGGACGCGCTGTTGGCGTTTTACCTGAACATCGATCCGTATGGGTGTGTCAGGATTGAAATCGACAAAGTTGAAATAATCTGTGATGCATAAAATGCAAGGCACGACGTGACTGTCTTGCAGGGATTGCACGTGAGGCCGAAGATTGTGACGAGCCTGTCTCGGGTTTGGAATAGAGCTGCTAAAGTAGCATGACAAAGGATGCCTCCTTTCGCTCAACAGCATGACAAACTGGATTTCAGTAACGTCGAAATTTGTCGTGCGCCGCTAGGAAATTGGGCTTCCAACTGGTATCGGTTTTATGCATCACAAATTTTTCACGTTTGTCATTGTCGATTTCAATCCTGACGCTTCCATAGTCCGTTTTTCCCGAAGGACTCGCAGTTCACCAACTACCCGGTGATTGACAACCGATTTCTGTACAAGCCCGCGATTTTCCCGCACAACCACAGGCAACTGACGTTTATCCAAGAAAAAAACTGTGTAAGTGTAAATTTGTATTGCAGAAAATGCAAAACTGTTACACTTGTCATGCCGGACATGCATCAGAGGCAATTTTCGTGCGTGTTTTCACGTTCTAGCTACACATCATGACAGGTTTTCTGTGTCATGCAGGGCAAACTTGTGATGCTATTCCTCCAAGAAGCTTACACTTACAGAGTTTTTTTCCTGGATAACGTTGTCTGCGATGTCCATGGAAATTTTGTCTCGGGTTTTGACCGAACGCGGCGGGGATTACAAGGACATCCATAACAACAACATCCGGACGGATTACACCAACCCGGAAAAGACCAGCAACGTGAGCACCGCCGCGTTTCAGCGCGCGGACCGGAGAGATTTGAACGTTACTTACACGTTGGTCAACGGGGTCCCAACGCGGAGCTGGCGGTCCCGCGTCGCCACGGTGGACATTTTGTCGCAGAATTCTTTTGAATTCGAAGTTTTGCCGGTGTTGGTGCAAGGGGATCCAACCGACCCGAACCAGCAGGATGGCGCCAAGCCTCTGTTAGTCGAGCACCCGCACCGGGCGAAGGTGGCCGGCACGGCGGTCACGGCCGCGCCGATCGATGAGAAATTAGCGTACGAGACCACGATATCAAATGCAAAAACGTCTGGGTCTGGAATATTGCCGGGTTTGCATGGCCGAGAATGTCTGTAATGCACGACCTAGCATCACAGATTTTTTTTTTAGAGGGTTTCCTGATGCCTATTCCGCATGACAAATGCCCTCCCCGCGTAGCTTCAACTAGACTCCTCTCGCTGATCAAGCAATACAGATTTTTTTAGAGTCCAAAGTTAGCATCACAAGCTTCAACCTTCCAGACCGAGACACTTTTGCATTTGATGCACGAAGATAGTCCCGATTGACACGGTGACAAACTGGAATGCGGCGATTTTAGACTACCTTGAACTGGCAACCCCGATCAACAAGCAGCAAGAATACAGTTACAACACGCTTAGGAAGCAGTTTTCCTTCTACCCCGCTGCGCAGCACAGCAAAATGATGCACGCGCTGCACGAGAACTACCACCGCAGGCTGGAGATCCAGCGGGAGCGGCTGTACAATTTCCACCAGTACAACGTCTCAATTAACGCAAGTACCGTCCGCTCCTACTTTGACGTGACCAACGCCACGACGTTGAACGACACTTCCCTCGCGGCGAAGCAAAATCGCGGGATGCAGTACCTGTACAAGTTCCACGAGGGGTATGGAACTGTCAGGATCGAAATCGACAAAGTTGAAATGATTTGCCATGCATAAAATACAAGGCACGAAGTGCCTGTCTTGCCGGGATGGCAAGTGAGGCAGATTCATTGTGACCCTATTCAGGGTTTGGGATAGAGCTGCTAAAGGAACATGACAAAAGCAGTCTTCTGTGCCCAAACAGCATGACAAATTGGATTCCGATGCTCCAAAAATTTCTCATGCGCCGCTTGAAAATTGGGCTTCCAACTGGTATTCATTTTATGCATGGCAAATCATTTCAACTTTGTCGATTTCAATCCTGACGCTTCCATAAGGGGTCCGGGTGGGCCGCGGATCCGGTGTTTCAAAATCCGGACAACCCCTTTGCGGGGTGGGACAGCGAAATCGAGAAGAAAAAAGAACGTTTGGAAACCTGCTGGGGGAAATGGTGGGCGGACAGCAGTTATGCATTGCAAAAGCATCGTACTAGTATGAATTGCATTACAAATTGACTTAGCATTGCAAATTGAACTTGTAATGCATGAATGCAATCACAATCACTCAAAACGAGTACGATGCTTTTGCTGTGGACAGCAGCTACAAGTACGACGGCACAAACTTCACGAAGCACGACATCATGATGATCCAGCCGTCGACCCAGAAATTGATCCCGACGAAGATCACTTTGGGGAATCAATTCGGAACCGAGTTGTTAAAAACGACCGATGAACACCCCGAGCTAATGACGAGCAACGTTTCCTACAAAATCTGCGACCTCTCCACGAACCCGGGCTGCGGCCGGGCGGGGGCGTTTTATCTCGATCCGAGCGGTGCGCCGTTTGACTACACAGATGGGAACACTTTTGCCTATTACGTGGACAAGATTTTACGCATCGGATTGCCGGCGTCGGTCACGAGGATTACGGAGGAGGAGGATTCGGCGGAGTCGGGGCATTTTCACGACGATACGGTCATCGACATGAACAAGTACAAGAACCAAGCTGGCGAGTTCAACGACCTGCGCTACAAAAAACTGAATCACCACGTGTACGACGACTATTTTGACGATACGAAGCCGTAGAGACAGGATAGCGTTGGGAAAAGAACATGAGGGTAATTTTGGGCGGTTGATGCAGGAACGGTTTTTCTCCACTTGCTTCATCTACAACCCTGCAAATTCTATGGCGTTGTTTGAAAATGAAAGGATGAGAAAGGGGGCGCGGTAAGGTAGTGGATAGAAAAATTTTATGCACATTATGAGTCGGGAATGCACATGTATAGACGAAAAGGAATTTTATCGATGGACTTTTTTCAATTTACATGATGGTAATGAGATGCGGTTTTTGATGACCTGCAACAAAAAGACAAAGGTTAAGGTTTAGCATAGCTGAAGAGCATCCGAAGTTCCGAGAACACCTCTAGGGAGCACGTTCTATCGGACCATAATGGGTATTATTAACACAAGAAAACTTAAACTGATAGCAACTGAATCAACTTTTAAGAATTTTACCTTGAGAATACAAACAACACTCTTTTACTGTCCGGTAAAGAAAGAGGAAAGTCGCCCCATGATGCGGCTCGCGGATTGTATAAAATCGAAACATTTCAACATGGGAATCAACCAAACAACATGCTGCAATAATTATCGCGAAAAAGGTAGGTGAGTCCTCGCGGGTAATGCATTCCCTATTGCCGCGACAGCACCCACATATGGGCGGCGCTATTGGTGACGATGGAAGATGAAAAGATTAGAGTTCACCTAGAACAAACTGCCGGGGTCCGAATCGGGATCCCTGTCCCCAGGTCGTCCGATGAAGGTTTGGTTGCTTAAATGGTGCTCAATTGTTTATTGCCGCTCGGTCCTCTTCAACATCGGTGCTCGGTAGAGGAATCTTTCGGCCTGCCTGGCTGCAGTTCATCTTGTTTTTCACGATGTTTGTCGGATCAGACTGCAGTACGACGGGCCATCTGAGTATTTGTTTCATCTCAGCTCAAAGATCACAGTATCGGTATCCTTGCCATGATCCTGGAAACTTGAGCACACATCATCTACGTGAGCTTGGATAGCTTTGCGGCTGTTCGAAGATGATCAACACTGCCCCCTTGTCGTTACCACCGGTTGTCGGGGAGGACGTGCCCGTGGCTGCGCCTGCACCATCTCAGGAACATGCGAAATCAAATGCAAACAAGAACGGTGAGACCTCCGACGACCAGGAAGCTGCTGCAGACAAGCTTCACGAGGAAGCACTGCAGAGGCTGTCTGCGAACGATCCAGCTGGGGCAGCTCTGTTGTTGGAAAAACACCTGGAGCTCCAGTTGGCGACTTGTCAAGATACGGTGAAGAATGGTGAGAATAAAGGAAGCACCGATGATGTCGGGAATAAAAATGACCGGAGAAAAAACACCGCGCAGTCCGCTTTCATCCTCGGCATGCTGCATTTACAGCACGTGAAAAACTACTCCTCCGCGGTGAAGCATTTGAGAATCGCACTACAGATTCGAGAAAAACCCGAGGTCTGCGGAGAATACCATCCCTCGACGCTGGTCACGGTGGGGGCGCTGGCGGAGGTAAAATTTGCTTCGTTGATGTTGATTCAAAAGTGACCAAATTTTGTCATGCAATAGTACGGCAAACGCAAAAAAGTGGCAAATGAAAAATCATGCCTGTAGATCGTTCGATCCAATAGGCTAGTCCTTTGCTTTTCGATTTTTCCAAGTGGAGATCCAAAAAATTCACGCATGAACTACAGGCCCTCGAAGCCAACAACGCCCTGGAGGAAGCCGAATCCTGCTACAAAAGGGCGGTCAGCGGGGCGTTGAAGGTGCTCGGTGAAGCGCATGAGAACACGGGGTTTGCCTACATGAAATTGGGCTGGGTGCAATACAAGCAAGCACTCGCGAGCCACGCTCGCATGAAGGATAGCGAAGATGTTGCTGACCCAGCACAACAACTACGACGCCTTGCCGCGTTAGAAGATACCTTTCTCGCTGCTTTGAACAGTTTCGAGAGCTGTTACAGCAAGACAAACTTCAGCAACATCACAAACGTCGAGGAACACGGCGGGGATCATAACGGCCATAAGCATGACCGTGCTTACGGTTCTTGTGTAGTCAGTGAGGAGAATCAGTTGACTCTGTTGAAGTGCATGAACCAGTGCTGCGCGGTCTCGCTTTCATCTCTTGCGCGGCCTGGATTCCGCCCTGGTCTGAACGATCCGGTACCGTTCTCCCGGTTGCAGAAGAAGTTGCAGATGCTGTTCGAAGACGAGAATCTCTTTCCTCCGGGAGAGCAAACAAACGAAAACGAGCAAGAGGGAATTCAAGATTGCGAGCAGAAGGAGGTGATCGAGGCAGAAGATCCGACCCAGGCAGGAGGACCGCTTGTACAGCAAGAACGTAAAAAGCTACAAAGCCAAATCTGCCACAGAATCGAGGAACTCCGGAAGAGCATGCAGAAGAAAGAGGACCAGGCACGGCTGCAGGCAGCTAGGTTGCAGAATGTTGGACTGATGAAGAAAATGAATCCGGTGACGCAGCAGACGATGGGCAGCGGTGGCGGCGGTGGTGGTGGGGACAACAAGATGAATTCGCTTGGGGGGTCCTGATTGGCGGTGGAATTCAATTCACCGCTGAGCCTGAAGAACTGCTCTTGTGCCAGGATAATGCGAACAGAAGGCGGGGGTCGTGTATGAGCGAGACTGAAGACGAGGTTGCTGCGACAACATGGCTTCTTGCGTAGAAGATGTTCAGGCAAGTAAAAAAGTCCGTACATTCATCCAGCAGCAGCAGCAAGCATGATGTCCTGACTGTTCTTTTCAGCACCATGTGCATGAAAAAATCATGTTCTCTTGGTTGCGCTTGCGGGACGAGCGGGGATCGGGGCAAAAACTCACTGTTCGAGTCACTGATGAAATGAGGGAATTGAGTCTCATCATCCCCTCTCCTTCTGAGGGTACTGTACTACGAAAGTCGTGTCAAGGAAGCTGCGGCAATAGCGTTAGCTTTTTCGTACGTTGGAGAGTTTATTATTATTTGCTCCTCTGGTTGTTGAGTAGAGAGTTGATTCCCGGCCGCATTGCTTGATGTGAGTCACTCACGCTCTTTCTGCGTGGCGATTTCGTCCGCACGCTCTGCAGTTCTCTCATCCAGCACGAAGACGGCCACAGTTCTTGCACAGATGAACTTGAACATGTAGGAAAAAGTCAAAATGGACGCTGCGCGCCAGCTAATCGCCCGCGAGCTGCAACAGCTCTTGCAGCAAACCGCAGCCTCTTCCAGCAGCTTTATCAACTGTAAAAATGTCTGGGTCTGGAAGAGTGCCAGACTTGTCATGCAGGTTTTCCATGCCCCATGAGGTCTGGCATGTAGGACATAGCATGACAGATTCTGTGCGAGTTCCATCATGCCTATCCTGCATGAGAAATTGCCTCTTGAGTAGGTCAAAAGTGGACAGCTTTTGGTAAGCATGCAACACAGATTTTTGCATGCTTCAGATTTAGCATGACAAATTGCATTCTTCCAGACCCAGACATTTTTACATTTCATAAGCTTACAAAACCAACAAAACTACCTACTCCCAAATTACGAGCAGCAAAACACTCTCCCCGCTTTAGCCGAACTCTCTAGTGACCCGGAGTTTCAGCTGAAGCTGCAAAAATGCTTGCAGATCACAACCAACACGGTGGATGAGCTCGTGGACAACCACGGGTTCTTGTCCGATCTGTTGCTGTTAGTGATCAAAAGTTTGAAGACGCTCCACGACGCGGCCGCTGGGACGAACTACAGTACTATGCCGTCAACAATGTTGTCGCCGGGTTCCAAAACGACCGCGAAAATGCTGTACCTGTCCCTGTTCAACATCCTCGCAACCACTTTCCAGTCGTTCATTGGCCCCGCGTTTTCCACGCACGCCACCATTGTGAATCTGCTGTCCGCTGCCGGGGAGAAGTTGAACCATCGCACGGTGGAAATCATGGCGTTCGACGCGAAATCGGGGCGGTTTTGCGTCAAGGTTGAGAAGGGGGATGTGGATAAAAAACAGTGGAAGCGGATAAAACCGGAGAATTTGGTGATGCTGAAGTCGGACTCGAAAGATACAGTTACCCGACAGCTTGAAGGTGGCGCAGCAGGAGACCATCTTCAAGACGGCTTTGCAAGTACTTCAAAAAACAGTAGGTAATGTTTTTCGACGAACGTTTGACTTTGCGTTTTTCATGTACTGTTTTTCTACTTTCTTCTTCAGTTGATAGTGATAGTCGCGGCGTCTGATGACACGGTGGTCATGGACCTCCATGTTTTTTAGCTGCCCACACGTCGCTTCTGCCACCCAGTACTATGTAGAGCACAATCAAAACTTCACAGGTACTACTTCCCCTCCCCCGACCCAAGTGCACATGCGCAATCTGATGGCCGTAAATTGTCTGGAGTCCGTGTCTATCCTGTGCAAAAGTATCGTACTCGTACTAGTTGCAGGCATGCATTACAAATTTCCAACCCAAGGCAAAACAGCATGACAAATTCCATTTCTCATGCTGGGCTAATTTGTATTGCAATTACTACTAGTACGAATACTTATGCAATTCATAGTGTCCGAAATTTTCGACTACCTGGTTACCGATTTCCTGTTAGGCCAAGAAGACGGGCTTAGCCAGCAGGTTTGCTTCGCGATGTACCGGGCAGTTCTGTTCACAACCGCATCCGCGACGGCCGGAGCTGCTGGTGGGTTATGGATTGCAAAAGCATCGTACTCGCATAAATGCATTACAAATTTTCTCAGCGTGAGAAATAAAATTTGTAATGCGGATTGGACTTAACAAAAAGATTAAGATTTGTGATGCATGATTGCAATACGAATGCGATGCTTTTGCACAGGATATAGGTCGACGACCTCCACCGCAGCGAACAAAATGTCATCCACTGACTTATTCGAACTGTGCAACAACAGCGTCCCGGTCTTGATTTCCTTCGCCAGGAACGTTTTGTCCGCTGGAAACGAATTTGCGCAGAAACAAAGCACCAGTGCAATAAATCACCACTACCATCCCCAACAGATGCTCCACCTCTCCATTCTGCACCCCATCGCGCACTGCCTCTGGACGGACAACTACGTTCTACTAGCGGCTGCGGGGGTTGCCGGCGGGATAGATTCCGACTACGAGAATGACGCGATTTCGAATGCGGCGCAACAGCATCAGTTGAAAAAACTCGACGATCTCCCGATCGACCACGTGGAAAGGTTTCATGCCGAGCTCGCCATGGCCTTCGTCGACGCGGATTTTTTGCCGTTAGTGATCCAGATCGTCAATTTATGACAGGGCACAACTCCTACTTCTCCTCCTCATTTGCATGGCATAAACAGCAATACAAGCATCGGGAAGAACGCAGGTTTTGCATGACAGATTTATCCAGGGGTTTTTTCGTAGTTGGGACTGTGTCATAGTAGGATGATTTACCGCTTTTTTACTTTTCTTTTCTCCCTTGACGCTAGTGTTTAGGTTTGCACACAACGTTATCCCTACCCAGATAGCAACAAATGCTCACGCCGCAGCCGTCCCAGGAGCTTTTATTTTGTTGTTGTCTCTCGGTAGTGATCACTTTGTCCAAACTTATTCTACCTAGAGTTTGTCGAGTAAGTGGCTACCGTTTTAAGGTTTAGAGAACGACAGGGACGCCCAGCCCTTTTTAGCTTCCCAACATGACAGATTTACCCAGGACTGTATTGGTGTTTGAGCTGTCAGAATCTGTCATGCAAAAAGTGCCAACAAGAGGCAAAGGGTGGACTTGGTATTTTGCATGACAAACGAGGAGGAGGTGGAGTTGTGCACTGTCATAAAATTCTACCGCCCAAACCGTGAATTCCACCTTCGGCGGGAAAGGCGGCGCTTACGAGAGCAGTCAAAAGTCCAAAATCACTGTGCAGGTCTTAATATCCTGTGCAAAAGTATCGCACTCGTAGTAATTGCAGTTATGCAATACAAATCTTTTTCCTAAGGCTAATCCGCATTACAAATTCCATTCCTAATGCTGCGGAAATTTGTATATGCAATTTATACTAGAACTAGTACGATACTTTTGCAATGCATACTTAACCGCAGGCGGATCCATTCTCGGCTTTTTGGCCCGGAGATCCGTCCACGATCTGACGATTCGGCGGCATCTACAGCTCCACGGTAGGCAGTTTGTGACGCAAGTGATCACGAACGTGTTGGAGTTCTTGTGGAAAGAGCAAAACCAGAACCACGCATCCGCTCCGTCTATCGCAATCACGGTTCAACAATTGATTATCCTCCTGGACGGGTTGTGCTTGCTGAAGAAAATCCTACCACACCTAGTGAATTCCGCGGAATTGGTATCGAAGAAAGAAACATTCGTATAGTGTAACTTTGTGATGCACAACATGCGCACTGATTGCGGCTGTCATGCTGGGCGTGCATTGTAAGGGAAACTCAAGTACTAGCGCGTTTTCACGTACTCGTACCATCTGCGCATGACAGGTTTTCGCTCTGACTCCAGACAGATTTGTAATGCTGTTCTCCCGAAAAAGTTACACCTACAATCTTTTTTTTTGGATAATTGGCGCATTTGTCCACAAACGACAATTTCTGCAACTTAGCGTGGGGCATCCCCGATTGGGTCCCCTACATGGTGAGCACGCAGGAATTTTACACCCCCGGAGCGTACAACCAGGGAAGTAGCTCTGTCACGACCGCACCCTTGTCCGGCGAGCTGGTCGCGAAGACCCTTTTCCTGAGTCTATGCAAGAAAAAAACTGTGTAAGTGTAACTTTCTTTGAGGAACAGCATCACAGATTTGCTCTGCATGACAGAGAAAACCTCTCATGCGTAGCTAGTACGTGAAAACACTCACGAGAAGAACCTCTAACGCATGTCCAGCATGACAAGTGTAGGCGTTCTTGCGCATCCTCTACCTCTGCAACACAAATTTACACGCTACGCAGTTTTTTTCTTGGATAGAGTCTCAGCCCCCACCAATACACGACGGAATTAGATAAAGGACATGGTGGGGCGGCTTCCGGGGTACAACATCAATTGCAGCAGACGCAGGACTCTCCTCTGATGCAGAAGCTCTTAGAAGTCGAGTCGCAGGCTTTGTTCGGAGTCTCGCCGGAGTACCAGGGGGTGAGTGCTGTGCGGTATTGGACGACGTTGCGGAAGTACTTCTCTTCGAATAGTAATTCGACGAACTCTATCAAATGCAAAAATGTCTGGGTCTGGAAGAATGTGAACTTGTCATGCAGATTTTCCATGACCCTAGAGGTCTGGAATGCCGGGCCTAGCATAACAGAGTCTGTGAGGTCTCTTTCATGCCTATCCGGCATGAGAAACTCCCTCCCAACTTGGTCGAAAGTGGACAGCTTTTGACACTCATGCAACACAGATTTTTGCATGATTCGGATTTAGCATGACAATTTGCAATCTTCCAGACCCAGACACTTTTGCAATTCGACGAACTCCCTGTACTTGGCGATCTCGCAGATACTCGAACAGCGGAAGCAAACTGGTGAGATTTCCGGGCTCGGGGCGGATTTTTCTTCCTCCGGGGGGCGGGATCGGGATGAAGAACATGAGGGACCGAGGTATACTAGGAAAGCAACACGCTTCTGCAGCTATGCAAAGAAACCAGTGAAGACATATCCTATCATCGCAATACTCACGTTCCTCTTATTGTGTCAAAAGGATTCGCATCAGTTATTACATTATTCAATCATGAATAAATTATATACCAGGTGGTGGCGCAACGACCCAGCTACGGATCCGATTCGCACCCTCCCAGCGCCTATCTCCACTGTGGATTACGAACAAGAAGCCTTCCCGTCGGAAGAGCAGCTTTTCGCGGATCTAGGAACGTATTATGAGGAGCAGCAGGCTATTTTGATGTCCATCATGATGTATCCTGTGCAAAAGTATCGTGCTCGCATTGCAATCATGCATTACGAATTTTTTTATTAAGGTAAATCCGCACTAAAAATTTTATTTCTCCTGCTGAGGAAAGTTGTAATGCATTTATACGAGTGCGATACTTTTGCAATGCATATCATGGAGCAGCAGGAACGGGATGAGCAGAGCGGGTTCCGCTACGACACAGGGGAATACGACTACGGATTCGGTGATGTTTATGGGAGTATCAGGTTTGAAATCGACAAAGTTGAAATAACTTGTAATGCATAAAATCGATACCAGCTAGAATCCCAATTTTCATGCGGCGCATGATAAATTTCGGCACCGTCTAAAAAATCCAGTTTGTCATGCTGTTTGGGGACAGAAGGCGTCTTGTGTCATGTTACTTTAGCAGCTCTATCGTAGACCCCAAACAGGCTGACAGTCGGCCTCACTTGCCGTCCCTGCAAGAGAGGCACTCCATGCCTTGCAATTTCTGCGTGAGAAATTATTTCAACTTTGACGATTTTAATCCTGACGCTTCCATAATGTTTCCGCAATCATGGAGGCAACTACTCCTGGGGGAATGGAAGGGCAGCTGTCAGAAGACGAAGAAGACGGTGATGAAACGCTCTCCAGCATTTTCGCACGCCCCAGTCCGAAGAAGGAGGCATTTCAGCCGCCGGTGGCGCCACCTCCCGTGCAGCAGCAGGAACAATCAACAACGCGACGACGAGAACAACCTCTCCCCGAGACCCAACTCAGCACAGAAACTGACGCCAACCCGCAGAAGAAGCAAGACCCCTCAGTTCCGCTCGGCCGGCTGGGCGCGCTGGATTTGCCGAGCTTGAACCCGAACCAGAACAGGGGAAAAATGCTTGCTGGGGCAGAGGGAAGTGAGAAGAAGTCGAAAAAGGAAAAGGGATTATCGCGGGAGAGGTTGAAGCAGATTGGAATACCGCTGAATTTCCTGAAGCAACAATCCGCAATTTCGAACCTGAACGTCGATGACTATTCCCATTTATGCTGCGCGATCGATGGAAAATTGATGGGGGAACCGGTCCGGTGTACTTTACCAGAGAAGAAGCATTTGGTATTTGAGAAGTCGGTGTTGGAGTTGTGGTTCAATCAGATGGGGAAGGTTTGTCCCATCACAGGGGATTTGATGGCCATGACCGACTGCAAGCGGGATAAGCAGCTGGAATTGGAGATCAAGCAGTTCGCTTCGAAATGGAGGGAAGTAGCGGCAGCGGTTGGCGGTGCTGGCGGAAATCAGCAAGCAGGAGCGCTTTCGAGTGGCCCCGGGCGTGAGAAGAGGAAAAAGAAGAAGAAACCTGATGCTTCAGAGGAACATCACCAACCGGACTTTCATAGTTCGCCGGATTTGAGCTGAACAAGAAATCCGGATAGAAATGTCTCTTTAGGACTAATACGCAAATACGCAAATAACTCGTCTTATTTGGCTGCTATTATCGCCGATGAACATGAACTTCAAAAAAAAAATTAAAACTGGTGGAACCCGAAGAACAGTAGGATTATCGTACTCGCTGCATTATATAAAGCTGTTCCTTATCATCTTCCGGATCACGTTGGTGTCGTTCATATTGCTGTCGGGGTTCATAATTTCGTTCTGCTACTCTCCTTCTTTTCAATCGTGCGTCAAGATCCCGATCTTCCTTTGTTTCCTTCATGAAACTTCGTCATCGTTCATTGTTGGGTTTTGTTTTGGGCAAGGGAAAAACAAAAAATATCGTGCAAAGCTGAAGTCACTCACACTATCGGTCTTTTCTAGCAGTAAGTACAACTACTTCTACTTCCCATTCAGCTCTTGCAGCTCTACCTCTAGTACCGACCTACACGGCGCGGACGGAGGGGTGCTGGGAAGCGCAGTATACTATCTAAATACTTATCTATCAATCTGTCTGGTGGTTCTAGTTTCCACAACTCGTCCCAAGGTTTCATGAATCTATTTCAGGTCCTCCGCAACATTCTACAAGATTTTCGACCCTCTACTCTTTGTCTTCATTCGCAGTCTCCACCGACGAGTAGTTTATTTTACCGCGTGCTGTAGTATAGTAACGGTAGAAGAGCCCTTGCAGTTCTGTCACCGAAATAAAAGAGATAGGACGCGTCCTGCTAGGGCGGCAGAAAAAAAGATGTCGCTGCAGTCCGCTTCCACCTACATACACCTGCACGACAGGACGGGGGTGAAAACAGGTACAGTTTATCGCATTGTAATCATGCATTACAAATCTTCTTCATTTTCTTGACTGTAAGTGCGCATTACAAATTGTATTTCCCAAGCTTAGGAAATTTGTAATGCGTTTATATATACGATGAATTCGAATACGATATTTATATTTTTGCAATTCATACTTCAGGTCAAACCCTCCCCGCGCAACCGGTGAAATACATCGACCGTAATGACCAGCTTCTGGCGTGGCGCGAACAGCTGTACAAAGAGAAGAAGGGGAAAAAGTCCTGGTATTACAAGCACCAGGGGAACCTGTTGAATGATTTGCAAGCGAAAAAGCAATCCTACGCCGAGTTTCACGCCTACAGAAACACGCCTTTCAGCAACGTGGGGACGGTGGAAGATTTGAAGAATAGCAGGAGAGCAAGGAGCGTACCACCCTCCGCCGCTGTGAAGGCCGCGTAAGGATGAAAACGGTGCAATTATAGTTGAATAGTTTAGAATTAGAATGAAGATAATCAAAACACCAGCAACGCTTTGTTTTCTGAAATTGAAACTGTACTGTGCTTGCTTTGTGGTCTCCGAATCCGTTGTACAAAAATTTTTCGTTCCACTTTTGATGCATTGCGTCATTGGGGTAGTAAGTTGTTTCATCTGTTGGCAAGAAAGAGCGGCGACGAAGATGAACATTTTGAGCTTTTCTTGACAGAACAAATGTAAAAAAATATTTTATGAAGTGGATGTGGAGTAATTCTTGTACTAAAGAAGTGGCGGCTGTGTGGTCCGCAGTTTTTTTATTTTGCGCGGTTTCTTGACCGTCAGTGAGTTTAATCGCGCTGCGCTCTGGTCGAAGATGAAACTTTTTTTACCCGTCTTTGGCAGCTTGTGTTCCTCGAACGCAAGGAGCTAGCAGCTTGTGTTCACCAACATGCTGGTCGAAGAGCCTGCAGATCATTTGATTTGTAGAAGGACAACTTTACTGCCATAGCCATAGCCATTTGCATTTCGTTTTTGACAACGGTTCTTTAATAAAGCCGTAAGATCAACATCGTGTTTGAGATTGTCCTCGGATTATTTTCATTTGAAAGTGTTTGTAGATGATCAGCATCAGTATTTATTTTCTGCTGACGCGGTTCCCATCTGATATTGATCCTTATGCTGATCTCGTCAACGCCGTTCTGAACATGTTGTTGGCCTTTTTGTTTACCGGCAAGCGTAAGCGATCCTTTATTTGAATCAGGACCTCAAATGTGAACGAAACTGTTCGATGGATTCTTTGGTATTTTTGGGCGGCTCATCTCGTTTCTACCCCGCCGCTGGGCCAACATGTGACTTAAATCAAAATCTCCACCCGCGGAATTTATTTTATGCGCCAGTCATCGATTTTAATTGTAATCCTACTTAACGTGATGTAACAGCGACACTAAGTAGAAAGTATTTGATTATGATTACCAGCGACCAAGACAGAACTCAAACTCTACTACGCAAAAATCGCTTTTCAGTATCATCCTACCTCAACCGTATTTCTTGTAAAAAAAAGTAAGTAAAAATAAAGTAAAAGCCGGAGCCAAGAACTTCTAGACTAACTATGGGTGGGAAAAACAAGAACGAGCGGCGCAACGCCAATAAAAAGCAGACGGAGAAGAAAGACGACAAGAAGAAAAAGGATGAAAGCAGCAAGCCAAACGACGAGAGGCTCACATCCGAAGAGCTTGGATTTGTCATCCGCACAGGGCCTGATGCGACGCATCGGAACGTGCATACGCTCGAGGTGGACGCTCGGAACATTGTGATTCACGCCGGAAAACAGGAACTGCTGTATGACGCGATACTACGATGTAACTACGGCGTCAAGTACGGCCTCGTCGGGAGGAACGGGGTCGGAAAATCGACCTTACTGAGAGCGATCAGCGATCGAGATGGTATAGAAGTTCATGTTCATCTATCATCTTGAGCTGCAGGGAGCCGACTACAGGACAATTTGGTCCTGCTGTCACAAGTTTTACTTGGCGCATTTTCTTTTTCACAAAGAAGAAGAACGAGAACTCAACAGCATGATCGTTGGACCAGCAAGAAGAATTTTTTATAAACTAAAAATTGCAGGTCGTGTTGCTATCCCCCCGCACATGTCTTTGATGCACGTGGAGCAGGAGATTGTCGGCTCTGAGGAAATATCAAATGCAAAAATGTCTGGGTCTGGAAGATTGCCAAGTTTGTCATGCATATTTTGAATAAACCCATGATGTCTGTGATGCACCATGCCCTAGCGTCACAGATTTTTAGAGGACTTTGCGATGGTTCTACCGCATGAGAAATGCCCTCTCCGCGTAAAAAGCACAAACTGGAGTCCTCTACTTGCTGGTCATGCAATACAAATTTTTTGGCTCAAGACTTCTTGTCTTGTGGCCCTTTTCCCACTTTAGAGACGGGGCCGCACCCCCGTGAGATCAATTCGTCCGGACTCATCGTGGAGATCAACCCCCGTGAGATCCAAGATCCGTAGAGGCACTCTGTAACAGGCATCAGGTGCGGCTGGTGAACCTTTTGACTCACACGTAGATTGTAGATTGTTTCTCTAAAAGAAAAATCAAAGCAAAAAAAATGAGTACACACTTGCCCTCCATCCGAAGCGCGCACGTGCGCAATGAAGCTTCGATGGTCCCAGCGGGCATAACGCCCGGTCTTACTCGTTACTCCCTTCATCTGCCCTCGCCAGCCGTCCCCAATGGCGTTCGATTGTGGGGCCCTTGATCCCCACGTAGAAGCTCTTCGCGGGTTTCTTCTTGCCGGGTGGAAGACGGTGTGCGTCGGTTTTTTTTTGGCGGTCTGGGAGTTCCGTGTAGGTCTTTGTTCCTAGGGGCGCTTGTCGACGCCCTGCGGCGGAGCGGGCGATCGGGAGGACTCGACGCTACTTGTGGACGCCATCTCCGAGCTGTCGATAGTAGAGGAGTTCTGCCGCACATCTCCGCGTCACGAGGATGCCGCGCCCACTAGCGGATCGCCCTGCTGCGCTGGAGATCAGGGACTTTTTATTTATTGTTTTTCGTTTGTCTCACACTCTCACACACTCGAATACTTATGAAAAGATCATAGTACCAGACCCATATTTCCTTTTTTTCTTCGTTTGAGTTTGTCGCCCCTCCTAATCCTTTGGTCTGTGTTGTGGCAGCGGATTGTCCTCTGACCCTTACGTAGCCTTATGGCAACCCCTTTCCATATGATTGATCTCAGGTTTTGTGTGGTAGCTGCGCTGGCAGCGCGTTTGTGCGGCTCTCTACTCCTGCGAGGTGCGACGTTTTCGATGCGGCTGGGCTTTGCGGATCCAAACTGCGCGGAGGTGGTGGTGGCGATGGCGGGTTGATTACGGTGCGGGAATTCGGGTCGCCAGCCCCGGGTCTCACAGAGTACTGAACGGTGCTTACCAGCTGGATAGACGAGTGAGGGGTGATTACTCGTAGGGGAGTTGTTTATGGCTCGCGGTCGTCTTTCTGTCGTCCTGGCGTCGTTCGTGGGGGTGTGGCGCGGGGGTGGAGCGATCCTCGACGAGCGGTGCGGTTGCGGCTTTGTCGCGTCGAGCGGAGCGGAGCGTCGCTGTGTCTCCTCGGCATCGTCTCTTCGTGGCCTGTCGTGCGTAGTCCTAGGTGGGGTCCCTATCCCGGCCATTGCAATAGGGCTTTTTGGTGGACTGCTGGAGACCCCAGTCCAGTCGCATCGCGACGTTATTTTTCAGCTGCAGGAGACCCCAGCTATCCCTTTGCTCTGCCCAAGTCCCTCGTCTTTGTCTGTTCGTCGTGTTTTGCCTGGTTTACCGCTGGAAACGATGCCGTGCTTTTGGAATTCCGGTTTCGACCAGGACATGCAGCCACTCTAACGGTTTCACTCGGGTCCGACCCCCGTTAGAGCTTGACCCCATCCCCCCGAGGTCCTACCTGAGGTAGTGGTCGTAAAGGGGGTATAGTGGTTGAGGGGTAAATAAGGTCATGCAATACAAATTTTTTTAGAATCACAGACCCAGACATATTTGCAATCCATAGAAAACCGTGCTCCAACACGTGCTAAAATCCTATTTAGAACGCGAGTATGCATTGCAAAAGTATCGTACTACGTATAAATTGCATTACAAAATAAAATTTAGGCAAGAAGAAGAAGAAAAGCGGAACTTGTAATGCTGTTTTACCTTAGGAAGAAGATTTGTCATGCATATTCGCAATTAGTACCAGTACGAGTGTCGATGCTTTTGCAGTTCATAGCGGGTACCTTCTCGACTTGGAAAAGCAGTTCATCGAAGATAATGAGAAAGATATGGTTATGCTTTGCAAAAGTATCGTACTAGTATAAATCGCAATACAAATTTATTTCCTCAGCATGAGAAATGACATTTGTAATGCGGTTTTAACTTGAGCTTGACACAAAAACTTGTAATGCCTAAATGCGATTAGTAGTACCAGCACGATTCTTTTGCAATGCATAATGGTCCACGGTGTCACTATGATGGAGGTCTACGAGCGACTAGACGAGCTCCACTCCGAGGAAGCTGAGGTAAACGCTGCAAGAATTCTCGCCGGCTTGGGTTTCACCCACAAAATGCAGAACCGGCCGACCAAGGAATTTTCCGGGGGATGGCGCATGCGGATCGCGTTAGCCGCGGCCTTGTTTAACGAGCCGGATTTGCTGTTACTGGATGAGCCGACAAATCATTTGGATGTGCACGCCATTACGTGGCTGGAAGAATTCCTGAACGAGTGGGAAAAGACCGTGATTATCGTCAGCCATGACCGGTCGTTCCTGAACGCCGTCACGCAGAACACGATTTTTGTGAAGAGGAAAAGATTGTGGTATACGAACTTTTTGTTTTTTATAGCGTCGTCCGAGATGCCCGGCTCTCAATGCAATCCGGTGCAGACAGTTTACCTCTAGGAAAATCAAGCAGTTCAAGAGCAGTTTCTGGCTCGCCTTGGTAGCTACTACAGTAACAGTACCGAAGAAGCTTGCGCCATATTGTTTTTTATAGCGGCGGCAAAAGCTTATTTTTGCGAAAATTAAAAAAAATATTGGGTGGCTTTATCGTGGGCCTCGCAGCCCAGCCGAATCAGCACGCTTCTGGACTCAGGACGGCGCAAGACCCACGCCAGCGCAGCGCTCACCCAGTTTGCTCTGCCGTGCTGCCGCAAAGTCAAACACAACACACCACCGCAGCACCCCTTGCGGAAGGCGCGAAAGGTCGCGCCAACTTCAACGCCCGCACACGCCAGGGCGGGCATCGTGGGCAGGGAGCCGGGCCCGTCGTTGACCCCTTAATGGGCCAGTCCCGCCAGGTCTGCGCCGCTCCAAATTTCGTCGGGGCAGGCGGAGGCCCGGCAGGCGCGGCCGAATCTGGCCAAGCCAAAGGCACGGCGTGATATGGAATGGGCGAGCGCCTTGCGCCCCACCAGATGTCCCGGGGCCATGCTCCTGTGCCCCGGTCCGGCGGCATCATCGGGCGCAATGCCCATCCCTGATTGCCCGGCGAGGTGCCGCAAAACCCCTCGGCCGCCGCCCACGACCCCTGCTCGGCCGACCGCAATTCCCCAATCGCGCGACACTCGCCCTGTTCAATCAGCCCCATTTCTGCAAAGCGGGCAAAAGCGTGGCTCCATCCCAGCCAAGGTGCCTGCGGTTTGGTTACACCTCCCAAGCCACCCCCTAGCGTGCCTCCGCCAATTCGCGGGATTCCTTGCAAGAACTGCCCGGCGGCATTTCGGATATCAATTTCGCGGAAAACAACCGCCCGGCGACACTGCCAGCACGCTTGGAGGCTAGAGCACAAGCGCCGCAGCCCTGGGCAACACAGCGGGGCAGCCGGGCCCCCCTTTTTGCAGGTGGGGAACTTATCAAGCGGCCCGCGCAAGGGGGGCCCGACCGCGGCGCGCCGTGCCCTAGTGGCCCCACGCAGGTCGTTCCTCAACGCCGTCACGCAGAACACGATTTTTGTGAAGAGGAAAAGATTATCCTGTGCAAAAGTACCGTACTCGTATAAATGCAAGTGTTGCATTACAAATCTTGTTGCGAAGCCAAATCAGCATGATAAATTCCATTTCTCTTGCTGAGGAAATTTGTAATGCATTTATACAAGTACGATACTTTTGCAATGCATAAAGATTGTGGTATACGAACTTTTTGTTCCATTTGGTATAGAGCTAGGAGATGAAATTGAAACAGTCAGAGTTTTTGCAGCTTCTGGTAGGCCGCGTACTACGCTGAATCGCAGATGAGTCCGTACTATTCCATCTTTTCGGTGTACAAATGGAAATAATTTGTGTGCCTGAACAACAGTTTTTTACTCAAACCGCAGAACAAATAAAAAAATCAAAAAAGGTACTATGGCGGTAACTACGACACTTTCATCCGCGTGCGCGCCGAGCACCGGGCCAATCAGGAAGCGGTGGCGAAACAGCAGGAGCGGAAAAAGGCCCATTTAAAGCAGTTCATTGCCCGGTTCGGCCGCGGGCACAAAAAGATGGCCCGACAGGCGCAATCCAGGATGAAACTGCTGACAAAATTGCAGGAGGAAACTGTCGCCTGCGATATGGACGACCCGTATTTGAAGTTAGACTTCCCCGCCGCCCCGGAACTGCCCCCGCCGTGTATCTCGGTTCAAAACGCCGCTTTCAAATACCCGGGATCGGACCGAACGCTGTACAACAAACTGAACTTCGGCGTGGATATGGACTCCCGAGTAGCGATCGTCGGGCCGAACGGAGCGGTATCCTGTGCAACAGTATCGTACTCGTACTAATTGCGCATACGCATGACAAAGCTCTTTCCTATAGGTAAAACAGCATTACAAATTTATTTATAATGCTGAGCTAATTTGTCATGCGATTTATACTAGTACGATACTTTTGCAATACATAAGCGGGTAAGTCGACCTTTTTGAAGTTACTGGACGGGACGCTAGAGCTATCGTGAGAAAAAAGTGTTACAGTTACACACTCTGATGAGAGACAAGCAAGACAGACAACCTCTGTCATGCAGGAAATGCTTGCCAACCTCATTTGTTTCGTGTTTTCCCTTGTCGTTTGCGCATCACAGGTTTTCTTTGCCATGTAAAGCAGCTTTGTGATGCAGAAAGTCCACCACATCCGTAAGCGTAACTGTAGCACTTTTTTCCTGTGATAAGAGCCAACGGACGGACAGGTGAGTAGACATCCGAAATTACAAATCGCGCGGTTCTATGCATTGCAAATATGATGTCTCGGTCTGGAAACTTCTGATGCAAGGAAGGGAAGAATACAGAGCACACTGTACTAATGCGCTTCATCCCAGCATGACAAGTTTTTCCGTGCTGGTTCAGAGCTGCGTACTCCGCACGAGAAACTACGCTTTTGCATGTCAGACAAGAGGAGCTCTTCGCGGGCACGCAATACAGAGCTCAGAGTCAGGCCAGACTAGCATGACAAATCTCGCAATCTCCCAGAGGACCCAGACACACTCGCAGTTCATAGGTTCACGCAGCACCACTTGGAAATGATGAATGTGGATGAGGACGCGGTGACGCACATGCGAAGATTGGGAAATTTGAAGGAGGATGGGACATATGCATTGCAAAAGTACTTATCGTACTAGTACTAGAAATGCAATACAAATTGATGGCTCAGCATTACAAATTGAATTTGTATATCATGCGAATCTGCCTTTAGAAAAAGACTTGTAATTCATATAAAGCATTTAGTACGCGTGCGATGCTTTTGCACAGGATAGTACTAGCGACGTAACGATAGAAGAGGCGCGGAAATACCTCGGGCGGTTTGGGTTAGTCGGGGAATTGCCGTTGAATCCGATTAAAACTTTATCCGGTGGGCAGAAATCGAGACTCGCGTTTGCGGAACTAGCCTGGCTATGAACTGCAAAAGTATCGTACTCCTACTCGTATAAATGCATTACAAATTTTCTCAGCATGAGAAATAAAATTTGTAGTGCTGATTTACCTTGAGAAAAAGATTTGTATTGCATGCCTGCAATATGAATGCGATACTTTTGCACAGGATACTGGCGCCAGCCGCACTTGTTGTTGCTCGATGAGCCGACAAACCACTTGGACTTGGAAACAATCGAAGGGCTAGCGATTATCAAGTGCAAAAATGTCTGGGTCTGGAAGAATGCATGTTTGTCATGCTGGTCTGGCATGATTCTTAAATCTGTCATGCACGTTACCCAAGAGCATCGCGCCACTTTTCTCTGATGCAGAAACGCAGTGTGTCATGTAGAACAGGCAACACCAAGAAGAAGCGCAGAATCTTGTCATGCTGAGCCAACACTTGTGGCCTCATCATGAGACGCCACCCAGCATCACAAGTTTCCAGACCCAGACATATTTGCAGTTGATAGCGATGGCGTTGAACCAGTTTGAAGGCGGGGTTGTTTTAGTCTCCCACGACGAGCGATTGTTGTCGTTGGTGTCTGATGAACTGTTATGCAAGATGAAAATTTTTTGTGTAAGTGTAGTAAGTCTGTGATGCAGAGCACGCAACACAGTTTAAGTACACTTCTCATGCTGGACAAGTACGCTTTCCTTTCTACACGTGCCGTGTTTTCACGTACTAGCTGTGTAGTTTTTGACAGGCTTTGTTCTCTGTCATGCAGAGCTAATCTGTCATGCTGATGTCCCTCGAAGCAGATAGACATCTACACTCACACGACAATTTTTTTTGTTGGATGCCTTTGGGTAGTCATGCCGGGGGAGCGAGAAGACGAGATCGGGTCGGTTTGCGTTTTTGACGGGAATTTCGACGAGTATCGAGACATGCTTCGCAACGAAATGACCGGGAAATCGTTACTGAAGGCCAGCGCGGGTGGACGGATTAAGAAGGGCGGGGACTAGAACTATCTATCACCCGGGCGGTGGGGATGAGAAAAAATGAAAATTTTGCTTCCTCCCCCCGCATGACTCTTTTGACTGTCATGGTAGAAAAATGAACGCGCGGCGATTTTTTTCGTGTGGTGAGACGAGGAGATTATATCAAACTAGGCGACAAATTGAAATTCTATATTATCCGACATCACTACTTCCTTCGAACTCGCAGCATGAGTATCGAAATGAGGAAAAATAGTGATGAAGAACCACTTGTTCTCGAGATAGAGATGTTGTACACTAGTATCGAGTTTATGTTGTACCAAAGCAGTACAAAGAAACCAAGCGAACCCATTTATCATTTCTATAACTTGGCAAGAGCTTTCACTTTCACAGCACCACGAGCAGCTGGCGGAAAGTGTAGAAATTTTTCAACAGCCATTGAAGAAGACTGCACGGCCCTGCTCGAGCTGTGCGTTGTTCCGGTTTCTCTTCTATCAAATGTAAAAGTGTCTGGGTCTGGAAGAATGCAACTTGTGATGCTGCGTTTGGATTCCAAAAACATCTGTATTGCATGAGTACCAAAGGGAATGCAATTTTTGCTAAAGCTGAGGCGGCATTTGTCATGCGGAATAGGCATCAAGAAGCTCTCAAAAAATCTGTATTGCTAGGGTATGCATCACAGACATCATGGCTCATGCAAAACGTGCGTGACAAGTTTCAGAATCTTCCAGACCCAGACACTTTTACAGTTAAAGAAGACTACACGGCCCTGTTCGAGCTGTGCGTTGTTCCGGTTTCTCTTCTGTCTCTTTGACGTGGGTGTGCCGCGCTTTTGTTAGCTTTCTGTGATCCATGATCAGACGGAGCTGAACTGTATTTGTGAACCCCAGCGAAAGCGATCTGTTACTTGCAGCAGCAGGAGGAGGATCAGGTTTGTTCGTTGTTTCGTTCCTGACAGATCTCTTCTTTCGGTTCTCGAAGTCGCACTCCTTCTTTTGGTGGCGCGTGCTTTTGCCACTAAAAAAACGATCACGATGATGAGGATGAGGATGATGATGTTTATGTGTTGGAGGTCAGGTGTGAGTCTTCTATGGATAGGGCCCGTGATACAGGTAAGTATAGCATCACACCAAAGTAAAACTCATAACTTTCATTTCTCCAACATCCTTCACGAGGCCGTATTAGAAAAATGCCAAGAGCCACTACTTCTGCTTTGGTTAGTACCCCGGACGACGACCCAACCGCCTCCGCTGCGTATAATTCCCGAACCGGTGCGCAACACGGTTTCACGAGGACCTTGCGCTGTATAAGTCGTGTCATCCTCCAAGATCAAAATGACATCCACCAGTACTAGCACGACCTCCCGGGCAACTAGTTCCAGCACAACGAGTAACCAACCGCCCGCGGAAGTCTACATTCTGTTTATTGTCGCACCCACTTTCGGTCTCCCCGGCACTGGGGATTTGCTTTACGAATTGGACTTATCCAGTAACGGGAAGCGGGAAGACAGCCCACATTTGTATCCTGTGTAAAAACGTCCCCACCCCAGAGTCGAAATGGGGATTTTTCAGCACAAACCTTGAAGTTTTGGGAGTCACGCATGACAAGTTGTAGGCCGTAGTGTAGTGCAGTTTAGAACAAAGGGAAGCCGCATATATAATAAAACCGCCCTCTTGTCCTGTTTACAGCATTACAAGTTCCAAAGCGCGCTGGGAAAAAATGCTCTCATGGGGATCATGCGCATTACAAATGCTCTTGCGTTTGCAGATCTGCATGACAAGAACTCTGAAACGGGGTTGTTTTTACACAGGATGATTTGGCGCAGTTTATCGCCAGCAGCAGTTTAGACGAGCTGGACGCGCAGTTGCTTTTACAGCAGCATTATCCTCTGCAAAAGTACCGTATTCGTGTTGCAATCATGCATTACAAATCTTTTTGTTAAGTCAAATCCGCATTACAAATTCTATTTCTCATGCTGAGGAAATTTGTAATGCATTTATACGATTACGAGTGCGATACTTTTGCAGTTCATGAGCAAGCGGTGAATACGCCGGGGCAACTGTTTTTCAAGGTATAGTATAGAAGGAGTTGTTTGTCTTGCATTTTATTTCCAAGGAATAAGATGAAAGAACACATTATCTTATGCTCCGCACCATTAATGAAACAGCATGACAAATTTTTATAAAAATCACGCTCGCCCCCCGGCAGTCCGTCGACAGTTTCAACGATTTTCTCGTTTCCGCCTTCGTCACCCCGGGGCATTTGCGACTACTATGCATTGCAATAGTACTTCTATCGTGGAGGTCGTAGTAAATTGTATGGCAGTTGTCATGCATTGCAAGTCTCTTACTCTTTCTTGATGTATTAAAAGTAAATCCGCAGTACAACAGTACTACATACAGTCAGTTGTACTTTTGCAGAGCATAATTCCTCCTCCTGCACAAATCCCGAGCGACCACAGCCGCGTCCGCGAATTTGTATGAATTGCAAAAGTGTCCTCGTACTCGTAGTTTTGCAATACAAATTAGCTCAGCATTACAAATGGACTTTGTCATGCGGTTTCAGCTTGAGAAAGGGATTTGTAATGCATAAATGCAATCACTACTAGAACTAGTACGATACTTTTGCACAGGATAATTTGGAACCGAACGTGATAAAGCCCCTTTTGGAGCTATGGCGTTCTCAACTGTTACATTGTCAACTGTTACATGAATTTGCCATGCAAAACTGCCATCAAGATCCACACGATCAAGCTTCTTTGCATGACAAATTTGCAAAGGGCTAAACTGCGCCCAAATCTGTGCGGAATTTGTAATGCTAAAGGCGCAACCTCCCCCCTTTGACTTTTCCTATTCTTGCATTACAAATTCATGTAACACTTGAGAATGTAACATTTGAGAACGCCATAAGAGCAGGTCAGCGAGGTGTTTACGAAGACGGTGCTGACGAACCCGTTTTACGTCCCGTTTCGGAAAATCACGTCCAATTCCCTGAAGTTACTACTGGACACCAGGGTGAAAAACTGCGCGAGACGGTACTTGACGCACTTGACTTAAGAAGTTCTCTATCACTGACAGAGCACGAGGAGTCCTTACTACCTGGGGCGGAGGAAGGGTTTGTCATTTTCTACCTGTTGCACAGGAGAGGACAAGAAGTACGGTGGGCGCGGCGGGGGCAGTGAGAAGTCGTCGATTTGTGTTGCAAATTTCCTTCGGACCACCGCACAAGAAATAATGTTGTTCCACCTCACTCGCATTCTCCACGGGTGTCCGAAGCACCGGAAATCGGTGTTTCAGGCGAAGAGGAGACGGTTGCTGTTTTTCCTAGACAAGTGGAAATACCTCTTCCCAGTCCGGAGGGAGAAGATGCGGAGAAGGCTCGAAACGGAGAACCGCTGGCTAAGAGATATTGCAACGAAAAATCCCCCCTCCCCATATCGAAAACGTATCTTCTGAAAATTTGTGATGCAGATTTGTGACCACAAATCCTGTCTGTCTTGCTAGAAGGCAAATCCAGGCTCTCTGCCACACTATGCAGGCGATTTGTGACGCTGTAAGGACTACAGGGCAGCCGTCTCCAATGCTAGGCGCCTACACCAAAAGGCCCCGAGCTAGGCTTGCGATCATCTGCGTGCAGTCCTCTACTGCAAAACAAATCTGATTTGTGTACGCAAATCCAGCATCACAGATCTCCTTTTCGATATGGCTATGGGGAGGAGGGATTTTTCCTCACAATAAAAGAGCCGGCCATTCACCCGTTCCGGTTTGCCGGGTTTTGGTATGAGACTGCTCAACTCCTCATCCCCCCTATTTGTCATGCAAAATACCAAGTCCACACTTCGCCTCTTGGCACTGTTAGCATGGCAAGTTCTGGAAGCGGCCCGAATAGCACTACACTCCTGCGCAAATTTGTCGTGCAAAATCTGCATTATTGCGGACGCCTGTATTGCTGTTCATGCAATAGCAATACAAATGAGGGGGAGGGGCGGGAGTTGTGCGCTCTCATATTTTGGGTCAGGAATTCGGTTTCGAAAAGTCGATCGCGGAGGATATGGATTGTAAAAGTGTCTGGGTCTGGAAGAGTGTAAGACTTGTCATGCACATTTTGCATGACCCATGATGTCTGTGATGCCTGCCCTAGCATCACAAATTTTTTGACGGCTTTCTGATGCGTATCCTGTATGACAAATGCCCTCTCCGTGTAGCACAAAATCGAATCCTCTTGCTGGTCATGCAACACAGATTTTTTTAGAATCCGAAGACAGCATCAGAAGTTGCATCCTTCCAGACCCAGACATTTTTGCGTTTGATAGAGGACGGGGGTGGACAACTTCAGGCCGCGGATTATGACGTTCTCAAACGTTACATTCTCAACTGTTACATGGATTTGTAATGCAAGACTGGCAAAAGTGAAAGGAGGAAGATTGCGCCTTTTGCATTACAAGTTTGGCGCAGATTTAGGTGCGGCTTAGCCCTTCGCAAATTTCTCATGGGGAGCAGCTTGATCGTGAGGATGATGATGGTGTTTTTGCATGACAAATGCATGCGACAGTTGAGAATGTAACGCTTGAGAACCCCATACGGGTCCGGGGTACTTTCGAGGCGGAAGTGCGGGAAGTGGTAGTGGTGGCTACAACGCGAGGTAGTAGTCTTTTTTCTACTGCAACTGCTGGTCCTCCCTGGTGACCCAGCATTGGTACTGACTACAGCTGAGTCTTGAAACAATTGAGAAGCAGGAGGCTGAGTAAAGAGAAAGACTTTGCTGCTGGTTTTGCCAGGGCTCGTCTTCTTCTCTTCTTCCATAAAGCAGGCCTTTGCAAACGGAAAAGGAATTATATAAAAAACGGGAAAATTTGGGTTTACGTTTACCCGCAGCTGAAGATGCCGTCTTCGTTCCACAGGATCGTTTTTTTCGATTTTTTTTCAAAAGCAACGTCGATCTAAATGTTGGAATGCAGAAGTTCTTCTCTTGATTCTTTTGGCGATCAGAATCATGACAATCATTTGTTTTTTTTGATGTGGTTCTTTTGAAGGGCTCGGGCTGCCACGTGAGAAAGGAGCAGCACCAAGAGCAGCTTCGCCAGCACTTCTGACTGCCACTCGTCGCGCATTTTTTTCTTGTTGTGTCGGCGAGATTGTTGTGGCGCAAATGAAGGTGGTGCGCCGGCGTGGGGACTGTAAGCAGAGATCTTCTGGTCGTGCTGATGAAATCAATGACGCAGCAATGTTACTCTTACTTACCGTTTGATGTCTGATGAAGTTTTAGGAAGAAAAGCGATGCGTCATGACTGAAAGTCAAAATAATGTCGGTCGTGCGAATTATTTTTTTTCAAAATGCTTTCGGTGAGCGCTGGCGGTAGTAAGTACGCGCGTAAGTAGCATAGATTGCTTTTTTGCGAAAAGACCCGAACTAGTCGGTGAGTCGCATAAGTAGCCAGATTGTTTTTTTCCCAAATACCCGAACTAACAGGCCGATTGTGGTACAAAGGTAACTCAAGGTCGATGAAATTCGAACTTGCATTCTACTCATTACATTGTATGATTTATTTGAATTGAGTGGTTTGCGTTTGGGTCTATATATTTTGTCTCCGAGTTTTGGAATAACACAAGTTCAAGTTTACAAAAGAGACAATAGCTCAAGTTCTTTTCGGCCTCTTGATCTACGAATGAAAATTGATGATTACTCTATTTATCCTCGTTTTAGCAATCTAAGTACTACTTCCCCAGCAGACGCGTCTGTTTATGACCTTTTGAAAAAATAAACAGACGGCACCGAATTTTCCTAACTCTAATTTTATCATACGAGAAAAAAAAAATACGAATGCAGATAGAATAAAGTAAAACACAACTACCCGAGGCCGAGCAGTATTATTACCCGATGTTTTGTGGAAGAACCACATCAACTTCTACTTCTTTTGGTACTTCTACGCTACCTCCAGGCAGTATTCCAAGCCGCAAAATAAACGAGCAGACGGCCACCAGGGTGTTTCCTTTCCTCTGGCTCGCTCCAGCAGGAGTCCACTTTTGAAGCACGCAGTCCGGAGGTGGGAAGAACACCGATTATAATCCCAGAACGGTGGAAATAAAGTCCGAACCAAATAATTACCCGACGACCAGTTTTTTCCACGCAACAAGTTCCTGGCGGCCTTATAAAGCAAGAGCTGGACCACGAACTGGAACTTGCCGTTGCCCATCTTCAAGAATGAATCATTAACTCACGGGGGCACGACCAGAACGAGGAACAATATCATATATAAACGAAACACGAGCAGACGAGCAGGAGAGCGAAGCCCATCTTCGGGTGATGAAGAACCAGGTTCATTTCCTTCAGCATATTTTGATATAGGTACAAGGCGGCTGTTGAAGCCTGAATAGTAAGAATCCCGGAGCAGCAGGTGCATCTCGTGCTCAACATTTTTCCAGTAGTACGGCTCGTCGCATCACCGCCGGGCCTCGAAAAAAACCTATCAAATACAAAAATGTCTGGATCTTCTGAAACATGGCAACTTGTCATGCCAGATCTGGATCATGCAAAAATCTGTGTTGCAGGATTACCAAAAGCTGGCGACTTTTGACCAAGCTGACAGGGGGTGTCTCATGCGGAATAGGTATGACAGAGGTCTCATAGGATCTGTCATGCTAGGTTCTGCCTTCCAGACCTCACGCGTCATCTACCACCTGCATCACAAGTTTGCATCTTTCCAGACCCAGACATATTTGTAACGCATAAAACCTTTGTGGCAACAAAAAATCGCCGACCTCCAAACGAGCAGGACGGCGATCTCGATCTTTTGCTACGTCTAGATTATACAACAGCTTCTGCCAGATACGCCTGTTGTCGCTGTGGTTTATTGCAGCGACGTGAAGAAATAGATTACAACACCGAGGACCTGCTTCGTAGAGGAGGAGTGGATATCCGGAAGAATAAATATGGAACAACTCGTCCAGGCGAAATCTACAGAAAGACCAGCAAGTAAGTAACCACACAGACACGACGGACTGCACAAGATTAATTTTTCGGCGGTTGAGAACTTGCACTTGGCGCCGTCAGCAGATCCAGATGAACTAACTACCGAGGATCCTAAGTAGAACTAGAAATAGAGCACGAAGTACTAGCAGATAGTAAAACAAAAACGCGCCACGCGACCGCCACGCCAGCTGTCTTTTCATTCCCCTTCAACTTCGAAGGTGGAAACTACGGCAACGAAGAACTTCGGCAAAAAACCACCAGAATATCTTCAAGATGCCGCACGCCGTTTCCTGGTATTTGTTTGGCGAGCGCGCCCTGGATTTTATCCAGCCGCGTCATATTATGACCGTGCACAACTCCCCTCACTCTCATTTCTCATGCAAAATACCCAATCCACCTTTTGCCTCTTAGCGCTGTTTGCATGACAAGTGCTGGTAGCTGCCCAAATAAGTAGCGCTACACCCCAGCGCAAAATTGTCATACAAAGCCGGCATTCTTGCCGATGCGTGTATTGCCGTTCATGCAATACAAATGAGGGGGGAGGGGAGTTGTAGTGCATTGTCATACACAAATCCCTCGACGACCGCATCGCGGATGAGCTAGCCTCTAACCGAACCTGCACCCCCTCCTGCAAGCAGATCACGCGTTTAACCTTGAAAGCGATCTTCGCGGGTCTCACCGTTTCGCTCGCACTTATCCCGGAATGCCTCGCGTTATGGGAGTGCACAAGAACTCGCCCCCCTTCCCCCCATTTGTCATGCAAAACCGCAAGTCCATTTGTTCCTCTGTGGCACTGTTTGCATGACAAATTTCGGAAGGCCAAACAAACAGTACTACCTTTGGCCGGTGATCTGGGCATGCACAGGCCTCAGGAGTGCTGGTGTTTGTATTGCGGGTCATGCCATACAAATGAGGGGGAGGGGGACGAGTTGTGCACTCGCATACGCGTTCTCCTTTGTGGCGAATGTTCCGCCACTGGTTTCCCTCCAAGCCGTATGCTGTGGAAAAGTATCGTACTCGTATTGCAATCATGCATCACAAATCTTTTTCTTAAGTTGCATCAGCATTACAAATTTCTTTCCTCATGCTGAGGAAATTTGTAATGCATTTATACGAGTACGATACTTTTGCAGTTCATAAGCCGCCTGGATTATGTGCTTCGTCACCGCGCTCTTCAACGGCTATCCAATGCAAATATGTCTGGGTCTGGAAGAGGACAAGCTCCTCATGCACATTTTCCATGATTCGTGATGTCGGCGATGTATGACTTAGCATGACAGATTTTTTGAGCGCTTTTCGATACGCATCTCGCATGACAAATGCCCTCTCCGCATAGCCAAATTTGACTCCCCTTGCTGCTCATGCTATACAGATTTTTTCAGCATCCACATGTAGCATCACAAGTTCCACTTTTCCAGACCCAGACATTTTTGCAATGCATAACGGCTGTCCCGGGGTCATTTCCGGCGCAGCGGGGTCCATCGCGGTGTTATTGCCAACTTTCATGTCCGTACAAGAAGAGCAGAAATACCAGCCTTTTCTCGAGTTTGTCCCGGAAACCAGGCTGGGCCCGCACGGCACGGTCGGTGCGCCCTACTCGGACACGGAAAAAATTCTCCAGGCTAGGCAACTGGCTATGAATTGCAAAAGTACCGTACACCTAGTAGTGCAAATCGCATCACAAATTTGGTCAGCAGGACAAGTAGAACTTGTAATGCGGATTTGCCTTGAGAGAGAAATTTGTAATGCATGGCTGCAATCACTACGGTACGAGCGCGACACTTTTGCAGTTGATACTGGCGAAGCAGGCGCAATTGATCAAACTTTTCATCGCGGTCATGTGCAGCGGTGTGATGACCATGATCTACTCCCTCTGTCAAGCGCACTTTATCATTTGTAAAAACGTCTTCACCCCAGAGTTGTAATGCAAATCTGCATGCTGGGGGAAATGTTTTTGATGCGGAGACCCATTAGAAGCAGTTTCTTCCTGTGTTTTGCGATTTGTGATGCTCACATCCGCATGGTATGCTAGAGCAGTGATGCTGCTTCACTAGCTAAACCCGGCGACATTGCGAGCCCGAATTTGTCATGCGCAACAGCCAAAGCTGGTTGATTTGTGTAGCAGATTCGCCATCTTGACTCTGGGGCGGGGACGTTTTTGCTTTCCATACACTTGCTGCTGAAATTAGTAACCGTTCCGGTCCGGCTCGGCTTCTTGATCGGCCTGGGGTTTTTGATGGGCTACACCCAACTCGAGTCCTTTGAAACCCCGGAATATGAATTGCAAAAGCATTGTACTCATATAAATGCATTACAAATTTCCTCAGGATTACAAATTGAATTTGTAATGCTGATTTACCTTCAGAAAAAGATTCGTAATGCATGACTGCAATTGCTACGAGTGCGCTACTTTTGCAATGCATACGGAATTCCGCAACGGGATTCCGGACACGGACCAGTACGTTTCTGGGGGCAGATTGTACGGGATGATAGTGTATCAATTCAAATATTCCTGGATGTCTGGAAGAGTACAAACTTGCCATGCAGAATTTCCATGCCCCCTAAGGTCTGGAATGCAGGACCTAGCATGGCAGATTCTAGTGCGATAGGTCTCTATGATCATGCCTTTCCTGCATGAGAAACTAACCCCCTCTCATGGTGTTCAGATGAAAAGGGCAACTTTTGATCCTGATCGCGAAAGACAGATTTTTGTGTGAAGATCCACAGGATGCATCACAAGTTCCATACTTCCAGACATCCAGGGATATTTGCAATCCATATAGTGCTGACCTGCATTTCCGTTTTGATCCAGACAATCCCGTGCAAATCGTGGCAGAAACTCCCTTATGAAATGGTGCAAAAGTGTCGTACTAGTAGTAACTGCATTACAAATTCGCTTGGCATCACAAATGAAATTTGTAATGCTTACAAGCGCTTAAGTAGCAAAGCTAAGTTGTAAGTTTTTAGCCTTTCAATACTTTATGTTGCGTAGTAGCTTAGTGATTTAGTGGCTTTAGTAGGCCTAGAAAAGGCAAAGGGACGGACTGCCCTTAGATCTCCGATGTAATGCTGTTTCACCTTACGAAGGACATTTGTCATGCATAAATGCGATTAGTACGACGAGTACGATGCTTTTGCACAGGATATCCCTTTGGCGATCATCTCCATTTTCGTCTGCACCGTCCTCGTATCAAATGCAAAAATGTCTGGGTCTGGAAGAATTCATGTTTGTCATGCTTGTCTGGCATGACTCTTAAATCTGTCATGCACGTTACCCAAGAGCTCCGTTTTTCTGTGATGCAGAGAGAAGCGCAGTTTGTCTTTGTCATGCAGACTAGGCTGCAACACCTAGGAGCTCAGAAACTTGTCATGCTGAGCCAGCATGTGTAGCCTCATCATGAGACGCCACCCAGCATCACAAGTTTCCAGACCCAGACACTTTTATTTTTGATACCTCGAGTGGGGCGTGTTCCGGCCGCTGTCCCAGCGCTACCTGGCCGAGGATTACCAGTACGATGTTCTCAACCCAGTAACCAACGAGTCCAAGCAGATTTTCAATCGCAGCGCCTGGGCCACGACCCTGATCGGCGATTTGGGGGACCTACCGATAGGGCATTTCTATCCTGAGTAAAAACGTCCCCACACGACCAGATTCAATATGGGAAATCTGCTAGACAAATTAGCCAGCTTTGGTGGTTTCGCATGACAAGTTTATTTTCCTCGTAGTGTACACCTATGCAGAAGTGCTACAGTGTGTGCGTGTTTGGTCCCCCCTGAGCGACGTGTGTGTGTGTGTTGGTCCACACCCAAGTCCGAAAAAACCTAGCCTCATAACAGCCGCGCCCTTATGGTATAGATCAACTGTTCGTCATAGAAGATCGGCGCTCAGATTGCTCTCGGGCTGGAGGAGGGAGTAGCGCGCAGCAGTCCGCTAAAGGGCACACTGCCAACATCATCATCATAAATCCTTTCCAACTACTTCAGAAGCATCACAGATCTAGCATATCATGCCGATTATAGCGCCACAAATTCCAAATTGAAATTACGACTAGAGAATGCTTCTCATGGGGCTCCGCATGAGAAATGTTTTTCGCATGGAGATTTGCACGACAAATCTGGGGTGGGGACGTTTTTACACAGGATGACTTCCCCCAGTTCTTCTTTCTGGATTGGTTTGACGAGAAACTCACGTACGGAATTATGCACGAAAAAAACTGTGTAAGTGTAAATCTGTGATGCAGAAAATGCAAAACAGTTATACTTGTCATGCTCGACATGCGTGATCGGCTCGCTTCCTATGTGTTTTCCCTTCCTATGTGCGCATCACAAGTTTTTCCTGTCATGGCAGAAAAACTTGTGATGCTGTTTTCCCAAAAGACTTACACTAACACAGTTTTTTTCGTGCATAGGAGTCCCGATTTTGAACGAGGACGGAAACACAGGAGCAGCTCATGGGCAGAGCGATACTAACGGGAACTCCAATTCCTACGAGATCTTGTGGCCGTCCGTAGCGGATATCGGGCCGATCCTGTATTGTGTGCAAAAACGCTCCCACCCCATAGTCAAGTTGGTAAATCTGCAACACAAAGCTCCAAGTTTTGGGAGTTTTGCATGACAAGTTTCCATCTGTAGCGTAGTGCTGTTTAGCGCGAGAGCAGCCGGATGAGAAAGCGAGCTTCTCATCCTGTTTACAACATTACAAAGTCCAAAACACGATGGGAAATCATGCCTCTCATGGAGATGCGCATTACAAATCTTCCTGTCATTGCACATTTGCATGACAACTATGGGGTGGGGACGTTTTTACATAGGATATCCTGTTTCTCGCATTCATGGCCTCGATCGTCGGGTTAACTGAGACGCTGTTGACGTTTCAGAAAATTGCGTCCGAACTGAAGCTGATCGATAAAACAAGCTTGGTGCGTATGAGAGTGTCAGGATCGAGATCGTCAGAGTTGAAATAATTTGCGATGCTTAAAACCGATACCAGTCCGAAGCCCACTTATCAAGCGGCGCATGATAAATTTTCCGAGCACCGGAATCCAATTTGTCATGCTGTTTGGGCACAGAAGACTGCTTTTGTCGTGCTAGTTTAGTAGCTCTATTTCAAACCCTAAACAGGCGCACAATCGGCGTCACTTGCCATCCCGGCAAGGCAGGCACTTCATGCCTTGCATTTTATGCATGACAAATCGTTTCATATACCAACCCCTGCCGTAGCCATTTTGGCTCAAGATCCTTAATATACCAACCCCTGCCGCATTGGCGGGGGGGATCCGCTGGGCCCAGTCACAATCTTCAACAGCGACCTAAATGTGAAAACATAAGAGGGGGAGCAATGCCGTAGATAGATTAGATCCTTCGTGATTCCTTTTATTTTGTCCTCAGATGCCACGCCGGCACCTCCCCCGAGTCTCTGCGTCTAAGAAGTAACTCCCGATCGTGGCGGGTCAGAGTCATTTTCTTCTCTTATTGTAGTCTCTAGCTCAAGCCTCGGCACCCCGTGTGCCTGGAGGCACGTGTACAAAAATGAATCAAAATGACCTGGCGGCGGCGCCTCGGGAAGAGCCCGACTTATCGCCTCGCACCCTCTCCAGAAGGCGGTAAGTATGTAAGTGGCTCGCGGGCTGCTCGCGACAGAGGAGAACTCGAGCCCCCGCGTTTTGAGAAGTCGCGACCCGACCTACAGTGGCGCTTTCGCTGTTTTGCCCCTGCGTTGGTTGCTCCAGACAGGCCAGACGACGGAACCATATCGGGTCTGGAGTTCTGGAAAGGGTTACGGCCACCATGCTGCCGGTGGTTTAAGCAGCACGGGCCGGCAAAGACGAACGGGCGCCAGGTTTCGCGCGGATGCCCCCCAGCTCGCCCAAGCCAGTAGCAACAAGCTCAGTCGAGTCTTGTTCCCCAAGCACAATAGATGCGAGAAAGGGGCGCACAATAGATGCGAGCTCAGGGCTTGGCAGCGCTGGGGGAGATGGTCTTGGCCACGACGCGGGAGCCTTCCCTCCGTGGAATCGACAATGGGCCTGGCGTTGACGTTTTGCGCGTCTATCTTAGCTGCGCAGCGGCTCCATCGTCCGTCACGTCCGCGCCTCGTTTGGGTCATGAGGTCATGATGTGCAGCTCCGTCGATTCATTCTCAGCTGCAACCTTTGCACTAGCCTCTGCCTGGCTCTCAGGTGCTTGGCTGTCAAAAGACAAAGGCGCTTTCATATTCTTACCGGAATTTCCTAAACCGCATCGCAGGCTGGTTTCGTGCCTGCGGTGTCCGTAAGATTCCGAATAATATCTACTTTGTACGCATGGGACCAGCTGCAGGCTGCTGCTTCCTCATAGCAGTTAGCCTGGTCGGTCCCTGCACAGTTTGTGAGCACTATAAGTTGGATCGTTGGCGAACGTTAAACGTGCTCTGGTGGCGACAAGTGTGGACCGTTGGCGAACGTTAAACGGCCCAGCCGCATACTGCCGTGTGCGTAATTACACTGGGGGGATTCAGGGTAGTACGGAGACGATGTTTTGCGGCATCACCCTGCAGCAAAAGGTGAATGAGCTGACCAGGAGTTTCCTGCTGGCGTGCTATTGCCCGCGCTCCCGTCGCCTTGAAACGCACCGCATCGCCCGCGCGGCGGATGCTCTTCTTCTCGATCTGCAAGACATGCATTACTCTGCCCGCACCTGGACGCCGTACTCCTGTGCGGACGTGGATTCCCATTTCCATGACCCCGATGACCCGGCGCGTTGCAATCTGGGGCACTTTGACACTCTGCAGGCTACTCGGGCTAGGTCGTTTCTGCAGGGCATTGTGGTACAGGAAGGCCTCAGCGAAGAGGCTGCTGCGGATCTACTTGCGGTGGTGGACGATAAAGCGTTGTGCATCCTGGCGCACAAAGACGATCTGGACAGCGGAAATCTGGCACGAATTTTCGCCACGCTCAAGCAGGTCACCGAGATAAACTCCAGGCATTGCCTGCAGTTCTTCTCAAAGTCCAAATTTGAAGTAATTGCGGGCTCACCCTACTGGGGCCCGGACGTGAGTTCCAGCAATCTGGCCAAAGTGTGGGAGCTGGCCGCCAAGCACTTGAACCCGTTCTGTGTCACGCCGGTAGTCAGCCTGAAATGTAAGCTGGTCGGGTTTTTGTTCAACACGCACAGCTCCCAGGCCGACGTTCTCTACGGACAAATTTTGGCTAGGCTGAAGTGGAGCCGCATTGCTGCGGAACTTGTCTGCAAGTACTTGCGGTATGTGAATGGGGTGCAGCTGCGTACCATCCTGGTCTGGGCCTACATCAGTTCCATTCTGCACTTACTCGTGGTCGGCGTGCGCATCTTCCCTGAATCGTACTGGCAGGAACTGCTGTTCCAGATGTCGTGGAGCATTGCGGACATGGTTGGGCTTTCGGTGGAAACGACGAAGCACTACCTGGAGGCAAACTGCATCCCGCGGCACGACATACACAAGTTAATTTTTTCGAAGCAAATGCTGAACCTTACCGACCCCCGCTTGTTGGCCACGAAAATTTTGCGATGCGGCGCAGCAAAGTGGACGGCTATCAGTGGCACTGCCTCCGTCGCGGCCTACGCCACTGCCCCCGTGCTGATGGGCGCGGACGACAAGGAGAAAGCACTGGGATTCAGTGCCGAGGGTCTAGTGACATTGCGGGAGATCCAAAAAGCAGACTTGTACACACAGGATGTGTTGCGCGACGTTGTCGGGGATTCCGCGTTGTGCAAAAGCCTGGCGACTACTACCACCGATTCGGTGGACGCCGCAGGCAGCAATGCGTCTGCCCTGCCCAGCCTTTTCGTCAACAAGAGCTCCTCTCCTTCCGCAGCTGTCAGAGCCACTGTGCTGGTGCCCCTGCCCTCGGCGTCGGGCCGTCTCTCGTCCGCACTCAATCGCAACTACGACGCTCCTGTTACCCACGCTGCCCCGCCTGCGATTTGTAATGCCTCCGGCTGCTGCTTCTTTTTCCGCGAGAACGACTGCGACCTCGCTGTTCTGTATAGAGGCAAGGCGGCCAAGACATACCACACTTCTGACCATGGCGAGTTCTCCTGCCCCAGCCTCCGCTCGGACGTGCGGTTTTTGTCTTGTGTGGTGCGTGCAATGGAGGATTGGCTGGGGGATTGTGCTGCCGGGCTATTGTCGACGCATCTGATTGTGGCCGGTGTATCGCTGTCGCCATCTCTGCGTAGCACTGCGATCCATCGTCTTTTCCGGAGCATGATTTGGCGATGGGCTCCGGGTCGGGTCAGCATTATTTATCATAAACGCGGCGGCGCACTGTCTCCCATGATGTACTCGGAGGCCCAAGCTGTTTCTCATCGTTCCGACATTTTGGATCTACCAAACCGCGGTGCTGGTGTCGTCTGGCCGATCCGGACACTCAGTCTGCCGTTTGACTTCAAGACCAACGATGAAAAACTCTCCTTGCAGCATTTCCGAAATCGGGTGAACGCGAGGTGCAAACCGAAAACCACGGCGGCAACCACGGGCGGTGGCACGCTGGGGGCTTCTAGCACCAATACTACGACGGGCGGCGAGACATTGGTGTCGGGGGCTGATCCCTCTACGGGGACGCAAAATACCGCGTGCGGTTTACCTATCCCGACGGTGGCGGACCCTATGCCGGTGGAAAACGTTACCTGCACCCAGCAGGCGCCTACTGGATCGGCTATGACTTTCCCGACCGCGCCACGGCCTGCCATGCCAGCTATTGCTGCGCCGCCGACCATGGACTCCCAACTTTCGAACACTGGTGAGCAGGTGCCACTTGTGACGTGCAAGCCCGCCACATCACTCCCTACCCAGTCCAGCCGCCGTGGTAAACAGGACACCGCCGCCGCCAATTCTACCAAGCGCGCGGTGACTACCAACGTTACAGTCAGCCCGGAGGCCAAGTCGAGGAGAAAAGGCAAAAAAAATACCACAGGAACCGGCCGCAGCACTGTGGTGCCCCACGTCACTGCTACCCAGTGACTTTTCTCGGTATCGCCGTCTGCTTCCTCGGACCAGCGGATTTATCTGTTAGCTTCAGTGTGAAAACCAGAACAGAAAATTAATGCAACTCATGTCTGTGTAGCGATATAATGACTGCGTTTTGGTGTAATAGTTTCGCAGGTGCGCTTGTGTCTATTCCTGACTATGCATCGCGTAGTCTGTGCCTGTGGTTGGCGGGCCTATATATTTACGCACCACGCGCTGACCTTGGCTGTGTAGTGACTGCGCCGCCACTCCGTTACAGCGCAAGGTTGTGGCTTCAGGAAAAGATCTGTTTTTTTGTCTATGACTGAGTCGCGCTCTGAGTAATCCTGGAGTGTGGACTGCCCTGATGTGTGAAGGCCTGCCTACGAAGACAGCTGAGATACAGAGGACATGACTCCTGCTTTCGTTGTTTGTCGTTTGTGTAGTTTCGTCAATTGCAGCACTTTCATCCGCAGACCTGCCCGCGAGCCTGCCTCTGGCGCTGTCTGCCTGCGCGCTACCATCGACCCGGTGTGGGCGTCTAGTTCTGCCTGCCCCCATCGACGGCGTCGGGTTTTGCTTACATCGCGCGATGCTATGCTGGTCGGAGCCGGTTCATCCTGCCTCCCGCCGTTTATCACCGGAGCATCCTGGGTCGAGCGGAACTCGGCGACCATCTGGATGGGCAATTTATCCTCCCCGTGCATGCTTGTCGACCTGCTGCTGGTGTGGACCCCGGTATCATATTTGTGCTGCGCAAACAATGGGTGCCGCATGCGCCTTTCCGAGCGAAGCACGGCGTTCCCCCGGGTGCGTATCACCAACTACTCGCGCACGCCATTCGACTTGCTGTTAGTCGCGATCCCTGTATCTAGATCTTGCTGCACAGTTAAGAGCGGACACTACTGCCTATTCGTAGTCTGTCATGCGCGGAGCACTTGCTGGACCTGACTTTTTACTTGGCCTGTTTTGCCGTTCCTGGTACTACACTGACACTTCGCGCTCGACATTTACTTCTATTTATTTCTATAGGCCTTGGTCTTCTGTATTCCATTTGTGGCCGGGATCTCCGGAGCTTTGCATGCGCGCGCTCTTTGTATATTCTCGGACTGTTTGCATTGGACCTGGTTCCTGTTTCGGGATTTGTATTTGTCGCCCTCTGTGGCCCCCCGATGTGCACTTACTACGCTGGTGGTTGCTGTTGCTTAGTGTCTTAGTCTGTTGTCTTGTCCTCCTTATCATTTTATTTTCGCTCCGACAAGCATGGCAATCTACTCCGCTTTGCATGTGTCCGCTCAATTTTTTAGTTTCCATACAGACCCCGGGTAGTGCCGTCATTGCGACCTTCCCCCTACTGGACTCCACCTGTGGCTGCTGAACAAATCTTCTCCGCGTGGTGCCGCTGTTTAGTGATGGATACGCTATCGATGACGTCATGTTGGGCCCGAACATTGATTCCCGAGCACCCGACCGCCGATCTCCAGTACCCCGCCGGCGGCGAACAGATTCCCAGGCAGTGGGTCTCCGCCGTCTCGTCCGAGCCTGGGGCTCAACTCCCTCGCCATGTAGCCGGTTTGGGGCATTTCATGGCGTGTGCGACCGTTTTCCGGCGCAACAGCCTGTTTCGGATCCATGTTGTACATCACGCACGGGTAGATCGTTCCAACAGCGCACGATGACGACAAGGAAGACGACGAGCCGCATCAGCGAGCCACCGGCTTGATGAGGGTTCCTGCAGGCCCTACCAGCTGTCGCGTCCTTGGTTCGGTACCTCCTCCCCGCCGGTCCAAATTAAACCTGCTGGCACCGACTTCCGTGATTAAGATCCTCCACGACCTACATCTTCCTGCTGCTACATACGCTGGCCGTGTCTCTAGATGGTTTTGCTCGTCCTCTTCGACTAGTAGCCAGGTTGGAGCTTTTCGTGGGGTGTGCGACCTTATTCCGGCGCAGTAGCCCGTTTGCGGATCCATGTTTTACATCATGAACGGGAGGTCGTTGCAGCAGTGCATGGAGATGACGGGCAGCAACAGTCGTGAGCCACCGGCTTGTGGATTACTGCCGCCTACGGATCTCTCCTACTTGGCAAAAGTAAGGAGTGAAAGTTTAAAAGTTAAGAAGGTTCATTTTATTAATAAAGAATGTCAGTAAAGCGCTCTTGGTCTCTTGTGAAGTCCTCTGCGTTATCCTTTTATCTATATCGCGGCTTTATGGTGCTTAGCACCTGGGTCCTTGGCCGACCCGCTCGATGACTATCTACCCGCGCTGCAGGCTCGCTCCCCTGCATGCGTCCTTTGTGTGGACTACCTTGCTATTTGTGTATCGTAGCTCAAGCGTTCACTGTCTCGCAAAAATTACTCACAGCTTATCACTTACATGATAAAAGACGCTGCTTAATTCTAACTGCGTGTGTGCTCTTGCTTGTTTATTTTTTTTTTAGTTCTCTATGTCGGCTCGCGCCCCGGCTCCGATTCTGTCTTGATCTGTTTATTCCCGGCCCGCCTCCCGGATATAGTTTTTGTGCTTTGTCTCCTCGTGGCTCCACACCCACTGCATTTATGGCCCCTGCGACTGCCGACTTATTATTATTTTGGGTTCGCGTCCCCACTTTTGTCCTCCCCTCAGCCGTATCCATGCGTTTGGCGCGTGGTTACACAGGCCGGGATTGAGGCCTACTCTTATTGTATTGCTTGTATGTGGCGACTTGCATGACTCGGCGTCGCTTAGTCTTTTCTATCTGTCCGCCGCGTGTTACCTACTTCATGATGAGCTTATGTGGTGACTTTTCTTGCTGCTAGTGCATGACTCGCTGGTGATTCGTTGCCATGTGGATCTTGGCGTGCGCATTAATTCTAATTTTACTTCCTCACCGTCGCCTGAAAAAATGCAACTACGTATTTATTTGTTTCGGAGGCCCGCTTCCCTCCTATCTCTAGTTTCTTCAGCCGATCCGAAGGTAGTTTGTATGTGTGCCCTGGCTTTCCGATATGGAGCTCTGATTTGCATGCTAAGTCGGAAAGTCGCCTCATGCGCGGAGTTGCTTGAGGACACGTTGTATGATTTTGGGACCACGTACCTACTAGCCCGAGGGGGTGCGGGAGCCTGAAAAAACGAACGTTAAACGTATGTTGGCGATAAGTTGGACTGGTGGCGAAAGTAAGGTAAAGGCAGCGTAAGTAGTTGGATGTGCCCGGGGATGATGGTGATGGCTTCGGTCCGCCTGACTCCGCGACCTGGTGGCCGAACCACGTGCGGTTCGGTGCCCTTACAGGTTGTGTAGTGGTTTCGGTCGGTTTAGCATGACAAATCGTTTCAACTTTGGCGATTTCAAACCTGACGCTTCCATAGTGCAACCAGGAGCGGCGGGGCAGCACCCGCACCAGAACGGCGGCGGGGCCTCTTATGACACCCTCAGAATGGAAATCCTCAAAGTGGAAATAATTTGTGATGCATGAAATGCGACACCAAAAAGACTGCATTGCAGATTGCAGAGAACGCAATGGAAGCCGACTATTGTGCATCTACGGGCTCAGACTTGGGCTCCTGATTAGCATGAGAGGAGGGCACCCCTTTGCCTAACTAGCATGACAGACACGTTTTGAGTGCCCGGGAAATTTGTCATGCGCCGACTACAAATGGTGCTCCAACTGGAGTCGTTTTTTTGCATTACAAATTATTTCCACTTTGAGGATTTCCAACCTGAGGCTTTCATACCTCTTTGGCTTCTAACGCAGGGCGAAGCGGAAAACATGGTGCTGGAACTACAGACTCTAACAGCAACGCATCTTCGCCAAGAGATCGCAAAATAACGACAGAGAAAGTTTTTCACTCGGAGGAGGCGGATCCGTTGCTGCGAGACGACCGGCTTTCGAGTTCAATAGGTACAAGCGGAGATTTTAATATCAACTACGATCATCATTCTAACAACTACCAGGATATTGACATCAACGTGTCGAAAAGGAAAAGCGGCCAAGAAAATAAACAAGATTTGCCCGCCTCTCCCCCCTCCACCGAAGGAGATGTAGGTATCCGAACCCCGAAACTGCGCCTGAAATTTTCCTCCAAAATCCGGGTTGTATCCAGCTACCAGGAGCTCTTTGTGCAGGGCGTCGCGAACTTGGTTTGTGGGCTGTTTGGCAGCATGGGTGGGTGTGCGATGATTGGCCAATCACTGATTTGCGTCCGAAACGCAAGTGATGTGGAGATCCGGGAGTCTGTGATCGGGGCCGGGAACATTGGCAGACTGGCCCCGATCTTGGCGGCTTTGTTCACGTTTACCTTAACAATGTACCCGGTGGTGCTGTCTATCATCCCGGTTTCCGCTTTAGTCGGCGTCATGCTGGTATCCTCTGCAAAAGTATAGTACTCGTATATTAAATGCATTACAAATTTCCTGAGCATGAGAGATAAAATTTGTAATGCTGATTTTTTAGCTTTGGAACAAGATTTGTAATGCTTGTTTGCAATCGAATCACTACGAGTACGATTCTTTTGCAGTGGATAGCTGGTCGTTTCCTACCACACCATCGACTTTCGGTTTCTCCTATCAAATGCAAAAGTGTCTGGGTCTGGGAGATTGCGAGATTTGTCATGTTTGTCTGGTATGACCAAAGAGGTTGTGATGCGTGTCCAAGAAGAGACCCTTTTGCCTGTCATGCAAAAACGCAGTTTGTCATGCGAAAAACGCAACACAAAGAAGCGCACACATTTCTCATGCTTGGCTGCGCATTACAGAGCATTCACTATTCCCAACGCAGCATTACAAGTTTCCAGCCCCAGACATTTTTGCACTTGATATCTCCCCGCGGCTTGGAAAGCGGTTTTTTGGTCGGAGGAACAGAAGAAGAAACGGTTCGCTTTGGTGTATAACAAGGGAGGCCTTTTGGTGGAGGTAGAGGAAGCGGAGATGGAGCTCGCTCTGGCCGCGAGATCCTTCGTGACCGAGCGGATCCACGGGAAGGGAATCAACGAGGAAGAGCTTTTATTCGGAGAAGAGAAAGAAGACGAAGAGGCTCTTCACAACTATATCGCAGCACAAGCGAAGAACAGTTCTTCTAAAAGCGCGAAGAAGAAAAAAAGAGGCAAAAAAGATTCCAAGTTCATCACGGTGCCCCGGGAAACCAACATGAAAAAAGACGACCCGGTTTTCTTTCCCAATTTTGACCCGGAGAACCCGAAGCTGCTCATCGATCCGGAGCATTTGACCGAAGAAGAGGAGTCACAGTTGCGAGAGGAGGACGCGATGCTTCACGCCAGCCTCCAACAGATGAAAAAAAAATCAGGCAGTTTCTTTCATCATGCCGACTTCGACCATGCTGGTGATGGGCATAAAACCCCCGGGATAAATAAAAGCCGAACGCCCTCGAAGATGTTGATAATGACCCCAATTAAGAAATCAGGCAGCAAGGAGCAGTATCCTGTGCAAAAGTATCGTACCTACGTAGAAATTGCCTTTATGCATTACATACAAATCTCTACTACTTTGTCATATGTAAAGCAGCATTACAAATTATGCTGGGCTAATTTCTTGTAATGCAACTTATTATACTAGTACGATGCTTTTGCATTGCATAAGCAGATGCAGAGCCCCTTTGCAGGTCATATTCATACACCAGCTTCCGTCGATCCCTTATCAATTGCAAAAGTGTCTGGGTCTGGAAATTTGTGATGCTAATTCATGAATTGTGGGGACACTGCTATAGGCAGCCACGCATGGCAAGTTTCTGGGCTCCTTTGTGTTTCGCTTTCCGCATGATAAACTACATTTTTGCATGACAGGCAGGAGGCTCTTTTCCTGCTCACGCATTACAGGTTTAAGAGTCATGCGAGACACGCATGACAAACTTGCGCCCTTCCAGACCCAGACATTTTTGCAGTTGATATCCCTTAATGGGGAGCAAAATCAGTTCTATATCGGGGAACCACACCGGCAGCAGCAAAGGCATATCCTGTGTAAAAACGTACCCACACCATAGTTGTAATGCAGATTTGCAAAGACAGGAAGACTTGTAATGCGCATCCGCATGAGAGCCATTTCCAATCGTGTTTTGGAATTTGTGATGCTGTGAACAGGATGAGCAGATGCATCTGTGATGCGGCTGCACTTGCTAACCTGAACTACGCTGCGGAGTGCAACTTGTCATGCGTGACTCACAAAACTCCTCGACTTGTGTTGCAAAATCCCCATCCTGACTCTGGTGTGGGTAGGTTTTTACTCAGGATAAGGCAGCAGCAATCATGATCATCACGATCAGTTTGAGTGCATCCAGAGACGGCGCGGCAGCCTCGAGCGCGTCGTGGTAGCGGCCTCGTCGCCTAGCGACCTTCAGTACGTGGGCGAGGACAATACCACTACACATCTGCATGCCCAGCATCATGGATTTACTCTTGGTAGTAGTCAGCATCTACTGTTGGGAGGCACGAGCAAGCGCACCAGTCAAGGAGAGGCTTCCCTGGTCGTGTCCAATCATTCGGTAGGGTCGAGGTCTAGTGTGCGGTCCGGGACGGGGCCGGGGACGAATGGCACACTATCAAATGCAAAAATGTCTGGGTGTGGAAACAACTTGTGATGCTGGGTGGCGTATCATGAGGAGGCCACAAGTGCTGGCTCAGCATGACAAGTTTCTGAGCTTCTTGGTGTTGCCTATTCTGCATGACAAACTGCGTTTCTGTATGACAGAAAAATGCGGGTCTTGCGACGTAATGTGCATGACAAATTTAAGAGTCATGTGAGACAAGCATGACAAACTTGCATTCTTCCAGACCCAGACATTTTTGCACTTGATACACGCACTGCGACGACAAAACGACAACCATTCTCCCGATTCAGCTGGGGCTGGTTGCTATGAAAGCCTCAGGTTGGAAATCCTCAAAGTGGAAATTACTATCTATTATATTCATGCGAAAGTAGAGGTCTACAGAGGGTCGAAGAGAGGTGGCCGAGAGGTAAAAAAGAGGTCGACAGAGGTCAAAAAGAGGTCGACAGAGGTGGAGAGGTGGCGCGGGAGGTCATTCGAGAGGGTGGCCGAGAGGGTGCGCGAGTATAGCCCGCCGAAGGGCTCGCCCTAAGGCCGCGCCTATAGGGACCAGAGGGGGCCGAGAGGGTCCAGAGAGGGCAAGCGAGAGGTGGACAGAGGTGCCGGGAGGTTGCGCGAATAAGGGCGAACCTCTCGCGCACCCTCTGGGCCACCTCTCGGCCACCTCTGTAGACCTCTACCGGCGACGAGTATAGCCGGATTATTAGCAACACCTCTCGGGAGAGGTCAAAAAGAGGGTCTGCGAGAGGGTCAGAAAACCCCGAATCCGCCCGGCACGCGGCCGGTTTTGTTTGGGCCTTTTCATCGCGCAGGCCCGCACCCTCTCGCGCTACCCTCTCGCGCACCCTCTCGCGCACCCTCTCGCGCCACCCTCTCGCGCCACCCTCTCGCGCTACCCTCTCGCGCTACCCTCTCGCGCTCCCCTCTCGTGCCAACCATTTCCGTCGGGAAGCAAATAGGGCGGGGGCGGGATGGTGATCAAAATAGGGCAGCGCGGCCCCCGTTCTGCTTCCTTCGGCACCTATGTCGAGGTGGCTTCTCTTCGCCCCCAAGCTTCGTTGCAGTTGCTCCCTGCGCATAGCGCCAGCAGGCGCGGGAAGCGCGCAGGAGGCCGCGCGGGCTGACATGGCGCAAACCGGCGCCAGTAGTTCCCTCGGTCTGTCACGCTGTGCCCAAAGACCCGGCGCTGCGGTCCGACCCGCGCATTGTCCTGCCCCGCCACAACAGCCTTGCGCCCCGGCGGCAGCCGGGGCATGGCTGGTATTTTGTAATGCAAAAAAACGACTCCAGTTGAAGCGGCGTTTGTAGTCGGCGCATGACAAATTTCCCGGGTACTACTTAAAGCACGTCTGTCATGCAGGTTAAGGCAAAGAGGTGCCCTTCTGTCATGCTCAGTTGTAGCACGACAATGAATTCTTCACCCCTAGCAGGACAGTAGTCGGCCTCCATTGCGTCCTCTGCAATACAGTGCTTTTTGTCGTCGCACTTCATGCATCACAAACCAGTTCCACTTTGAGGATTTCCATTCTGAGGCTTTCATAGTTGCGTCCGACCGAAATTCGGTGTCGACCGGCCCGCGGTCTCGAAATATCCTACGTAAAAACGTACCCACCCCATAGTCAAGATGGGGAATCGGCTAGACAAATCCACAAGCTTTGGCTGTTTCGCATGACAAATGTGGACGCGTAGTGTAGTGCTGTTTGAGCTAGTTCAGCAGCATTACAGATCTAGTCTTTCATGCTGATTAGAGGATAACAAATTTCCGAACACCATTAGAAAATGCTTCTCATGGGGCTCCGCATGAGAAACATTTTAAGCATGCAGATTTGCATGACAACTATGGTGTGAGGACGTTTTTACACAGGATACGAAAAATCTCCTCCTTATCCCAGGACGTGGTAAAGTCGCACGACTCGCAGCTGCACCAGACGGGTTCAGCGGCTGTGGACAGTAGACACCGGAACAGTACAAGAACCATGATCAAGCGGGGAAACAAGAATAAACAAGTCGGTAGTGGTCCAGGTCCATCATACACCTCGACTCCCGAACAAGAGCAATTTTCACCTGCTGGCGGAGGTACTGATGAGCAACTGGAGATGTTGAACAGCGACGATGAAGACGAAGTAGACACTCCCTCCGGAACGACAAGTACTAAGAATCGCAGTTATATCTTCAAGAATCCTCTGTACCACCGAGAAAGGCTGGGCACGATCGATTCGCAGCTAGGGTTGCCCGGATACTTCCCCCCCACCGCTGGTCGCGAGACAGCTACCTCCAGTACTATGGGCGACGAACAAGAAGATGTTGAAGATTCTTTTTCTGAAGAGCAAAGAAACCACTTCTATGATTTGGAAATTTTGAATAACCGGGCGAATGAACACCTACACGATGGCGAGGCCGACACCTATGGGAGTGACAGGACCGAAATCGACAAAATCGAAAAGTTTCATTTTGTAATGCATAAAATGTAGGGCACGCATGCCCTGTGTTGGGGACGACCACGCAAATGAGACCGAGCGCAACAAGCCTGTTTAGGTGAAGTAGACGATGCGCTGCCAGAGTAGCATGACAGGAGCAGTCTGCTTTGCCCAAACAGCATGACAGATCGGATTTTGGTGCTCTCGAAATTTGTCTTGCGCCGCGTGGAGACTGAGGCTCGAACTGGTATCAATTTTATGCATCACAAATTATTTTGATTTTGTTGATTTGTTTGGTCCTGACAGTTCCATAACACTGATCCTTTGATTCCGCGACGGAATTCCTCGAGTGTGATGCGGAGCAGCAAGATATCAGAAAACCAAAGGAACTACAGCACTAGATCTTCAAATAAACGTGATAAAGGCGTCGATGCTGCTGGTAGTGCTGTCCTCGAGGGTCCTACAAAGAACAAAGAGGACCCCATGATATGCATCAACATGATCGACGAGCAAGATGAACAGAAAATTATCGCGGAAAATATCAAATGCAAAAATGTCTGGGTCTGGAAGCATGGAACTTGTAATGCTATTCCTACACTCCTGTAAAATCTGTATTGCATGACTAACAAAAACGCCCTCTTTGGTCATACAAAAGCGCAGTTTCTCATGCGGACTCAGTATGAGAGAGCGTTCTGGAATAAACTTGCCATGCTTGGTTGCATTGGCAAATATTTTACTCATCCACAGTTCTGCATCACAAGTTTCCAGACCCAGACTTTTTTGCATTTGATAGAAAAGCTGCACGAGCAAGACGAGGCAGCCGCGGACGATGTTTTTATCCTGTGCAAAAGTATCGTACTCGTATTGCAGTCATGCATTACAAATCTTTGTTTTATGGTAAATCCGCATTACAAATTTTATCTCTCATGCTGAGGAAATTTGTAATGCATTTATACGAGTGCGATACTTTTGCAGTTCATAGTTTTGAAAAAAAGACGATTGGAATTGCAAAAGCAGAAGGAGCAGGCCGAGGGAGAACTCCCCATGTTGACCAAGCTAGATTGCCTCTTTGTCCTCGCGATAACGGCCACCGTGATCTTCTTGAACTTGATGTACGGAGTGATTTTGGGGGTGATTGTGTGCAATTGCGAGAGGAAACTTCTGAAACGGGAGCCATGGGAAGACAGCGAGTACTTTGAATATGTATCAAAACGAAAAATCCCCCCTCGTCCCCATACTGAAAAGGTAAAGGTATATTTTTGAAAATTTGTGATGCTGATTTGTGGCCACAAATCGTGCCTGTCTTGCAAGAAGGCAACTCCGCAGGCTCCGCCGCATTGCGCAGGCGGTTTGTCATGCTGTTGGCCCTACAGTGCTGACGTTTTTCATGCTAAATGCCTAGGCCAAAACGTCTCTACTCGCGCTGAGTATGGGCCTGCAGTGCTTTCCAGCAAGACAGCTCGGATTTGTGTACTCAGATCCAGCATCGGAGTTTTCGTTTTGATATGGGGCAGGGGGATTCTTCCTCTCAATAATATGACGACCATGACGAGGAGGACGAAGACAGTCCCGATGCGGAGATCCAGATGGAAACTGCTACCCGCGTGCTTCGCAATCCCGCCTTTCCCTACCCCCAGAGGGTGGCGTATGGGAGGATTCTCAAACGTTTTTCTTTTTACATTTTCAACTATTAGATGAATTTCAATTTTTGTCATGCAATATTAATATAGGCCGCCAGGTACTACTAGAGGTAGACGGAGATGACGACCGCGCTCCGTAGTTGCGTGGGAAACAAAAAAATATCTAGGGGCTATAAATTAAACAAGATCTTTCTAAACCTAAAGCTAAAGCTGTGCCAAATTTGTGATGCGAGAGTTGCAAGAACAAGCTTGCCGATCATTTCACTGCTGCTGCTCTTGCGTCACAAATTTATCACGTAAAAGCTGAGAACGTTAACGTTTGAGAACGTCATATGGGGTCGACGGAAGAGCTGTTAAGTGTGATCATGGAGAATACCATATCGAAAGAAAAAATCCCCCATCCCCATATCAAAGTGGCAATGTGTGCTGTGGGATTTGTCGTGTACACAAATCAGCTTTGTCTTGCAGTATAGGAGTGCAGGCAGATAAAAAGCCTGGAGGGGGCTGGCTGGGGGAGGTGGGCGCTCAGCATGGCAGACGTCTACCCTGTTGGTGCAGCAGCATGACAAATCGCCTGCGGAAACAAAGCGGCGAGAGCTCTGGCTTTGTTCTCTTGCAAGACAGACCCGATATCTGTGGCCACAAATCAGCATCGCAAAATTTCAAAAGGATGCTTGTTCCGTTCGATATGGGGAGGGCGGATTTTTCCTTTTGATAAACCAAGCAGACTCACCCGTATGGTTGCGTTTTGGCGGCTGTGGAGAGAGACAACTATGAATTGCAAAAGTATCGTACTCGTATAAATGCATTGCGAATTTTCATCTCAGCATGAGAAATAAATATATTTGTGATCGTGCGGATTTACCTCGAGAAAAAGACTTCTATATATGCATGATTGCAATACGAGTGCGATGGATACTTTTGCAGTTCATACAGACCAGGTGCTCTCTTTCCAGGGATCCTGGAAGAAACTGTATGGCTTCACGGTGCAGGAGGATCCCTATCCTGTGTAAAAACGTCCCCACCTCCCCATAGCCAAGATGGGAAATCTGCTACACAAATCAACCAGTAGTTTTGGGTGCTGCGCATGACAAATTGATTCGGCGCCGTAGCGTGATCCTGGTTAGTTGGTTCAGCAGCATCAGAGAGCTAGCGTGTCTTGCTGCTTCGCGCATTGCGTTTCCGAGTTGTTCCGAAAAACGACGACAAAATGTGTTTTTGATAATTCTCAGGTTTCCGCATCAAAAGCAAAAGCATTGCAAGCATGCAGATCTGCATGTGAAGACAGCTTTATTTCGGCACTTCTCCACCCCCTGGTGACCTACCTCCCCTGCCGCGTGACAGCCTCCATCTGTGGGCGGTTGCACAGCGGAAGGCAAACAAGTGCAAGGACCCGCAAGTCAGGGGCAAGTCAGGGGTGTCTGTTTAGCATGACAATTCTGGTGGGCTGGGGCCGTTTCTACTTTGGATCACCTGACGGGCCAATCAATCAAGGACGTGTGCTATTGTGGCGTGCAACAAGAAGCAAACGGCCCGCGTTGGGACAACGGCCTGAGTGAGCTGCTGGGAAATCCGGCAGGCGATGACTGGGACGGCGTCCCCGTCTTCATCCGGAAGACCGGGGAGACCATCTATGTCCGCCGGGCTCTTTATGCAAGCGTCAGGTTTGAAATCGACAAGGTGGAAATGATTTGTCATGCATAAAATGCAAGGCATGAAGTGCCTGTCTTGCCGGGTTGGCAAGCGAGGTCGACTGTCAGTCTGTTTAGGGTTTGAACTAGAGCTGGTAATAAAGTAGCATGACAAAAGAAGTCGTCTGTGCCCAAAGCCAAACAGCATGACAAATTGGATTGTTCCGGTGCTCGGAAAATTTGCCATGCGCCGCTTGGAAATTGGGCTTCCAACTGGTATCGATTTTATGAAGTTATTTTTTCAACTTTGACGATTCCAATCCTGACGCTTCCATACTCTTTCCTGCGTTGTTGGCGAGCAGGGTTTGCCGGGAGAATTATGCAAGAAAAAAAGAAGTGTATAAACATTGGAAAGCCGTATTATGCATAAGCACGTTGTAGCAGCCAGTAGCAGCTACACAATTTTCACCTGTCATGCTAGCCACTTATGGAGTTCTATTTCATAAAAGTGTTTATTTTCACTGAATTATATGCTAGCTGCGCATGACAGGCTTTGGCTTTGTTTCTTTGTCGTGCACCAGAGCAGGTCCTTTCTCATGCAGTCAGTCGAAGACACCTACACTAAAAACACAATTTTTCTCTTGGAAGATAACGACCGGTCAACATTAAAAAACAGTGGCACCTACAAGCGCTCGGCGATGCTGGGTCAACCCTGCTGCTTCGGAATCAGCGCGTGTTGCCTCGGCGGCACCGGAATTTTGCGGAGGGTGCGCAATTGGCGATTACAATTTCGGTCCTGACCGCACGAGACCCTTTCGGCAAGCAGCCGCTGACATTCTTGCTCGAGCCGCACCCTTGGACGATCGCGATTACCATATTGCAAGAAAAAAGTGTTACAGTTACACACATAGTCTATGCAGGCCAAGCGAGACAGACAAGCTCTGTCATGCCGGATATGCATAGGAGCCTCATTTCGTAGGCTTTTTCCCGTAGGATTTCTGCATCTACAAGTTTTCTCTCTCATGCAGGGACATTTGTGTTGCTGAATTGCCTACAAATCTGTAACTGTAACACTTTTTTTTTGGGATATACCAGTCCACCAAACTACTACGACGAGGAGGCACTGTATCCCGAATCCCTTGTCTGCAATGCCGATTGGCATGATGCGGTTATGTTAGATACGCTCGACCATATGCAGTGCAAAAGTATCGCACTCGTGCTGTAAATGCATTCTTGACAAATGTTCATGTTTTCCTCAGCATTACAAATCAAATCAAATTTGTTGTAATGCTGATTTACCTTATTAAGAAAAAGACTGCATAAGTGGTGCAATTAAATTACTACGAGTACGATACTTTTGCAGTGCATAGACCAACTCGACGAACAAGACTATCCTGAGTAAAAACGTCCCCACCCCAGAGTCAAGATGGGGATTTTGCAACACAAACCTAGGAGTTTTGGGAGTCACGCATGACAAGTTGCAGTCCGTAAGGTAGTGCAAGTTAGCAAGGAAAGCCGCATCACAAATCGATCTGCTTATCCTGTTTACAGCATTACAAGTTCCCAAACACGCATGAAAATGCCTGTCATGGGGTTGTGCATCACAAATGTTGCTGTCATGGCAAATCTGCATGACAACTCTGGGGTGGGGACGTTTTTACAAATGATAGAGACTGGCGAAAAATTATGGGCAGATGAGTACGACGAGAGCAGGGTTTAACACAATAGATACTTATCATCTGAAGGTCTTTTTGTGCTGATGTCCATTCGAAATGCAAGGGGAAATCAGTGCAGTATTGAAAAACTGCAAGAGAAGATATACTGTCAGAAAGTGCGACTGATTTTTGCGCTCCCTCTGGGAGCTCGCCGCGTAGCAAAATCGGACCGTGGAGGTCAGAGCAACCTACAGGTTGATGCTCAGCATGCTTGCACAAAGAAAATAGAAAGAGAAAGAAGTGACACGATATCAGAATGAAATCTAGTTGTGAAGCAAGCGAGGCATTATCAGACAAGAGTCCTTTTTGTCTTTTAAAATTGAAAGAATTGCTCCGACGAGAAGAAGAGAACTATGTTTTTAGCGAACTGCATTTCTTTTAACGAACTACATATACATTTCTAAGCAAGTAATTGACTTGTACGACAGAGGTTAGATCGGACTAACTTTATCGAGGCGACAACTGTAGTTACTTAATTTAGAAAGGCCACTTGTTATGCATTTGCACATAGCTGATCTCTGTTTCGTTATCTACTCATAAAAATGTACTTGTGATCCAATAAACCATGCACTTGATGAAGATGCACAAGCAGGACAACCATTGGGTCCGTATTTCTTGTGCCCCGCGGACCTGTCGTGGTCAGTCTCAGTATATTCTCATCATGATGTTCATCAGAATTCTAATTGGGTGGCTCCTGATGTCGTGAATGTGCTGAGTGAGTGGGCTCTGACATTGTTGAAGCGGAGATTACTGTCAACTTTCTTGAAGAAGTAAATAGATATCTACTGTAGTAGTTGCACCTCCGCGTTGTAGTATTCGCTCGGGGTCTAGTATCTATCTTCGGTATCGGTAACGGTATGAAAAGTGAGTGCGCACGAACAATGCGTGGTATAAAATATTCTACTGCTCGTGCGTGTATAAAATATTCTAAGCGAATGCGTGGTATAAAATATTCTACTGCTCGTCTGTCACCAACACCAACACCTATCCAAGTCGGTTTTTTTTCAAACCTGCAAACATGCCACACCGGGGTCACCGGGAGGTCGTGACCACGACGAACAGAACTATAATCCGTCTGACAAGCTGCGAGTCGGTGAGTTTTTTCCATGACCATGCCTCGGATTTGTGAGTGTCTGTGATGCAGAAGTCCTAGTCCTCGACCTCGACGACATTATTTTCAGCTATCTTCTTCGAACGCAGAAGTCTCAAACCGAAACCGCACACTCGAGTTTATACGGGTCAACTGTTAGAAGTATCATCAAAAATCATTACAGGGTGAGTTGTTAACGATTGGCACAAAGAAGTAAGTACTTTCTACCCACCCTTTTCCACCAAGTGAAACAGCTCTATCTGTAACTACATCCCACCTACCACGAGTGCTCAAACTACACGACCCAAATAGTTGTTGTAGAGAGGTGAAGTAAAGTCTTGTTCTTACAGGCTACAGTAGAAGTTTCTATTGCAGCAAGAATTTCATTTCAAATTTTTCCACACATACGTAGGAGGAGGAGCCAAAGGCTATAGCAATAAAACTGTAAGAAAGAGAGCAAAGTTTACAGTTGTTATTCAAGTGTTTTTTTCACAGATTCTTGCTTATTGGAGGACACCCCAAGAAACCGGCAAGATGACGACCATCCAAGAGAAGTATGAGCGGCCTTTGATGTCGTGCATGACGCAGACTCTGCCGGAGCTGAAGGAGGCTGAAAAGACGTGCAAGGTGCCGAAGACCGATGTGGCAAACATTAAGGCCCTGATTGAGCACGACAACCACCACAACAGGCGCAAGATTGAGAGCCTGATCGGAAGAGGTAGACTATGATTCTAATTGAGCAAAACCAAAAGCAAAAGCATCGCAGTACTCGTAGTATGAATTGCATTACAAATAATTGGCTCAGCAGATGAAATTTGTAATGCGGAGTTACTTACCGTAAGATTAAGAGCGAGATTTCGATTTGTGATGCCTAACACGCTTCTACCTAAAAATCATAAAAACAGAAACCTGCTTCCGTCCGTACTTCAACACCACGCTCGACGAGCAGCGCGAGCATGCGCTCCGCCGTTTGCAGGCCTTCTGTAAGGACAACATTATCAAATGCAAATATGTCTGGGTCTGGAAGATTGCAACTTGTGATGCTGTCTCTGCATGCTAAAAAAAATCTGTATTGCATGACCAGCAAGAGGGGTCCTGTCCAGTTTGTGCTACATGGAGAGGGTATTTCTAATGCGGGATAGGCATCAGAAAGCCCGCTAAAAATATGTGCTGCCAGGTTATGCATTACAGACGTGGAGGTCATATTACGTCATGTAAAATCTGCATGACAAGTCTGGCACTCTTCCAGACCCAGACATTTTTGCACTTGATAAACATCATCCGAGTACAGGACTTTGAGGAAAACCCCATGAACATCTTCATGGCCCACGAGACCTTTGCGCAGGTCGACGGTTCTTTTGCGACGAAGATGACGGTGCAGTTCAACCTGTGGGGCGGCACCGTGTACCGGTTAGGATCGGAAGAGCAGCGGCAGATGTTCGCCAACAAAACCAACAGCTCGGAAGTGGTTGGCTGCTTCGGACTGTCTGAACTCGGCTACGGAAACAACGCAGTGGAGATGGAAACCATATGCATTGCAAAAGTATAAATCGTACTAATACAGCAAATTGCATGACAAATTTTCCCTGCATGAAAAATGGAGTTCTTTGTCATGCTGCTTTATCACCTAAGAATAGAAAGGACAAGGAAATTTGTCATGCCTATCCGGGGGCGCAACGCCAACGAGTTGTATACGAGTGCGATATAATTACTTTTGCACTCGATAGACCACCGCGACCTACGATCACTCGGACGACACGTTCGTGATTCATTCGCCCTCGGTTCTCTCGCAGAAGTACTGGATCACCAACGGCGCCTGCCACGCCCACTACTGCGTCGTCTTTGCGCAGTTGATCATTGACGGCAAGCGCCAGGGCGTGCACGGATTCATCACGCAGATCCGGGATTTGCAGACGCTGAAGCCTATGCCAGGTTGCAGGGTGGAGGATATGGGCCAGAAGGTCGGGCTGAACGGAATCGACAACGCCAAAATTTTGTATAGAGTTTTACATTTACTACTTTGGAGTTTGAAAGAGGCTGTTTCTGAGGAAGATCATGTTGCTTCTTTTCGTTTTCCTTTGTCATGCACAAACGCGCATCACGACCGGGTTCTGTAATGTTAAAAATGCACGAAAACCCCTTTAGAGTATTGAACAACCCATCTTCACAGGTTCGAGAACGTGAAGGTCCCCCGCACGCACATGCTTTCCTCCTACGCCTGCGTCGAAAAGGGCGGGGAATACAAGTGGAAGATCGGCAAGCTGCCCGGTCTCCGCGATCGGTTTCTCCGGTTGGCGGACCAACTGCTGTCCGGCCGCTTGTGCATCTCGTCCATGATGCTGGGTGCGACGAAGGTGGTGTTAACCATTTCCAACCGCTACATGCTGACCCGACACGGCGTCGGCCCGAGCGGAAAGTCCGATACCCCGATTTTGGACTATCAGCTGTGCCAGCACGAGGTGTTCCCATTAGTCGCGCGGATGTACGTATCCCAAGAAGAGAAAACTGTGTCACTGTAAACTTGATGCACGACGAGAGATGGAGATCGCAAGACAGAAGTTATGTTTCTCATGCTACACACCCCGCAAGACCACAGTGCATTTGTAGGCGTCTTTTATTGCCTTAGGAAGCACGCATGGAAAATCCAAATTTTCCTTGTCATGTAGAACGAACTTGTGATGCAAAACTTGCAAAATCCTTTACAGTGAAGCACTTTTTTCGTACGATAGTACGCGACCCAATTTTACCACAACTACGTGAAGCGGCGATACGCGGAGAGGACAAAGTTGGGCATGAACCCGAACACAGACCCAGCGGAGCTATCCAAGGTCCACATGGAGCTGGTAATCCTCTGCTCGTCGGTCATATGCAATACAAATTTCCTGTACATGCACAAGATGCATTACAAATGTCACGAACTTGGAGCATGCCACTTGTCATGCTGAATGGAATTGAAAGAAAGTTTTGTCATGCAGAAACCGCATTTGTACATGTACAGGAAATTTACTGTGGATAGGTCAAGCCCATCGCGGCGTGGTTGTGCGATAAGTCCGTAATCACCTGTATCCTGGGTAAAAACGTACCCACACCAGAGTTGTAATGCAGATTTGCAAAGACAGGAAGACTTGTAATGCGCATCACCATGAGAGCCATTTCCAATCGTGTTTTGGAATTTGTGATGCTGTAAACAGGATTAGAAGGTCGATTTGTGATGCGGCTTTGCTTGCTAACTTGCACTACCTTACGGACTGAAACTTGTCATGCGTGACTCCTAAAACTCCTAGGCTTGTGTTGCAAAGTCCCCATCTTGACTCTGGTGTGGGGACGTTTTTAATCAGGATCACCTGCCGCGAGCGGGTCGGCGGTGTGGGCTTCTTGGACGCGAACGGATTTGGCGGCATGTTCGCGCACGCTGGTAATCTATTGAGTGCTTCACGACCATCTTCTACACGATTATAATTCAGTGATCTTGACGCAGCTGGTGATTTTGTTCCCATCGTTTATTTTGTGATACAGCATGCTTACACATGATAGTGATAGTGATACACATTAAGATCATCAATGCCCATGATCGCTACACCCTGAACAACTAAACCGGAATAAAATGAATAAAAGGTATCACGGCCGAGGGTGATGCGCGCGTCCTGTGCGCGAAGGTAACCAAAGAATTAATGGAGATTCTGCAGAAGGGCACCTACACTAATTCCCTGAAGCCCATCGTTTCTACCGCGGAATACAACGTCCCCTGGAAGAACGCCGTGCAGATCGTGGCGGGCGAAGATGAAACCAAGATTGTGGCCTTCTGCCAGGAATTGGAAAAGCTGTTCGCGAAGAGGGTCCAGAACGCGTATCACACAGAAACAAGCAGGCAGGTCATATTTATTTGTAATGCAAAAATAAATACCCAGAAAAATCTCTCATGGGCGGCCCCATAGCATGCTGTTTTTTAGGATACGCAATACAGATTTTTTGTGTATTTATTTTTGCATCACAAATGTGGCCTGCCGGCTTTTTTCTGTGTGATAACGTGGCTGATATGTTCAAGAACAAGTTGACCGAATTCATGATGAAGGGAGACAAGGCGTTCAGGTATAGGTTGGTAATGCAACTGGAGTGAAGATTTTTCATAATTTAAATTTTTCCGACAATTACGATACGCCCTGTGGTCTTTGTTTGTCATGCGTGACTTGTCAAACAAAATCGAAAATCCCAAAAACAGGTACAAGATCTACGACGCGAATCTGAAGGAATTTTCCGATGAGATCCAATATGAACTGCAAAAGTATCGTACTAGTACAAATCGCAATACAAGTTGGCTCAGCATTACAAATTGAATTTGTAATGCGGATTTACCTAACCAACTAGATTTGTAATGCATAACTGCGATTACTACGAGTGCGATACTTTTGCACAGGATATCCAACTCGTCGCCGCAACTTATGGCCAGTGGGAGTCGCTCCGCGCGTTCAACAAGGTGATCTGCTCCGCGGGCACAGATCCCGATCTTTTGCACAACACGCAGACGTATCAAATGCAAAAATGTCTGGGTCTGGAAGACTGCGAGACTTGTCATGCTTGTCTGGGATGACCAAAAAGTCTGTGATGCGTGTCCAAGAAGAGACCCTTTTGCCTGTCATGCAAAAACGCAGGCTGTCATGCGAAAAACACAACACAAAGAAGCGCAGATATTTCTTATGCTTGGCTGTGCATTACAGAGCATTCCCTAACCCTATTCGCAACGCAGCATCACAAGTTTCCAGACCCAGACGCTTTTGCATTTGATAAGACGCAGGTAGCCACCCTCTCCCCCACCGCGGTGAACATGTTGGGCCGGTTGGCGATCCTGTACGCGATATCCTGAGTAAAAATGTACCTACACCAGAGTAGTTGTAATGCAGATTTGCAAAGACAGGAAGACTTGTAATGCGCATCCCCATGAGAGCCATTTCCAATCGTGTTTTGGAATTTGTGATGCTGTGAACAGGATGAGCAGATGAATCTGTGATGCGGCTGCACTTGCTAACCTGCACTGCAATGCATAGCGCAACTTGTCACGCGTGACTCACAAAACTCCTAGGTTTGTGTTGCAAAATCCCCATCCTGACTCTGGTGTGGGTACGTTTTTCCTCAGGATACGCGACGGACATCTTGATGGAGGATTCCATGTATGCGGTCGAGTTGAAGATTCTGAACCCGGAGACCGTATCAAGAAGAAAAATCCCCCCTTACCATATCAAAACGAAAATCTGTGATGCAGATTTGTGGTCACAAATCAGCTTTGTCATGCTAGAAGGGAAAAGATGGATGCGGACTGTAGTGCTGCGTGGCGCTGGAAAGCCTTGCATCTTCAGCATGACAGGACGCAGCTGGAAGTGGGAAACAGCATGACAAATTGCCTGTGCCAAACGAGGCCACGACTGCGGCTCTTAGCCTTCTAGAATTACAAGTCGACGACTTCTTGTGTAAGTACTCAAATATTACAGCATCACAAATTTCGTTGTCGATATGGGGAGCGAGGGGGATTTTTCCTTTTGATAGACCGAGCTCCCGTTTCTCCGCCCCCTGAAGGCGCAGCTGTGCAAGTGCCTGCGACCCGAAATCGTCTCGGTCATCAACTTATGAACTGCAAAAGTGACGTACTAGTATGAATCGCATGACAAATTTCCTTAGCATGAGAACTGAAATTTGCAATGCGGGTTTAACGTGAAAAAAAAATTTGCAATGCATGAATGCGATTACTAAGTACGAGTGCGATACTTTTGCAATGCATACAACGGGTTTGGAATCCACGACGACGTCATTTGGCGCCCCATCGGCAAGGACTGGAAGACGTTTAACAAGGGGGATAACTTCGGCGAAGTGGTGGATACGGGACGGTATTTGACAAACCAGTCGTAAGGACAAGGAGAAGGAGGGATCTTATTTTCATCTTCGGGGGTTGTGACATTGAAACTCAAACTTTGAAAACGAAGAGAAAGGGATTCTCTTTGCTAATCTTCGCCAATCAATGCTCAGTTTTTACTACATTTTTCAACTTTTTATCGCCACAAGTTTGTGGTCAGAGGACACGAAATTCTCTGGAGTAGTACTCTTGAAGAGTGAATACTTCGTGAATTATATTCTATCCCATTTGTTCGTTATTTTCACACCAGCAATAAAGGACAAGACTTAAGGTCAATATACTCTTGATAATACGCATAAGTTACAACTACCGCAAAGTAGCTGCACAGCCGCGTACTAGTAACAGACTAGTGCGATCGCTGTGGAAGTGCAGACGAACAAAAAAAAGTCACACCCAGGTGGTCGTAGATCAATTACTACCCTGTATGCAGAAGGCCGTGCTTGCTCGTAGAAACGACTTTTGACAACAACGACACGTCGTCCCCGCAAGAAGATGAAAGAACTGCATAGTTCGCGACGTACAGTCCAAGTTTTGCGAGCAACGGAAGTGGTCCTTTTTTTCCATATCTCGAAAACGATCTTCGAGTACTCAAGAAAGGTACCCGTGTAGAATAGCTCCCTGATAGAATGGCAGAAATATTTTTGTCGTCACCTCCACCACGGCCCGTGACTTATTATTTCCGTTCTTTTTCCTTAACAAGATCACGATCAGTCAGCTGTTTTTCGTTTAAGAACCTCCCGCACGACAAGTTGTGACATGGTCCATTTCATCCTGAGCGTATTTGTATTGCAATTTTATTTTCACACGAACAACAACAATTTTCCGAATTTCCATTTCACAGCACAATAAATTCTTTGTATCAACGGTAAAGATATCTGACGATATGATAGATAATTTTCAGCAGCATTCGTATGGATGCCTGGGGGTTGCAATATGGAAAAACTTTTGCACGGTGTGGTTGCTCAACACCCGTAAAAAGAACGCCATGTTAGAAAAAGGAACCACGAGGTGAACGTCGACGTTGCCATGCGTTTATTTCAAAGGGAAAAAGGTAAAACCGGACAAATCATAATTACAATGGGAAGCTGCATGGACAGAAATATGAATATGGGAATAAGCGAAATCTTCATGTATCTAAGTCCCATGAAGGAACATCAAAGGCAAGACAAGGAGAAACATAAAAAGAGAAAATCCCGATGAGAAATGAACCACTCGCACGATACGCGTATGCAGACAAGACTTTTATTTCAGTGGAGCATTTAACAATCAGAATCATATGAAGGGTGAAAGCTTTCACTCTCAAGGTCTCTGCAGTTCGTACTTCCAGTTGGAGCACGGTGTGAACGACGAGCAGGTGGTGCCTATGGAGCAGGTCCTCGTGGCGATTGGTTCTTTCTCCTGCACAACAGATGAATAAGAGCTCGGTCTATCATGCTTCTCTTCCGAAAAGTGTTTGTCGAGTTACGTACTTGATGCAAGAACGTCTCGTATTCGTGGTTTAGTCGACAACTTCGGTACTAGCGATCATACCATGTAGCAGATATTTACAACTCAATGTCCTCGGTATTTGAGCTATTTTATGTCGTCCAAAGCACTTCGGTGTCATTCTTCGTGCTCGTGCAAATGACCACTTCTTCGAGGAAGAGTCAGATTGTCGTACTGGTTCGGTTCAGGCCGCGGTCTTTGTATCTTCGTTGTCGTTCATCTTCAGACGTGGAGACAGTAGTGAGCTCAGCACATCGTTTTTGTCTTGTTTGGTCTAGTGAAAAACATTCAAGATTGTCGTGCTTCTTGTTTTCTCTTGTGACAGCGAATCTTCTAGAAACTAGAGGTTTATCACCCCTCCCTACTAGTTTAAACAAAAATGCACCGCATAAAAAAAAATCTGCTGTATGAGCAGTGCAAGTCTTTCTTTCTATAACGCCATCTTTTTGTTGTTGTTCTTTTTTCTGCCTAAGTAAGTAGAAAGCAAGAGCCCTCTGAATAGTCAAGAACATCTCTTCTGTAGCAGCTGCAAGAGCAAGCAAAACCAAAACTACGATCATAGTTTTCAAGGCCAACCAAGCCGCGGGTCGAGCGAACCAGTGCAGAAGAGCGTCGAAGTAGTGGAAAGACCCACGAAGAGGAATTATGGAGAGCTGCGAGGAATTTTCTCGCGAAATGATCCGGCGACGGGAAAAGCACGGGGCACGACGAGTTTCTGCAAAACGCGTCTCGTCGTGCCTGCAATCGCAGGGGCAGCTTTCGCGGGTTTGTGTGCTTCCTTCGTGCGGCGCTGGCGCCCGCAGCAGACTTCTGACACTGCTTTCCCACGTTTTTCTCTTCCTTCTTGCAAATCACCATCTACGCCACCTCCTCGTCGCAGCGGAGCGTCCGGGTTTTCTGGCGCAGACCCCCAAGCCGGACCCGGGCAAAGAAAACGACCGTGGGGGCGGGGTCGCCCTGCAACGGGCCATCATCGAATGGGACAACTACCTCTTCGACACTGCTAGTAGCATGCTGCAGGAACTCTATTCAAAAACGAAAGAACAAGTCGTGGCGGTGGGGATGAAGTGGACGGCGGCGGAGGAGGAAGCCGAAGCCGGAAGCGCCAATGGAAGCGCGTCGTCTTCATCAATCAAGCGCAAGCACCCGGATGGGAGAAAGAGATGGGAACAACAAAGCAAGGTGGAAAAACATCAGGGGGCGAATGACGAGGATTTCATACCGGCAGAAAACGAATTCCTTGACGAACAAGAAGATGAAGATGCTAGTAAAAGCCAAAGCTCCGCTGTTGAAAAGAAGAAGAAGAAGAAGTTTCTGGACGAGAAAAAAAGCCAAGCCGAAGCGCAACAACGAGGCACGACTGGTTTGGGCCAACATGAAGACCCAAAAAGACGATCATCGCGAGCAGGAGGCGGTCGCGGCGGAAAAAATGACTTCTTGGGCGAGGAAGAAGAGCCCGACTTTGATTCGAAGCCGGGTACGGGTAGTTCATCGGGACTGCAAAAAAACAACGCAGTGCCGCATCTTCCTCTGGGTGAACAAGGTAGAACACGACGCGAAGGTCCGCCTCCGCCGGAGGACAAGTTGGCCGCGGGTGCGACAACCTCTTCTGATCAAGTCCCTGCTCATGAGGTAGCTCCAGTCCGAGACGAAACCGACGAACAGAACGGCGATTCAGCTGCGCAGTCGGCGTTGCAGGTAAAGACAGGAGCGAAGGCTTGTGATGAGGTAAAAAACCAAGACGAGAACAAGCCCGAAGCATCTGCATTGCAGAACATGAAGGACGAGATCAAAACCTCCAAAAGCACTACTTCTCCACAACAAGCTGCAGTATTAACGCCGAGACCAACAGCAGGAGCTGGTCGTGGAGGAGGAGGAGAAAAGGCGGAAACGTCTACCGATGACGTACATCAGCCTTTGTCCACCGGCGGCGGTAAAAATGGAGGGGAGCAGCAGGAAGTAAGAGTGCAGCAGAAACAGACACAGACGGACACAACGAGTGCAATTCCGTCCGTCGTCTTTCCATCCACTTCGACGGCGTCGCCTGGCGCACACGAAGATTCATTGGATCATCATCCTCAAGGAAGAACAGGAGCAACTGCAGTGAATAAAACTAGGACGTCGAACAATGCGAACGATGTCGATGCTGTCTCAGAGCTAGAGCAGGGGCAGGGACACCTCCCGGGGAAGACAGTTGTAAACACGACAAGAGTTTCTGTTTTTCTCGTCTCCTCAAGTACAACGACGACAACGACGACTATTGATCCTCTGACCACCACCACAGCTCCCTTCCAAGACAGTTTGCTCGACGCCCCTTCTATCGCAGAGCCTCCCATGATGTTGCCGTCTGGTGAAAGTGCTGGAAGTGATGGGCGCGCGACCTCGACGGCGTTAGTGGTGTGGACTCCTTCACCAAAAATGTCGACCACTTCGACATCAACGTCCACTTGGTCTTCGTCTTCAAGCAGCCCGGTCGCAGAGTGGGCCATGGAGCAGCTGAAAGCGGCCTTGATGTCGGACGATGATGTAGCGGGTAAGATGGCGCCGGGCCAGCATCAGGAGCACGAGAAGAAATCTCCAGGGGCACGACTAAGAACAGCCAAAAATAATGCTACGGAGGAACCAGCTGAAGAGTTTTTGCAGCTCAAGCTCGCGGGAGAGCCAGTGACAGGGTTTCCTGTATCAGATCCGATAGAAGTTAGCGAACTACCTAAAGGAGAAGGCACAACTGGGAGCAAAAAATACGATGTGTTTGTGCTTTCGGCAGCTGAGACCATTCTCGACCCGCTCGCGATGCCCTCGACGTGGAACCTAATGGTGCACCAAGTACCGCTTCCCGCTGCGCTAAAGAGAGAGCCGGAAAATGTTCCGCCTGATGTGTACGACCCATTGTTTTTTACGAAGGAAATGGAAACTCGTGCAGAAACCCCGCCGGAGTGGTTTCAATTGTCAATCCCGGCTCTTGATGCGACCGGGACAGCTAAGACAGCTGGCGGCGGAGAAGGTGGAAGTTTAGTGCTTGCAGATGGAGGCGATCATGGAGTTGGTGAGCCTGAAAATCTCGACCAAGCAATTTCGGCAGCGTGGGACCTAGAATTTTTCCTGAACTACAAGAACAAAAAGGAACACACGCGGCCAACAGAATCTCGTGGAATGTTGTGCGAGCAGTACATCGCCGGGTCCGATGATACGTACGGAGGCAAGAACTGCCTGCGAGGTTCAGACTCAGAGGATGAAGAAGGTGGAACTCCTACGACGTCTTGCCGTGTGATTTTGGCACTGCATGTCCCAAAGGAAAACAAATGTCAGCCAGTTTTTTTCGTGCGAGAGGTTGTCTCTGAAGATTCGTCGAAGCCATCAACATCATTGGCGCGAAGGCATCCCCTCAGCGTTCTTTCCACTAGTCAGGGGGCGACTGCACTCTACAAGGGTAGCGACGAGGACAAGTACAGGACTGCGGAGATCTTAACACAGCAGGCCTCTAAGATTCTTGCGGAGCAATCCTTGGGAAGCTGGCTGCTTCGACAGGTCACGGTGCAGAAGCTATTGTCTGCGTTTTCCTTGGTGAAATCGTCCGCGGCTTTTCTGGCACTCGTCGCGGGAGGCGGCCTCACCTTGTGGAGTGCGGTTTTTGGGGTCGGTTCGCTGGTATGGGCTCTGCTAGACGGAGTGGTTGCCCCACGGCTTGCGCGTCGGGAACTGTGGGGATGGCTCGACCGAGGTATCAACGGGCTCCCGCGCTTTAGGCGTTTTGCTGTGAAGTGGGCAGCCGACCGTGGCTGGGGGGCGCATGGGCATTGGCCTCACGGAAAATTCCTGCGGCGGTTCGCAGAGGATAAGGTGGTCCATAAAAGCGGTACAATGGCAACGAAGGTAGCAGCGAAGGCAGTAGCGAAGCATCACGGGACGCTTGTCCTCGCCGCCGAAGCAGGAAGTATCTATTATAGTATGATTGCCCCGTATTTGTGGAGCGCAGTATTTAAAGCAACGGCGAGCGGGATTACCCGCGACCTGCAGATCCATTTGTACGACAAGATAGCGATGGAGGCAGTCCCTGACTTGGAAAAATTAAAATCAGCTGAAGTCGACGAACCACTCGACACCGAGCTTTTTCTGGGATCGGATGAACTCCGCGAGCTCGGCACCGAGGTGCGGAAGTCGAAAATCTGGAAGACCATCGTGTTGCGCCTCGGCGTCACAGTTGCTGCAAAGGAACCCGCCGACGTATTCGCGTGGCACTACCTAGAGCTTGCAGCAAAAGAGGAGGAGCAGCAGTCTACTTCTTCAGCAAAAACTACAGCGGGTTACGCCGATGGAGAGATTATAAAACTGAGCGCGCGGACAAAAGCACTGCTCGAGGCAGCGGTTTTGTCGAAGGGCGTTTCTTCTTCGGACCCGGCCGAACAACAAGAACAAAAAGACCAAAAACAAGATGCGGAGAAAAAGTTGCGTAATTTTTTATGTGCAGCGCTACTCCTCCCCAGCGCGGTGCAGGTGCCGACGAGTCGTGTGGCGTGGGTAGATGAGGGCACCCTCGACACGGGCGAGGTGGGGGGCCGGTGCTCTCTAGTTGACGGCGATTTTACTCCCGACGCGAAGCTAGACACCAAGACCAGTCCCGGGACTATTGCGAAAAGGCATGCTTTGCTGATGCGCTCCTTCGGAGGTGATGGCGAGGGCGAACGCATGGTCGCGCTGGGGACGGCGATCGCCGGTGCGATACGTACGTGGGAGATATTGCGTTCCGGGGAGCCGCCGAGCTGGTTTGCGGAACGACGAGCGGCTGTTAAACATCACACCGACGGCCACGCCTGGGGTCACGGCGGTGGGGCGGCCGTGGAAGAGTATGGTCCCCTCTCGAATATCCTCGCCGCGGAGTATCGGGGGATAATAGTAGAAAACGTCGAAGCAGAAGAAAGTACGGTGGACGGCATGTCCGGACTGTGGGCTACCCTGTTCCCGCCGAAGCACCCACTCTGGGACCCAGCAGGAGATCCGGGACCAGAAGTGCGGAGGGCGGTAGATGATTTGTTGAGAGGCGATGCTGACCCAGAGGCGAACGGCTCTCGCGCAAATTTCATCAAAACTTTCGCGGAACAAGAGGAGGTCAAGGATGCGATAGCGATACTAGCTGGTGGAGTGCGAGACGAAGGGAAGAGCACTTCTGCACCAATGCGACCACTGGATAAGAAAGCCTCAGGCGATGGAGAATCGAAGGCGGAGCAGGCCGGTCAGGTGCTTGCGAGAGAGTTGGCAAAACACTACAAGACTGTGGTTCTCGATCAGCTGTTGAAAGTACAACAACGCATAGTACCTATGAAGGATTTGTTTCAGAAGACTACGGAGACACTAAAGAAAGCCGTGTACTCCAGCAATGACGACGCCAAAGACGCCATGGAATTGCGTCTAAAGTTAGGCATATTTAGGCAACAAGAGACAACGGCGGAGACAGAGGCTGACGCTGAGACAATGGCTGAGACCAAGAGTCTAGTTAAGGCCATAGAAGATGCTCAGAGAATTGAAGAAGTAGAGGCAGAGAGACTGGAAAAACGAGAAGAATAAGAAATGGCGGCTGGTGCTCGTCTTCCGTGGGCGAATCCATGACCTTGACGTCTGGACCCATGACAAGTGCAAGTGTGTTGGAGTCCAATTTGGGGTACGTATACATAGCTTCGGCGCAAAAATGACTGCGCCAATGTGCAGAGTGAAAGTCTAAGCTAGCTCCTAGTTCTATGTAACTAAAGTATCACAATAAACTTCGACCGTACTACCAGAGAAGTATGCACAAAAACAGATTTCTGCCATAATGCTGCGCGACGCAGGCACCGACCACTGCCTGTTTCAGTTTTGTTTTAGTTTTTTATCTTTGTAAGAAAGTAAATAGTTGCTTTTGTAGTAGTATTGCGCTGTACATAGGTGGAACTCTAATTCGTCGAATGCATTTGAATGTGAGTGCAGTTGGTAGTAGTTTCGGGAGGAAGCGGAAGCGAAGCTTCTACGCCAGAGTGAAACACTGTTGTGCCGTAGCCTTTTTTTTTTTGGAGTAGATTTACAGGAGTACTACTGAAACTGATGAAAAACTCCAGAACACGACCATCTCCATCTCACAGACTCAGTTTGTTTCTTTCACGTTTACCATGTTAATTTACAGACTGTTTCATATTCATCTTTATCTTTTGACGTGAACGCGATCCCGATCCTTAACAATTTGAAACACCGCAATCAAGAAGTTCGATTCATTGCTACCACGGCAAATCACAAAGTGGACACGAAGTAAGAATAACAAGTGAAGAACGAACCAAAAGAAACAGTAGAAGCGTAATGTGATCAACCGCCTACGCCGAGCAACAGCAACGAGAAGAAGCAATCTTTCCCACCGTGGTATCACAGGGGGACACAGGTGCACGATGTTTCGCTGAGCAACCTCTCGCACCGCTGTGGTCGGAGCAGCTGCCGCTGCTGCCACCCCCATGGCACCATGGCGATGCAGTTGCAACGTATCATGACAAGCGTCCGCATTGTCCCAGTCCGAGACAAGAAGTTTGCACGGAAGAGATTTCGCTCGGCGTCTCTCTTTCACGGAGAGGTTCTTGTCGAGTTCACATGAAGCTTCCAACTTCTCGTAGTTTTGCTCTCAACTTCGATAGTAGTGGTCGTATGACTTTCTAGAGCTCGGTTGGACTTGGATTTCGTCTGGCTCGGTTGCATCAAGTTGTATTGCTTCGGCTTCCTGCTCGGTTGCGTGTGTTTTTTTCGTCGTCCCAAGCGCTTCGTTCGGATGCTGCTCGTGCAAGAAGCCACTTCCTGTTCTTCGAGAAAAATAAAAATTAACGTGCCTCTTTTGTAGCGTGGTTGTCGCCGCGACCTTTTTGACGTTGTCGTCCACCCTGGTATGTGTTGTATTCTTGCATAAAGATCGTTTATCTTCTTGTTGTGCTATCGGGATGTCTCAATGATCTGAAACTAAAAACACAAAGGTTACTCGTTCTTGTCGCATCTCGTGTTTTGTTCTCCCTTTCTTTTACAGCTACTCTCACTCTAGAGATTTGCAACTTCTCTTCTCCCCCTCTACTACTTTTCAACAAAAACAAACCCTGTACCAGAAGTAAAGAAGCTGACCACTAGACCCCTCCGAAGTAGAAACGGAGGCCCGTAAGAAACAAAAGCCCGTCTTTATCAGCTTCTATCTGCAAAACCACGACCATAATTTTCGTTTCGCTTGAAGGAAGGGAAAAGCGACCCGGGCGAACCAGTGTAGAAGTGAGTCGAAGTAAAAACAAGCAGGCCGACGAAGATATAAGTTAAAGAAATGGAGAACAGCAGCTGCACGGGACCATTTCCATTTTCTCGTAACATGAACCTGCGAGCACGACGGGTGTCTGCAGAGCACGCATTCGCCAGCAGTAGACATCGGTCCCTACACTTGACACTGTTTTCCCACATTCTCTTCCTTGTAAATCTCAACCCTGTTCTTGTACGTCATCAGCCTTTCCTCGTCGGCGTCGCGGCGGAGCGTCCGGGATTTCTGGCGCAGACCCCCAAACCGGACCCGGGCAAAGAAAACGACCGTGGCGGCGGCGTCGCCCTGCAGCGGGCCATCATCGAATGGGACAATTACCTCTTCGACGCCGCTAGTAGCATGCTGCAGCAACTCTATTCAAAAACGAAGGAAGTGGCGGTGGGGATGATGTTGCCGACGGCGGAGAAAGATGAGGCCGGAAGTGCCAATGGAATTGCGTCTACTTCTTCATCAATCAAGCGCAAGCACCCGGATGGGAGAAAGAAATGGCAGCCACAAAACAAGGTGGAAAAACAAGAGACGAACTCGAACAACGAGGATTTGATACCGGCAGGAAACGAATTCCTTGACGAGCAAGAAGGGGATTCTAGTAAAAGTGAAAGAAGCTCCGCTGTTGAAAAGAAGAAGAAATTTTTGGACGACAAAACACAAGCAGACACGGAACGTGAAAGACGAGGCGCGACAGGTTTGCGCAATGAAGATCCCGAAAGACTATCATCGCGGGGAAGTGGCCGCGGCGGGAAAAATGACTTCTTGGGCGACGAGGAGGAAGAGCCTGACGATGGTCCAAAAACGGGTTCATCGGCGCTGGAAAAGAACAACGCGGGGCCACGCCTACTTCCGCCGGGCGAACAAAGTCCTGCAAAAACACGACAGCACAAGGAGCAAGACGAACTGACCGAGGGGACCACGGCAGCTGCTGATGATACCCCTGATGTGCTGGCGCCTGCTCCTGCTCGGGGTGGGGACGACGATCCAGCTGCGCAGTCCGCGTTGCAGGCTGCGCAGTCGGCGCTGCAGGACGACGAGGTGCAGCAAGGAGCGAACGGTCCTCGTGAAGATCATGTGGTGAAAGAAAAGGAATTCGAAAAATCTACCTTGCAGAACAAGAAGGAAGACAGCACCGACATTAATCCACAACAAGCCGCACCACCACCCGAAGGTGCACCAGCAGGTGAAGGACCGGGACCAGGAGAAAAGGCGGGAAAATCGTCTATGGAAGAGGCAGGTGCGGATCGGCTGTTGTCCTCCGGCGGTAACGGAGGTCGTGATTTGAATCATCATCATCTTCAGGGGCGGGCAGCAATTACGGAAGTGAAAACCAAAGGAAACGACCACGTCCCCCCAGGACCAGAGCAGGACCGCGACGCGAGGAGCAACATGGAAGTGATGAACAAGAATACAACGACAAGTTCTGAAGATGTTTTCCTCATTTCCTCAAGTACCACTTCCACTACAACAACGACGACTCCCGGTCCTTCGATCACTACCACAGTTCCCGTCCCTGAAGACACTCTACCTGACGCCCCTTCTATCCCCGTGCCCACGACCACGCCGTCTGTTGACAATGGGAACAGTGTCCTCGCGGCGAGCGCGACCTCGACGGCGGTAGTGGTGTCTACAACAGCATCTACCTCTACGCCCAACCCCACCACGACGGACTCAACAACCACAACACCGGGAACATCGCCTAATGTCGACACTGCCACGGACAGTTCGACGATACCTCCGGGCATCGATTTGAAAGGCAAGACACTTGGTCTTGCTGAGAAACAAGACAATGTCGAACAAGGTGGGCGGGAGCAGGACGAACGATCAGGCGGCGAAAGCGAGCGCGAGGAGAAATGGACGAAGGAACGACAACGAGGACATCGAGCGGCAACGGGCATTGTGGACGAGGATGCACTTGACCGAGCAAGGCTACAAGAATCTCCGGCGGGGGCGGCGCCAACATTCGGCACGGAAGATGCAACGAGCGACGCGGGTGCGGGTGCTGCACAGGAATTCTTGCAACATACGAAAACGCCGAGCGACGTCGTTGCTCCACCCACTTCCACGGCGTCGTCCGTAGGGGGAACGGGAAAGACAGATGTGAAGTCCCCAGAACAGAAGCCGGTCCTGAAGGAAAAAGATGGTGAAACGAAAGATGAAAAAGGTTCTTCGGTAATGGAAAAAAGAAAAGCAGGAATTGGGCTGGCTCGGTCTGCTGCAACTTATGCGGCACTTTCTCCAATGCTGTCACCGCCACCGCCTTCTCCTATAGCTCGTGCCGTCCTACACGCCGAACTATATCATGAGCATCCAAGAACGCCGGTTTCTGCTCCAGCTTCAGCACTGGCCGGCTCTACAAGAATGGGAGGGATTACAGGAACAGCGGCCGCTTTGGGCAGCTATGCCGTTGCCCGTGCTCGTGGACGACCTCGTGAATCTGGTGAACATCTCCCTGCTGCTGCTGCTGCTGCTGCAGGGGGCCGTGGTGGTCGTGATGGTGGTGGTGGTGGAGACAGGATCGCCCTTCTTTCAGAGGACGCCGACGAAGAGGGGAAGCCCTGGTGGGAGAAGTTGTGGACGAATTTGTTGGCGTTGGGGAAGTCGACCAGGATAGTGCTCGATACACTTTGGGAAGATTATTTTCTTCCGAAGTGGAAAAGAGACAATTTGCGGCACTGGCTACTGAAAGGTGGAAACCTCGAATGGAGTTTGTTTGAGGACCTTGCCAAACAAGTCTTAAAAGATGTTTTAGACGAGTTTGAGAAGATGATGAACAAGGACAAAGCGAAAGAACAAGTGGAAATACCGCAGAACGTGAAGGAAATGTGGGAGGAAATGATCATCGAGAAATATCGCAAAATTAAAATATTTGTACGCTAATGCAGATCAATGTCTTGGGGTCTGGGAACTACTAGCAGATATCATATTTGCCATGCTGGTGTGTGATGAAGATCAAATTTACAATTGGTGTACTGTACTACTTGATGTTCTGACTGACAAGATGGACTTCCCCATAAATTTGCCGTAATTTTCACATGACTACAGACCCTGCAATATCACAAGAGCAGACTGCTGTGTGATGGAGTGTGTCTGTGTGCATCCTTGATTTGCCACGAAGCTGCAGGACTGAAAAGCTACCCAGATTGTCCTTGACATATTTCAACTGCATACCACGACGTTCAAACTGTTGCTGGTGATGCTGTTCCCCCTGTGCGACCACGTGGACAAGACGGTGCCGCAATAACTGAAGGCATGTCACGAGTAACACTCTCCGAGAAGACCGTAGTAGCGGTGATTTACGCCACAGAGGCAGAGATGCGTCACATCGTAGATCTCATGAACAACGCTAATGCACGGCACGACCCGGAAGTCGAAGTAGCAAGAGCACTGCTACGCTTTGATGATGTCGATGTGGTAGAGCCTCTTCCTTGATTGATGACGAAGACCCCGACGCAGGTGAAGGAAGAAGTTGATTGAATTTACGTGTTTCGTCGAGAGCAAAAAAGAAAAAACGGGTCGAAGGGGAACGAATGAAGGGAAAGGGGAGGCCGAAAGCCGTGAGCGACGTGCCGCTCCCGTGTAGGGAAAGAAAATGTGGAAGAGCATGAATGATCTTTAGAGACATATCAAATACTTGTGCGCCAAGTAATGTAAGTATAGTATCAGCGACATTCATCAATGTCTAAGGATCCTCAGCAAACTACAAGCAACTAGCAGATATATCTATGCCATTGGCATTCATTCTGTTTGGGAATAATCAAGCGGCAATCCGTCTTCTGGCCGGCACGATACACACTCACATCGCATCCACAAGTGTGCACTGCATGCTCTAATATGCTATCTTTTTCTGAGTCTTTATTTCGTGTTCTGGATCATCCATGTTCGAAGTATTCTAGCTCTATTTTTAGAGCTGCAACAGAAGAGCATGAAGGGAAAGTTTCCTTGTAAGCGAAAATCGAATTCGCATTCGGTACGAGCTTTTTTCGTGTCAGTGATAGAAGACGATGCGGCCCCACTGAATGTAAAAAGAGTCAGTAAGTTCGTCGTTGAGAGTGTGAGCAAGAAAAAAAGGAATCCCCGCCCATCGACATCAAATCGCGTAGGTTATTTTGTAAAACTTCGCAGGTTCTTGTTTTTTCCTTAGTCTTCCCCGTCCGCTCTCGAATTCATTTTGATTCTACCCCAACTTGTTGATTTGGATTTCGTTATCACCCACAAACCAGAAATCGTCTCTTTCCTACAGAAAGTCAACTCTGTCGTGGTCGAAAAGACGGAATACTTACACCGAATCCAGATAAAGGCAGGAAAAACACGAAGAAGTTCAACAAGATGGTCTCCCGCACGCGCCGAGCAACGGCTCGCACTGTAGCGGCTGCCGTGGCTGTCGCATCGGCATCGGTGCATGCCAGTAACCCGATGACATTGTTGAATGCCGGGGGAAAAAACGTCGCTGTTCCCGTCTCCTTCCCAACAACAAACCTCGTCGACTCCCAGTGGAACGAGTTCAAAAAGAAATTCAACAAACACTACGAGTCACCCCAAGAGGAAGAAAAGCGGAAGCAGATCTTCGTCGAGAACTTGAAACGGTTGGAAGAGTTGAACGAAAAGGACAACAACTGGATTCCGTTCATATCCTGCGCAAAAGTATCGTACTCGTACGTAGTAATCGCAGTCATGCATATACAAATCTCCATACCGAGGTAAAACAGCATGACAAATTTTATTTGTCATGCTGACCTCCGAATTGGTAATGCGATATCTACTAGTACGATACTTTTGCAGTGCATAGTCCAGTCATCTCACCCCCTTCGCGGACCAAACGAAGGACGAGTTCATGAAGCGGAATTCGTTGATTCTGACCAAGGCAGAGAAGAGCAAGATGCTGAAGGGGGTGCAGGTACTTATTTACAGTGGTGATTGCTGTGTAGACAGATGACCTAGGACTAGTAACTTATCAGTCTTCACGTGCAGGATGCGATACGGATCGCTTTTTATCCACACTCTGCTCAACGTCCTCATCTACTTTGCATAAGTAGACAAATTGATGCAGAAAATTCATACTCAAAAAAGAAAAACTACACCGTTTTTCCAGATCGCCCCCGCGCTGCCCGCTCCCTTCAAACTGTCTCTCCCGGACCACTATTCCTGGTTGTATGACAATGCACAACTCCCCCTCCCCCTCATTTGTCATGGAAAATACCAAATCCAGCCCTTTCCCTGAAGCACTGCTTGCATGACAGATTCCGCAAGCTGAAACAGCACTAGAATCGTTCGCAAATTTGTCATGCAAAAGCTGCATTTATGCCAGCACTTGTGTTGCTGTTTATGCCCTTCAAATGAGGGGGAGGGGGAGTAGTTGTGCACTCTCATAGGTTGGACCACGGTTACACTACCCCCGTGAAGAATCAAGGTCAGTGCGGGTCCTGTTGGGCTTTCGCGACGGCGGGAAACGTGGAAGGTGCCGCTTTGGTCGAGTTGAAAGAACTGTTTTCGCTTACGGGATGGCAAAAGTATCGTATTTTACGCAGTAATTGCATGAAAAATTTACCAACATGTTGACAAATTTACAACGACGCATGAAAAATTGAATTTGTGGTGCGGGTTTGGATCAGAAAGGAATTTTGTGATGCATGACTGCGATTAGGATTACTACGAAACGCGTACCATACGATACATTTTTGCAATGCATATTGGTTTCCGAGCAGCAGCTGGTCGATTGCGACAAGTCGGACAATATCAAATGCAAATATGTCTGGGTCTGGAAGATTCTAAATTTGTGATGCTGTCTACGGAGTCTAAAAAAACTTGCATTGCATGACCAGCAAGAGGACTCCCGCTTGTGCTTCGCGGAGAGGGCATTTCTCATGCGGTAGAGGTAGCACAGAGCCCTCTAAAATAAACCTGTAATGCTTTTGCATGCATCACAGACGTCATGGGTAACGTAGAATATGCATGACAAACCAGGCAACCTTCCAGACCCAGACACATTTGCAGTTGATAGACAACGGCTGCGACGGCGGGTTGCCGGAACTCGCGGACAAGTGGCTGATCGCCAAGGACGTGGTATGCATTGCAAGAATGTCTGCGTCTGGATTTGTGATGCGAGATCTGAAGGGCAAGAAAATCTGTAGTGCATGAATACGATAAGCGATAAGCAACTTTTTTTGTCGTAAACGATGCCAGTTTGTCATGCGCCTTTTCTTGCTGATGGATCCTCAACAAGAGGCCCGCCTCGCATAATTTCTGATGCTGTCACGCCATACATGGAGCCACTATGTAATTCAAGTATCAGCAGTACAAATTTCCGGACCCAGACACATTTGCAATGCATATGTGGGCTTGGAATACGAGAACGAGTATCCCTACCACGGTATTGTGGAGAAGTGCCACCTATCCTGTGCAAAAGTATCGTACTCGTAGTAATTGCAGTCATGCATTGCAAATCTTTTTCTTAGGGTAAATCTGCATTGCAAATTTTATTGCTCATGCTGAGGAAATTTGTAATGCATTTATATACGAGTGCGATGCTTTTGCGGTTCATACCACCAAAACCCCAAGAAGGAACGGATCTTCGTCAACAACTTTCTCAAAATCAGTACTAATGTCCGGTTTCTTTGTTTGTCATGCTGAGACAGGTCACGTAAGTGTGAGTATTGTAAACAACGATGTGTTCAATGCCAAGCCACTTGGGAAGATGCAGCCGAAGGAGAAGAGCAAGAGAAGTGTAGGTTGTCGTGCGTCAGCTCCTACTATTAACGATGAAAAAGAAAAAATACTTTATTTCAACCTAAGCCAAACAAACTCATCTACCTCAGGTGACGTCGAGGACGAGATCGCCGCTGCGTTGGTGAAATACGGCCCGTTGTCGATCGGAATCAATGCGAATTTGATGCAGATGTACATGTATCAAATGCAAAAATGTCTGGGTCTGGAAGGATGCGAACTTGTGATGCATACTTGGATCATACAAAAATCTCTCCTGCCTAGACAGCAAAGGGAGCTACTTCCCCTGTCGCCGAAAGAAGGCGTTTGTCATGCGGATTAAGCATTGGGAAGCCGTCTCAAAACCTGTGATGCTAGGCCTTGCATGGCACCCCTTCTGTGTCAAGCAGACACAGCATCACAAACCTCAGCAATCTTTCAGACCCAGACATTCACACTTTTGCAATGCATAGCATGGGCGGTGTCGCCGACCCGGACCCCGAAGCCTGCGACCCGGAGCAATTGAACCACGGGGTGGTGATGGTGGCTTTCGGTCAGGAGGACGCGCACCAAATCGTGAAGCACCCCCGGGTATCAAATGTAAATCTAAATATGTCTGGGACTGGACGAAGAATGCAGATTTTTGTCATGCTGTTTGTGCATGATACAGAAGGTCTTGCACGGAAGTCCTAGCATCACAGGTTTCGAGAAGGTTCCGCAATGCCTAACCCGCATGAGAAATCCCCCATTTTGGTGACACGAAATGGGCATCCTTTGCTGCCTATGCATGACAGATTTGTGTGTGTTATGAAATGCGCATCACAAGTTCGAAATCGAAACCTTCCCTGTGCTGTACCACGGTCTTGTTTCCAGACAAAACACCAGACATTTTTACGGTTGATAGCGGGAAGTCAAGAAGCTGTTGCAGTACCACCTGGCTCTGCAATCTGCCGGTGTCCTGACGCACGGAGTGACGGCGGAGTCGGTCTCGCAGATGGTGGCGAAAGAATCCGATGGGTCGGTGAAGAAGTGGTGGAAGATCCGGAATTCTTGGGGACCGGAATGGGGCGAGGATGTATTTCTTCTCGAATTTTCATTGTTGATATGCAGTGATAGATGTGCAAAAATTATTCCCACCGTACCGAATACGACCTACTTTCTCATCCTAAATCCACATCACAGGGCCACTACCGCATCATCCGAGGAAAAGGCGCCTGCGGATTGAACACAATGGTCACTACGGCCACGGAAATCAAGAAGCATGGGAATGCGGAGAAGAACAGCATCCCCCTGTTGCCACCGAGAATCCCCGGGGTGGTGACCGTTTCGGAGGAAGATGCCGTGCTGCCCGAATCCAAGGAGTTCTACGTGTAAACAAAACGTGATGATATAACCCGCTCAGGTGTTACAATCTCAAACGTTACAATAGAATATGGAAATCTGTGATGCAAGAGTGCATGATCTAGCCAACTCTCATGGGATTGCGCATGACAAGTTCCGGAGCCCCAAACCCCACAACAATCCGGCGAAATTTGTATTGCAGAAAGTGGAACACTCTGCGAGGTTGTCATGCTCAACTTGCAAGACAAATCTCAGACTCTATTGTAACGTTTGAGATTGTAACATCTGAGCGGGTTATAGATGAAGATGATGATTTTTTACGGAGTGGAAGGTTTTATAGATTTCTATCGAAGAGCAAGAGGGGGCCTACGAAGTTTTTCAAATGCACTTGCGGATGTATTAATTTCTTCTAGAAAGAGCAGGAACCTCCTGTGAAGGCCGTCGCCTGAGGAGATCTCCCGGTCGTAACGTGGGGAGAAGCAGGCCGCATGCTTATCAGGGCAAGCGGTTAGTGGATCTGGTTGAAAGAGTGGCCCCAGTGAATGAGGGCCGCCGCCTCTCATGATGTCACCTAGTAGACCATATATAAGCGCTGGCCTTGTTGTTCTACGGAGAGCTAGCAGCAAGCAACTCCGTGGCCCATGCGCTTGCGTTGCTGCGCAGGTTCGCAACAAAAAGGCACGCCGCCGCTGTGCTGTTCGTTGCCTGCCACTCGGGTGCCGCGGCTGCGCCTCGCGCGTCCGCAGGACGCGACCGGGCAGCAAGCCGAGTGGCACCGCCGACGAGCGCAGCTGCGCTACCGTCAGGGGAGCGCAGCCACCCAGATGGCTGGCCACCCCACCCTCCCGGATGCCGCCCCTTATCCGAGCTCGGCCAAGCCCATACCGAGAATTATAGCGCCGACCGTTGATAGTGCGCGGCCACCCGGTTGGTCGGTACTATGAAGAGCGCGCCACGACAGGCGAGCCCTGTGGCACCACTGAAACGGCCACACAGCAACACACTGGCGGCGCACAACCGCCCACGAGTTGAGCGCCCCCAGACATGCAGATGCTTGCTGTGGCTACGCAGTGCAATTCCAAATCGGACGAAAATCTACGGCAGTCGTGGGGAGGTGTTGGTGTTCGCGAGGCACTACGTCCGACGCGCCTCCGAGCCGTGAGGGCACTCGGAAGGGTAGGAGAGAGGGACCGAGAGTGCACCTGCTCCGGGTGCGGGAGATCCTGGCGAGACAGATCCCACAATGCACTGAGGCCCATCCGTCCCCTTGTACGTGCGATGTTTGTGCACAGTGGTCGGCATCGCCTGTGGCTTCGAAAATAATAGAAAGAGCAGGAAGGGCTAGGGCAAGAAGTGCGTCATGTGAAGAAAAAAAGAACCCTTGTAAAATGCCACCAGAGTCCAAGGAATTCTACGTGTAAACAAAAGAACGTGACGATTATCCTGAGTAAAAACGTACCCACACCAGAGTCAGGATGGGGAATCTGCTAGACAAATCAGCCAGCTTTGGTTGTTTGGCATGACAAGTTTGCCCGCGTAGTGTAGTGCTGTTGGAGCTAGTTTAGCAGCATTACAGATCTAGCCTCTCGCGCTGATTGGAGCATGACAAATTTCAAAACCGCATTAGAAAATGCTTCTCATGGGGCTCCGCATGAGAAACATTTTAAGCATGCAGAGTTGCATGACAACTATGGCGTGGGTACTTACGTTTTTACTCAGGATAACGATGATGATGATGATTTTTTACGGAGTGGAAGGTTTTTAGATTTCATCAATCGAAAAGGTCTACTACGAAGTTTTTCAAATGCACTTGCGGATGTATTTCTTCTAGAAAGAGGAGGAAGAGCAAAAGGGGCGTCATGTGAAGAAAAAAAGAACCGTTGTAAAATGTATGACCGGGCAGCAATGGTCTTGCGAGCTTGTGAGTCAAGGCCAAGGATGGTCGGTCTGTATTTTATGCATCGAGTGCAAGCTCTTCCTCAACGGTAACCAGAACCGAAGTCAGATCAGTGCAGCGGTGACGCAGGTTTTGCGTCATTTTTCTGTTGCTGAAGATTCTTCGAGTTCTCAGGGAGTCGCGCCCCTGCCGATGGTAGCCTATTTGATTCTGCATCTGTTTACCAGGGAGGCTCGTGTTGTGTTAACCTGGGGATGCGGGGGATTGATGCTATTTTGCCCTACGTGGCTTTGATTTCCCAGGGGTCAGGAGACGTGATGTCGTTCTGGCTGGGTACGTGGTTTTATTCAGACATCTGGAGAAGTAGAAACGATCTCTACTTCGTACGGATGCGTATTCGATCTATTTGATTGGGTGATCCAATCATAGTGATTCGGGTGTTCCGATCACTGACTCTGGCTGTTTTGCTTCTTGCACTTGTTCGGCTCTGTGGCACTGGCGGTAACCAATCCGTTAAACCTAAGAGAGGACCGGCGTGGGACGCAAAGCACTGGGGGCGTTTGGTGGATGTTAAATTTTGATGGTTCTCAGTGCTAGGAGCCGAACTTGCGGCCAAGATGTCAAAACAACTGTGGTCAGTGATCGGAAATCTTCTCCTTTTATTTTCCGGCTGGGTATGCCGTTTTCAATACCATTCCTGATTTTTCCTTTCCGTGACTTTGTTTTCGCTTCAGGCCTTGAGGGTGAGAGCGCTAGGTTTCTGAGCAGACTTCGATATGTTAGGATGCCGTGCTGCCCGAATCCAAGGAATTCTACGTGTAAACAAAACGTGATGATGATCATGATGATGATTTTTTACGGGGTGGAAGGTTTTTAGATTTCAATCGAAAAGGTCTACGAAGTTTTTCAAATGCACTTGATGCGGATGTACTTCTAGGAAGAGCGGGAAGGGCAAAAGGGCCGTCATGTGAAGAAAAATATAGAACCGTTGTAAAATGCCTGCAGTACTATCATCCTGCCGTGGCCGCTCTAAGAAACTAAAGGTGAACCACAGTGCAAAGAAACTTAACGAAATTGATGCTGCATCGGTTTTTTGGTTCGATAGCCCTCTCCTTGACAAAGTTTCTCGATGTGAATCTAGTTTAGATTGTGAATCAGTTGTCTGAAGAATGAGAAATGTGGATGGCAATTTTACCAATACAGTCGCGAACTTGATTTTTTTCTACATAGTACCAAGAGCTCAATTGGTCCTTCTGCGGACTGGCTTTTGGCTGCAGATTAATGAAGGTTAGTCTTTACAACTACCCTACAATTTATTACAAATATTTCGTTTCTCCCGAGGTAGAAGTGCCTCACCCTTCACCTGTCAAACCATTACTTAATCTCCCTACCGGCCTTCAGAATCTAAATCTATTACCTCTCCACTAAAACCTACATCCCTAAATTTTTTTTGCGTCTCCGGTGCTCAGCTGCTCATGCGGGCGACTTTCCTCGAGTGAAGTAAAGATCTCTTTGCTTTACGGAAGCACCAGTGTCAGCAATCTAACCTTTTGAACTTTTGTGTAAAAAGTACAGTACGATGAAAAAGTCAAATTGTTTGGCCAGTTTGTCGTCTCAAAAAGCGATTGGATATTTTCAAGAGCCCAAAAAAGAAGCTACTCCGACCGCTACCGGCGAAGGCACGGCCTACGGAGCATCAACGTCAGGGTGACACGTCAAGCTAATTTCGAGGACCTTTTTCCCCTCTATTTCACGTACGCCTGAGTGTGAGCGAATCAGTGCTACACACCGTGAAAAAGGACAGCTGGCACCTTCGGTCTTGCCTGCGCCAGCCCAAAACTAAGAAGAGATTGTATGTGAAGCGAGGGCAACTTCTTGAGAAAGTACGTCTAGGCCCAGGAGGTGCAGGAACAGCACGCAAACATAAGCACTTAAAAACCTCAACCTGGTCGAGTAGGAACCAACCTAATAAACCAAAGGACCAGGGCCAGCGAAAATTGGGTGCGCCTGGCGTCAAAAGAAGTTAGCCCTGAAGATGTTGTAAAGATTATTGCGACCACCATCCACGGTGCGTTGACATCGTGGTCAGAACTACAACCCTCATTATGAAACGAGCTTCCAAGAGACTTTCCACCACAGTTTCAGTTTCAACCGTTCTAGACAAAGCTACGAAAAGCCAAAAAACTACTTCTACGAGAACAGCACCAGATAGTGCTTTACTTGTTTCAAAATCTACCTCTAAGTCCAGCAAAACTTCTCCCAAGATGAATTTCGGTTCAGAAAAGCCGGTTTTCATCTACTTCAAGGGCGCGGGGCGTGCCACCGCCGCCCGGGTCGCGCTCTTCAATGCGTTTGGGGAAAACGGGTGGGAGAATAAAATGCTGCCGTACCAGGAGTTCGCGGACCAGAAGGCGATCTGGCAGAAATCTTTGGACGCTCCAAACGTCATCAACGCGGACGGGAGCAAGCAGATCAAAGACGATGAGACGGGCGACATGAAATCGGTGAAAAATGACTACGGCGGATCCTTGTTGCAAACCCCGCTGGGCTACCTCCCGCAGCTCCACTTCGGCGGGAAAATCATCACGCAGTCCGCCGCGATTGCCCGGTGGGCCGCGGGACTGGGGGAGAAGCCCCTGATGCCGAAGGATCATTTTGAACGGCTCGAGTGCGAGGAGTGCATGATGGTGTGTGAAGAGATTTTGGGGAAAGCACCGGGGGATGCAGATAACGAGGTATAGTTCTGTTTTAAGTATGTGTATGGTGATTCTGATTTCATCGGACTTCTGATCAAACACGAAATTTGTATTGCAGCACATGCGGTAGAGTTTTGCCTGTCATGCGCATTTCCGCTTTGAAATTGAAGCTGAGTGACGTAGCTGGTGAACATGCCTATCTTCTTCACAATACAAATGAACAGAAAAAGCTGAAACTGCGCGCGGAGTATGCGGAAGGGCCTATGAAGAAGGGCATGACCTTATTAAATGTAAAAATGTCTGGGTCTGGGTCTGGAAGATTCTAAACTTGTAATGCTGTCTCTGGATTCTAAAAAAATTTGTATTGCATGACCAGCAAAAGGACTCCAGTTTCTGCTACGTGGAGAGGGCATGTCTCATGCGGTAGAGGCATCACAAAGTCCTCTAAAAATCTGTGATGCTAGTTCATGCATCACAGACATCATGGGTCATTGAAAATATGCATGACAAAACTGGCAATCTTTCAGACCCAGACATTTTTACATTTGATAGACCTTCATCGAAGCCAAATTGGCGGCGAACCAGGGCTTTGCGGTCGGTTACCAGGTGCAAATATGTCGGGGTCGTCTGGAAAAGTGCAAGGTTTGTCATGCTCGACTAACAAGACTCTCAAGTCTGTCATGCACGCTAACCAAAAGCCCCACTTTTCTGTGATGCAGAAACGCAGTCTGTCATGCAAAATCGGCAACACCTAGAAGCTCAGAAACTTGGCATGCTGAGCAATCACTTATGGCGCTCTCATGCTACGCCACACAGCATCACAAATTTCCAGACCCAGACCACAGATTTGCAAAAATGCATATCGGAGGGAAATTTACCATCGCGGACGTGTCGATTATCACCGTGTTATCCAAGAAAAAAACGGTGCATAGTGTAACTCTGTGTTCCAGACGAGGCAAGACACGTACAACTGTCATGCTGGACATGCATCAGAGGCTCTTTTCGGACGTGTTTTCACGTACTAGCTACGCATGACAGGTTTTCTCTCATGCAGAGCAAACTTGTGATGCTGGTCCTCCAAGAAAGTTACACTTACACAGTTTTTTTCTTGCATACGTGTCCGACATGGTCTATTCCGGCGATTTCGACGGGATTCCGCCGTCTATCCACTGCAAAAATCCAAAAATATCGTACTCGTAAATTGCAAGTCTTGCGTTACAAATCTTTTTCTTAGGGTAAATCAGCATGACAAATTTTATTTCTCATGCTGAGGAAATTTGTAATGCATTTATACGAGTACAATACCTTATTTGCAATGCATACCGTCCTACTTGGACCAATTCGAAGAAATCAGCCGGCACCGGGCGACGTTACCGAAAAAAGTGACGGTGTTGAGCGAGTACAGGAGAATCTATCCGTTTTGATGAGGGAGAGATTTTCAAGATACGACAATAGTTTTCCACCATATCCGGTACTGGTCGAGGTCGTGCCGTCAATTATTAGACTCGGCACAAAATCATGCATTTTTTCTTCGATGCGCATGCGAGCCAGCACTTCCAGCACGTTTATTTTTACTTTGTCGACACAGCTATATAGCTACGGTCGATTCAAATTGAAAGAGCATTTTTGCTTTTCCTTCGAGGTCTGCCAGTTCATGTGTTGACCCCTTCAACAACAATCTTTCATGATTGTATCATCGGCGAGAAACAAGAGTAAGAGAAAATAAAATATTGTGAAAATAATCCGTTGGAGCTTCGACTTATTGTCGCTATGGTTCGACTTCGACGTCCATCTGGCGGTGATGTTCCGTTCGTTTGGTATGCCTAACGTTTGGTATGCCCAAGACGAAGACGAGGTGAGTGCTGTTTTTGTAAAATGTTGCGTTGAGATAGTACTGAAAGAGCGCTGCATCTTCATATACGACCGCGAGGAGCCAATTACCCGTTCATGACCACCAGCTTTTCTTGTTCTGCCAAAAAAGAATCCAAAAGTAGCGAAATTTATTGCCAAGCCCAAGCCTAATAAATCGCAAAGAGATTCTCCTTGTGCGCACACGGTAACTTTTACTTTTGTCTTTGTGAAGATGTCGACCACGTGGAGAATAAAAATTTTGTAGATGACGATAATAATTTTCGAGAGGAGTTGCTTGCTTATTCAAAAGTGAGGTGCGTTGTGGTATGTGGTCCCCGATACTAAGTATACAACTTTGACAGAGCAAGAATTGTACACCATGCCGGAAACTCTTGTACCGAAGCAGCCCGCTCTTGCCTCGCATGGTGTTACGGCGGTAGGAGTGGTCCGAGGACAACATCAAGCGGATCATGATGTTTCGTCATCTTCTACTACTGCAAAGGCCAAATCCGCTACCACTTCATCAAAACAAGACCCTCACCTCTTCCCCACCGTGGACGAGTTGCAGGAGCTGACCCCGCGATCCAAAGTGAAAGCCCTGATCACCGACATCCGGGGGAAAGCGAACAGCATTAAGAAGGCGTTGGACCGGGCCAAACACGCCGCGAAAAACGTGGAGGCGGCGGAGGCGCTGGCGAGAAGACGAGGAGAGGAATTCTCTCGCGAGGGGGACGAGCAGAACCACCCAGGGGCAAGAGCCCGAGAAGCCACGTCCTCGCGCGGAGGTGTCAAAAGCCAACTTGGCGATTATGTCTCTGACTCGTCGTCGTCAACAGCCACAGCCGCGTCAGCGAGAACAAAGGAAACAGGACTAGCGCCGCGCCCTTCTGTGTCAGACAAAAACAACAAGGACCCCACGACCGCCTTCCTGGACTTTGAGAACGATCCGAGTTTCAAAAAGGAGCTGTTGCAGCAGTTTCTACAAAAGCTCTCAGCTTCGTGGCTGCGGGAGCTGCGGCCGGTATTTTTGAAGTTGGAAGATCTGGAGAAGAAACTGTCCAGGTGCGAAGATTTGTTTTTCCGCGCCAAACACGCGATATTGGAAAAGGAACTGAGGAAACTGCTGGTGGTGCACAAGTGACGACGGCGGTGACGAGGGATACTCAAAACTTCCACAAAGGTATTGGATTTTTTTCGGCGAGACAGCCAATGTGAAAGAATGTGAAGAATTTCGAAAGAATGTAGTACAAAATCAAAAGGAAAAGCAACTCTATAAGTGGTTCAGTATTATTACCACGAGCATCAATCGGTAAAAACGCAAAGAGGAACACGGAAATAAAGGGTAAGAGGCGAAGGAGATTAGGCATTCAAGAACCGGGAGCGCGCGTTGCATTGAGGAGCTGCAGCCAGCCTTCTCATTTCAGCAGAACAAGTAGCACATACTTACATTAGAATCGAGATCATGATGAAGTGAGAAAATGAAAATGTCGATCAGGACGAGTTCAGCATCTGCATCACGAAAAATCAAGATCAACTAAATACAGCATGCAAAGGGAAGCCAGACCATTTCTAAAAAAATGTGTAGTGAAGAAAACAATTGGATTGCAATTTCGGTCGTTCCTCGGTTGAAGATGTCAATGAAAAAGTCACTCTTGCTGGTGCGAAATCGAAAAATTCCACGTGTGACAAAGATAAGATCGTGATCCCGCCGCTTCAACAGATGATTTTGAAATTGATTCGCTATCATGCGATTGACGCATTGGAAGGAAACCAAAAACATCATCATGTATGAGTATCATCTGCAGGATTCCACCACCTCCTCTACCCCATCTTAGAAAACCTCCACTACACCGCTAGCTCTCTCCTATTTTTTCGTTCAAGTTCTTGCTACTGCATACATCCTACACAATTATTTGCCAACGAGTTCAGACAAATTAACACACAAATAAATTGAAAACTGCCGAGAATCGTAATTGAAACTTTTTTATTGCACCTTTTTCATACTTGAGCAATTTGAATTTCCGTTTTGCATCTTCCTCAAGCTGAACTTTTCGCAACTGTTGATTATTTCTGCTGTGCTACAACAGTAACAGACACTTTCTGTTTCTGCACATCTTTCACAAATAAACCATAAAAATCGAAAACCATTGCCATGGCACCTCCGAAGTCGCGTTTTTCCTTCGTATGTGCCCTTGTTTTCGGCACAACCGAGTTCCTTGCAAAACTCCAAGCCACTGCTCCCCGACGTCCCTACTCCACGCCGGCTTTCTCCCGACACAACAATCGAAGCAAAGCGGAAAAGGAGGCTTTCCCCGATAGCGTTTCGTTTTTCTACAAGGCGAACGGTGGTGCTGTTGGTGACACTTCTTTGTTTTCCGGCGCAGGAGCAGCTCCAGGACATCAACTTAATGAGGTCGTGAAGGACAAACTCGATGAGGATCACTCACCTCTACTTCCATTAAGAATCGTCCCCTCCACCCTCCCAGTGACGAAAGTTTTGGAGATTCTGAACGCCGATTTCGCTTTCAAAAAGAACCAAGAGGTGAAAGAGTTCCGCTTCGTCTGGTTCCCGTATGATCTACTCGCTTTGACCGATAAGCGGTTTCAGAAGTTTGCGAGCAACTACGAATTGGCGACGTTCTCCGTGCCGGAGGATTTGGAATTCACTTCTGGTGCTGGTGACAGAAACACAAACAGCATTTCCACCACCACCACAATCGCTTCCGTCGCGGCAAGCCTTCACAAGCAATTCCTGCGGAAAAAACCAGAACACGAGCAGCTATTCGACGCGAAGCCGCCGTTATCCTGTGCAAAAGTATCGTACTCGTATTGCAGTCATGCATTACAAATTTTTTTCTCAAGGTAAATTCCCATTACAAATTTCATTTCTCATGCTGAGGAAATTTGTAATGCATTTATACGAGTACGATACTTTTGCAGTTCATAGCCGTCTTTGCGTCAGGTTTTTGCGCGGGTGGAAGTGGTGTTTCAGCCGGTCGTGCCGATTGTGCTGACGGTGGAAAATGCAGGAGTTGCGGGGAACAGGACGATGAAATCGTCGAGAAATAGCTCGTGCAACACAAGAACCTTTAAAGTCAATCCCTGGGTGAAAACCCGTGACGTGCTGGACGAACTCGATAATTTCAGCCGGCTCGGGAACCGGGGACTTGGGTTCGGGTCGGTTCTGGAACCCATAGAAGTTGTTCCACTGCATAATTTATCGAAGACTGCTGGAGCCGACTCTACTTCTTGCGCCAGTGCTGAACAGGAAGAGAAGCAGCTGCAGGGTCATGATCAGGAGAACGCTTACTATGTGAGCAAATTTTCCTTCCAATACCGAGAGCCGGAGTTCGGATCGACGCAGTTTGCCACTTGGGACCGGGAAAGAGATCTGATCCAACACTACAGCGAAACGTATGATATGCAGGGACTATCGCTGTTCTTGTGGAATCAGATCGACAAGGAAATCGAGATGAAGCCGGGAATGAAAAAGGTCAGGGAAAATATGGTGGTCACAATGGTCGCCGAGACGAGAAAGCCAGCAGGGGTGTCTCTCCTGCCAACGGTAGATGCACCGTGTAGTTCCACTGCGACAGATCCTGCGGTCGTTCCCGTTCCCGTAATAATATCTTCTTCCCGCAGAGGCCGGTCCGTGCCAGCTGGACATCAGGGGAACAATAAAGCGACAGTGGGAAAACAAGATACGGTGGTGAGCGATCCGACGTTCTTGCCTAAAATCCCTCTTCAAGATTCTGGTGACCACCACCCCCGTCAGAAAGAAACTTTGTCAGTCGCCGAAGCCGTGGAGCTGTTTTCGAGTTACACCATGCCCGCGATTGCCGGGTCCCACCGGGGACAGGGTGCGGTTCACGGTGACGTCGCTGTGCCGGAGATCACAGTCGGCGGGCCGCGGCCGCCATTGCCCGCGTTTGGCGTCGTGGCTGGAGCGGAGTTGTGCGGAAACTCCTCGGCGTCTTCCGCGGCCTGCTCTAGTGAGGGCGGTGCATCGAACTACGCGGATTCCAATGCATCGAATGTAACCGCGTTCAGCTTCAAAGGACGTAAAGACGTGCAGCCGAGTGGTCGTGCCGGATCAGCCGAAGGTACCAAACAAATAACGAAACGCACAACGCTTCGCGACCGAACCCACCTTCCGAATCTTACCATTTCCACCAGCAAAGCTGTAGTTGCACCAGGACCAGCAGGAGGTAGAAGTTCTAAGGATGAGAAAACGTCTGAGCATGTTGATCTCGAGCCCCCTGCAACTCCCCGGTCGTCCACCAGCACCGAATCTTCTCGGAGTTACTGGGAAAAATCTAGCCCGAAACAGAGCTGGCTGGACAAAGCGAAGCAGGCGAGACTTGCGGAAGAGGGCAAGTGTGACGATTTGGACAATTTGCATGAGATGCAAAAGTGCTTTGAAGATCAGAAGCGCAAGAACTACGCTCAGGCGGCGGTGGCACTAAGGGAAGAAGTTGCGAAAGGATTCTCGCCTTCTGTTGCTGGTGCGCCGGCGGACATAGAAGTTCTTCCCGCTTTTCCTGTTGATGATGTTCCAGCTTTTCCAGTCTTGGGTGATATGAGCAGTGGTACGCCGGCACCAGGACCTGGTGTAACCGTCCAAGCTGCAACAGCAGCAGCTAGCAGTCAAGATGATCAGTCACATCAGCCCGACCAACAAGAAGATGCTTCGTCCTCCGACAGCAGCACTCCCCCCGGGCGCATGACGCTCTCTGAAATGAGCCGAGTTCTGGGAATCCGTAGAGCTGCAGGTCCTGTTTCTGCAACTACTGAGCGAAATGTTTCTTCGTCCGACAGCAGTTTCACTCCGCCAGCCCGCATGACGTTGCGGGACGCGAGCCGGATAATTTTGGGAGAAAACCAAAACTCCCTTGCGGCGAAGGCGACGCCACGCGCTGCGATTGTCGGACGGGAGATCTATTCTACTGCCGCAAGAGGAGTTTCATCTTCGGACATCTCTTCTTCAAATGGCGCCGCACTTGCGAAAAAATCCGTCTCCGACCTTGCCCGCGAACTGCACCGCGCGCAGCGCACGGAGAGACCGCTGAACTTCGAGTCTTTTGTGAAGGGCCAGCGAAATTTATCCAACGACAGCTCGCGGACGAGAAGCGCTTCAGCTTCTGGAGCCGCGTCAAAAGATCGCGTAGTTGCAGCCGGCTCTCGGTCGTCCGCTGCGGGCAGACGCTTCGGCTGGCCTTCGACTCTTCCCTCCTCGAGGAGTAGCAGCAGCAGCACGAACTGCATGAGCAGACGCGGGAGCGTGCAAAGACGAGGAACTGATGGTTCCCAGCAGGTGGTCCAACAAGTCGCGGCTGGTGCACAGCCTGCTTGTAGAAGTTCTGTTGCCGCGCCATCGGCTCCTGTTGTAGCTGCACCTGCGCAAGCACCTGTCGTGACCGCAACTTCTGCTGTTGACCGTCGTGTTTCTTCGCCGTCCTCCAGCTCCTCGTCCGGAGATTCCTTCCTGCCAGTCAGAAGAATTCAAAGACCTGCCAGCCCCCTGCGGCTCGCAGCCGCGGTTGGGATTGTGCCTGCGCAAGTAGGAGCTAAGGATGTTGATTCTACATCTGCGAAAGAAAAAATCTTATCCCCTAACTCGAGGAAACTGGCGTATTTTCAGAAAATCGTCGATGACGCTGTAGACGCCAGGGATTTATCGTCCTCCAGCGACGAAATTTCAGCGAGAAGACGGGCCGCGCGGCGACGGGGACCGGAGGCCACCAGCCGCTCCTTGCCCCATGCTGGGGCAACATCAAACACTTCTGGGGGAACCGCGTCGCGCCGAAAGCGCACCCCGCTGCAGTATTCACCGCCGAGTCCGCCGCGGGACGTTTCTGGTGGTTGCAACAGTCGGCGAAACAGAAGTCGGGCGCCGGCCGCAGCCCGTGCCGGTGGGAGAGAACACGCGAAAAATTATACAGGTTCTTGCTTTTTCCCCACGGCTGGTGCACATGGAACTGTGGAAATGGAAGGAAAGTTCAAAGGTACGTTCACGGGCCGATTGCGCTTTGATGCAGCTTCGACGAGCGGAGCACAGGAAGATGGAGTTTCGTGCAGCGAGGAGTCAGAAGGCTCTTGGTTGTCGGTCAGCGCTCGTCCTGGGGCTTCGTCTGGGGCGTCGAGCTCTTCTTAAGGAAAATAAAGAGAGGTCGTGTGCAAGAAAGCGAAGTGTGATCATCATGAGTAGTGCATTGTTATGCTTTGGTTTTGATGCATTTTCTTTTTCATGCAACTTAGCATGGTATAGGTATGATAGCAGAGTAAGTAGAAGTTGCATTAGCATTTATAGGATTTTGATGACTGTGACTGTCAAGCTCAAGCCATTCGACTTTTGGTCTAGTAAAAAATCTGAATTAGAACAAACTGAATCTTGCATGTAGTAGCAGTAGACAACGATGGTGGACTTCCTAAATTAATGACATTGCTAGGACTCGTCTCTAACCCTCATGTCGACATCTATGGAACATTTTTCTTTGTTCCAAGCTAATTAAGACGAACACAGACCTGTATAGAACCGAATTAAAACGTAATGTACACAATAACCGCAAAATCGATTTCATTTTCATCTATCTACCATAAAAACTCAACAAACTGTTAGGCAGATGGAAAAGCGTCGCTGCCCAACTCCTCTACTGGTGATCCTCTCAACATTGACAGACGATTGGCAGCACGCTTTGCAAGTCTTCTCCATTTTTTTTTCGCGGCAGGCAGCGCAATACAGTGCAATAAGTAGAATGAGCCCCTATACTTACATGCATAGCGATAGCCACGTAGCTGTGCTGCGAAACCTTGACAAATGACTTTATTTGATGCTTTATTTCTTTCTAGACAGGAACAGGTTGAAGGCTTCCGTTCAAGCGGAATTACAGCAAAACTGAGTAGAAACTCATGAGGAGAATCTACGACGGTCGTGACGTTGACCATTTGAGTTTCCCTCGATTTGGTGGCACTCATGCGACGTGTGTGTTTCTTATCCTTTGCACCCTCCGGCGATCCTACCACATACTCATAGAAAATCAAACTGACAAGCACGAAAAATGAAATCGATCTGAAATGGAGAAGAAGCAGGACATCAAAGAAGAGCAAATGTCGATCAAAGTTAGGTCTTTGAAATGAAATTCGAAACATTTCTGCAAATCGATTTCTCTTGTCGACTTTCCAACATGGCATTTACGAGAACAAAAAATTTATCCAAATTGAAATTGGAAGATCAAAGCTCATGCCAACCTCTCGATGCACCAAAATATTATAAATCTTCTTCTTCACACGCACACCGTCACCGCTAGCAATATCAATAAATCAAAGACAGAAACAGGAAAACGAAAAAACAAGTCTCGTAGTAGAGTAGAAAACGCCGCATCCAACAAGCAAGAAGAAGAAAGAGGGGTTCTTGGTAAACCAACGCTTTCAAGGTTCGAAAACAAGATCAATTTCCGAAAAGTCAGAAAACTTCTGCAACCATTACCATTCCATTACCGTCTGCATTCTAAGTAAACATATTGCATCAACCTCTGCATCCTAGTAGTCGTGACGATAATTCGCTCAGTTTTTCATTTGCACAAGCAATTTACTGTTACTGCATACACCTAAAATTTAAATTTCATAGCAAAACAAATAGAAATACGCTGCAACGTTGCATCTGCAAACCGATTCTAACTTGCACATTCTCGGCGTGTTGTATTATTTTCTAGCGAAATTGATACGCATCAAGCGCATTTTTCTTAAATAGGAGATTTGAAAACAGCGTGAAGGCAAACTGGAATCGTGGTGGAGCACGAGTAGAAACCTGCACCTGCAATATCTCGTCGCACCTGCAACGACTTCCCCTGCCATCTTCTAGCTGTACTGCGTACTACTAGACACCAGCAAAGGTTGTAGTTCACCTCCTGCTCCCTGTACTACTCACTGTCTACTTGTTCAGTGCATCAATATTAATAATCGACTGTGCCCCAAGACGACCGCAAAAATGGCTCTGTTCCACGGTAACACTTATTTCCGCTGCACCACGGCCGTCGTCGTCTTATCCTCGTTCTTTACCACCGGCGCGCCAGCGTCGCAGCATAGTTCTACTTCAGGAGTGCACGAGCCGGAACAAGCGGAACTACTACAACCTCCATACGAGGAGAGTCAAACGACCTCTCGTTTTGACACAACGAACGCGCCGCATTTGATCAACTTTTTCTACCGGAAAGATCTCTACACAACCCCCGAAGATAAAAAAATCGGCCGAGAGCTCGTTGCGGCGGCGAAGGCTTTTCCGAGCAGCTCGGCTTCCACTGAGAACCTAAAACGGTACAACGCGCCGGAGGAGTTTGACATCCGCTCTTCGGCTGAAGATGTGGTTGATGTGTCTGGAAGTAGTCGTCGTGAAAAAAGGACGCAGGAACAAGATGCCCCTCTGACCCCCCTGTGGGCGGTGAAGGAAGATTTCTCTTTGCAGTCCTTGGTGAAAATCCTGAACGAAAAGGTTTTCCCGAGTACCCACCGTCGTGGAAGAAACAATTTGGAAGCGATCGAGTTCCGCTTTTCCTGGTATCCGAGGGACGATTTCGCCGAGGTTGCGTGCTTACCGCCGGAAACAGGCCCGGTTTGCGCGGAGTCGAGTTACGTGATTGTGGAGAAGATTTCGCTTCTGGAGGCGACAGTACACAGTACGACGTCTGCTCCAACTGCGGGAACGTTGGCCAAGCGTTTGCACGCGGAGTTCGTCAGTTTGGGAAAAAATGGACCGTCGCTGAAGCAAGTCGCATCGAAAATTGAGGTGGTGTTTCAGGCGATTGACATATCAATCGGAGCTGCTGGTGGAACCGTTGTTGTGGGGACGCAGACAAGTGCTGGCGCTGTTGTGCCACCTGGTGCCGCTGAGGGTGCAGCTGACCAGTCTGTATCTTCCTCTTTCCGCCCGCCCGTGGTTCCTTCCCGGCCCCGCCGCCATAGCAGCCCGGCGACCCGTGGACAAGTTCTTGCGCAGCAGCAGGAACCTGTGCCTGTAGTTGGGGAGGAGCTGAGTGAAAAGGACCCTCTCTCTAATGTTATCCGTCGCTCCACCTCCTCCTCCCTGCGCAGCAACAGTCGCGGAACGCCGCGGTCGCCCGCGATGCCTTCGATTTCCGAAGAGGATAGAGCCGCGGCAGTGGCGGGAACAAGAAACCAACGTTCTCAAAATCCTACTTCTTCGCGTGGTGACCACAGCCGGGACCAGTCCTCCGACCGGGATAGGAGTAGGAGCAGTTCCGTCTCTGTTTCCGAGGGGATTGAGCTCTTCTCGCAGTACAAAGTTCCCTCCATCGCCGGGTCGCATCGGGGCAAGGGAAGCGTTTACGGCGACGAGGTCGTGCCGGAGGTGACGGTCGGGGGGCCGAGGCCGAGAATGTGGAACAAGTATCCGTCGAAAGAAAGTGAAACAGCGGAACAGAGTCAGGGTGGTGCACGTACTACGTCGAGCATCGCTAGTTCTTCTGGTGCAAGAACTTCCGCTGTTCCTGCGGGAGGAGCTGCGACCAACCCTGTTCGTCCACAACAGTTGCAACAGGGCCAGGTCGCGGAACAGCAACCGACTCTATTACCTTCCGATGTAACATCCATCGCTGAAGCTTCCGGAGCAGCTGCGACGGGGGGACAAGCTCAAGCTGCTTTAGCTGCAAGTACAGCTGTTGAGCAACCAACCGCGCCGGGCGAAGGTGCACCAGGTGCAGCCTTGCTTCCAGGTCCACCGCGCCAAAGACGGTGGAGTAGACGGCTTGGCAAGAGCGTTGCTGGGTCTGAAGGGTCCGAAGCCGGGTCGTCCGCTTCTTCGTCGACTTCCAGGCATGATAAAGAGCGCAGCAAAGACGAGCTTGTAGTTCCCATCGCAAAAAAGCGCGCTGCTGATTTGGTGGATCATCATGCCGCTTCGGCGGGCAGCGACAGTTCTGCGCCGGCAGTAGCCTCAGCACGTGGAGGCTCAAGCTCAACAGCCGTTCTTCCTGCGCTGTCTGTCGCAAGAACTTCTACCGGGGATGTGGTACTTGGCCAGCAGGAGCAAGGTGCTATCAATGTAAATGTGAACGAAGTAGAGGGCGCGACTGTGAACCACGGCAGCCCCGCTTCCAGTTCGTCGGCAAAGTTCACTGCGGCGCAACAGGAAGAGGCGGCGCCGTCCTCGGACGGGGAACACAGTTCGGGCGCTACAGTTCCTGCTTCGCTGTCCGTGGATCAGGACCAGGACCGAGAACAGGCATCCTCTACTGACCAGGATCGAACCGCCGGCCCTGAAAGGCTCTATAATCTGCCAGGGGGGACGCGAACCCCAGCTACCGCGTCGAGAAACACGGAAGCCTTTATCCTCTCCCCAGCTGGAGGTGCTCGCGCGACACCAGGAGCCTTAGGCTTAGATGCAACGGCCCTCGCTGACACAGCCAACGCAGAGACTTTTATGCTTTCGACCCCTGCGGGAGGTGGAGGTCCGCCGGGTCGTGCCCGCGCCGCTGGGATTTTGGGCGTAGACGCGACGGCCCCAGCTGATATGACGAATGCCGAGTTGTTTCGATTGTCAACACCTGCTGGAGCTAGTACTGCTGGAACTTTGGGTATGGATGCGCTAGCCCCGGCTGACACTATGAATACGCAGATGTTTATGCTTTCGCCTACTTCTGGAGGAGGAGGAGGCACAGCGGCGGAGGAGCACCAGCCGGACAATAATCGACAGCTGCCTTTCCAAACTCAGAGGTTTAACAGCCGCGACGTGCACGGTGGACTGGAAGCGCCCGCCAACGTCACGGCTGATGTGGGCCTTTTCACTTTATCCGAGGGTGAAACAGGAACCGGGAGTGGCACAGACGGGAATTCTTATGCAGCAGGAGTGCGGCCAAAAGCAAAAGCTGCTGCTGGACGTGGCGTAGCCCCCGCTGCCGCAGCTCCTGCTGTTCAGGCCTCCCTTTCCGATTGGTGGAACGAAAGACGGCCGGGTACTAGCGCGCATGTGCCAGCAACTGATGTGGCTGCACAGCCCCCAGTTTCTCTTTCTTCCGAGGGAGAGAATTTTAATTCTGGCCGAGGACACGACGGGATCGATGCCGCTGCGCCAGCTACAGGGACCGACTCGGACTCGACCGAGCTACGCAGCGATAGAAGCAATGGAACAAACTTGTTCATGATCCGGGGCGGGCCAAGGGTCGGTGCGAGTGCGACGAGCGGAGCACCATTGGGAGGAAGTAAACCAGTTGTACAGGTGCGCAGAACTGCTGCCGATCGCAGTGCATCCTCGAGCAGAAAAAGCACTAGCAGGAGGTCTGCATCCAGTTCCGCAACTTCGCAGACACAAGGAAGCAGTACTAGACGGCTTTCCAAGACACGGACTCGATCGAAATCGACTAGACGGGAAAGGACTGCTTCTGGCGAAACTGGAGCAGCTGCTGCTTCAGCAGGACGAGCTTCTCATGCGGATACCGCTATTACACCTCCATTGGCTAGGACGGGCACTGAGAGTGCCCCCAATCTCACTGGCAACGGCCACGAGTCACGTCAAACCAACCCGCAGCGGGGGCCGCATCACGTCGACGATTCTGACCTGGTGAACTTGCAAGAGATCCGTTCGAACCTACTTGACATCCGAGGAAAGCTGATCGCGGGTTTGCCGGGAGCGAATGGGACTGGCCGCGGCCCGGCACCGAGTCCGAACACTGAAGGTGGTGGGTCGTCGTCATTTTCGAGTGGATCGAATTCTGCTGGCCCGACTTCGAGTCCTGCTGTAGTGGAGGGAGAAGAGGGACGAGGGGTTGCGCAGCAGGTAGAGGCTTCCCGCATCATGTCAGCAGGACCTCCTACCGGAAGAACCACGACTCCAGAGCCAGCTGAGGTTTTCGAGATCGTTGGCGACGATTCGCCTGTAGGAGCAGGAAAAGCGAAGCAGTCAGCAGCGCCGTCTGCTGTCGATGCCGGGAGTCAAACTACACAATCATTGGTCATGTTCGAGCGTGTTGACGATTATTCCCTGAAAATTACCCATCCCCATCCAATTTGTCATGCAAAACATACATAAAATCATGTGTTTGCCATGCAAAAAGTGGATGGGGATGGGTAATTTTCAGGGAATAACGATGCAGCTCCGGTTGATATGAAAGACAAAGATGTTGTTCCAGCAGCGCCGGAAGAAGTTAGTGTTGCAGCACCAGCTGCGCCAGCTGCTCCTGCTGTAGAACAGCCGTTCAACCCTCCCGCGAGAAGAGCGCTACCCGCGGTTCCGACTAAGATCAGCGAAGCTGCGTCGGCAGCATGTTCTGCTAGTTCTCCTGCTTTCTTGCAGTCAGACACGACCGGCTCTAGTGTTGCGCGGCCACAGGAGCAGGAGCAGGATTCTTTGGTGTGCGGTACGGATACAACAAGGTCAAGGAGAGATACAACTCGCCATCGTCGCCTGACCTTGACCCGCGAACCCCATCACGGAGATATCTGGGATCAGCACCGCGCGCAGTTACGCCGCGGTGAGCGTGATGTAGTAGCTCCTGCGCAACAAGGAAGAAGTCGCGCTGGTGCGGCTCAAGATGAACAACAAGCACCATCGAGCACAGTTGTGCAGCATCAGCCTCCGAGCAAAGCGATCGGAAGGAGCTCTTCTACCGCTGCGATTGAAACAAGAAGTAGAAATACCGCTCGTAGTACTGCAGTCACTACAGTCCCCCGCAGACTGCCCTCCCCTCCTGCGACGTGGCCGCCGCCGCGAGAGGGAGTTGACGCGCCGAATCCTTCCTCTGGAATTGGAAGTCAGAGGAGCGACAGCCCGCCAGCTCGGCTTGCTAGTACCAGAGACGGTGAAGACTTGGTACAACGCATGACAGATTTCAAGCGAAAAACAGTGGAAAGAGCGAGAGCGGCTTCCTCCGGTGCCATCGAAGCGGGACGTCGAGGAGGGAAAACAAGTCGGCGTGGGGAAGCAGCGTTTGTCCTTCACCCCCCCGCGCCGACACGCCTGCCCGCGGCCCCGGTGTCCACTGGTACTGCGGATCGCTTGAGAGGTCGAGGTAGCAATGGGCCACGGCAAGAAGTTACTGAAATGTTTCCGTCCTCCAGGCCAGCTCCTTCTACAACAACTGGAGCTAGCGCAAGAGGACGCTCCAGCACGGGGCGGGACCAACATGCGACAAGAGGAGCTACTTCTTCTGCAGCAGATCGACAGACTCAACAGCAAACAGGGCCTCCTCGGGGCCAGCTCCAGCACCAGAGGGACTACAAAACTGAACCTCGTGCAGTCAAAGATCCATCCTCCGACTCTGACGAAGATCTTCACGATGTTGGCCTTCGCAGTGTCATTCCGCCGCGGCAGCAGCGGTTGAGCGACATTTTCCACCTCCGCGAAGCACGCAGGCGCGGGGAAGAACACAAGAGCAAGTTCGGTGCCGGTGCTGCTGGTGGGGCGAGCTCGTCCTCGGGACCACTTGCGGGAGGTCGTACAACTGTTCCTGCTCCAGCCCGCCGTGCGTCCAGTGCCGCGGCGGTGATGCACGACGCCAGACCAGCAGACGCTTCGTCTGTCTCGACCGTTCAGGCGGACCACGAGCATCAAGCACCTGCTAAAACAAATCCCTACCAGACTCTAGTCGACCGCGTTGAAGAGGAGGACACGGTTCTGCAAGGCGATCTTTCCTCCCTCTCCCCGCCGAAGCCGCCCAGAAGGAGCCTGATGGAACGGGCGCTGTCCCAGCCGGGAGTGAAAATTCAGCACCCGCCGGAGCACAAATCGTTGGTGGACCGGTACCTAGCGATGGGACCAACTCCGATCTCGCACCCGCCGGGAAGTTCAACGTTGGAACAGGCGATGAAGCCGAGAAAAAGTTTGGTCGAGCGGTATCTGGAACAGCCGGCAGAACCGATGCAGCACGCACGACCGGAGAGAGGGAGTTTTGCTGCTGGCGGAGGTGGAGGACGAGGACCATTTTCGTCGGGAGTGGGAGCAGCGGGTGCGGGTCCTAGTAGCAGCGGAACACCAGCACCAGCAGAGGGTTCAGCTACAGGTACTACAGATGGTGCAAGTAGCTCCACACCTGGGGCAGCAACTCTTTCTGATCCTGCCAAAGCAGCTACGAAGCCTCGTCGCTCCAGCTCGTCGAAAAGCAAAACCAGGATCATTTTGGTGGCTGAGCCGCAAGTAGCACAGGGATATACCCATCCGCAGTCCGACGCGGAGCAGACTCAAGGAGCTGCTAGTGGTAGTGCTGGCCCCGCATCACAAACTTCTCAGCAGCAGCCGGATTTCAACGATCCAGAGTGGAATCCGTGGTGGGATGACGCACTGGAGATGATCGACCAAAACAGCAGACGCAAGCGCTTCTACCGCTGCACCAGCGCACCGGATCTGAAGAAGCCGGAGGTGAGGTCCGCTTCCGCCGGAGCGGGGGCAGCCGCGGGGGCTGGAACGGCTGCAACTACACCAATTAATACGGTTCGTGGTGCTGGTAGTTCCTCAGCTTTAGGAACAACTACTTCTTCTACGCCTGGAGCTGCGTCCTCCGGTAGTCGTGCCGGCAATAAACATCCCCGCGATGTGAGCAGGCCCCGGGTGCTGTTCCAAACGCCAATTTCCACTACTGGTGGCGCATCCTCGTCGTCTTCAAGTGGTGCGGCGGGCACGACAACGCCTCCAAATTCATTTACTGGTGCGAGTAGAAGATCTGGACGAGGAGAAGATCATAGAGCTGGAGATGACATCTTCAGCACGCCATTGCCTGGTATTGGTATTGGAAGCGGCCGCGCTCCTTCTGCCGCGACGCCATCCACGGCAACGCCGGGTGGAACAACAGCAGCTGGTGGTAGCAGTTCCAAAAGGCAGGCTGCACCGACGAGAGATGCCATCAAAGCGTCATTATTCCACGGTGCCCCAGCTGCAAATCAACCACAACCTCCCTCCTCCAGCCGGAGAAGCTGTAGTACGCCGGGGATGACCACGACCAGTTCCGGATCTGCGTTGCGCGACTGGGAAAGGCATTGTCAGAAACAAGGTGGCGCAGGAGCTTCAAGCGCAACTGGGCTTCGGCGACAGAAGAGCAGTGCTAGTCTGCATGACAGGTCTGCTTCGTTGAAGCAGACACAAGGCCCAAACACGCCCTTCGTTACGCACATGACTTTTAAGGGGGAAATTCATGGGAAAATGAAATTCAACGCCATTATGCAGCAACCAAACCCGGAGATGGATGGGCCAGCGGAGGTTGGGCAATCTTCAGGCTCGGCGGCTTCTGGTGCAGCGCCTGCTGCGGCTTCCGGTCCTGCTGGTGCAAAGTCTCAGCAGTCTTCTGACGACTCTGGCTCCTCATCTGACACTGTGGAGGACGAAGCTGCCAGAGCGGCGCGGATCCGAAGGGAATTGCTGGCCCAGGGATATACGGAGCAGAGATTGGATGGCATGTTGATTGCAGAGTGCGAATGGACGGATTGATACCGCGAAAGACTTGCAGACTGAGAATGAATGGACGGATTCAACAGATCGTGAAGGAACAGGAAGTACTTACATTTCTTGCAGCAGCAGCCTTGTTACTCTTTAGAAATTCATATTTGTTGTCGACTAGGTAAGTAAGATCACCACAAGAAAAGAGCACACAACAACGATAACGAACTTGAAATTTTGGAATTGATATTCAGATGGCGCACAATTAAGTACGAAATTGTGTCGATAAAAAGTTTTGATGTAGTCTACTTCAGCATAAATCACATGATAGTTGTCTTGCACGAATCCATCCTAACACAGCCCGAGGCTGCTTGAGTAAATTAATTACAAACTTCCAGCTGAAGATCGAGCGCTTCATCATGGGAATGACTACCTCGTTCTCAAAGCCTCGTGTTTTTTTCAGCTTGGACAACCGCGATTCTTTTTTGCTTGTATTTCTACGGGGGCCTCATCCCGGTAGGCGAGCAAGACGGAAGGCGGTTGAATTAAAGACTTTTATACTTCAGACTTCCTAAATTCGCATTGCAACTACACCTTTTGCTGCATCTAATAGGACTCGTCTTGCACACTAATTAGATTTTTCTCATCACGACCCGACTGAAAATTTCTATTTGCGGTCGCTTACATATAATCGGCATTTTTTTGGTCTTTCCGAAAACCGATTACGCCATCTTCGCAGCTAGACATGTAGTAGAAGACGTACTTCTCACTAGAACATTTACTCATGAATCATACTTTCGTGGCGGTTTAACCGCTATCGCTTTAAGAAGAGTTTTACTTTTATCGTCACAGTTTTTTCCATCTTCCAGCTGATGTTGAGCATGAGCACACCAGTCACATAGCAAGTCAAAATAGCTGAAACAAGTCCAAGTAAGTAAGTAGTCCATAGTACGCTCAAAGTAGTTTTAGTTTTTCTACTTTGCAAGAGAAATGCTTTCGCTTTCCACCTATGAAGCATCACTGCGAGGACCCACTGTTGCGGTTCTTTCTTTCTGCAGAAATGCAGAAGGTTTCGTGCAAAAACAAAATAAACACCGAGCATCGTGTTCTACCACCATCTCCTGTGTAGGAGAAGATCAGATAAAACCATGTCATCGTGCAAAGGAGAGTGAACAATTACTTGGCGTCTACTGCAACATCAGTCCAGCTTCGGTTTTCGTTCTTTTCCATGCAAAAGATTACGTCCATATTGGTCTACTTGGTCTTGTACATTACGTCCAAAAACAAGAAGACCGCCACATCTACTTGTCGTGCAAGAACTGTTAATCGAGCGTGCCCTGCTGCAAATCGTTTTTTCTTCGTCCAATGTCTCCGTTCTCTTCAATCACTCAGTAGCAGTACTTGTTCAAAGTGAAAATGATTTATTCCAGACTCAAATCTAAATCTTCCCCGCAGAGACTCAAGCCAGAATTGCAACCCATACTCATCGCAAGAACGCATCATAAATACATTTTGCTCATTGTTGTGTCTGTTGTTCGAACATCTACATCGTTGTAAAAACATTTTTGTGGCGCTAGAAGGCGGACAGCTAGTACACAGTTTTGGATTTTAATCAAAACCAATCAAGCAACCCCCACCAAACCGAAACCATGCCTCCGAAGAAGCAGCAAACTCCGGCGTCGAACAAGCGCGGCTCCGCCGCCGCAAGTTCATCGTCCACCGCGATCAACCAGCCCCCGACGAAGAAGCAGAAGCAACAGGAGGTGAATTACCGCATCGAGAAGATCGAGCGGGTATCAAATGTAAAAATGTCTGGGTCTGGAAGATTCTGACACTTGTCATGCACGTTCTGCATGAGCCATGATGTCTGTGATGCATACCCTAGCAATGCAGATTTTTTGAGGGCTTCTTGATGCGTATTCCGCATGACAAATGCCTTCTCAGCGTAGCAAAAATTGTATTTCCTTTGGTACTCATGCAATACAGATTTTTTTGGAAACCAAATGCAGCATCACAAGTTGCATTCTTCCAGACCCAGACATTTTTACATTTGATAGCGGGTGCTGCAGAAATCCGAGGACGAGTTGATCAAAACGATGCTGCAGGAATGCTGCTATGGATGTGTCAGAGTTGAAATCGAGAAAGTTGAAATAATTTGTCATGCATAAAATGGATGCCAGTTGGAACCTAGTTTCCAAGTGGCGCATGACAAATTTCGGTGGTCCCTAAATCCAGTTTGTCATGCTGTTTAGGCAAAGAAGAGCGATTTTCTCATGCTACTTTAGCAGCTCGAGCTGTAACCCCAACCAGGCTGACAATCGGCCTCATTTGCCTGCTCTGCAACACACGTACCTCGGGCCATGCATTTTATGCATTACAAAGTATTTCAACTTTGACGATTTCAAACCTGACGCTTCCATAGCTGCAAGGACGCGTTTATCGGTGCGAATCAGGACATGGAGCAAATGCTGCAGCACGTGGCTGCGGGGGGAACTGCAAGTGGTGGGAGCAGCAGTTCATCCTCCTCCAGTGCGGCTCCAGGTTCATCTCTGAACCTCCGGTCTTCCTCCATTGCTTCCCAAAAATACGGCTCGCACGGCAGGAATTTCGAGTACGAAACGCTGCAACTGATCTACAATGCGATCAACGATTTGAAGACGAAGGCAACGATTCGGAAGGAAGACGCGGAGTCGCTCCGGTCCACTCAGAATTTGGAGAAGGACGACGTGAAACACAAACTCGAGCTCCTCGTATGGAATGCAAATATGTCTGGGTCTGGAAGAATGCACATTTGTCATGCTTGTCTGGCATGAATCTTGAATCTGTGATGCATGAGCAGGAAAAGGGCCTATTGCCTGTCACGCAAAAACGCAGTTTGTCATGCGGCAAACGCAACACTAAGCAGCGCAGACCTTTCTCATGCAAAGCTATGCATTCCAGAGCATAATTCACTATTCCCAACCAAGCATTACAAGTTTTCAGACCCCAACATATTTGCAGTTCATACCTGGCGGTGCAGTCCAACTTGAAAAAGGAAGACTTGAAGGCCGCCCTGAAATACGAGGCGGAGAACAAGTATGGATGTGTCAGGATCGAAATCGACAAAATCGAAAAATTTGTGATGCGTAAAATGTAGAGCACTGAAGGCCTGTATTGGGGAGCAGGCATATGAGACCGATTGTAAGCCTGTTTAGGGGTATGCAATGCGCTGGCAGAGTAGCATGACAGGAGCAGTCTTCTTGCCCAAACAGCATGACAGACTGGATTTTGGTGCTCCCGAAATTTGTCATGCGCCACTTGAAAGCTGAGGCTCCAACTGACATCGATTCTGTGCATCACAAATTTTTCGATTTTGTCAATTTCGATTCTGGCACTCCCATAACAAGGAAAAGAGGAAAAAAATGACGAACGAAGCGAAGAAAGCGGAGAAGCAGGTGGGGGTCGAAACCGGGAAATTGCAGGAACTGAAGGATTATGCGGTGCAAAAGTATCGTATTCGTATATATGCAAGTCTTGCATTACAAATCTTTCTTTTAAGGTAAATCAGCGTTACAAATTTCATTTCTCATGCTGAGAAAATTTGTAATGCATTTATACGAATACGATACTTTTGCAGTTCATAAGGATGAAATCGAAAATTGCAGGAAGGAGTATTTGGAATTCCGCAGCATGATGACGGTCGGACCGCTATCCTGAGTAAAAACGTACCCACACCAGAGTTGTAATGCAGATTTGCAAAGACAGGAAGACTTGTAATGCGCATCCCCATGAGAGCCATTTCCTGTCGTGTTTTGAAATTTGTGATGCTGTGAACAGGATGAGCAAATGAATCTGTGACGCGGCTGCACTGGCTAACCTGCACTACACTGCAGAGTGCAACTTGTCATGCGTGACTCACAAAACCCCTAGGTTTGTGTTGCAAAATCCCCATCCTAGTAACTCTGGCGTGGGTACGTTTTTACTCAGGATAACCGCAGAACGCTCCGAATCCCATTCCGGCAGCAGCTTCTTCTTCTTCTTCTTCGAAAAAGGCAGGAAACAAGAAGGAGGAAGAATCAAACCCTGCGCGGAAGATGGTCCACGCCTTCTTAAAGAAGCTGAAACTCGAAGACTCGCTCATGTCCGCCGCGCCGAAGGCTCTGGAAAAGAAACCGCACGACCGGTCGAAGTTCGAATCTGCGGCGATTGAGGCGGTCAAAGTGGAATACGAGACGCAATTCCTGCCGAAAATGCAGCAAGAAAGGGATTCTCAAAACGAGAAACTCCACGGCAGCCGAGCCGCCAGCGATGACTTGCAGAGTCAGGTATGGATTTTTGATGAAATTTGAATTTGTTCTATTTCGGTTTATAATTGTTTGAATTCGTAGTTTAGATTTCGAAGCGAATTTTCTTTTCGTTGTCCTGGTCATGCAGAAACGCATGAGAAACTAGAGCTCTCATGTAGAAGAATCGCATGAGAAATAGCTGCCGAACATAACAAATCAGCTCTCCTCACTCAATATGATCACCGAAACTGCGATCGAGCGGGTCCAGCAGTTGACTAAAGAAGCGGACGACATGGACGATATCGCGACGGATCTGGAGCAACGAGCCAAGGATTTGAAGAAATCCTTTTCGGACTCGGAGAAAAATTTGAACTCTGCGTTGTTGGACGTGCAGGAAGCGGAGGAAGCGCTGACGTTTTTGCGCGAGGTGATGAACTTGTGACGAACGAGGGATTTGCCTTTGTTTTTCGGATGTGGCCATTGCATGACAGGTAGTTTTGCCCTCTTGCATGTTCTGTTTTGATTCTCTCGAGAAGAAGTGTGATTTTCATTTTTCAGGGACAAGAAGTATGAATATTTTCAGCTTCTTGATGCGCTTTCGCTTGCCTGACAGGTATTTTTGTACAATAGCCGTCAAGTTGCAGTAGTTCTTTCTCAACCGACGTTTTTCTTTTTCCAATTGTAGTTATTCACTTTAACTTTTTCAGACTACCCACCAGAGAAAAAATTTTCCAGCACGCCTCAACCTTACAGTACACTAGAAGCCTAACCACCTCGCTATCACTTGATCATCTTTTGCCAGTAGCCCTGGTCGTGCAACTTTATCGCCTTTCGTGTTTTATTTCACTCAGTATTATCGGGATCCCGTGGCCGTGCCCGTCAACATCAACACTTCGTAGAGCGAAGTGATCTGTTAAGCTACCCATCCAGTTGAAAGTGAGTTAGAAAATCCATACTGCAGGTAAGGTTTTTAACTAGGTATACCAGCCGAAATATATATGCACCTCTCTGCCCCGACAACAAGTTGGTAAATTCTCATAACTCGAAAAACATCGAAAACGCAAGCCAGCGTGATTCGCCGGCTAGAGCCAGCCTAGACGGCCTATTGCACCATTGTTCTTCGAAGTCCTCGCAGAAGAAAGTGTCTGGTGTGTTTCATGATTCAGATCAGCCCGATCCGTTGTTTATGCCATCATGCCGTTTTCTCCGATACGGTAACAAGCATCTTCACAGTCTCACTACAAAGTTTCGGCTCGCCGAGCAGGTCATGATGATTTCGATTCGGTTTCTGAACAAGTAGATCTTCGGTCCTTGTTTTTTCGAAGAGGAATCATGAGGTCGAGCAGGAGATTTATTACAATTGTGCTTGCGCGAACAAGGTGGGGGCGAGAGAATCAGGAGTTTTTTCCTTTTTTGAACATGTTGATGGGGATGACCCCCGAGAGGGTAGGGTGGTACTTAGTTATAGTTTGGTACTACTCGCAATTTTTACACGGACATGATGGTTTTCATCATGATCGATCTAGCGCATCATCATCACAACTTCGCAGTACACTTTTGCCCTGAAGACCTTGCAGAAGCAGAAAGGCATTGCTGTACGTAAAGCACAAGCGCCGGGTCTTCATCACATCACACTCTAAAAAGCCTAAGCTTCCAACTGCTAGCTAAAAGGAGGACGAAGAGTGTGGATCAAGCAAAGTATAGAATTCTCGCAACGTCAAAAAGAAACCAAAACATGGACGACAACGCCGTTGCCATCGTCGCTGCCCGGCGCAGTGTGATCGGGCGCTTCAATGGTAGTTTGAAGAATCTCTCCGCGTCCCAGATGGGCGCCGCAGTGTTGCAGCAGTGTCTGAAGGACGTGCGGATCGAAACCGCGTCGAAACAAGCCGCAAACTACAATAAGCCCGCTGGTGGCGGTATCCTGAGGAAAAACGTTCCCACACCAGAGTCAGGATGGGGATTTTGCAACACAAACGTAGGAGTTTTGTGAGTCACGCATGACAAGTTGCACTCTTCAGTGTAGTGCTGGTTAGCAAGTGCAGCCGCATCGCAGATTCATCGGCTCATCCTGTTCACAGCATCACAAATTGCAAAACACGATTGGAAATGGCTCTCATGGGGATGCGCATTACAAGTCTTCCTGTCTTTGCAAATCTGCATTACAGCTCTGGCGTGGGTACGCTTTTACTCAGGATAGGTGGTGCCTCCTCGTCCGCATCTTCTGAAACAGTGACAGCGCCGGGCGCCGGCGCTTCCTCAGCTTCCGGTTCGTCTTCCAACACGTTACCGGCATCCCTCATCGAGGAAGTCATCGTAGGCCAAGTTCTGACCACCGGCACCGGGCAAAACCCAGCGCGCCAGACCTGTTTGATGGCGGGGCTCCCGGAAACCACGCCGAGCCTGACGATCAACAAGGTTTGCGGGTCGGGGCTAAAATCCGTACACTTGGGGATGTTGCAAGTCATGGCCAACAGCGCTGCAGAGCCTTCAGCAGCTCCTGGTGCAAATTCCACCGCGTCACTGATCGCCTGCGGCGGGCAGGAATCCATGTCTAACGCGCCGCACTTTCTTGCCGGGAGTATGGCGTTCTCAACTGTTACATTCTCAACTGTTACATGAATTTGTCATGCAAGACTGGCAAAAGTGAAAGGAGGAAGATTGCGCCTTTTGCATTACAAGTTTGGCGCAGATTTAGATGCTGTTTAGCACTTCCGACATTTGTCATGCGAAGCAGCTCGATCATCTGGCGGCTGAAGGCACTTTTGCATGACAAATCCATGTAACAGTTGAGAATGTAACGTTTGAGAGCGCCATAGGGAAGTCCTCGCGGTTAGGGCAGAAGATGGGCGATATGAAGTATCACAGGAAAATGTGTTAAACGTTAACGGTTTATTTCACAGATTGCAGTCCTGCATCACAAAGACAAATGTAGCCCAATATGCATTCTATGCATTGCAAATTGTGGCACGTTTTGTGATGCGTTGTTGCATCACAAATTCCGTTAATGTTAACGCGTTTTCCTGTGATATGAAGCTCCAGGACTCCATGCTTGTCGATGGGTTGACTTGTGCTTTATGCATAATACAAAAGTATCGTGTTCGTGCTACCGCTACAATGTACTAACTGCATGACAAACACAAACTACCTATACAGAGTGAAATACGTAGAGTTGCGCAGACCAGCACGGGGACGAAAAGAAAAGTGGAACTTGTGATGCAGATCATCCAGGTAGAAAAACCACATCAGTATTAATGCACGCCTCCTGGAATCAGTTGTACGAGTGCGATGCTTTTGCGCAGCATAGATTTTCAACAAGTACCACATGGGGATTACGGCGGAGAACATTGCGAGCAAATACGGGATTAGCCGGAAGGATCAGTACGCCTTGCAAAAGTGTCGTACTTCTAGTACTGCTGTATAATAAAGTCATATCAATCTTGCATGACCAAGTTGGATTTCTTATTCTGTGGCATGGAAAATCAAGCAGGATGAGATTTGGTAATTATGCTCAACGAGATAAAAAGGACAAGGGACCACCAAGAAGTTGTGTCAGGCGTAATTGATATGCAATTTTTCTAGTTTTCTCACACGAGGAGAAGTCGAGCACGAAGATGCTTTTGCTTGGGATAAGCAGGATGAGTTCGCGTTGTCCAGTCAGAAGAAGGTAGGATTGCCTACTCCCTGGCGTTTCTACCTTGATTTCCAGCCAAATTGCCGGCCCAGGCATTTCTACCCGGGTTTCCGGTACGGGTGCAAAGCCTGGCACTCTACCTTGATTTGCAGCCAAAATGCCGGCCGAGGCATTTCTACCTGGATTCCGGGCAAGGATGCCGGCTCGGGCCTTTCTGCCTTGATTTTCTCTCAGTAGAAATGCCGGGCCAGGCATTTCTGCCTTGATTCCCAGTAGAAATGCCCGCCGGCTGAGGTGGTATTTCTGCCTGGATTCCCTGTAGGAATGCCAGACCTCCTGGTATTTCTGCTTCGATTTCCTGTAGGAATGCCAGGCCTGCTGGCATTTCTACTTAAATTTCCTGTAGGGATCTTCGATCTCCGGCACGAATGCCATGGCGCTTGCGCTTCTAGCTTGATTTCCAGTAGAATTGCCAGCCCTCCTGGCGTTTCTACTTACCTGGGTTTCCGGTAGGAATGCCAGGGGGGGGGGCCTCCTGGCATTTTTTCTACCTGGATTTCCGCCAGGCTGGCAGTTCTTCTTGGATTTTCGGTAGGAATTCCAGACCTCCTGGCGTTTCTACTTTGATTTCCAGTAGAAATGCCGGCCCTCGGCAAAGGTCGACTTTTCTCTGTGGGAGGGAAGTTTTCTCTGTATCACAGAGAAAACTCCTCTCGCCACAGAGAAAACTCATAGGCCGTGACAGGTATTTCTCTGTAGATGAAATGGCAGTTTGTGATGCGCAAGCAGCCATTTTTGTTTGTTTTTATATGTATATCCTTTATGTTTTTGCTTATGTTTGTTTTTGTTTCTTCTCCTTCTGTTTTTGTTTCTGTTTCTTGTTTATACTTTTCTCTGTTTTGCTTTCAACTTTCTCTGTGATATCTTTTGATATCATTTGATATCATTTGATATCAATTGATATCAACAGAGAAAACTTAATATTTTAACTTTCGAGACCCGACAACGAAGCACGAAGATGCTTTTGCTTGGGAAAAGCAGGATGAGTTCGCGTGGTCCAGTCAGAAGAAGGTTGTGCTCCTAGATTTTTACCTGTGCATACCTCGGGTCGTTGGTTTCTTCCCTTTTTCTCTTTCTTAGTTCGAGCGATCTAGTGTCAGAATTCGCTCGTGTCAGAGTTCGCTCTGACAAAATGTAAACGCAATGCAAACTGCTGCACTTTTAGCATCTGCTGCGTGCGGCAGATAAAACAAGGTGAGAGACACAGACTTGGCATGGAGATGGATTTGATTTGCATGGCGTTTCGTTTTCCGCCTTAGGTCGTCGTCGTTGGTTCGGGCGGCGCGCAGTTCTGTATGTTGATATCTGTTTTTTGGGGCGCTGTTTCGTGATCATAGGCGCTTTTTTTGTAGGTGGGGCCCGCATGCTGCCCGGCCCGCGACGAACCGACGCGCGACCATCAGCCCGCGGCCCGGGCTTGCGGGCGGCGGTGGGCTGTGGCGCCCGCCTCGCTCGACGTTGGGGCGGGCCTCCGCACGCTTCTCGGCCGGCCCCTCGGGGCTGGCGGAGCCCAGCCGCGAGGGAGGCGATTGCCGGGGCGACGGGCCGGGCCCGGCGGGGCTCGAGCCAGCAAGGTAGCGCGCGGAAGCCTCCGCCCGTCAATTTCCTCCAGGGGGGGCCCGTCGGTCGCTCGAGGCCGTGCCCGGCCGAGGCCCTGTCAAGTTCCTCAAGGGCGGGTGGCGGCCGCGGTCGAAGCCGGCCCGCGCCGGGTGGTGGTCCGGTTTCCCTGTCTCTTTCGGAGGCGCGGGGCGAGCGCACTCGCGCGGGCGCGCTGCCGTGCGGCCTAGCCTGTCTGTTCTGGCCTAGCAAGCTAGAAATCCCGCCCGGCGTCGTCCGCGCGCGCCACACCTCGACGCACCGCACCGGGCAGCGCGCCTGGCCTCACCTCGGCGCACCTGGCGCGCGCGCACTCACAGCACGCACCTTTTGGGTGCGTGCGATGGGTGCGTGATTCTAGGTGCGTGATTTCTAGGTGCGTGATTCGGACCATGTCCCAATTTATCTAGTTTTCTCTGCACGAAGCGAGCACGATACGTTTGCTTGGGATAAGCAGGATGAGTTCGCGTTGTCCAGTCAGAAGAAGGCCCAGAAAGCGATTAGTGGAATGAAAGCTGCGGTGGAACAATATGATGTTCCCAAACGTTATATTCTCAACTGTTCCATGAACAGTTTGTGATGCAAGAAAAACAGAACCAGTGAATAAAAATAAATCGGCAAGCTTGCAGCTCTCGCATCACAAATTTGGAACAGATTTTGATGCTGTTTTTTAGCCCTTCCAGATGAAGAATTTGTCATGCGAAGTAACCGTGGTTGTCTGGGGGCGGCTTAAGGTAGTTTTGCATGACAAATTAGTGTTGTAACAGCTGAGAATGTAACGCTTGCGAACGCCATAAACGACAGCGATCCCTTCACCCCTTCGCCCTGACGGTCCCCCTGGCGAACTTGAAATCCGATGAGCACGTGAACTTGAAGATCGAAAAAGTCGAGGAATTAGCGAAGTTGAAGCCGGCGTTTAAACCGGCAAAGGACAACGGGACCGTTTATGGCGCTCTCAACTGTTACATTCTCAGCTGTTGCATGGATTTGTGATGCAAAAGCATTATCACCATCCACACGATCAACCTGCTTCGCATGACACATTTGCCTTTTGATGAGGTGCAGTCGGGTATGCATGACAAATTTGCGAAGCGCTATCAAACATCACCGAAATCCGTGCGGGATTTCTTTGTAATGCTACAGGCGCAAGCTCCCGCCTTTCACTTTTCTCATTCTTGCATCACAAATCCATGTAAGAGTTGAGAGTGTAACAGTTGAGAACGCCATGCCGTTACTGCGGGAAACGCGTCCGGATTGAACGACGGTGCGGCATTTGTGATCTTGACTACGGTGATATGAGTGTGCACAACTCCCCCTACCGCTACCCCTCATTTGTGTTGCATGAACAGCAACACAAGCGCTGGCAAAGATGCAGCTTTTGCATGGCAAAGTCCTAGTGGATTGTAGTGCTGTTTTGGATTCCGGAATCTGTCATGCAAACTAACAGTAATAAAAACAGGCAAAGGGTGGACGTGGACTTGGAATTTTGCATGACAAATGAGGGGGAGGAGGGGGAGTTGTGCACTGTCATAGGTGAAAAAAGCAAAGGAGTTGAACCTACCGGTCTTGGCCACCATCAAGGCCTTCGCGTCCGCCGGGGTGGACCCGAAAGTGATGGGCTTGGGACCGATATCCCGTGCAAAAGTATCGCACTCGTAGTGATTGCAGTTATCTATCATGCATCACAAATCTTTTTCTTAAGGCAAACCCGCATTACAAATTCAATTTGTAAAAATGCTGAGCAAATTTGTATTGCAATTTATACTACTAGTGCGATACTTTTGCAGTTCATAACCGATTCCCGCGACCAAGTTGTGCTTGGAAAAAGCCAAGTGGACGGTGGGAGAGTTGGATTTGGTGGAATCGTATCAAATGTAAAAATGTCTGGGTCTGGAAAGTTGGAACTTGTGATGCTAACTTTGGACTCAAAAAAAAATTGTATTGCATGAACAGCAAGAGGAACCACATTTGTGCTACGCGAGGAGGGCTGCATTTGTCATGCGGAAATGGCATCCGGAAGCTTTCCAAAAATCTGTGATGCTGGGTCATGCATTACAAGCAGCATCGGTCATGCCAGACAAGCATGTTGACAAGCCTTCCACTCTTCCAGACCCAGACACTTTTACATTTGATAAATCGAATGAAGCTTTCGCTGCGCAAAGCTTAGCAGTTTTGAAGGATACAGGGTTTAAGTCGGAGAAGGTATATCTATAATAAATACGACGTTGATCATGTTGATGATCATCATCGTCTATCTTCAAAAATCTGAGTTGTGTGATGTTGTTTTCTGTGATGCAGATGCGTAATATTAAGGCGCACAAGTGGCGCTCAGACCTATAAACTGCGGTCTGCCTACTCTACTTTCTCTTGCATGATGTATACGCATAATTTAGGAGGTAAGACTCTACTCCCATGTGAACTACAATCCGGACCAATGCATGATCTTTCGTATAAATAAATCAGGTAAACGTCAACGGTGGTGCCATCGCGTTGGGTCACCCCATCGGTGCGAGCGGAACCAGAATCCTCGTGGACTTGATTTACGAACTGAGACGGCAGGGCAAGCGAAAGGGTTTGGCTACGATGTGCATTGTATCAAATGCAAATATGTCTGGCTCTGGAAGGATCCAAACTTGTGATGGTGTTTCGGATCCTACAAGGACCTGTGATGCATGAACGTGTAAAAGGTGTCCACTTCTCGCCATGCTGAGAGGGCATTTCTCATGCAGAATACGCATCACCAAAGACCTGCAAAGCCTGTGATGCTAGGCCCTGCATTCCAGAAGTGGGGGAGCTTGTAAAAGCTGCATGACAAATCTCGGAGTCTCCCAGACCCAGACATATTTGCAGTTGATACATTGGCGGGGGACAGGGAGTCGCGATCGCGATTGAGAACCCGAGCGCGACCGCCGGGGCGGCGAAATTGTGATTGAAAGAGATGTTGATAGCAGTTTTATAGATTTATTTCGAAGTAGAACCAGGAGTACTTGTACTAGCGCAGCGCCATTCTGATATAGGTGCGTACTTTTCATCGTCGAGAGAAATTTTCAGAGGACTAGTCGGTCTTCATCAAGTAGCTTTTGTGTTTTTCTTTGTCCGTATCACAACTCCAACTCACTAGCCTTGCAGTTCTTGTTTGGCAGTCCAACGAATATGAACCAATTTTCCAGACGAGGAAGGACTGACTCCACGTCATTCTCATCCGGAGTCCTCCCGTGTTGATGAGACTTTGCGCATTGATTATCCTCCTCCGATTTGCGAATTTTGTGATTCAGTCTGACGCGTTAGCGTTTTCCATTCACACTTGTCAAGATGAAATTGTAGATTGAACAGAGAATCTTGTTCGCGGTACTCTGCCTCTGGACGGTCCTCACATGAAGGAGCTATGCCTGCTGTGAGGCGAGTAGCACCAGCCTCCAATTCTGAGTGATATTGCTAAGGAGTGCACCTGCAAACGAGCGATGCTGGCGATTTGCTACTACAGCCTGATATTAGATTATCGTATGTATTGAGGTCGTCACCGAACGGTTCTAATACAACACTAGTGTATGAAGTCATATGGAATTGGAGAGATAAGCGAGCAAAGGAAAAGGCTTTCGTTGTTCTTGAGCGTGAACACCCAGTCTGATGACGATGAGATCATTCTTCCTGTTCAACATTGCTTAAATGGAAATGTAGTAAGTACTCCACTCGTCTTCGCGGTCGCCTTACAAGCACGGAAGCAGTAAATTAAAACCGGGAAATGAGAGAACCAGCCGCCGCTCCCGCCGCATCCCTCCGGATCTTTCCTCGGATGTTGATAACCCCCGAGGAATACGAGCTGCGCGGACCAAACGTCGCGCGTGCTAAGTGTTTCTGAAGTAGAGAGCACTGGCGTGCGCGATGTGGGACCTCCCTGCCTTGCTACAAAGGGGCACAACAGGGATCCCAAAGGGACGGCAACACTTCTGCCGCTGCTTCCTTGCAACTTCGCAGTGCCGGAGGAATGGAGACCTTTCTAGTGTCTACCCGTAATTGCGTCTAACCTGAGATCAGATCCGACTGCTATTGCGTTTGTTTCTAGCCGCTGTAGTTGTTGCTGTTATTGCTATTGTTGCTGCCTTGCTCTGCTGTGTCTGAAAGGAAAGTAGAACGGCCAAGACGAGCAAGCCGCTGCTCCACTCTCCGGAGTGTGAGCGCGCGAAATCCCACGCTATTGCTAGGTGGGTTATCGACAACTGTATGCAGTGAAGTCTTCTATTTGTTTCACGGAATTTCTTCCGTGCAATTGATTTGCTTCGTTTTGCCGCGAATTTCCAAGGAAGACCCTCAGCGGCCGCGACTGTCTCGCGAGGTCAGTGCGGTCGCAGGACCTGCGGCTCCCCTGCCCCAGGGTCGCACTGCGCGCGACGCCTGTCAGTCAGGGGCCGGCCCCCTGCTCTCAAGGCGCGCCGCGCCAGGGATAGGGCCCGCGCCGCCGGAGCCCACACCGGGACGCGCGGCGGCGTGTGCAGTCACGGGCCCGGTGGGCTTGTGGCCCCCCCGTTGCCGCCCCCCCCCGTGGCCCCCCCGCCCCGGGCCGTTTGGATTGAAAGAGGGACCGTTGGGCGCCCGCTTGCGCCCCCGCCCTGCGTGCCCGCCATCCGTAAGCCAATGCGCCCGCGGCCCGGCTGGGGCCGTGTGGGTGTGCCATGTGCCGGCCGAGCTGTTGCGTTCAATGAATTGCAGACCACTGGCCTGGACTGTGATCGCCTGGACCTTCGGGCGCGCTTCCGCTTCTTGGCGCCGACGCCGCCCTGCGGCTGGGCTTGTTCTGATAGATTGTCTGGCGCCGCCGCCCACAAGAACGCCTGTAGTGAGTTCTATAAACATAAATATTATCTACCGGCGCTCCCGGCGCAGGCTGGCACAGCACTTCAGCCACAGCGCAACCACGCTGGCTGCCTGCTGCTCTTCAGTCGGTCTGTTCTGCTTTTGTTCCCGGGAGAGATGATAGAAACAAAAGCTAAAAGCCGTGGCGGTACCTGCTCGCGCCACAAGCGGGCGAGCAGCAACGGCATCCAATTCTGAGTGGTATTTCTGAGCAGGAGCGCAGCTGCAAAGGAGCGATGGCGTGCTACAAGGAGCCTTATATTGTAAATTATAAATAATTGGAGAGATGTTGAGTCGGGACAGAAGTGAAGAAAAGTCTGCGCCGCGGTCGTTCTTGAGCACGTGCACTCAGGCAGATGGGGCCAGAATTCTTATTGTGGAACAACTTGCAAACGCAAATCCAAATCCAATTGCAAGTTGAAAACCTCGTCGTCGTCCCTGTGGTAAGCCTTCTATAAAAACACGAAGATCGCAACGACCATGGAACGCGACCCCCTGACTCTCCGCGGAACCGCGGAGCTCCAGCGCATGCGTATGCTGTTCTGAAGATGTTTTCGCTTCTGTGCTCCCACTAATAGCCTACGGGCCGTGCTGTGTGTGTCTGAGGATGGTGCTCAATGCAGTCGGACAGGCCACGGTAGGTGGCCACTTATTTGCGAGCCGTTAGCAGGAAGGCCTGTTTTTGAAGAAGAATGAATGCGAAAACCAGAGAAAACAACTGCGCCCCGGCACCCATCCACTGACTTCCTGGGCCCCAGCGGAGGGGGGGCGTCTCGGGGTTGGCGAGGCAGCGCGGAGGCGATCCGTCCCCCACCGCGCCGCCGGAGCCCACGCCGGGACGCGTGGCGGCGCGTGCAGTCGCGGGCCCTGTGGGCGTGGGGCCGGCCCGCTGCCGCCCCCCCCCCCCGTGCCCCTTCCGGGGCCGTTTAGGTTGAAAGAGTGAGGGGCCGTCGGGCGCCCGCTTGTGCCCCCGCCCTGCCTGCCCGCCATCCGTAAGCCAACGCTCGCGCCCGCCCAGCTGGGGCCGCGTGGGTGTGTCATGTGTCGGCCGGCCTGTTGCGTTCAATGAATTGCGGACCGCCGGCCCGGACTATGGTTGTTTGGACTTTCGGACGCGCTTCCGCTTCTTGGCGCCGACACCGCCCTGCGGCTGGGCCTGTTCAGATAGATTGTCTTGTGCCGCCGTCCACAAGAACGCCTGTAGTGAGTTCTATAAACATAAATACTATCTATCGGCGCTCCCGGCGCAGGCTGGCACAGCACGTCAGCCACGGCGCAACCACGCTGGCTGCCTGCTGCTCTTCAGTCGGTTTGTTCTGCTTTTGCTCCCGGGAGAGATGATAGAAACAAAAGCCAAAAGCCGTGGCGGCACCTGCTCGCTCCACAAGCGGGCGAGCAGCAACGGCTTCCAATTCTGACGAGTGGTATTTCTGAGGAGCGCACCAGCTGCAAACGAGCGATGGCGTGCTACAAGGAGCCTTATATTGTAAATTATCATTACTCGTCATAACCACGAATAATGGGAGAGATGTTCTTGAGTCGTGACAGAAGTGAAGGAAAGTCTGCGCGGCCGTTCTTGAGCACGAACACACAGGCAGATGGGGCCAGAAGTCTTTATTGTTCAACAACTACAACTTGCAAATCCAATTGCAAGTTGAAAACCTCGTCGTCGTTTCTGTGCGCCTGATATAAAAACACGAAGATCACAACGACCATGGAGCACGACCCCCTGATTCTCCGCGGGAACGCGGAGCTCCAGCGTCGGAAATCCCCGACCAAGGGGGACGCCGCGGCAAGGCAGAAACTAGAGGGAAGTTCCGGGGGCGCTTTTCGGGTGGACGACTTGCTCCAGTTTCTGTTTCCATATGGCGTTCTCAAACCTTACTACATTCTCAACTGTTACGTGATTTGTCATGCAAAATGAGCACTAACATCGACACAATGAAGCTACCTAGCATGACAAATTTCCGAAAGGCTAAACATCGCCTAAAAAATCTGTGCGGGATTGGTAATCCAACAGGTGCAGCCTCCTTTCTTTGACTTTTGCCATTCTTGCAATACAAGTTCATGTAACAGCTGACAATGTAAAATTTGAAAACTCTATATTTCAGCGGTGCAGTTTATGCTCGGGTTGGGGCTGACAAGCTACCCCAGTGCGGAGTTACCCGCCGGAAAAAAACTACTACCCACCCTCGTCATCTTCCAACTTGGCATGCAAAACATGCATAGACGAGTCCAGTGTTTGCGTTTGTCATGCAAGAAATGGATGAGGGTAGGCGGTTTTATTCTGTGGATACGCGTATGTGGTGTCGTACACGGTTGTCCTCGTCGCGTTATCCACTGCAAGTATGTCTGGTTCTGGAAACGTGTGATGGTGGTGGGAGTAGAGAGACGAGCATGCCAAAATTAGCTGCCAAGCATGTTGACGACAAGTTGTGGAGATGTTTCGGCATAGGCCTTGTCTAATCTGCATGACAAACTCGGCTTCTACTGCATGACCGAAAAGTAAATTGCAGCAGTCGCTCTTGGTCGTTAACTTGCATGAAGACAAACATGAGAGTCATGCTCATACTAGCAGAGCATGACAAGAAACCTTGCATCTTTCCAGATGAGGATGACCCACCAGACATATTTGCAATCCATACCCGCTGTTCTCGTTCGATATCATGTTCCTCTTGCTCATTCAGCAACAGTGGGTCAGGGAAATGTCGGTGTATCGTAACGAAAAATGTCCCCTCCCCATATCGAAAACGAAATTTGTGATGCCGTATTTGCGTACACAAATCGACTTGTAATGCTAGAAGGCCAAGAGACGCAGCCGTGGCGTCGTTTGCAGGCAATTTGTCATTCCGTTGGCCACTTCCGGCTGCCCCCTGTCATGCTGAAGATGCAAGGCTTTCCCACGCCAATCAGCACCACAGTCCGCATCTTTTCCCATCTAGCATGACAAAGCTGACCACAAATCTGCATCACAAATTTCTAGTTTGAGTATGGGGTAGGGGGATTTTTCATTTTGATACGGTGCTCGCCCTGTTCTCCCTGCTCACTGGCATCGGGATCTATCATATGTAAAAGCGTCCCCACCCCAGAGTCAAGTTGGGATGAACTTAGCAACACAAATCCACAAGTTTTGGGACCCACGCATGACAAGTTACACTCCGTAGTGTAGTGCATGTTAGCAAGGACAACAGCATCACAAATCCATCTGCTTATCCTTTTTACAGCATCACAAATTCCAGAGCACAATTGGAAATGCCTCTCAACATGGGGATGCGCATGACAAATCTTCCTGTGACTGCAAATCTGCATGACAGCTATGGGGTGGGGACGTTTTTACTCAGGATAGGATCGGGTCGTTTTTTATCTACAGCAACTACTTCGTTTTCTACACGGGGTACGACGATCTGTATCAAGTGTAAAAATGTCTGGGTCTGGAAGAATGCAACTTGTCATGCTAAATCTGCAGCATGCAAAAATCTGTGTTGCATGATTGCCAAAAGTCCTCCAGTTTTGACCAAGTCGGGAGGGAGTTTCTCATGCAGGATAGGCATGAGAGAGATCGCGCAGAATCTGTCATGCTAGGTCCTGCACTCCAGACCTCGTGGGTCATGGAAAACCTGCATGGCACGCTGACACACCTTCGGCGGCCGGCCAGAAGTTCTTGTGGTCAGTGTACCTTAACGGAGTAAGTAAATAGAGTACGTAGTTAGATTGGGAGCGCGGCACAGGCTCTTTTACTCACTCTTTTCTTGTAATAGATGGCTGTAGATTGTGCTAGTTGAGGTGAGGTAGAGGGGAGTGTTTTTTTAAGTCTTGTTGACGAGTGT